AATTAAGTTAAGTAATTTCTAATCCTATAGAATAGAATAGCGTTTTATAGAATCTTCCGTAAGGCTTAAGTATAGCCTTACCTAATAGATACTACGTAATCCTAGCTTATATAAGCCTAATTACGTAACTAGGCGTTAATAGGGTATCGCTTAGTCTTAATACTCTCTTAACTATTATTATAGATTAATTCCGTATAGTTAACGCTATAAATAACCATCGAGGGCCTTATTAGCTAACTAAAGGCTATATATAATAATAGTAAGTTCGTAGAGAGAGTATCGAGGAAACTCTTAACGCTACGATAAGGATCGAAAGCTTTTAGCGCCTTCCTCGCTAAATTCGATCGTACGCTCCTCGATATAGGAGATCTTAACTAGGTAGATTAAGTTAAGAAGACGTTTCTCGCGAACTATATCTCGTACGAGCTATAAAACGCGGTTATAGCGGCGTCGACTTCGGCGTTATATCGAGAATACTATATACTTCTCTATAGTATTAGTACGAACCTAGAAGCTCTTTATAGAAGGGAGACGCGAGCTATAATATTTACGTACGAAAGAAAAGGATCCTTCTCGACGAAGAATATAATAGACTAGGAATCGTAGTCGATAACTTAAGTAGCGGTCGTAAGACTTCGCTAACGAGCGGCCTAGGTATCCTAAGCGACTCTCGACTAACGTCGAGAAAAAGGATAGTATCTATATTACGGCCGACTAGGCTACTTTATCTAGAAGTACGAGCTTAGGTTAGCCTAGCGACTATAAGAGTAAATAACGATAATAGCGATAACTACTACTAGAAATATAGAAGTAGCGTTAGTCGAGACGAAGTAGTTAAAAGAGTAGCTTTTAACGAAAATCGTCGTTAGAAGCGTACGAAGAAGATAGAGTAGAAGTAGAACGACTTTAAGAAGTTAATAAATAGTTTATCGTTCTTAGTATTTATATAAGTAAATTAAGAAGTTTTTATATTAGTACTAGTAGATATAGATTATTTATCTTATAGACTAATTAATATTCGTTTCGCTTTTTATAATAGTTTTTAGCGTATCCTAATTATTCCTCGCCTAATTATTAATTTTAGTACGAATATAAAGTTAGAAATTATAAACGTTATTAAGTTAGAAATTAATCTCGATAGTTATAAAGAGAATATCTTTCTTTATATAATTCTCGATATATCGTATTATTACGGGTTAAACCCGTATAAAGCTCTAGAGTACGCCCTAGAGCGATTACTCGTAGTGTACCTTTAGGCTATATAACTATATAGCCGAAGCTACGTAATTCCTCTCTATCGATTATCTCCTAGGAAACTATACTAACCTACTATAGGAGAAGCTAGGAAGTATTTCCTTTATTCGTATAGTAGATAGATTTTCTCTTTTCTTTTCTCTCCTTAGCTTTAGAATCCTCGTTATACGATAGTTAGACGAATTACTCTAAATTCCTAGCTAAACCCTTATAAATACTTATAGTATATAGCGGCGTAAGGCGCTATTATAGTCCCTTTTCGTTTTATCTCCGTACTTATACTAATCTCGACTCGTATCTTACTTACGATATTCGCCCTATTTATAGCTATTAGTAACTACTAGGGCCTTATAAGTAGCTACTATAGGCTTTATTACTACTTCTTTAAAATAAAGAACTAGAAGGAAAAATAAACGTCGACCTATCTACTCGTAATTAAACGAGTAGAAATAGAAAGGGAAGAACGAAGAGTAGGGCCTCTCCGGACCCTTTTAAAGCACTTATACCGTAACCGCCTCTAAACCGAGCACCTCGCGGTCACAATAATCCTAGCCGTGTCCGCTATAGTAGGTCGGGGTATAGAGCAATAAGATAGTCTCTTATATCTATATCGGTACGCGTACAATTTAAATAGTATAGTCTAGCGCTACAAAGGCGAATTCTTAGTCGCTAGATGCTGTAGTGAGTAGAGGGTGAGCCGATGGGTGAGTAGAAGGGTGATTAAGGGTGAGTGGAGGGTGAGCGGGTGAGCGTGCCTTAAAAGCGACGAGGCTAGGGTGAGCCGCTCCTAAGCTCGGGGCAGATTTTACTCCCACTATCTTGCCAAGTTTTTGTGATCCAAGAATCCAAACAAAGTCAATAGCCTGCCAGCAATCGTGTTGCACAACTCACGCTCTTCAAAACACAGCGTCCGCGTTGATACCAACGCCGGCTCGACCAGCGATAGAAAGTCGTCAAGCTTGCGTTCTTTCCGCATGACGATCTAATCGACAACTCTGACTCCACTTCTATATATATAAGTGATTGCCAATCTCAATGAGAGGGCAAGCAATGAAGGATTCGACAAAGTTCCTGTAGATCTACACAATTATTATGGGCGCAGAAGACATGATAGTGAACCTACCTTCAACTCTAGTGAAATGACCCTGGAACTTTGATTTCAGCAGATCCATGGCAGCGTTCTCTTCAAGACCTCCGATCGGCAGAACATTCTCATGGCTCACTGGTCAGTCAATTGTGGCGATTCGTGGTAATATGAACAGATCCTTGTTGAATTCTGTCAAATTAGAAAGTCTCGCCAGAGCGGATAAAGGCGCCTTGCAGGGCTGTTCCTATGCACCTACGAGTAAGAAGATCTGCTGGGTGGTTTCTCGCCTAGCCCTGGCTCGGCCCGGTCTGTGGGCTGACCCAGATACGGAATCATGCCATCACGTCGCTTCCATACATCACGCTCTCGATACGAGCTTCTCATCAAAAGATGCTGCCTGATTCCACCCACAAGCATATATTAACCACACGGACATGATTAAAGCAATTGGGCTCAGTCTCTCTCCCAACAAACCTACCGTCTGAGACTCCTGTTTCCTATCCAACTCCTGCGAACCTGATACTCGGCGAAATCCATGGCAAACGAGGAGAAGATAACCATCCTTGGTGGTCATGCGAAGCAAAAGCCTCCGCCGTCGCCGTGGAGGGCCTACTGGCGACTTCTGACATATGCCAGCCCTTTTGACCTTGGATTGCGACTATGTGGCATTGCCGCCGCGGCAGCAGCAGGGTCGGCTTTGCCATTGATGACCATTATACTTGGGGGTTTCGTGCAGGATTTCAATGACTTTAACCTGAGACTGATAGAGCCTGCCAAGTTCCGGCATGCCGTCAATAAGAATACGCTGTGGCTGGTGTATCTTTTCGTTGGCAAGCTTCTAGTACATGCGTCTCCTCCTGAACCACTGTGAATGGCAATTTTACTAAGCAATCGATTTCAAAGACATCCTACGCTGGGACGGTTCTGCATTGCATTACTGCTTCTAGCATCACACGCAGAGTCCGCCTACGATACTTGGAGACAGTCTTGCGTCAACCCATCTCCTATTTCGATTGCCACACAGCAGGGTCGGTCGCCTCAAGTCTGTCAGCAGACACAAATCTTATTGAAGTCGGCCTTGCAGAGAAAGTTGCCGTTGCCGTTGAATCCATCTCGATGCTCTGTACTGCATTCGTTATTGCCTTTGCTAAATCCTGGAGGCTGACAGTTGTGGCCGCAACAATCATTCCGTACATGATTTTTACAACCGGACTCCTTTCGTTTTTAAACACTAGGCTTGAGAAGAAAAAGCGGGCTACCTACCTTGTAGCATCGGGTATGGTTGAAGAATGGCTGGGCAGTGTTTCGACCGTGACTGCTCTTGGCGCAGCGGAGAAGGTTGCAGCGCGCTATAGGGAAGTCATCAAAGAATGCAAAACCCTTGGTATCAAAATGGGCCCACTGGAAGCAGGTATGTTTGGAAACATGTGGTTTGCCATGCACAGTGGATACGCCCTTGCACTTTACTATGGCATCAGGCTGCTCAATCGCCACCAGATACATGATGGTGGCACTCTTATGACGTGAGTCGCAAAGCAATGAGGACGTATCATGCTATTGTGTACTAAAAAGGTGATAGGGTACTGTTCTCTGTTGTCATCGGAAGTTCATCTATGGGCTTGGTCGCCCCTTCTCTGCCTAGTTTTATGAAGGCGGCATCATCTGCACAGCAGGTTCTGAAGGTGTTGGATGACGCTAAATCCCCAGACAGCGGGTCAGCTCGTGCACATAAACTGGTCCCTGCAACAGTCTATGGACGGTTAAGCCTGAAGAATATATCATTTTCCTATCCGGCGAGGCCGACAGTTAGGGTACTGGACAAACTCAGTATCGAAATACCCGAAAATCAATTGACCGCGGTCATTGGCCCGAGTGGATGTGGTAAAAGTACCATCGTCGGACTTCTCGAGAGATGGTACGATCCCGATGCCGGATCAATACATCTCGATGGCGCAAACATACAAGAATTAGATCGGGATTGGTTAAGGGGTAATATTGGTCTAGTGCAACAGGTAATACAAGATCCCTCGTTGAATGAAGGTTGAATGAAGATGGGCTGAGCTGATTCAGAATAGGAGCCAATGCTTTTCAACGACTCGATATATGAGAATATCTTGAATGGATTGACCACGGTAAGGGCGGAAGAACTACGAGAAACCGAGAAGCGTCAATTAGTCATTGAAGCTTGCATCACAGCGGACGCACATGACTTCATAGCAGAACTTCCAGAGGGATACGACACAAGGGTGGGCGAGCGCTCGGAGTTTCTGAGCGGAGGCCAAAAACAGAGGATTGCAATAGCCCGCAGCATTATTTCCAACCCCCAAATCCTCCTTCTTGACGAAGCAACCTCTGCACTTGATCTGGATTCGGAGCGAGCAGTACAACAAGCGCTTGCGAAAGCTTCCCGCGGGCGAACGACGTTGATGATTGCTCACAAGTTGTCAACTATCGAGCATGCCGACACCATTATTGTGATGGAGGGAGGTCGCGTTGCTGAACAAGGAACGCACGGTTCCCTTGTGGCTGCCGGTGGTCTTTACGCTCGTCTGCTCCGTGCGAAAGACGTTGTAGGTAACAAGGCCATCAAAAACCCCAGTGCATTGAAAGTGGTTCGAGAGGAAATTTCAACATCACCCCAGAAATCGACTCCAGCCAAGGGCCTTTCGAAACGAGCCGAGGATTTCAAGGACGCGACAGGTCTGGAATCCAAAACGATCAGCCGCAAGTTATCCATGATAAAATGCCTGTATGTCATTCTATCAGAGCAGAGGAAGATTGTGCCTTTCTTCATTGGTGGTTTGGTTGGCGGTACGATTGCCGGTTGCATGATGCCCGTTCAAGCATTTCTATTTTCTAGACTCGCAACTATTTTCCAATTCCAAGGCTCAACGCTCACTGCGAAAGCTGATTTCTGGGCTCTCATGTTCTTTATCCTCGGCCTCGCACAGCTAGCAACCTATAGTCTTACGTGGTTTCTGTTCTCGGTAGCTGGCGCCATAAGCTCTCTGAAGTACCGGGCCGAATATCTACGAGGTCTACTCATTCAGGACATTTCCTTCTTCGAAGCAACGGGGACTTCCTCTGGTGGCTTAACTGCTTTACTTGGCTTAGACGGCGAGGAGATGGACCTGATGATCAGCCTGAATCTTGGCCTAGTCATTATGTTCTTGATTGACTTGATTTCGAACTCAGTCCTGGCGCTTGCTATATACTGGAAACTGGCGCTGGTAGGTGTATTCATCTGTATACCTGTCCTGCTTGTTTCAGGCTACCTTCGCATGCGCCTCGATCGAGAGGGTCAGGACCGAGCTGCGAAGTTCTTCATAGAAAGCGCTCGCTTTAGCTCCGAAGCAGTCGGAGCTATTCGAACGATTGTGTCGATGACAATGGAATCCAAGGTCAACGACCGGTACGCCACCCGGTTGAAAACGGCGGCTGCAAGCTCCCTGAAGCGAACTATGATGTCGATGTTACTTTTCTCACTTGCAGACTCCTTAGACTTACTCGGTAGGTCAATGACTTCCGCGTGTTGTTCAGCTTACTGACTCGTTAAACCAGCCATGTCGCTCGTGTTCTGGTACGGTGGAAGACTTGTCTCACAGCACCAATTGGGTGTTTCAGCGTACTTCATTGTCTATGGGGCCGTTATTTTCGGTGGACAGTCTGCTGGGTTCGTCATCGGATACACAGCGAGTAAGTCTATGCAGGTCAGGTGATTGCCTTTCGCTAACTTTCACCGTTCTTCTCAGGCATCACAAAAGCTCATGCTTCCATGAACCGTATGCTTTATATGAAGCAGAAAAAACCAGCGATCAATCTTCAAACAGGCCAGGACCCATGCAAGCTGGTGAATTCAACTGGCATTGCCATTGAGTTCAAGCATGTCAATTTCCGCTATCCTGCTAGGCCAAACGTCGAAATCCTTCGCGATTTGAATTTCAAGGTCCAGCGTGGTGAAAAGGTCTGTCTGACAGGTCCCAGTGGATGCGGTAAATCCACTGTCATCTCGCTCATCGAGCGTTTCTATGATGTGACAGGAGGCGAGATACTCTTCAAGGGAACCAACATCCGCTCCCTCAATATCAGAGCGTACCGATCAATCTTCGGGTTTGTATCGCAAGAGACCAGCCTTTACCAGGGCACATTGCGCGACAATCTCATCTTGGGTGTTTTTGATTGCGCTACCATCACCGATGAACAACTGGACGCGGCTTGCCGCGACGCGAACATCTACGATTTCATCGTTTCATTACCGGGCGGCTATGACACCGAGTGTGGGCCCCACGGCCAAGCATTCAGTGGCGGCCAGAGGCAGCGGATTGCAATCGCACGCGCTCTGCTACGGAATCCGGAGATCTTACTTCTAGACGAAGCAACAAGTGCGTTGGATCCTGAGAATGAATTGCTCGTGAGAAATGCGTTGGACCGGGCCGCTACAAGCGGAGAGAGGACTATCATCAATATTTCACATCGGTTAGAGACGATGAAGGCGGCAGAGAAGATCTTCGTCATCGATAAGGGTGAAGTGGCGGAGGAAGGCTCGTTTGAAGAGCTGATGGAGCGCAAGGGCGTTCTTTGGGAGATGATGATTCAAGGCGATTTGACTTAGAGAAAGGATCCAGATTATCTATAGACGTCAGACCGCTAGAGTCTGTCACCTAAGATACTGAGAGCCAGAGAAAGGTTGGGGAAGATAGGAATTGGGCTCTTATACAGCCGCTGAATTTTTCTTCTTCAAGAGATATCATTCTAAGTATCGTGCATGGTTGCCACGAACGACTGTTTGAGTCAACGGCGATCCATCAGCGGGGCGGACAGTGTATTTCACGGACCGGTTACCCAAGTACTCACGATCGTCAACTTTGATCCAAGCATGGCCGATTTTTATCTCTGTGGAATCCTGGCCATTTTCTATGCTTGTCAAACAACTTTTGAACGCGTCGACGCGACACAGGTCCTGACCGAACCCATTTGAAGAATGCGCTGACACACCGCAAGTAGCCATTGCCAACCCTTGGCGGGCACTGCGCGACACCTTATCATGTGGGCCTTCTAGTCGGTCATGTGTCCCAGATTTTAGACCAGTACTCAGCGTCAGGGTAGAAAGATGAAGCTGACTAGGGAATCCCAGAGACCCTAAAAAAGTCATTGAATGCACCAAAGGTGACTTTAGTTCACTGGTGACTGACCTTGATTTCGGAAGTCTTCTTGTCCTTGAGATTTCTGTCAGATTCTGGTCTGAGTCTGTTTCTGCGGCTAGAACAGCACCAGTAATTCTATATCGCCTTAGGTACTGAATCAGCATCCGGCCCGTATACGGGTAGCATCGCCAATACTATTTACTACACTGCCTACGAGACTCCAGCATTGAGAGAATCCCTCAGAGTGGGAGGCGCACTACTTCTCAAGCACCTTTGCCGTAAGGAATCCGATATTTTAACTAGTTCCTGCACCGTTTCCTCGTCAGATTGTCTCATACTATACTTTTATAGCCTTTCAAACAATATACATAGATATAGCTTTCCAAATTCAGACTTCCGGACAATGTTTGGTATTCTATTGAGGCCTCAAAGCCCCACGCTCCAACATCCCCCACTTCCCATGGATATACTGTCGTAATTTCTTACCCCAGAAAGCTATTGGGATTACAATCCCTCCGACCACTAACAGCATCACCCCGATCTGCACATTTGCCCTTTCGAAACCCTGCGACATTATCCACGGGTAGATAGCATAGCTTAACCCAAAACTGGCTATGTAACTCCCACCACCGACCACGATAATGCCGGCAGATGCCCAGCGAGGGAAGGCTTCAGTAATCCACAGAGTATTGGCGGTGGACAAGCCAGCAAAAGCAAAGGCATTGAGAGCGTAGGATATGTAGATCAAGATCCAATGCCAATTACGCTGTGCTGTAAGCCCGTAGAGCACAACACTTGAAGCGCCAGCTAGGATCGGCAATGCAAATGCAGGAAGATAATGCTCTGCATCGCGCACCCCTCCGTTGCGCATAGCGAGACGGCGACAGATCCGTGCGATCATTAATCCAGATGCCGGCCAGGCGACAAATGAGCCAAACGCTGCGCTCAGGTTGACCCAGGAGATGATATTCATCGAAAAAGAGTATGGTTCGGCGCTGAGAACGCCGGCATAGGTCATCCCGATGGATAACATGCCGCCAAAGTTGATTGCATTGAGTAGCGCCACCCAGAAGACCAACGGGTTGAGTATGCATAGAGCAGCCTGGGGGTAGCAGACTAACATAGCCCTCCACCCTCCCTTCACTCTTGCGTGTAGACTTAACTGTTTCACTATGGCCACCCACCGTGATTTTTCAGGTATGTCAGGTAACATCTTCCCTCCGGGAACGTCTGCCCATTCCTCGTACAGTTTAATTTTCTCCGTTGCGCTTTGAACGAGGATGTGCCCGTCGAACGCTACAGCCGGACGGAGAAAATATGTTTCTGGGTAGAAGAAGAAGGCGAGAATAAGAGATATCCCACATGAGATACTCCCAATGGAATAGATGCGGCGCCATGAAATCCCGTCGTTGGTTATAAATGGGACTAGAGATAAAAGGGCAAGGGTGATAGCACCTCCAATGGACCAAAGCATAGCGATAGCTTGAGGGCGCTGGTGGATGAATGTAAGGTCAATGACCATTAGTAACATCTTTACGGAGTCAGAATCCTGGAAGACATCCAAAGGAATCGGCGACGTACGGTGCTCGTGGCCAGTCCCTCAGCGAGGCCTTGAAGGCAAATTGCTGCTAGAAGTTGATAAAAACTGCCTGCAATAGCAGCCCATACTGTTCCTAGTAACAGGATAACTGCACACAGCAGGAATACCGGTCTTCTTCCAATCGCCAACGACAGTGGTACCCACACGAATGCCCCAACGCCCATGAATAGCGTGGGGGCCGACACCAGTGTGTCAAGACGAAACGGCTTTGTGTCCTAAGGCATTATCAGCAGACATGTCAAGAGTCGTCCAGCATCTGCTTCGACTAGGGAAGTCAGATCCGTACTTTTGCGCTGTATTCTTCCTTCAGCCCGCGGAACATCAGACTCGGAGCCTGTACCAGCAACAGCCCATTGACAGCAAATAAAACCACTGTGGTAAGCGCCCCCGCCCGCTTCTTTTTGCTCCAGTTCAGAGGATCTCGCTGTGACTTGGTAGGGATGGGTAGGCTGAGCATGCGTCCATTAGAGGTAATCAGGTAGACGCTACCTGAGAGATCTCTGGACGAACGAGTGGACACATGAGGAGCCGCCATTGCATTTCCTAGCTTCCCTGGCTCCTCTTTGGCAGCTCTGGATTATTGTGGTGAAAGACAAGTGGATTTATATATATCAAGGCCAAGATAGCATTGGTGGACTAGATTTGTTAACTTGAAACAAAGTGTAACTCTTAGCCATGTTTCGAACTGGCTGCAGCCTCGATTCTAAGTTTGTCTAAAAGAGCTTGACTGTGTCATCGATTCGAGTCCAGGCCTTAGCCTAAGGTGCAAGTTGTGATGACTAGAAGCAAAATGGATCTACGAAGGCTTGTGCGCACTTCCCCGCAGATGTTGTAACTGCCGATCACCAATATAAGGCTGTCAGGTAACCAGGGTAGAAATCACACAATAAGTGCTTGAACTAATTTAGTTGTCCTGCATACATACTAACTCGGACAGTAACAGGTGATTTCCTCGAGATCTGTATGGCGAACCGCCAATTAAGTACGCTTATTAATAGAAGGGCCAGGATTTATTATATGCCGCACAGGCACTCAGGGTTAAACTTTCGTTGAAACACTCTTTAAGTGCCGTGTGCGTCGTAAGCAGAGTTTTCTTGCGTTGTTGTGCTAAGATGAGTATTACGAAGAGCGCCTTACCTCATTTAGCAGCGCGGCAAATGCAATAATTAATACCCGAGTTCAAGCTGCTCGGTTCTTGCGATTGTTGAGCCGGGAGATTCAGCCTAGGAAGGTTGCCGCATTAGGCGTGCATATCTAGTTGCTGTATCCTTCTAGGGCTCAGTCGCAAGCACGATCTCCCCGCTCATCAACGAGCCTGGAACACTTAGTCCTCAACACCGACTCTATGACACTTGCGGAATCAAATTACACCACGGCACAGCGCTGAATAAAGGAGATTAATAAACCGTACAGATGTGGGTTCTGGAGCCATGGAAGGAACTGACCTCGCCCCCGTCTAAATCTTAGCCCATAGGCTTACAGTTACAGGGTAGCAACTAGGATTCGAGCTCATCCATTTACTTTTATAAAAGAACCTTTAAATAGTAAATAAATGGCTAACAAGAGATACTGTGAGAAATGACAAGGCTGAGAGATGGAATAGGCTAGGTCCCGTGACCTATTGCTCTAGCCACGTGACCCACAGTCCACGCAGCTTGCCAAAATAAAAGGTGGACACTGCATGTCACGTCCTGTCTGTCACACAAACCCTAGTGAGGTGCGAACGGTTTTGGCATCGCTTATCTCGCCAAGGAGTTGTTTGTACTTTATCAGCTGTTAAAATGCTAAATTCGTAAGATGTCCAGGGCCGGTATCAGACGCTTATCTTTGGACTATTGGACTATTATTTCAGCCATAGCCATGGGCAGGGCCTTTTCCCGCTGTTCAATTGATCAATCGATCAAACCCATCACTTTATCCCCCATTCGATCTAGCAAGAATAATGCCCAGAGCAATCTTCGGAAAGAGGCAACGCACCTCACAAGCCTGTGACTTTTGTCATGGGAGAGGCCTCAGATGCCGTCGAAATACCACAAATGATACCTCGCACGTAGAGTCAAGCTGTCTCGCCTGCCTGGACTATGGAGTGCATTGCACAGTGATTCGACCGGTAAAGAAGCGAGGGAGGAAGCCAAAGAGTGCCACTTCTCATGAGCTCGAACAAGACGCGGTTGATGGAAACCAGGGAGTCCAGTCGTTGGATACCATTCGACTTCTCGTGCGTATCTATTGCGATACTATGTATCAATGCTAGTATGGGTCCTTCCCCATTTCAATGCACCCCAGGCTGGCAAACAGGTGGTTGACGCGGCTGTCTAGCTTCCCATTTCTGCCCGAGAAAGATCTTTCAACTCGTTGGGAAGACGGCATACCCAGCCCAGATGAGCCATCCTACATGGTGTTGATGGCACTCTGCGCCGTCAGTGCCAACACAGCTGAGCTTGACGCCGTCTTTGACCAGTCTCTACTCGAAGACCGATCCATTCCTGACAGCGAGCAATATTTCCTAGAAGCCATTTCGAAGATCCCTACACGATTTTCTCAGCTTCAAGACTTCGATTATTTGCGAGCATTCGGCCTGCTGACGGTATACTCTCTGCAACGTGGAAATCATAGTGATCTCCAACACTATCTTGGACAGTATCACGCTTTGGTTGCTGAACATGGGTTTCATGATGAAAGCCGCTGGCCAGATAACATTCCAATGTCCGAAGTGGACGATCGGAGGAGGCTGTTCTGGTGCGTCTATCGTCTTGAGATACACTCTTCATGCGTCTTTGGGCATATGGTGCGGATGCCCGAGGCCCAAGTATCCGTATCCTACCCTCGAACCACGCCTATGATGGACACCGAAACGCAGGCATGGACTGTTGGCTGGGACTATATCACCGATCTATTCCGATTCCTGGAGTATGCAATCTTCAGCCTTCGAGCATGCAAAAATCGCAAAGCTGTCTTGGCTGTCTTCTGTGATCGACCCTCTCCAACCATGTTGCTTGACAGTCTAGCTCGACTTAAGGCGAGCAAACCTCGCACTTTGATCGGCTTGAACGATCAGGACAGCCAATTTGGCAGTAATCGTTGCAGATACATGGCAGTTCAGATCAGCTGCACAGAAGCTCTCGCCACCATCATGGCCTTGCTCTACTGCCAGGCTCCCGCCCAGGAAGTCACGGAAATTGCCGAAATCTTCCTTCAAGAGCTAACCACGGCGCCTCTAATCATGTTTAAAGTTGCCAGCAGCCAAATTGTGCATCAGCTACTGGGTGTCGGGCACATGCTCTCGAATGTCTCCCGGTATGATAATGGTCAGTACAGATCAGAAGCCAAGCGATTGCTTGCTTTCCTGGGCGATCTCGTGAAAAATCTGGAGAATGTGATTCCAGCCGCGGCAGCGGCCGGAGAACGCCTGCTCGTCCTGACGAAAGCTATTTCATAAACCGAAACATCTCTCTTGATTCCTTCTCCTATGATGCTATCTCGACTATTCATTATCCGGGTCAAAAGCACACATTACTCTCATGACGATTTTCGAGACTAACTTGCTGCAATGACTACGAGCTCTCGTGAACTCATTCCTGCAACACAACCACTGTTGTCATATACTTCCGATATGCCGGGATAGACCATCTCCGAAGCCGCTTGCCGTACACAATGAGTGCTAGGAAGGAGAACGTGCATGCTATCGAGATTGCAGCGGCCGTGATGAAGCAATTCTGCAGACCTTGTGCAACCCACCACGGTGTGATGGCATAGCTGAAACCAAATCCAATAGTGTTGCGGATAATCATGATTGACACCATCGTCTCTCCAGCAATTTCCTTGAAACAGTCCACACTATAGCTGACCGCGATGGAGCCGCCAGTCACGCACCCGAAAGTCAGCATTCCGAGGCCAAAGACTAAGCCGATCCAATGAACCTCGTTGTATGCACCAACGCCCCAAGTCACAAGTCCAGCTGCAGAGATGATTCCAGAGATGGTCAAGACCCAAAGCCGCTGTTCAGGCTCGCGTATGCCGTTGTTGCGTCGTGCGAGCGATAGTGCCATCCAATCTGCCACTTTACCAGACCACAGCGATGCAAGTGCTGCACCGATTATGGGACCAGCGTATACTGAGCCGACTTGCGCGGCCGACCATCCGTACGGCTTTCCTGTCAGCACAGGACTGGCTGTGCCGTTGAGCACATTGTACCATGCAAGGTTTATGCCATACAGGAAACCTGCCCATGCGACGGTGGGGAATTTGAAGATCATGATCAGGGGTCGATACGCCATGCGAAGCATATCCAGATTGCTGGGCCGTCCTGGAAGCGGTCGAAACAGATTGTACTTGCTTCGGCTGGACTTCGGCTTTGGCGAGGGGAGAATTTCGTCTGCTGTTGGTGAAGTGTCCTTCTCCGAGCTCGAGTGGCCCTTTGCCTGGACAGATTCGTGACTTGGGCTCTGGCTCTCGATTTCCAAGGCATTGAATGTATTGCCACGGAAATAAATTGTCTCTTCCATGAAGAAGAACATGATTACGAAGCATACAGAGCAAATGATTGTGCCCAGGTTCATGGTCCAGCGCCATCCATATGCGTCGTTGAACCAACCCGCTACAAGAGGGGCAAGGAAATTGGACCCGAACAAGATGAAGACGTATATGCCCATGTATGTTCCTCGATTGTGGGCAAAGAAGAGATCAAAACAAGTGACTTCGGACAATGATTCGATCGGAGAGACGACAATACCAATCAAAACCCGATGCGCGTACCACTCCCCTAAGGAGTTCGAGTATGCCGTCCAAACCATGATGGGGATAGTGAGGAACATGGTGATCAAGTATACACCACGACGGCCATAGGTGAGGGCGATTGGTTGCCAGATGAGACAACACCAACCGAAGAAAAGGAACATGACACCTGTTCCCTGGACCAGGTCGGCAGTCGAAATGCCAGTATCGGCCGTGATGTCTGCCAGGACCGAGTATTGAAGAGACGTTGCAATTCCCGTGCCGAGTACGTACAAGTACGACATGCTCACTGCGAGCAGTTTGCGACGATATGTCCAGTTGAGGGGATCTTCGGGATCGGAGCTCGGTCGCGGGATCAGAACGATGTCTCCGTGGGAAGCATCGTGACGCGACGATGTCATCTGTCGTGCCACATCGACAAGATGGACGGTGCCCGGGACGTAGTCGGCATCTTGTTCAGACTGGCCGGCCATGTGGATTGTAGTCAAGCAAGAGTTAAACAATGCGTGTCGACGAAGACGCTGGGGGCTAGAACTTAGAAGGGTTGATTGTGAGACAACATTCTGCTCGTTGGCTTTTATGATGGGTTTATATAGCCCGAGTCGCATATCTGATTCACTTCGCCAAGGGGCTTAATGCACCAGGATGATCAAAAACTAGAGGTGATAATTCGATAGTGGAGAATTTTGCAGCTGCTAAAAGGATAATTCCTAACGGCGTCGTTTTGCTCGTTGGCTTTTCATGGTGGATTGATAGCCCTAGTCGCATAAAATGCGATAGTGGAGATCCTACACCTGTTAAACGGGTAATTTGTAACGGTGTCGTTCTGCGGCTTTGAGGTCTAGCAAATGTAATGAAAACCTGATAGAAATTCAACTACCACTTAGATCACTGATAAAGAAGATATGCTTTGGATCTACTCATCACTTTTAGGTAATACCGCCACTGTCAAGGTTGGAGGGGAAGGTCAGCCTATAATACAAGGCCTATTCTCCCTATGCTCGGCTTATTCTCTCCATCTATTTTTGCGATTCCTCATCAGTTCGTACCACAGATCGAAAATCCGGAAGTGTAGAAGAAGCCCGCGGCGTGATTCAGCCCAGGCATAATTTGAAGGAACATGGGCTCATTTGTTGAACCATCGGTAAAATCCCTGCTCCTACTGCTTCTCCTGACCATTTTACGTACTCTCGATCTGAACGCTGAACGCTGATGCCAACCTCGAAAAAGACTCTATCAGTAGTTGAAGCGACGGTCTCAGACCTTACATCAGCTCTAGCCGGCGGCCATATCACCAGTGTCGAGTTAATCACAAAATCACTGCTCCGCATCGCAAAATATGACCGACGCTCGATTTTGCTCAACTCAACCCCGATCATCAATGAGCGTGTGTTTGAAGAAGCTCAAGCGTCAGATGACCGACGGGCTTCACATTTGCCAATTGGCCCACTTGATGGCATCCCATGCACCATCAAGGACTCGTACAAGATCAAAGGCATGACGGTCGCGGCCGGCTCACCCGCATTCCAGAACCTGGTTGCCAACGAAGATGCGTTCACAGTGGCCAAGATCAGGGGAGCTGGTGCGGTGATCTTGGGCCGCACGAACATGCCGCCAATGGCTGCGGGAGGTATGCAGCGCGGTGTATATGGGCGTGCGGAGTCGCCTTATAATTCCGAGTACTTAACCGCTGCGTTCGCGTCTGGCTCTTCCAACGGCTCGGCTACCGCGACGGCGGCGAGCTTTGGCGTGTTTGGAATGGGGGAGGAAACAATCTCATCTGGCCGCTCGCCGGCCTCCAATAACGGCTTGGTGGCTTATACGCCCTCAAGAGGCATCATCTCTCTACGAGGAAACTGGCCACTTTTCCCCACTTGTGATGTGGTAGTGCCGCACACAAGGACGGTGGCGGATATGTTTTGCCTCCTGGACGCCATCGCAGTGGAGGATCGAGATACCAACGGCGATTTCTGGAGAGGTCAGCCCTTCATCAAGCTACCAGAGGTCGAAAAGTTCCGCCCAAAGTCGTATCACGACCTGGCTGACGCGGAAGCACTCACCGGTAAAAAGATTGGTGTCCCCAAAATGTACATCGGCGAAGTGGATTCAGACCCGAGGGCGCGAAAAGTGCATACCCGACAGTCTGTGATCGACCTCTGGATGAGCGCCAGAAAGAAGCTAGAGTCACTCGGCGCCACCGTAGAAGAAGTTGACTTTCCTGTGGTCACCAACTTTGATGCCACAGATGGGCACGGCACCACGGATGAATCTTCCGCACCGCCTCACCGCAACGAAGTCGATATGGCCCAACTCATGGCCTACGCCTGGGACGATTTCCTCGCAGCTAATGGCGACGCCGGTGTCGCAACTTCCCTTGCTCAGATAGACTCGTCCACCATCTTCCCTCGCCCACCTGGTGCGCTTCCAGACCGCTACGATGCCCAAGATCCTCTGGTCCGACACACCGACGTCGTGGCCCACGTCACCAATGGACGAGTCCCAACATACGATATCCAAGGCTTGGCAAATGCCCTCCATAAGCTCGAAGCCGTACGGAAATCAGAGTACGAAGACTGGCTCACATCTCTCGGTCTCGACGCTGTCGTTTGGCCCTGCAATGCGGACGTTGGACGTGCCGATGCCGACACTAATGAGGAGTCAGCTAAGGCGGCGTGGAGGAATGGGGTCCTATACTCGAATGGGAACTGTGCCATCAGGCAGCTGGGTATCCCGACCGTCAATGTGCCGATGGGTGTGATGGCTGATACGGGTATGCCGGTAAATCTGACGTTTGCAGGGAGGGCGTACGACGATGCTGCCTTGTTCAAGTATGCATTTGCCTTTGAGGAAGCGACGAGGTTGAGGCAGCCTCCTGGAAGGACACCGGTTCTCGTGACGGACACGATTGCGCTTTTAGGAGGAGAGAAAAAGTTGGGAATCTCCCCACCGACGTTGACATTGTCTGAGGCTGAGGCTGAGGCTGAAGCTGTCGTTGTTGATCAAGGAGGACAAGGATCTCAAGGTGGGAAGAAAAAGATTCACCTGGCAGGTACTGTCTCTGAAGAGGAATTGTCTGCACTGCATCTGTATGTGGATGGGAATGAGATTTCCCGAGCAACCATCGTTATCTCCAAGGGAGAATGGCGGGCCCATGTGGAGGTAGACATGGATCTTGACTGGTTTAAGGTGCGACCTGAGGAGAAGAGGGTTCCTGATCTCAGCAAATCAATGGTCATCGTGCTGGCCAAGGGGAAGAACGGGAGGTCGAGTGCCAAAATGGAATTTGTGTAGAATTCTGAGTGGCAGCGTCAGCCAAAAAGAAAAGGATGGTTGAAGTGGTCAGGGATATCATCCTGGAGATGACTCAGACGCGAAGCACAGAAGCCTTCTTATCGTCAGGATCGTTCCAGCGTTATCAATATTTAGGTAGAATTGTCTCCTTCCATTTAACCTCGTTCTATCGGTTACACGTAGTTTTGTAAACAATACCTAGTTATAGTTATGATGCACATCCTGAGAGCTGGAATCTGGGAGATTGCGTGTGCAAGCAGCAAGGCTGAACGTGAGCCTCGACAAGCCCACTTGTGAATTTGACTGCTACAGGGTACGACCTAATAGCGGCTTCACTCCCCAGCTTTGTTAGGAATTAAGTGTCGCCGCTATATCATCCTTGCTTAGATGCCAATTTCCCTTCGCTTGGCATCGTCCCATCGAATCTTATTGGGCTAGACGGTTTCGTCCTCGACATCACTTTCGCTTACCAACCTCGATGAGGATGCACATAACCTCATGAGATATCACGCTTAGCTCGATTCCGTGGAGACAAGCGGCTAGATATTTGGCCAACTCATCCACTGTTGGCGCAAAAACCGAATGTTCTAGCACCTCTACTCAACCATTTGCCACCAGAGCAGACTGACTGCCTTTACATCGGGAGATCAACACAAAAAGCCCTTGGTAACTCTCCGGCGCACTCGACATAAAGCACCCGTCATAGCGTTGTCCGGAACTCAATCTCAAGGAAGGTCTCCATCTAACATGGAGACATCTGACAGTTCTCTGAAAGAGCTCTTTGTGCGGACAAAGTCCCAACAGGATGAGCTGGAACTTCTCGAACCACAAAGTGAAGCGTTCAAAACTAGCATCCAGTCAATCATTGACAGCCTCGAAAAATGCCGTCAGCTCATCCAAAAACTCTCGATCTTCAGCTCAAATGAGGAGGTTGAAGATATTTCTACCAACGATCTCCAGTATGGAGGCCATATCAAGATAGCACAGAACGCTCACTAACTTATTCCTAGGTATCTGACGGTGGACTACACACTCGCTGAGCTGAAGACGCGATCGTACGGTGACGACAGGATCACGTCTTTGAAACAGTCTTCAGAGCTCTTAGAAAACTTTCTGACGAGGCTGGATCACTACGGACTGTTGAATCCAGCCGACAGAAAACTTTATCAGCGTTTCTTGGGGTCACGAGGAACCTTCAGAGTGATAATAACGAATAACCCGGATGACAAACGAAAGATCAAGGTCGGGCGCTTCCAGGAAGAAAAAGTCCTCAAGCAGAAGCTGGAGGTGAGAGAGCTCTATCATTGACTATCAAGGCTTGAGCTAATAACAGCAGTATCTCAAGAACGAATCCCGAAAGGCTAACATTGATGAGGAAACCATTCGTGACCTCTATCTGGCAGAGGTCTCTCTTTCGGTCAACCGTGCGTTTTCTTCTCTTGATATGATCACGCAGGAGTTAGAAATGTTATCGCAAATGCGTCAAGCTGCACCAGCTCAAATCGGACCTCCCTCCGATCACAGGGCCCCGACACGGCCAAATCAATATACTGAACGACTTGATGGCCCAGTTACGCTTGCAGGACTTGGTCGTAAAGGAGGGCCGCTGCTGAGTAAAAGTGGTAAACCACTTCAGCCTTTCATCATCACAGATAAGCGAAGCCAGCTCCAAAAGGGCGTGTTCCGGCCAGGCCACAATCTACCAACCATGAGTATTGACGAGTACCTGGCAGAGGAGCATAGGCGAGGAGGTATCATCAAAGGCACTGGTGATGAGCCCAGACCTGAACCCGATGAGGATAATATGGCGGAGGCCGATGCTGCGACAATGAAAGCTAGGGAATGGGATGAATTTGTGGAAGCCAACCCGAAGGGTGCAGGGAATACCCTGAATCGAGGATAACATGCCCGGTTCTCGTGCCAATTAGACCCAATCAAATGAGATGAATCACTGCGGGCTTGAAACACTCGAGACAGCTCTGCAACCGTATCAGGTAAATCTGCTTATGTTCCTGGTCCTCCTCTTGGATTCTTGCTAGTGCTGTTTGACTTATTTCTCAGCCAAATCCATGACTGGCGTTGGCTTCTTTGCCTTGATTTCATTGAGAATTTTGTCAGCACCCTGGTGAAGCAACTCTGAGGCCGCGTTAACACCAAAGGATTCAGCATCAGCTTTGTTATTCACTTCTTGCTTCAAATCTATTTCAGCACACTGCTTTCCATCTGTGCTGACAACATTAGATTTCATCTGGAGAAGTATTTTACCATCGTCGTCCTTGATCCAGGAGGTCTCAACTCCTAAAGGAGCACTGCAACCTCCTTCAAGCGTCCTCAATAAGCTTCTTTCAGCAGCAACGGCCAAATGTGTTTCGGTATGGTCGATCCGTTCGAGCGGGGCCTGCACGCGAGGATCATTTGATCTGCTTTCAATGCCGATCGCACCTTGTCCAACAGCGTATAGCATGCCACCATTCTTGGAGTCCAGATATTGAGTGATTCGGTCTCCAAGGTTGATTCGAAGAAGTCCAGCAGCGGCAAGAATTATTGCGTCGAACTGGCCATCATCGGCATCCAGTTTGGCTAGACGGGTTCCAATGTTGCCCCTCATATCTTTTACTACCAGATGTGGATACTTCAATGCAATTTGTGCAGTTCTGCGGATGGAAGAGGTACCAACCACGGAGCCAGCAGGAAGTTCGTCAATATTGACCGGCTTCCGACCAGCCTTGACCACCAGAACATCTCGCGGATCTTCACGAGCAAGCACAGCGCTGAGCTCGCAGCTCGGTGGTAACTGTGTTGGCACATCTGGAACAAGTCAGGCAAATTAAAGTGAGCTAAATGAATCGCAAACCTTTCAGAGAATGGACCAGAATATCCAGGTGGCCCTCAACCAATAACGTCTCGAGTTCATGGGTCCATATGTTCTTCACAGGCATGTCCTTGAAGGGTGTGACTTTATCGATGTCGCCTGCAGCCGTGTCTCGGGCCTTAATTGCGTAGACATGATCAGGGCAGGCCAAAGTCAGAGCCTCGACAACCAGGTCCGTTTGGGCCAAAGCCAATTTGGATTTTCTGGTGCCAATATTGAAAGTTGTAGAATTTTGCTGCCCAGAATTTTGCTGCCCAGAATTTTTTACGGGAGTCTCCTCCCCAGAGACCGCAGCGGAGGTCGACATGACGACAAGCGTGTCACTGGAGAGAATGAAGAGAGGCTTCGATATTGAGCCTCGAGAGAAATGCTCAATTGCTCAATTGGCCCGCCAAGTTCGAAGTTATACTGTGATATGTTCTTGCCGTCTACCGAAATACTGAACCACGCTGCATGCCCACATCCGGGAAAAGATTCCCGGCCGAAGCCGGAGATCAAGCACGTGATTATGAATCAGCACGTGAGAGATAGCCTGTGCGGGTGCGTGCTCCTTGGGACCCTGTCTGCCTCCCGCCAGAGCCTCGGCAAGACGGGTGACGTGAACCTTGGAGCCCTCAGCCGGCCTTCATGTCGGCCATCGGTAACCATCGAGTATCTTCTATGAAGGACGATAGGGTGATCCCAAGTCCGAATCAGTAATCCCATCTGCATACCCCAGGCTTTCATAACCACCACCCTCGTTGGCCCCCCTCTCCTCTTCTCCTGGATCCTCTTCTCATCCTCCCTTCACGTCGTCAACATGGGTTACACTGCGAAAGCTACCATTCCACTCATTCCGCTGGCGAAAGACTCGGTCCTTCTGCCCGGCGTCACCCTACGTATCTCGGTTTCGAATCGTGCGGACATACCTCTACTTCTCTCGTCCGCATTCCAAAGGGCAACGAAATCGAGGACAGGTTCCGCCCAACTACCAGTGGGCTGCGTCCCTTTGAACTCTCCCTTCCTGAGTTCCGATGGCAAAGAGTTACTCGACAGTGCCGAGAATGAAAGCAGCAAACACACTCAATATGCGGACATAGATCCCGGAAAAGCGAGAAAGCAAGATTTATTTGGATATGGCACTCTAGCAAAGATCATTGGCGTCCAGGGAAACTCGAATGCCGATCCTTACCTTATCGTTGAGGGTGTGCAACGCTTCAAGATTGACAAGATCAAGCACGAGAAGCCTCATTTTGAAGCCGAGGTCAACTTTTATGAAGACGAAGTTCCTGATCTCAACGATGGCGATCTCCGAGCAAGTTTCACTCGACTGAAGCAGCGTTCTCGCGAACTCCTCACCCTCCTGAGGCTCTCTTCCCTGTTCAGGCCTGCCTCGGTGGTGTTGTCCCCGCTCATTGTTCGCCGCTTCGAGCTCTATATCGCAAAGAAAGACCTGTCGCAGGCTGGCCAATTAGCCGATTTCATGACTGACATTGTTGAAGCCAGCTTCGAGGAGAAACTACGCATCTTGAGCACTTTGGATTTGCATGAGAGACTAGAACGAGTCTTGGCTCTTTTGAACAAACAGATCTCAGGCATAAACGGAAACATTAAAATTACCTCGGTCACCTCCACAACCCTTCCAAATCTCGGCGTGGATATCTCCGACCTCAATCAGAGTCAACGCGAGGCTCTGGCGAGACGGGCAATGTCTGGCCTTAACGGTATGACGCCACCAGGGATGCCTGGACAAGGTCGCGGCGACGCAGAAGAAGACAACGAAGTCAATGAAGTAGAAGAACTGCGGAAGAAGATTGCGGAAGCCGGTCTCTCACTTGAAGCTCAGAAGGTCGCGGATCGGGAGCTGAGACGCCTAAAGAAAATGAACCCGGCCAATGCAGAATACGGCGTAATTAGAACTTATGTCGAAAACCTCGCCGAAATTCCTTGGACCAAAGTCACAGATGACCATCTGGGCGCAGATACTCTTAAGCGTGCCCGCAAACAGCTTGATGATGATCATTATGGTTTAGAAAAGATCAAGAAGCGCTTGCTGGAATATCTGGCTGTCTTGAAGCTAAAGCAATCGGTCAATGCTGATGTCGATCAACAGATCGCACGCCTTACGAAACAGCTCACTCCACCGGCGGAAGGCGAGGAGAAGGAGACTGAACAAATCGCCGATGATGAGAAGGATGCTGCTACGGCAAAGCTTCACGTCCTCAAGTCGAAGAGAATGGTTGATAAATCACCTATTCTGCTGCTGGTTGGACCTCCTGGTACTGGAAAAACATCGCTGGCAAAGTCGGTCGCGCTTTCTTTGGGACGAAAGTTCCATCGAATCTCCCTTGGTGGTGTTCGCGACGAGGCTGAAATACGAGGACATCGACGGACCTATGTTGCTGCAATGCCTGGTCTCATTGTCAGTGGCTTGAAAAAGGTCGGCGTTGCGAACCCAGTTTTCCTTCTCGATGAGATCGATAAAATAAGCTCGAACAATTTTCATGGTGATCCATCAGCGGCTATGCTCGAGGTGCTTGATCCTGAGCAGAACCATAGCTTCAATGATCACTACGTCAACATCCCCATTGACCTGAGCAAGGTCCTCTTCATCGCCACAGCCAATTCTCTCGACACGATACCTGCACCCTTGCTTGATCGTATGGAAACGATACAACTTTCTGGGTATACCACAATCGAAAAACGACACATCGCTAAGCAACATCTTATCCCAAAGCAGATCCGTACAAATGGTCTTTCAGAGGGCCAAGTACAGATCCCAGTGGATGTCCTGGATACCATCATAACTTCATACACCCGCGAGTCAGGTGTCCGAAATCTAGAGCGAGAAATAGGCTCGGTATGCCGCTACAAAGCCGTTCAGTACGCGGATGCACGTGACAGCGACGAGACAAAATACAACCCTACTGTTCAAATGGACGAGCTCGAGGATATTCTCGGAATCGAACGCTTTGAAGAAGAGATTGCAGAAAAGAGATCTCGCCCTGGTGTTGTCACAGGCTTAGTTGCTTACTCGTCCGGCGGTCAAGGCAGCATTCTCTTCATAGAAGTAGCAGATATGCCTGGCAAGGGACGCGTACAATTGACAGGCAAACTTGGCGATGTGTTGAAGGAGTCTGTGGAAGTCGCACTCACGTGGGTGAAAGCCCACAGCTACGAGCTCGGTCTGACACACGATCCAAACGAGGACATCATGGACAAGCGAGCCATCCACGTCCATTGCCCAGCGGGTGCTACACCAAAGGACGGTCCCAGCGCCGGCCTAGCACATACAGTTGCGCTCATCTCACTGTTTTCAGGCAAGTCCGTACCGCCGGAGATCGCCATGACTGGCGAAATGAGTCTTCGTGGTCGCGTCATGCCCGTCGGCGGCATCAAGGAGAAACTCATCGGCGCTCACCGTGCCGGCGTCAAGACCGTCCTCCTTCCCAGCCACAACCGTAAGGACGTCAAGGATGTCCCCGAGGAGGTCAAGGCCGATCTAAAGATTATTTATGTCAAGTAAGTTACCGTCCAATGTCTCTCCTCTCCCGCCTTTGCTAGACCTTCTACACTCTTCTCCCAAAACAATATTTGGATCGCATACTAATTTTTGCGCGAAAATTACAGGCACATCTACGAAGCGCTGCGCCATATCTGGCCCGAGTCTGTGTGGGCGACGGATCAGCATTTCGCGAAGGTCGAAAGCAGACTCTAAATCAATGACCTGTACAAGCTATGAAGGATAAAGAGTCTTTTTCTCTTTTTCGCATTCCTTGTAAAGGGATCACCCGAGTCCCATGTGTATGTAGCAGGTGGAGAGGGGTTGTTGTTGAAATCCTTGGTTTCACGAAGTATAGCTTGCTTAGTCTATCTAGTCCCTTCTCTTCTCTAATGAAAAGATAGAGCCAGCTCTCTTTTAGGAATAGTGGTTGTAATTCCTGCTTCCCTACTGCTATATATATATTAGAAATCACGCCTCCGAAGCGAAGGGTAGCAATTTCTAGAAAGACAAAGCGAAGTAATGGGAAGTGATAGGGGGTTTCCAAACATCTATTTCCATGGGCTGGAATCTCCATCGTTTCTCACTTTCTAGTTAGCTAGTACCCTCTATGCACGCGTTGATCTTTCTCTCAATACACCACCGCCTGCGTGACTCGACATGAATGCTACATGACCCCTGCGCCCGCTTTGGATGAACAATGGAGCGTCTGAATGGTGAGACCAAGGCGTGATGTGATGATGGGGAAAATAATATACATTGAAAAGCGTCCTATCCTGGTCTTCACCGCTGGGAGAGCGTTTCCTGCTGGGCTGGCTCGGCCTTGCTCTTTGTACCATTCTCAGGGCTGTTGCTAGATGGTGTTGGTAAAGCAGGCTGTGGTAAAAAGGAAGTTGCGGTGACAGCGCCACCCATGGCACGCCGATTGGCCCTGAGCTCCACCCACGTCGGTTTCCATTCCTTGGAGCTCTTGACTTCCTGGACGATCGCACGTGCTTGTGATTTGTAAGTGGTGCTGCGGGTTTTGTTGGGTTTCGTCGTGGTTTCGTCGTTGTATGCTTGTTCTTGGTCGAACATCGAGTCCCAGTATTCCTTGTTGTCGAAACTATTTTCACGGTTAGTCAGTTTTGGCCTTGGTTCAAAACAGAGGGAGGAGGGGGAACATGGCAGTCTTCTCGGGCGACGGGCAATGAGACTTACGCAGACAGATCTTTGATCTCTTCAGGATAGACGAATGGTTTGGCCAGGAGGCACGTCATCTTCTTCTTACTCTTGGCGCGGACGTAGTAACCTTGGCCGTTTTTGGACAGTGTCTTTTTCATGGTAAGTTTGGCCTGCGTAATCGTGCTTCTCACGTGTAGGACGTCGACGTTATAGGCGGATTTGAGGTAGTCTCGCATTTCGAGCTTATTGAAATGAAGTGGTACTTGGAAGACCGCATAACGTGGACCCAGATGGGTCGTCCGCAACAGTACCACCGTGTCATTGATAGCTGGGCTGGAGATTGGTCAGCTCGATGGAAAAATGGCGATTAGTGAGGGTGGAGGTGAATATACTCACAAATAGACTTGCTGTCGGTCTTCTAAAGGCACATTTTTCGGGACGCTGAAGTATCGAGTAGGGTTTCTTAGCAGATTGTCGACCTGCCATGGTTGGAGAGATGGGTTCGAGGAGATAAAATCCCGGACGTCCTTAGAGACTCTGTGAAGCACAGGGTGATTTTCCATGTACTGGGAAACGAGGGCCTTCTCGTTGTTCCACCAATTGCCATGGGCTGGCTCGGCATACCGCAACTTCAACCACCGGCTGTAGATCTGTTCGTATCTGGAATGATCTCCTTCCTCCCGACTTTTATTCAGCTGCGCTAGGATGCGAGGATGAGGAGACCCGGAGTATTTCAGGTAGTAGAAGTCTTGCGGACTGAGGCCAACATTGGTCCGAATCCGCTCCTTAGCATTCCATAACCTCGGAGTATTTCGCGCTAGTTTGGTTGGCTTATACGTGACGAGTTTCGCCGGGACGCACGAGGCGCGAGGCATTATTGAAACTCTGCGGTAAATCGAGCGGTTGTGCAAGGTCGATTGTGGCCGCCTCGACCTTGAAGCTGCGCTCGATTTGGGAACTTTTGTTACTCGTAAGTTAAGGCACCGAAAGAGGTAAGTCTGCCGAGACAAAGCGGCAGTCTAAGGAAACAGGCACGCCGCAAGGGGAATGTTTACCGGGGAAATTGGGCAGATATGGAAGGTATTCCGAGATGCCTAAGCGGACAGCCTCGCCGCAGTCCCGTCCTGTTGACGCGCAGTAATAGTCACCTAATTATCGTCCTCACAATTCCATCTCCTCAATTGCTCTGTAATCTCCTCCTCACAGTGCCTGCGCAACATTTCCCACCTTTGGTTTCTCTATATCTCTTCGCCCTTTCATATCTTCTCGATAGTTTCCATCTTAGACACTCCTTCCATCCTCTTTTTGGCCACGCAGGGCAATCGGCCACAATGGTGCAGGACGACAAGAAGCCCACTGCTGCAGAGAAGGGCAAGGGCAAGGCCGAGGATACCCCCATGCAAAATGGAGACGCAAAGCAACCCGCCCCAAAAGATGGCGATAAAACTCTGAATGGCAAGAAAGACGAGCCCGCCGAAGAGGAGCTCAGTGAGGAAGATCAACAACTCAAGAGCGAACTCGAAATGCTGGTCGAGCGATTAAAGGAAGATGATGCCTCCCTCTATAAGCCAGCCATTGAAGCCATCAAGAACTTCATCAAGACTTCCACCTCGTCTATGACTGCCGTCCCCAAACCTCTCAAGTTCCTCCGACCGCACTATGATGACCTCGCAGCTCTCTATGACAAATGGTCTACTGGCCCCGACCGAGACTCACTAGCAGACATGCTCTCAGTGCTTGGAATGACCTACGGAGATGAGGAAAAGCTGGAAACCCTCAAGTACAGATTGCTGTCCAAATCAGACGACCTAGGCTCTTGGGGCCATGAGTACATTCGTCATCTGGCGCTTGAGATTGGCCAGGAATATCAGAACCGATTGACAGACGAGCGGGAAGTTGGAGATCTCACCGAACTTGCCTTGTCTCTTGTTCCATACTTCCTGAGCCACAACGCAGAAGCAGACGCGGTCGATCTGTTATCAGAGCTGGAAATGATCGAGGAAATCCCGAGATTCCTTGATGAAAACACCTTCTCGCGTGTTTGCCTGTATATGCTGGGCATGGTCAATTTACTCACATATCCCGATGATGTCGCTTTTCTGAAGACAGCACATGATATCTATGTCAAATACAACAAACTCGCCCAAGCTATCGTGGTGGCCATCAGACTCAACGACCACGAGCTAATACGGCAAGATTTGGAGTCAACTGATGATGCTGCCCTGAAGAAGCAGATGGCTTTCCTTATTGCTCGTCAAAGAATATCCCTGGATGTGCCCTCCGAGACCAAAGATGAGCAAGAAATCGCCGAGTGTCTGGGGAACACACAACTACCTAATCATTTCAAGACTCTCGCCAAAGAACTCAACATCCTCGAACCAAAGGTCCCCGAAGACATCTACAAGACACATCTCGAGAGTGGGCGTGGAAGCTCTGCTGCAGCAGACTCGGCTAAGCACAACCTAGCTAGTGCCTTTGTGAATGCATTCGTCAATGCTGGCTTCGGTAGTGACAAGTTGATGCTTGTGGAAGGTGAACAGCGCCCGTGGGTGTGGAAAACCAAGGATGATGGCATGCTTTCAACCACCGCATCTTTAGGTCTCCTGATGCAGTGGGACGTTGAAGGAAGTCTCGATACTATCGACAAATTCCAACAGCTATCTGAAGACACTATTAAGGCTGGTGCCTTGTTAGCATATGGTATTGTCAACTCGGGTGTCAGAATGGAAGGCGATCCTGTCATTTCTCTCCTTAGCGACGACGATGTTTTGCAGAGCTCGAAGCCTTCCATCAGATTGGCCGCAATTATGGGTCTAGGTCTTTCGTATGCTGGGTCAAATCGAGAAGACCTACTCGACTATCTTCTCCCTATCGTAGAGGATGGCTCGTTAGAGATCCAGCAGTCTGCCATGGCCGCCGTCTCTCTCGGTATGATCTTCGTGGGTTCTTCGAACAACCAGGTTGCAGAAGCAATTGCTACTCAATTGATGGACGATGAGCGACAGAAACAGTTGAAGGACAAGTGGGCCAGATTCATGGCTCTCGGTCTGGCCCTGCTCTACTTCGGCAAACAAGAAGAGGTTGACGTGATTCTGGATATTCTGAAAGCAGTAGACCATCCTATGGCTACACCTACTGCAACCCTTGCCTCTGTGTGCGCCTGGGCAGGCACTGGAGCGGTGCTCAAGCTACAGGAACTCCTCCACATCTGCAACGACCATATCGAAGACAAAGAAGAGAATACGGGAGAACAACTTGTGCAATCTTACGCTGTTCTCGGACTCTCTCTCATCGCCATGGGCGAAGATGTGGGCCAAGACATGGTTCTCCGACAATTTGGCCATCTCATGCACTATGGAGAGGCAAACATTCGGAAAGTTGTGCCGCTGGCCATGGGTCTCATCAGCCCTAGCAATCCTCAGATGAAGATCTATGACACCCTTTCAAGGTACAGTCACGATAATGACAATGATGTCGCAATCAATGCCATTTTCGCCATGGGTCTTGTCGGTGCAGGAACCAACAACGCACGCCTGGCGCAACTCCTGAGGCAATTAGCCAGCTATTACCACCGAGATCAAAACTCGCTCTTTATGGTGCGAATCGCGCAAGGGCTTCTGCATATGGGTAAAGGGACCATGTCGCTGAATCCCTTCCACACGGACCGACAAGTTCTATCAAGAGTTGCTGCCGCTGGCCTGCTGACGGTTCTCGTGTCTCTTATTGACTCGAAGCAATTTATCCTCGGTGATGGTCACTATCTTCTCTACTTCTTAGTGGCCGCAATGTACCCCAGATTTTTGATCACCTTGGATGAGGATCTAAAACCTCTTACGGTCCACGTCCGCGTTGGCCAGGCTGTCGACGTTGTTGGAGCAGCTGGTCGACCAAGAACCATTACTGGCTGGCAAACGCAGAGCACTCCAGTGCTTTTGGCTTACGGCGAACGAGCAGAATTGGAGGATGAAGAATATATCTCTTTGAGCAGTACGCTAGAAAACTTGGTGATCTTGCGCAAGGTTCGTTACGACCACTCCATCCCGCTGTCTTGAAAATACAAGAACTAACGTGAATACAGAATCCGGAATGGGAGAGCACAAAATAGTGCAGTCTAAAAGCATACGCAACACTATCATAATAGGATGGAACCTTTCCGAAGTGGCAAGGTGTTTAGGGAAAGAGTGTATGTACCATAGATAACTTAGGTATGGTCCAATGGACCTCCAGTGGCGTGGCCTTATGCTGGCAGAGACGGCCACAGTAGAAGTCATCAGCATTATTATTGATTTATCTGTTCCCGGTAGGTACGAGCAGTTCGATATCTCCAGGTAATGAGATTAATGGCAGTGACAACGCGAGGTGATCTGTAATTGCTTGCCGTACCGCCGCTATCCGACGAGGCTGGGGATGGAGCGGGTAGATCCGCCATGCTTTTATCCGTGTCGGCAACTGGCAAGTGCAGATTGCATCATCGGAGTTGTTCCTGCCGACTGCCACGTCTATGCCCAGGTCCAGGTCTCACATCTCGCATCTCCCACGGCTCCTCCTTCTGCCACAACCCTTCAGTGGATGGTCCTCGCCAACGAGGCTGTTTAGATCGTCTTTATCGATACGCATATCGCCCTGCATGTCTCGCTATCTCTGCATGGAATTCGTCTGTAGCATAAGACAGCCCCTTCCCTCTGTGACCTGCCAACCATGGCGCCTACTTCTCCCACCTTCAATCCTCGCATCACCTCTCTAGACTTCGACGCCAATCGAAGGAGGAGACGACGGTCTAGTAGCTCCGGGGCTCGTTTTGGCGCCGATGATTACGACTTCATGGCTCAGGTAGCCCAAGGCATCATCGAGCGAGATCGGGTCAAGATGCGCAGAGAAGTCACGCGGGTCTTGAGCTTCGTCTGCGCGGTCCTGAGTTGGTATGTCAGACAGACTGTGCAAGCTCTTCCCACTTGATTAAACATGCTGACTTATTTCTCAGTCTATGCGCCGGGTCTATCACTTCATTTTCTCTTTATGGCGCCCGCTTCCTCACCGATCTCCATTATACCCAGTTCAGAGTCAACGCGGTATCGATAACGGCGGAACTGGCAATGTATCTTCCTGTACCGTTGTTTGGGTATCTCTGCGACCGATATTCTCCTCCACCATTATCACTCCTTGCATCGGCTCTGTTTGGATTTGGGTATCTCCTCGCCGCATACACCTACAAATCCGGGCCGCCTCCAGATGCGCAGCGCGACGGGCAAGGGTGGCCGTTTGGTGTCATGATTATTGCGTTTATCGGCATCGGCGCTGGCACAAGTTGCATGTATCTCTCCGCTGTAGCTACATGTGCAAAGAACTTTTCCACCGCCAAATATCGGGGCTTCATGCTGGCCGTTCCCATCGCAGCTTTCGGTCTTAGCGGCATGTGGGAGAGTCAAGTCGGTGCACATCTGCTATTTGAAAGACTCCCTAATGGCGAAAAGGGCGACCTCGATGTATTCAAGTATTTTGTCTTCCTCGCTGGTACCTTGATAGGTGTCGGCCTCCTAGGGACTATTGGACTACATATTGTCAACGAGGAGGAATTGATCGAGCACGGTGTCGAGGTACTCGAACGTAGTGGCTTGCTGGATGAAAGCGAATTCTACCACGACTCACGAGCTCCCACCCCTATCAACTACGGCACGATAGATGTTGGCCGCTCCCCGGATTCAGACACTGTGTCCGACGATGACGACGACGAAGCTTATCACAACCTCTCTGAGTCGCAGGTGATCAAGCAACGCGAAGAAAAGTCTCGTCTAAAGAAGAAAAAATGGTGGCTCCTGAACCATGCTACCCATGCCTTCCTAACGGATCGTACCATGTGGCTTCTCGCGGCTGGCTTCTTCCTCCTTACTGGACCTGGAGAAGCGTATATTAATAACCTAGGAACCATCATTCCCACTCTCACCCCAAAACACTATTTTGATGTCACCAGTCCGCCAGCTGGACGTGCTTCGACACACGTCTCTATCATTGCTCTAACATCGACCTTTGCCCGCCTCTTTACAGGTACTTTATCGGACCTGTTTGCACCGCCATCCGAGCCTGAAAATCCGCCATCCACCCGTACCACTTTCTCACGACTGGTGCTTCTCCTCCCGTCGGCGGTCCTCCTTTTATTTGCGTTCCTCACTCTCGCTCTTCCATTTCTTACTCCATCCACACCATCGCTTTTTCTCTTGTGCTCAGGTCTCCTTGGCCTCGGGTATGGTGCGTCTTTCTCTTTAGTTCCTATCATTATCTCTGTGGTCTGGGGAGCAGAAAATTTTGCAACCAACTGGGGTGTTGTGGCCATGATGCCTGCAGGAGGTGCTGCGGTATGGAGTCTGGTCTACTCAGCAGGATACTCCGGCGCCAGTGATAGTACTGGTGAATGCACAGGGTATACGTGTTTCGCCTTCTGGGCCTGGGGCTGTGCAGTCAGCGTCGGCGCTGCAATTGTGCTGTGGTGCTTGGCATGGAGGACATGGAGGCAGAGAAATGTCATCGTATAGCGAGCGAGTGAAGAAAGGCCTTTACTTCGGAGTAGAAATCAGGGTGCTCGTGCTTCAAGAGCCGGGGCTCGATCCACGTCTCGACCCAGGCTCTTCAGCCCAAGTACGATCCTTGGACCTTTGACCTTCAGGAAAAGGGAATTTTGAGGTTCACCCAAGGTATTCAGGGGGAAGCCTTGACTCGCGAAGCCGGGAAGCCGAACGTTTGTTTCTTGGTGCACCCTCGGTTGGATATATGGCCAGGGAGGTTGAAGAGGCAGCATCGTTCAGTTCATCGCGACGGCGTCTCAGCAGCTGGGAGGGAGATGCTATTCTTCAAATACAATTGGTTGTACAAGTAGACATCGGTATACCACAGATTCACAATGTCAAGTTGGGTTACGACCAGCAAAGCTTTCTCTTGTGCAAATCTATTAAACGAGGCTGAGCATGAATAAAAGAGTCTGGCTCTTTTTCCAAGGATGTCCAGCAATTTATACCAGAAGATGGGAGTCGGGAGTTGGGTCGAATCAAGGGTCTGCCAAGGGCTTTAGGATGGGAACGACCAAGTCCATGGGGTGGTTATCAGGTTCCTTACGAAGCTGAGGAGGCCATTGAGCAGACAGATACCAAGCGCTCCATGGTTCCTACGAAGCTGAGGAGGCCGTTGAAGATTCGACGTGTCCATGATCATACTTCGTTTATCGAGGAACGGAGGGAACCTTGGGGCGCTTGAGTATCTGTCTGTCTCTCACTGTGGGTTGCTAGCTGTGGTGTTCAGCCAACTGGGTCCTGTAGACCAGGCTGAAGGACGAGAAGATGAGGGTTCTTACTCTAGTTAATAATTTAGAACCCCATTGATCCTTTGAGTCCGACGTCTGATCCCAGACCGGAAAGAAAGGGGAGAAGGAGAAGGAGAAGGAGAAGAAAAAGAAGAAGAGAGTAGCGTTCATCCATACCTGCTGCTCGTGCGGGCAGAAACCAATTCGCATCAAAGTCCAGACTTTGTCCTCATTGCCACCACGAGCGCTGCAGCAACAGTCAGTGCGAGAAAATTGTCAAACGTCGATCATAAGCCGTTCCACGGATGCCTTGAAGAATACTCTTCTTTGTCATATCGTCATATCTGCTTCCTTTCATTTCATTCATTCCGCCTCATTTTGTCCCACTTATCTTATTTCACATCGTTCCATTCATACACACACATAGAGATCTATTACACTCTGCCAAAGTCCTACATAGTCTCTCTACTACCAAACAACACCGTACAGTTTTCTCCTCCGCTCCCTTCTCCCCTGCTTGCACCGTTTTGATTCCATCTCTTGCAGAGGAATTCATCCCCTCTTCCATTCACTCACACAATAACAGGGTATCTCATTCTTTTTCATCATCATTAGTCAAACAAAATCTTCCAGTCGCACGCCCTCCCATTGCGTTGCAGTTGGCATTGATCAATGTTCCAAAAGAACTCAAAACTCACGTACGCCCAGTCCAGTAGTTCGTGGTTAGAATCCCCATATCCGATTTCTTGCCTGTCCTTCTTTGTTAATGAATCCAGCGGGTATTTTCCGCGTTATCTGCAGACACTGCAGATGATCTATGCACAACAGTAGAATAAAGCCACACTTATTTCCCCTTGACCCGTTCAAGGAAAGCTCGAGGCTCAAAGCAAACAAACGAAAACGACCAAGATTCTCATACCAAGTCCCAAGCAGCGACGCCGACGAATCCCATTCCAACTCTTCCTTTGCCGTCCTTGAACTCCTGTACCGTAAGGCCTCTCGCATCCTGCCTATCGCCAAAACTCGTCACAGCAAAAAGCGTGACAGTTTGGCCTCCAGCACCAAGCTGTTGGGCAGGAATATCCAGAGTCCAAATGTCACCACCCTGGCCCTCCGGGCCAGGGTGGTGATCCATTGCAACATGGTCTTTGTTACGGCCATCGACACCATGGATCGACATAATAAAGACTGGTGGTAAACCCTTGCGAGTATGGTTCTCCAATGTCCAATGAGGGCAGAGAAGCCCAAATTGAAAGCGAACCGATCCAGGCTGCCTGACGTTGATTTTTCTTGCACGGGGATAGACGTTCTTTTCCCCAATCGAGTAATCTTCCTTGGCGTTTGTAAAAACTGTCGGACCCTCCACCGTCTCGGGCCAACAAGCAGGATCAATAACAATGTATTCTTCCCAGCTCATTTGCCGGCCACCAGGCAAGAAGAAATGATCCTTGTTACCGGGGAAATGTTTCACGGCGAATTGCTCATTCGTCATGGAGAAGTAGTCTGGATTGAACTTTGGAACGTAGGGTTGGCCGGCACCTTGGACGTAGCCAGCACCCCAACAGGCATCGATGAGCTTCCATTCTCCATTGTCAATTCGGACAGCATTCCATGCGTGGCCAGCATTGTAAGGCGGAAGGGGGGCCCCGGGCGCCAGAGAATTAAATCCATATCCCTTTCCGTGGCCTGAAATGACAACCGACTCTAGCCCAGCGTAAGTCGCAAGATTCGTGAAGAGAGCAGCATAACCCTCGCATACGGCAAGGCCACTTTGCAGAGTGGATTGGGGTGTTGATCCCTTCACATTGTTGTTGAAAAAGCTCACCACATCGTAAGAGATATTAAGGTGAAGCCATGTGAATATCACTCGAGCTTTGTCCGTCTCAGAGGAGAACGGCGAAGTCAATTGTTGAGCCAATGTTTGAAGAGATGTGACCTGAGCACGGGGAAAGAGCGTTGCTTGTAGGTCAGGAGTGGAGAAATCTCTACAAACGAGACAAACATTGCTGGATGGAGACGTACTGCCGTTCATAGCGGTCGGGCTGGACGTAAATTTAGGTTTCGTAGCTTGAAGAGCCGAGAGATCTGGCCGAGACGATAGTGGAATCGGTGGTGGTACATGTTGATTCTGCGTAAAATGGTTGTTAATTGTCTCTTTTGCCAAAGGTGCGTGGTGATTGAATGCGTTTTTCGTTGTTGAAGAGACTTTATTAAAGAGTGCCTTCGAGGGCAAAGGAATATTTTGGGGGATCTTTTCATGTGTTGGGGCGGAAATTTGCTCTCTGTTGAGCCCTGGAATATGATATCCGAAAGAATCCGGTAGTTGGTCTCTCTTAGGTATTATTGTAGGTTGTGGAGTCTGTATTGGCTGTGGAGAAGCCTGATCTTTGGGAGATATTGGGGAGAAGGCAGCTCGCTTGGCTCTTTCAATCGATTCAAGCGAGGGCATGGGAGGAAGTTTTCTGACGCTGGAGTCTCCGACATGTTCTCTTTGTTCAATCTCAGGCTTGCGTGAGGGAAGTCGTGGAGGGAGAGCAGGTCGTTGAGGCGAAGGTCTTGCATCACTGGTCGACGTTGCACTATTTATAGAGGTGCTCGAAGGTGCCCTATTGAAATACTTGGGTCTTTCTTCCGAAAACTTTCTTGTAGGAGGATTTGCAGGCTGTTCTTTCGGTGGCAGGGCTGGTAATTCACATTCACCCCAGGCTGGGGCTTTGATTCGACTGGCGGAATCGGTTGACTTTGTTCGTGTAGCATTCACGCGTGAAGAAGACGTTTCACTTGTAGTGGTTGTACCACTAGACGTGGTGGAGGCCACTGAGCCCCTCCTCTGTTCGTCAAGTGAACTGTTCCTGCTTGGGAGAGGTGGGGGCTGTTTGCGAACAGGTGGTTGAGGTGGAGGAGCAGGTTTATTTCCGATTCTTGAGTCTGTAATAGATCCTGTAACGTTTTCTGGTGGATTGTTGACGGTGTGCTGTTTTACAATAACAGGTCGTCTTGTAGGAATTGTGGGAGGGGTCGGGTGAGACGACGGTCGGGGAGGATCTCCTGGAACTCGGCCAATATGAGCAGCATTGAGAGCGGCGATACGCTGCTGAAGAGTGAGAGGTTGAGGGTCTTCAGCCATGATTGCCAGAATGCTGTAGCCTAGAGCATCAGGAGATCCATAAATTGAGGGAGAGCTACAGGATTAGAGAGTCGTCATCATGCCCGCAACTGAGAGATACTAGAAGGAAGGAGGGTCAGGGCTGAAGTGGACTGGGAAAGTCGCGGGTCTGTTTGGTGGCAGTACGAGTAAATCGAGCACGCGGCGCAGTCTGGGAGGGATCATTGGCCAGGTCAGGGGGTGCTGAGCTCACGTGCTGCCGAAGCACTTAGCCTAGGGCATCACTTGCTGCCAGCCTCGTCAACCCTTGTTTCAGCCTTGCTGCGACAAGGCTGACATCCCCTCCTTCCCTCTCCACTCCGGGTCGATATGGTGTCTTTCCTCCTGTGCAGATCACAGAAACAGACCATAACGTGAACATGCTGTGCATCTATTACACCCCATTCTCAACGTGTTCGACGGTTAATCTCTTCGAAAGCGAGCCACATCTTCTGATTCCGATGCATTTGCGATTTTGAAAGAGTCTGTCATTCAATCATTTTGTGGTTCAGATGCTTGACGTGAACTGAAAGATATTGTCCCAAGGCGGTCGCTATCGTATTCAGCTGCATTTTGACATTTGGGTATCCACAAATAACACAAAGAGAATGTACCGTAGCCAAAATCTGGTGAAAGACAAGCTACAAAACCCTTCGGCTATCCGGGATTTCTCGATGATGTCGCCCTCCATGATCAAATGCTTGCCAGGCTGAAGTTCCCCTCACGCCCCCCGACCTTTGCGCCTTGCACCACTCAGTCGCTGACTTTTCACATTTCTTTATCGCTCTCTGCGAGACTTTCGTCGTGCCTGGCACGATGCGATAGCTCAAGCGGCGCAACTTTGCAGGCGGCTTTTCACAGAATGCCAAGAGAAGTACAAGATGCCTGTGGTAAAGACATTCACTCGGTAGTCGAGCTACAGCTTCTGCCACCATTTGGTTTCCTTCAGTTGATACTCGAACCGATCTCCTTGTTTGTTGGGGCAATAGGTTCCCAGCGCGTTATCGCAGTCAAGATGCCACTGCCATGGCTCTCGATCTTCTCCACGGTCGAAGAGTTTCTGACTGTGCTCGGGACAGCATCTACGTGGAAAAGGCCTTAGAAGCTCCGACTGATGCCGTGTGGACCCTGAAGATCAGCCAACTGGCCATTCAGCACCATGAACGCGATCTTAGGATTCAAAAATTGTTGGTCAAGTACATGGGACATTATCCGTATGCAGGCATGTCGACCGGGGATGGACATGAATTCATCTGGTGCACCTTGCGCGGTGAGGACGACCTCTAGATGTTCAAGTTGCGCACTGACCTCAACAATTAATTAGATCTGAATTCAACCGAACACTTCTGGACGATCAAAAAGGTTCCTTCGCCACCCAGCATTGATGAACCAGCACCAGAAGTCCTAGTCAAACCAGAAATCGCTCATGATGGAAAACTTTAAGAATGTCCGGCGGAGACTGATTCGACTGAGTTCATTGAATGATCAAGGCGCGGCGGGCTGGGCCTATCCAGAAGACGATAGTCCGGTCACCACTTTGTGTACTAGAGCTCTGCTGGATCCAGCATCGTTTCGACGAACGGATGCTCTCCTTGACATTCTTGGTTCGACATTCGGGAGTATCGAACGATTGTTGTCCGGCGCCATTGTGGTGATGCTTCATGAAATGATTCATGTCGAGGCTCTGAGTAAGTGTGAAGGAGTTCTCCTATCCTCGAGGCACTAACACCACCATCAGCTGGAGATTTTGGCTATGGTTTGCGAGCGGCATCGGAGTTACCTTTCTATTATCCAGGATGGGAATACACAAAAACCGACAACTAGCTTTGCTTGATCATATGTGAGTAACGGATACCCACATATGAGTAGTATTATTAATTCTGATACATACTACCACGAGATCCCTGGCTGTGTTCCTCACGGTCGCCCAACCAAACCTCAATTTCGGCGTCGACAGTCCCCACGTTGTCGCTGAAACAACCCACACTGCGGGACCGGCATGGGGAGATTATTGCGAGGCCAACCTCCCGATGCTCCAGGACAAGTTATATCGCGAACTTGCAGGACAGTGGAATGTGGAGTGAAAAAGGCTGGGACATTTGCAAGCGGGATGGCGAGCCGAGAAGCCAGATGTCTCCGGACGAAAGAAAAAAAAGCTTACGACTCATGCCCATTGGTTAACAACGATAAAGGAATATCGAGGTCACCGTGGTAGGGTGTCTGAAAACCGTTCGGCTCTACCACCAAGGTTCAGAAACATTGGAAAGAAAACAGTAGAGGAAGTTGAGAAGTGCACAAAGGGACCGTCTCGGAATCAAGCGTTCCCGGATCGACACCAGCAAAAGTGCCACTTCTCAACTGGTCGACTAAGCAACTTTGTCATCATTGATAAGTCATCGATCCTTCCCTTGGACTTCCTTTTCTGCCACAACCGAGCTTACACTAATTTTATCCATCATGCGCAGTGGCCGCGGGCATAATCCTCCTCTTCTCTCCTGACTGCGTGATTCATAGAGGGTTTTCTCTCATGTGTGCCTTTCCCCACTTTCCGCCACCATTTCATGTTGACTGTGCTTTCTCATCAACAGCAGCAAAGAAGTTGCTATGTTGAGGATATTCGTAGTTGGAAGCTGTGCGTTCTCCAGCAATTTAGATTGGCGCTTGCTCTTCCCAGCACTCTCTTATGTGGGTTTACATCAGAGGACGAATGGTCAGACATTCTCGGTGACCATGCAGCCTTCGTAGCCTCGGCAATCCTGGGGTTCAAGGCAATGGGCCGTTAGTTCGACCGCCGCTCTCTGATTTCAGCCCTGTGAGGCCTCGAGAATCAATTCGAGAATCAGATAATGACTCTTGGCCCGATCGTATCGCTAGTAGGTTTAGTAGTAGATCCATCTCGCACTCATCTTGGACCTTCAAACAATCCGCAGTCGCAGCCGTCCTTCTTGCCACAGCGGTAGCAGAAATGGGCGCCGCAAACACACGACATATGATTGCAACCAACAGTCCTTTCAACAAGATGGCCGCACTGTGGGCAGAATTGCCAATTTCCCTCTTTGACCAGCTTGGCCAATTTCGAGTCACCCTTGCACATACCACGGTGCTCTTTTTGCCTGCACAGCGCACACAGCCGCTGCTTGCAGAAAGGACATATCACTCGATCCGCCTTGATGAACAGCTGTGGGATAAAAGAGCTACAGTGCTCGTATGGACAGTAGAGCGGGTTGGGCGTATGACGTTCTTTCAGGTATGCTAGGTAAATATCCAGCATTTCTTCTTCCATGCCGGCAAAACCTTGTACGATTTTAGTTGGAATGCTCTTCCCACAGCATGTGAGCTCGCTACGATCTCGGAAACCAACCATAAGACCATCTGTGCGCAAACAGTTAGAATGGATAACTAGTTATAAGGGAAAGGAAAACCGCCCGACCTGCTAGACACTCACGACAATACGAATGTCGACATTGCAGGTTTGCGGTATCTACCCTGAAGAACGGGTCCATGCATACGGCGCAGTCAACGATATCTGCTGAACTCGGGTCTGGAACTGAACCGGAGGGTGGAAGGACTCCCAACCTAGCCCTACTCACTAGATCTCTCAATATCTTTGACCTCTCTACGTCTTCGAGTTTGCGGGCTTCACCCTCCAAGCTACGCGCGTGGCGTACTCGCTGCATGTGGAGAATCGGCTCAAACTCCTCAACGGCGTTGAAAATACAAACGCCATCAGGCCGGTGCACGGAAAACAAACAGGCTTGGAAGTACGCGGCATTCTGCTGGGCTTCGAGTTGTCTGCTCTGCATCAGGTCGTCGATTCCCAGAACTCTCGGGGTTGATTGAGGATATGTGTGGGCTATGTGAAGTAGGAACGAATACGATAAATCGAATAGACGGAGGCTGATGGTCGTATGGTCGCTATCCGAGAAAGTCGAGGTGATGGTGCCATCGCCATAGATGGCATTGAGAGCACAGATCTCGTCTGCGAGGGCAGTATTATAGACCAACATGGGTGGACTTGGCTCTGAGGTGATGGTTGATTTACTTATTCGTAGTGGTTTGGTTGCCACTTGTTGTCGTCGGCCACATTGTCGGGTTGCTGGCAGTGGACTGCCGAACGCACACAAAGAGGTGCTGGTCTTAAGGAAACTCCAAGGTCGCCATCATTCATCAGATCAACATATACATTTTGGCTTATACCCCACACCAGTTGACTCAATGAAATGGTTACCGTTCCATGTGTGAGTCATGGGCTGTGCAAGGCTAACTCATTGGGTCGAATTCGATTGTGGCCGTGCTGGAAGTCTTTCCAATGGGAGAATGGGATTGGGTAACCAAAATTGAATCTCACATGATCCTCTTGGAATCTAGACTGTAATGACTTTCCAGCTGTGGGAGTCGAATGCAACTTTTGAGTCATTGCACAATCTGTGTGACCAGATAAGGCATTCATTTGATTATAGGTTCGCACATATATGTGTATGGCGAAACGGCAGAAAGCAAGCTAGCTTGCGTATTCATCTAAGTAAAGGCTCTCGAAGAAGGGGCTCGCATTGACACAACATTGCACGCGATCTGGTAGATAATCATGGAGTTTCATTCAATGCTTACTCAAGCCAAGGATTAATAATCATCAGGTCTCAGGCTTTCAGTATAGAAGCCTGCAGTCACTGGTAAACACTCGTCATCATAATGATAATGCTATTCAACCCGCCCGATTTGTTCCCTTCGGAGAACCAAGAAAAGAAAAAGGTCGTCGGCGTCATCGTATCTGTAGGTGAGCAAGGGCCGTGATCAATCCCGACGTTCGAACTATCTTAGTATCTGCCAGAACCTCCCCAGCTGCTGTTGGAGCTGCCGTGTTTCTTCTTCTTGTCTTTGAAAAGATCTTCGGCCACGCTTCCTAGAATGGCTCCGCCGATCTGTGAAGACATTCGTTAGCGACTTCTTAGTGTAGGCGATAGATATTGGTCGAACTTACTGTGCCCAAGAAACCATGGTTGGCTTTCTTTCCTAGGAGACCACCGCCTAGACCTCCTCCGATGGCGCCCATTAAGCCTCTGTCCTGATCCGACATGGGTGGTGCGTTGGGATCATAGTTGGGAGCGTTGGGGTCTGAAGATTGTTTGGCGAATTGGTGTTCGCCTCCATATGGTTGTTGACCCTGTTGTTGGCCCCCCTGCGCCCACTGTTGCTGGTACTGTTGGTTCTGCGCATAAGCGTCGCCAGCCTGAGAGCCATAGTAGTTGGGTTGGCCTTGTGGATTGCTGGCATCATATTGACCATATTGACCTCCGGCTTGGCCGTGCTGGAAGCCACCATGAGATGGAGGGCCGAAGGAGTCTTGACGGCGGGGCGGGCCGAAGTTTTGATCCTGAGGATAGCCACTTCCGTAGTTCTGTTGTTGGCCATACTGTTGACCTTGCTGATAGCCACCTTGATCGTACCCTCCTTGCTGATAGCCGCCTCCGTAGTTCTGTTGTTGACCATATTGCTGTTGTTGGCCGTAGTTCTGACCGCCGTATGAATCGTAAGGACCCGACATGATTACTGTGGATGTGCTGGACGGATGGGTGGATGAGGATAGGTTGAGGTTCGACGAAGCGCTGTGAGGATGGTATTGGAGAGAAGTCAAAGAGTAGGACCTTGTGGAAGGAAGATATAGGAAGAGTGCAACTTCCCGAGTCTAGTAGTGAAGGCCACCGAAGGCAGCAGATTGCTCTCCAAAGTCACTCAATCTCAGCAAGCCGCAACTCAGCCCCTCGCGGCAAAGATGGATGGTCATGCAGATTCTCGCCGAACCCGAGGGTGGTTACGACGCTTTCACTTGTCAACCATCACGCAAAGCCAGTCAGGCTCAGTCATCTGCAGGGTCCACGAGGTATCCACAGGCGGTCAATCTAGCCTGTTATGCTCGTCGTTTCACCTTCGTCATCCGACTTGGCCGGCACTGGGTGGCATTTCGGTTGAGTTGGCACTGGAAAAACACACTTGGCTGTCTATCGGCGGCGGAGGGTGAGAGCTAGAGTGAGGGGATGAGGGGCAATCTCAGCCTCCCGCAGGCTGCCAGTGTGTTCCATTCTGTGGCGAAGCTTTGTCACGTGCGCGGCCTTGCCGTTTTCAATTGGGGCTCAGATGACATCAGCCACGCTTCCCAATCGAGTGAAATGGCGCGACCTCGTCCTGCTCCAACAGGGGGCGTACTACTAGCAGCACGTGATTGACTCAAGGTGAGGAGGGAGGTACGAGGTACCTATACCTACCTCCACTACTCGAGAACGAAAAACTTCATTGCCATACTTTGGCTGAGCATCACCGAGCGCTCCCTGAGCATCTCACTGGGTGCCTAATCAGGCCCCTAGCAGTCGGCTGAACCTGCCTCTCGACTAGGCATCTGTTCCAGACTAGTCACCAGAGGATCTAGCAAATGACCCTTACACTACAGCCTGACCTTCATCGTAACCTTAGGTATAGCAGTACGAGAGGAGGCAGTGATTAATCTAGGCGCTGAGACGCCTGAGGGCACACTGCGGAGTTCGGTGATTCATTGCTCCCAAAACCAATGAAGACAAATATCGTCTTCAATCTCCCCAGAATAGTCTGAATAGACTGCAGACTTTAACACACTTTATATACTACTGCTTATATAGCTAACCGACATAGCAGCACGCCATCTACGCGAAGGATACAGTGGTAACGCGTCCGGTTGATGATGGTGCCTCAATTGTCGAGTGCGAGCACTCACCCCAGGGAATACTAACGAGCACGCCTCAAACACTTTAAGTGTTTCCACCACGGTTATATCGGCGCTTCATGCAGCGCATCCCAAACCAGCGACTATTGTAAGGGGCATCCAGCCGCACAGACAGCTCAGTGGTAGACATGCAGACATACAGAACAAAGCACTGAGGCGACAACGATGTTAGGTCTGAATCCATGAATTCTGAGACTTGCGCCGGATAGAGTAATAACGGCAGACTGCTTAAAGAACAGGCATGTCAGAGAAGAAAATGTTTCTTGATCTCGATACACGTGATTGGCAGTAACGCAGTTGGCTCCGCCCTGCTTTTCTTGAGGCAAAAGAGAATCGTTTCGAGATCTACGCAATAACAGTACAAGAACCTACTAGGCAGTATTTATACTGGTGGTGCTCGGCTCCAAGTTAACCAGCCGTCGGATCGCCAGCGTCGGTGCTCTGTTCATCGTAGCTCCATACAACACTATAGTTAAGTCAGACCCTTCAGTGACAAGCGCTGGATGCGCTTTTACACTTGTTCGTGTACTAACAGGAAGTCCAGTATTGCTTCACACCATGTCTCAAGTCCCTGATATTGGTGCGCCTTTATGTACCCTCCGTGCCATGTTGTTACTCCCCTTCAGCCCACTGCTTATACCTATTCGAAGGCCCGTGACGCAAGTAAAAGCCGGTCTTCTTCAGCCTGCTCCTTATAAAAATGCCAATTGCTACCTCCTCGTCCTCGGTCCACTTCGCCCGGCCTCACTCTTCGTTGGATTCTGCCCCCCGAACTATTCGCGGCGGGTGCGTCTGCTGTTCATTTTGCTCTTGATCAGTTCCGTCATGGGTTGATTCTAGGGTTCCAATGCTACAATGCCATCCACGTTCTCTTGGCATAGCTCCATAAATTCCTCAATCTTGTTCTCGTACGCTCTCAGGTGGTCTTTTACTCTTCTCTCGTAGCTCATTGCCATGCTTGGGGCCAGTTGTAAGGCCTGGGCCATAGCTAGTGTGAGTGTTTCGGTTTGGACTTGTGCCTGTGGCACTTTGGGCGGCCGATCACGCCGATTTTTCGTCTGTCGTCCATGTCCCATGCTCTCGCTATCCATGCCTATGTCGCTGTGAGTACCTCAATCGACCTCGCGCTCGCGTCAGTGTAGTTGGAGCAGGGTCGATCTGAAGTCGCTACACCTTCGGAGGCAGAAGAGAAGTGAAAGAGAGAGCCTAGTGTATCCCGGACCAAAGATTTAAGCTCGTCTTCAATATCAGTCTGTTCATTGAGCATCTCCTTTTTATTCTCTAAACGTAACTTAAGTCAATATAGGGATAAGGAGCGTCTTCTTCTTGAAGCTTTCCCCACGCGCTCCAACGCTTTGCCTGAAAATTATGGTGGTCTTCTTCATCAGCAACCGCAATGGCCAGATCGAAGGTGGAGATGCCTTGCAAACGTCCATCTAGACCTTTGGATGAGGATTGGTCTCCTTTCAACGGTACATAGTTGGTGAGAGTCTAATAGCTTCCCGAGCGACTTCCTGACCGATACATCGCTGGAGGGGAGAAAAAGATCCAACGCAAGCTCGTGCTGCCCTCGAAGAACATCAAAGGCGATTTTCAGGCGGCAATAAAGGTCTTGGCATTGTCGTTTTCGATGACTTGCTTCTCATAGTTCTCCCAGGCCCATCTCGCTTCAGGAGTGTCGCGACCTTCGAGTAATGCCAGACGGGCATTTCTGTACGTCCATATGCCCGGAACTCTGGGGTCATGTCCCATGCGATGGTACATGTAAGTGATGTGTGCGTTCGTGGCAACAATTTCTCCCCAGAATGCATCCACCACTCTGTGCTATTGACGGCATTCTCCTCGGTCCCTGGCAGATAAAGACTGCCGCAACCTCCGACCATAATAAAGTAGTCGACCTGCACCCTTTTCGCTGCTAAAATGAACTTCTGCAAACCCTCTAGGAACGGCACTGTTGCCCGAGGTATCGACATGGCGGTATCTTCCTGAACTTACTGTATTTCATCGCGCCTTGCCCTGTAGAATGGGGTCCATATGAGCACACCAGTGTGTCGAGGCCCTCGAACGCTTTGGTAATGTCATCGATTGACCAATTTTCAAGGTCCACGGGTCGGAGCTCGTAGTTAGGATGAGTGTCCATCTTTGCTGGGTTACGCGAGATCCCAATTACACAGTCCCCACCATCCCCACCTTTTCTGGCCAGGGTTAACTATTTCATTGTCATTCCCGAGGCCCTTATCGCTATGATCGATCTTCCCCTCCCCCACCAAGAACCTCAAGTTCTTCTCCGGCCTATCGCCGGGTCCTGTGAGTACATCCTTTTTGTACTTGTCGAGGTCGGTTTCCACCACTTCGATAGGTCCAGCGACGGCTGATTCCATGGTCCTCGCGACCCCGATAATGGCCTTGGTATCTCCAGCAAGATGTACATGCTCAGGAGGCTCCGGTAGAAGGCTCAGATCGACAACACTGCGGCCAATGTCGGGAAGAGAGGTGAAGCGAATTTTGGATTCATGTGCTCCCGATTGCTTTTTAATCAAACTTCATAGCGCTCGGCCCTTGAGGAGAGTCCGTACCATGGACCAATTGAATGTTCCAAAAACAGACCTGGGTAGACAGAACAAGTGCAGGTGGACGAGGGCAATAGTTCCGAAACCAGCTCCCTATCCAGCCTTTTAGCATCCCATTCTGGGTTTGAGAAGTCATGTAGCCGAGGATCAACGCCAGAATCTGACGGGAAGTACAGTCGCGCCTTTAACGTCTGCATAGCCTTCAGAACCACGCCGATCCTTTTGACCCTGTGCTGTTGTGAGGGTCAGTGATTTGATCCCACGGTTTCTCATGAACTTTGTCAAACATATTGATGACAATATCAGAGTCCTTCAATACCGAAACCAGTGGTTCGAGTGCATTCTCATCGTATGTCAGCACTGAAGCTCCCTGTTGAGCGAATTCTTGCGGAGTTGAAGATCCTCCATTACGCGTGACGACTCTGATCTCTTTGAATTGGCTTTTCCGGGTGGGCTCAAGGAAAGCCCGGACGATGTGTTGGCCCAAATGGCCACTACCACCGACGATACTGACAACGGGCAAGGAAGACATTCCGTTAAACTGGACGTAGTCGAATGCATTCGTTGCCCTGTGGAAGTATAAAAAGACCCGAGCTAGCCTTGAATTGCTGTGGGGTCGTCGTCACAACTAAATACGAGGGCAACCCCGGCAACCGGCCAGTCGCCATCTCCAAACATCCCGCGCCGGCAACACTCCAAAAGCAGATATCGTGGGGCAAAGCAATCGACGACTGCTGAGGCTGGTCCGGGCGTGCGAGGTTCACGGTGTTTGCCAGTGGAAGTCTGATAGCAGACAGAGCCCTGACTACCTTACCTCAACCAAGGTAGGGGTTTCTCGCAGGTACCGACAGAAAAATCAACATATTGTGTGAAGGAACTCCCTCCACCTGAAGTTATACCAAGTTGATGTGCGCCAAAAAAACTATGATGAACAGCCCCACTCCTAGTGTTCGCACTACTTGAGCTGTGGAAGGGTGCCGTTCCGCTTTGACTGTTTCAGTAAAACCTTATATAACCAGCAGATGCCAAATGGCTCACTCCAATCCATTTTTTGCAGCGTATGCAGAAAATGACTGGGACTGTTTCAAAGACCGAAGCCTTAGTGCTTCCCGAGATCGGTGCTCCGCTGGTTTTGAGTCAAGTGCAGCTTAGCACTCTTCAACCAGATGAAGCCGTTGTCGAGATGAAGGCTACTGGCATTTGCCATACCGACATATTGTTCATAAATGGGACGCTACCTTCATTCACGCCAGCAGTGTTTGGACATGAGGGCGCAGGCCTTGTACTCGCTACGGGAACCAGAGTCAGCCATGTGAGCCCTGGGGACGCGGTGATACTGGGCGTAAACCACTGCCAACAGTGTCAAAACTGCTTAGAGGGCCACCCCAATTACTGCAACGAGGGGACGACTCGGAACTTTGGCGGAAGGAGGACGACCGACCAGACAACTCCACTTACCCAGTCTACATCGGACCTTGGGTCAGTCGAGGTGTTTAGCAATTTCTTCGGTCAAAGTTCTTTCTCCCGTCGAGCCGTGGTAAACGGATCTTGTCTTGTCAAGGTAGCGCAGGACGCTTCCTTGAAATTGTTCGCCCCACTAGGGTGTGGGGTATCCACAGGGGCGGGCTGTGTAATCAACACGCTGAAGGTCAAAGAGGGATCGAGTATGGCCGTTTTCGGCGTGGGAACAGTCGGTCTGAGTGCGGTAATGGCTGCCAAAATCAACAAAGCCCGGTATATCATCGCCGTTGATCTTTCTGAGGACAGATTGAGCCTGGCTAAGAGGCTAGGTGCTACCCACACTGTCCTCAGTGACACCAAGGAGCAGACAATACCCAAGATCAAGCAATGTGTCCCTGGTGATGGCGTTAATTATGCCGTCGACTGCACCGGGGTGGCCACGGTCATTGAAACGATGCTGGAATGTCTTGCGCCTAGAGGAAGGGCTGCTCAAGTTGGCCTACCACCTCCCAGTCAGACAATCTCGATCAACGGTCTCCAGCATCTGCTTCGTGGGCAAGAATATGTTGGCTGTGCTGGCGGCGACTGTCGACTGAACGACATGATACCGTTTTTGATTGAGCAGCACCGAAAGGGGAATTTCCCGTTGCAGGAGATGGTTGCCTGTTACGACTACAAAGACCACGCCAGAGCATTTGAAGACTGCAGATCTGGGGCAGCCATCAAGGCCGTTTTGGTCTGGAGTTAATGTGCCTTGAGTGTTCGTCCAGGCCAGAGGAGATTGTTTGTATTTAGCGTATTTGGTGGAGAATTAAAGAGCAATTAAGCCTGACAATTATAGTAAGTTGGCCGACCTCGTTCATTAGCCACTTCCTGCTGTACTCCTCGTAGAGGAGGTAATAACTCTAGGACTCTAGGTCAGGTTCACAAAGCAGCGTTGTACGCCCACTCCTTCAGTCCCAGTCATGCTACACTGTTGAGGGAAAAGCGGACCGTAACACCCAGTCAAAGTGCGACATACGGAATACATTTGCTATTTGATGGCTATAAAGAGGCCAATCCTTTGCGCGCTGCTTTTTAACATCTAGTAGTTGTAATATTAAGGTTTTACCCTACGTATTTCCACGTATTATTTATAACTTTAGGCGTATTTCTTATCACCTGAGCTAGAAGGACTATACCATAACAATTACTTTGAGTCGCCCTTAACTCTATCTCTTAAAAAAAACCGACCTGCAGTCGCGCAAATACATTCACACTTACAGCTTGTAATAGGAGTCGCTTACCCGCTCGCCCGCTCGTCATTCTTGCTTGCCCTTTCCTCCACTGCTGCAAACGTTGGGGAAGAAGCCAGAAAGAAGCTTTTTCACTCATCTCTCTGACTGTTAGATAAGTGGTGAGACCGCCGAGATAAAAGGTCCTGTACTCAAGTACAAAGACCTCACCCTTTCAAATGGTGCAGTAGTACCCTCTCCCTCTATTATGCCATTCGAAGGCACTTTTGAACTGTGAGAGCATGCCGAAGACCATGACTGATGTCTTTAACGTGGTGGACTGTATGAACGGCTTAATATATAAAGTATCCACAGAGGGACGTTCCTCGCCGGCCCGTGAACCACTTTGAGGCCGTGCTCAGTGCAGATTGACTTCAACCATCTGATAGCGTGGAGCCGTGGCGGTCCAAAAGCTGGCGCCGCCTACATATAACTCCATGGCCTCGATGTACTGGTGTAAACCGTCTGAGACCGACCCTCTAAGGCAGTGCTCGCGCAGCCGCACTGCGTGTGCCTCCTCTTCGACCATCATGCCCAGCAGTGTCGACCGGGCGACGTCAGCCGACAGGCCATGCTGTTTCATAAGCACGTGAACGCCGTTGCGCACGCGGTCGGTGTCCTGACCGGCCTCCATCGCCCAGCTAAAATAGTCATTCATCAGCGAGAGGACGGTACCCATCGATATGTCGAAGGCATGCACGGCAGAGAGGTCCTCGTCAGAGAGGACCAGACCCATGCCCCAGCGGATAAAGTAACTTGAAATCCTGCTCTTGAGTCAGATTGGGGGCTGTCCACATCTGGGCACCGAGCGGCTCCAGAGCAGGAGTACGGAGATGCGGAAATCCTCACCAGTACCCAACATTCAGGACTCGGAACGGGATATATTGCTCCATCGAGTCAAATTCGACCGCGGTGTGGTCGTAGGTCTTGAGGTATTTGGCCATGGTGCTCAGCATGGCTGGGGCGGCGATAGGATCAAAATCAATAGCCTCCCTGACGGCCTCAGCCAGGAGTTTCTGATGAGGAGGCTTGCCCTCAAAGGCTGTCGGGTCGATGTCCAGACGCAGCATGTCGGCCAGGGAGATGTGCTCGGACTGTGCAGCGTCGATACTGAGTTCTTCTGTGATGTCTGTGAGACAACACCAGGGATTCGTCAGTACGTCAACATTGCTTTCGATTTCTGGGACCCGGTGGCGAGGAGAGAGAGAACTGACCGTCATGGATCCACAGGATCTCGAGGATGCGGCCTACAATCGGCAGGCGCTCATGGTCGGTGGTGCAGTGGGCGATGGCGAACGGGTCGCCGACCGGGTGGGTGTGGCGGACCTTGACTTTGGCACGGGCGCGGGAGCCAGGCTCGGTGGCGCGAGAGCCGACCTCCTTGAGCGTGCTCGTGACGAAGTCATTGGTGTGCGAGAGCGCTGCGGGAAAGCGTGAGACGTGCGAGGCGACGGTGTTGGTGTCGAGCGGCTGATAGAGCAGGGAGACGGGCACTTTGGCAATCATGTTTGCTGTACAGAGAGAGACGGGTTGGACGACGGAGTACTGGGACGAAGTGTGTGTGCCAGCACTGGTGGATCGGGTTCGTGGCTGTTAGTCGAATCCATGGCCACCGAGTAACGCTTGCCCTTTTATCTGCGGCAGGAGGGCTCGGTGGAATTTGGAGACAGGAAGGAGCGGCCCGTTGCGCACCCCAGGCAGGGACGCTACTAAATCTACTACAAATCGCAGCTGTCCACGTCGCAGGACTGTCGACGGCTACCGAGGCATGGACCCGCCAACGCAGAGGTTTCGAGCATGCGCGCCTGATGCGTCAGCCAGTATTGGAATCACTTGTATCGTAACGAGGCAATAGTCACGTCGACATCCTTGCTAGAGTTTACGACAAAGGTCGTGCGATTGAGTCCCGCCCCGTTGCGTGCTCAGTTGCAGCGACGTCCACTTCCCTCCCTTCGCCCAGTATCTCACGCACGATGCGCGTGCGTTCGCCTGCAATCTCCTTGGTCTTGGGAAACAGGTGCTTTGTGGCACACCTGCATGAGCTCCTACATCTGCGCCAGGCCCTCACTCGAACCAGACGTTACGTTATTCTTCTTCTCCGTGGCGAGAGTATCCTCATTTCCACCATTGCACTCAGGATTACTATTATTGGTACACTGAGCACTCGTCTCGGCCTGTTCTGCAGTACCAGAGCCGGCTTTTCCCTTGTTTAGTAGGTCCGATACGTTTCCACTCTATACCAAGAGCCTCTAGAGGGACAAGCAGGTTAGTGCTAGCGAGAGACACCATGTCTTCACAATAGCTCTGTTGTACAGATATAGGGATGTGGCGAGAAGTGCTGGTGAAATCAACTCGCGCAGGCTGGTCGCACCGGCGTTCAAAACAATGGACTGGTCCATTACGGGGATAGCCCGTGCCACGCTCGAGGACAAGGAGCTCGAAAATCTTGTCCCAGAGACGGATAACGATATGACGCCTCCTCAAGTTTGCGAGAGAACCATAAATGAAATTCCAATGGGGATATCTTCGGCTAGTAGAACTGTCTGAGCTGCTAGGATGGTTTGTTGCAGTCACTCTAGCAGGAACTTGAAACCTCGATACGGCTCCTATAGGAGAAGTTGGCGATGATGTGGTTAGCAGGTCAATTCCGAGGCTTAGAAGTGAACTTGCAACGAACATAAAAGGGTCATAGTATCCAACAATCATGACCGGAAAGCCCCAGGCGAGAGTGAACAGGATCGCAGCAGATACGACAGGTAGGAAGTCAACACCGGAGGATATTACTGATCGCGCTTTGATAGCTTGCAACCAAATGGGTAACTTTCTCGCATTATTAGCGTCACCGCAATTATATATTGAAGCCATACTCACATAGTACTCCAAGACAAAACCAGCCCCTGAGATACAAAAGGAGAACCAACATTCCAGCCGCGATACTTCGCTGGGATAAGATGCGCATGGGAACATGTCCATCCTCCTTCTTACATACTAGCCAGACCAGAAACAAGCCTAGCAGCAAACAGGAAAGAATGAAGAGGAGGATGATACGAGAGTTTTGCCAATGGTACCTTTTCCCTCCCCACTACAGTGCCGATAAATGGCAGACAATCGACGCGGCAAAGACCGCTGTAGAGGTGAGATCTAGGGACTTTGGGCCTTCCTTCCGAGGCAGCTATTTCTGTGGAGCAAGATTCAGCACAAATACAACTAAGTGTAAAGGGTGGTGCCGAAAGAATGGGCTTCATGTAAAAGATCCTAGCTTGGTCAGCTGTCCATCGCAAATTGAACAATCTGTACGACCTACCAACACCAAGTGGTATGGAAAATAATACCACCGCTGATTAATGGGCCCCATAGGAACGCAATGGCATTAACAGCTCCGACAACTCGGTTAAAGACGGCAACTTTTGAGGAAGACATAGAGCGCGAGATGATGGTAAGCGAGCCGGATCGGATGCCACCAGCGCCCAAGCCAGCAAACGCGCGACCGCTGTATGGGTAGAGTTTTGTTTCTCCTCGCCAATTCCAAAGGTGACTAAGCTGCTTACAATATAAATGCTTCCGAAGTTGGAGCCATCCACTGAACCTGAATCTAGGATAAGACGGCACTAGCGATCGGAAAGAGCGGTTGCATGCACGCTTTCTGGAAGAGACACAGACCGTGGTTGAAGATTTTGCCTTTCAGAGAGTTGCTTTTAATTTAACATGCATGATGGAGACAAGATCACATATAGTACGTTAATCTCTCAGGTATACAGATTTCCCATTCTTACTGGGTTCTTTTGCCAACCCAACGAGCAACATCCAGCCTTGAGAAGAACTAGTGAACAACGGTGGGGCACACACCACTAGGCTTGCCTTCTTCCGGTCAGACACGACGCCTCTCCGGGAAAGGCCTTGTATCTAGATGCTGATGATAGCTCTCCATCAATTGGCCCAAAAGCCTCCTAAGGACCTCTGCTTTACTATTGTACGTTTCCTGGCCTTCTGAGAATTCTAGGGACTGAACATAGTACAAAAGCCACCAGTAAATCGCGGGAAACAGCAAATATCCATAGGACCACCTAAAGCGCAGGCGGCTACATAATCTGTTCCAGAGCTTGAGGATTAGACCCAGGCATCCAATATATTTAAATCCACTTCAGATCTTAAAGATGGAGTCAAGTAGTCGAAAGGCATAAACCCAATCCCTGACTCTAGGTGACTGCCGTACCGCCTATCAACGGCATCAAATCTGCTGTGATCAATGGAGGAGCAAAACGATATTAGAGCCAGTAACCTACAGCGAGCACAGTAGCGCCAAAAATGTCGAGAGGCTCTTGCACATTATCTACGTAAGTTCAGTATGGCCAATGTCTCTGTTATATAGCAATTAAAAGTTGTACAGAATGTTCTAGTGGTCTCTATGGGAAGCCCACTCATGTCCGCTTAGGACCGGATGCACAACAAGAGGGGTATACATAGAGTGTTTTACCAGCCAGAAGGCTCTTATTCGAAACGCAACTAAGCAAGTAACTCAGTTGGAGCGTACATGGAACTATGCCGCGAGGTAGGCAAGACGTTCGAAGCGGTTCGAAGCAGAGCCTCTACGTATCCTCCCGCAGATTGTGAACCTGAAGAAACTCGAACAACCGATTCTGACACAAGCTTTTCAGCCATAATCGGTTTGCCTTGAAGTGAAGAACAGGGACCTGATCACGGAGCTCTCCCACCTCAAGAAGGTGGCTCTGGAAGACAGCGAGGCCAGGCAGCGGCTTGAAGATAGACTGGAAGCATCTAAGGCAGATCTTCGGGCGGCGCGGACAGAAATAGAACAGCTCAGAGATGAAAGAGGAAAACTCCATGCTCAGCTAAAGAGAAACTCAAAAAGACTGCACAAACCAGAGAGGGAGATAAGAGTTACCTTCTGTGCGATGTAAAGGCGTGTCGTCGTCGACCGACCCGGTAGATTAAACCACCGGCCCCTCAGCTAGGCCACTAAAGTCCATGTCAGTCTAATGTGAGCCTCGGAGTAGCGTCTGCATACACGTAGCCGTTTCGGCAGCCTTGGGCTTCTCCTCCAATCCATGTGCCTACAAAAGCTCCTGCACAGTTCGTATTCTTATAGAACGAGACTTTGAATCCATTAGTAAAGAAGGCAAAATAGCCGAAAAGAAAGAAGAATGTGATCGAGGGAGCCATATTGTGCTGAGCTACTGGGGCAGGGAGAGGAAATGGTAAGAAAAGTTTATCGTCATAAGAAGAAATTCATTGTCCATGTATGTTCTCCTTGTATGCGTCTGCCCGAGTGCGCAGACCTAGAGGTTGGCGTCTAGCACGATTTGGCGCCCTGCGCAACAGTGATAACAATGATACCTCAATGTAAGCATAGCCTGTGAACGCGATGAAAATTATCTCGAGAGTGGCTGTATGGAACCCGACCGGCCAGAAAACTATTGTCCAGGACAGACCTGGAGCATCACAAGGCAATTCCATATTCGAGCAGCTAGACGACCAGTCTGTATATGCTAGGCAATTAACATGAGGTCTTGTTGACCTCCACTTCGCTAGTCTGGGCTCAAAAGTTGAACAGTATAATAGTGTTGATGTTGAGATTCTAGACATGAAAGGAGTGAGTGGAAACTTGCCCATGTACTCGCTCCTAACATGGCACAACACGTCCACGCTGGATGATTGGTGAAGTATCCTGATATGCACGAAATCTCGAGTAGTGTAAAGGCATCGTCTTACCTAAGTTCTATCAACCGCGCCCGCTCTAAGGAAAATGCATGGAGCCCATTGGTGACACAAATGGACATATAGAAAGGGTTAGACAACCCCATAGACCCTACAAGTCTAGTCAGGACCATTTCATGGGGTCGGCTGTGCAGAGTGAGCGCTACACCGTCGCGTCGCCAAGCAATAAGAGCTGGTTGGTGGCAAGCCGAGGTCGTGACCAGCAGTTGTCATGAAATCATGGCTAGCGTTTTCCGCCATCGATGGATATAGAAGATTATCCTCTAGGCTAGGATGCGATGATTCAAGCTATCGTTGGGCAAAGAGGGCGGAATCGGGCAGACAATAGACAAAAAAGGCCTCAGCGAATACAATGGTTGTTCCGATGGTCAGTGAAAGTTGCGGCTAATGCAACGCTGTCCAGACGGGTCTCAGGAGCCAGGCCGCTAGACCATGCCACATTGAATTGGGCGACAAAGGAGGTAAAGGAGTACTTAGATAGAATAGACCATCGAGAGTTCGAGACAAGATTATTGTATCGAGGTGGGATGATGCTTGTCAGCCTAAGGAGCGCCTATACAACGCCAAGGCCTTTTATCATTGTTGTGGGTCGGACTGTGCCCACTGCCATCATCCTTTGTGGTTTATCCCCGCCCTCGCCAGCTCTTTGCCCTACTAGTTCGCTCCAACATACACACCACCATTCAACCACAGTGTACGGCTTCTTCAACCTCTCCAATCCTTGTATACCTTCTATTCTCGGAAGGGATCGGAACTCTGCTCGACAAAGCGTCCCGGTGGGCTGAATCAACGATCACGTTTGACTGGCTCAAGGACTCTCGTCATCCCATCCTGTGGATTCTTGTCATCTAACCCCATTCGATCATCCTTCTCTATCGACGCCTTGACGAAACCAAATTTGGAAACCAGTTCGGATACAAAATGGACACTCAAATACCGTCTCTGGTCGCCGAGCCACAACATACGAGTATTATGCCAGCAACAGACCCTTCTCGCCAGAGTACGGAAATACTCTGGGGAGCTGCCATACTATTTAGCATCCAGCCGCTTCTGGCACAAGGAGCCAGAGGGCTGGCAGCAAGGCATATGCGCCAAATGCAAGGAGCAGGCAAATTAATTGGAATACTAGGGACCACCATAGTTGCGATTCTGGTCTCCCGAGCAATGGGATTGATAACGAACGCACGATCTTCTCAGCTTCGGGGTTATCGGACAGGCGGCATAAACAGGGCCATTTCTAATCCGTCAGATCCTCTATCAAGATTCCTTTTCTATTTTTGGCTTTCCCTGCTCATATCCTGCATCCGTTGCTCACTTCGCCTTGTGGGAGAATCCAGTTAACAAGTTTGAAATGAGGCGTCAGGAGTCAAGAGAGGATTATGGGTGTAACATTTTGAGGGGTATATATATGCCATGAGTTCTGGGCGACGAGTTTACGGGATTATACTAAGGGCCTCGGACTTCAACAGTAATGAATGCAGTTCAGGACATGAGTGGGCTAGGGACTACGACAGAATAACCGGGCATGGTCTTTGAAAAGAGATATCTATAGGCGAAGCGTGAGCTTCCACTCCGACCAAAAACCTGAGAATGTCACTAGGTATAAATGATAAGTGACGAGAAAGGAGTAAGGACCAGGGTACTAAACGAATCGCCACCATGATCAACGTGAGCGCGAACTGGACAACCCCAATTTTGGGCAAAGCCGAAGTTAAGCCGCATTCAAGGATACAACCTATCCCTAACCCGTGTTCTTACAGGCCAGGAGTAGTGTCCATTTCGGATGACTTCAGATTTAATTCTATCTAAGGCCTAATCGTCGTGTACATCGATCGAATATAGCACTGCCTTCAACTCAAGCCAAGTAATTTAAGTCAAGTCCGCTGCGAGGCTCAAGCCCCTTATTCCCCATTGCTCTTGGCGGATCAATCTTCCGTAGATTTGGTATCAAACCCTTTATAACGCCGTAATTCTTGCAATGCCCTACAAGCAAATCATCGGGCCCCATTGGCTTGTTATCATAATAGTTGCGGAGTAGGGCTACCTTTGGCACGGCTTCCCTTCTCGCTTCCCTTCTCACTTGCCATGACCTTGGTCCTTTGCGTGGTAACCCACTCTCAACAAGATCTGTAACCCTCCGTTCTATATTAGGCTCTATTATGGTCTAGTCATCGTAAGCCGTCCGCCTGTCTCAGTGATTGCCAGTTCGCGAAGTAGCTTAAGCTACGGTATGTAGAAGAAATTAGAGATGGCTGCCCGAGGCTAAACAGAGTGAACTAAGAGAAAGAGACTATTGGTTAGAGGTTCGAATTAGAGGTGAATAGTCGTTGTGAACTTGTGATAGATGCGGGTTGATTGCCTTGCTTAAGTTACTAGGAGCCCACTCTGATTAGTTATTTTGAGCGTCATAAGGTGAAGGTGGCTTCTGACCCAACATGATCCATCTAGTTCACATCCACTGTTGCCAATTTTAGGTCCTGGTTTGGGGGGAGGATGTGCAGATAGGATTGCGGGATGCATGGGGCCGTCACGGAGAGGGTGAGAGAAGGGTGAGTTGCAGAGGTGAGTCGAGGCGAGAGGGAGGGGGAGTCGCGAGGTCGTGGTTCTAAAAGCGGCACGGTATGGGTGAGTCGCACAGCAGACTTTACATTACTTGAGCCGCCAAGTCTTGCCTCCCAGCGCAATCCACAGGGCAGAGCCTTATTATACAACATTCAAGCTAAACCTTCTCGAAGTCTAGGCAATAATACACTTGTTGGTCTTGCTACATAAGTGTACCGTGTCTCTTCAACAACACCGGTATGATAGATGACATTCTGCTTTCCGACCATGGTCTCTATAGGTTTAACGAATTTTATTAAAGTCTATTATCTAACATTATCTCGGCGGTAAGATAGCTAGCTAAATGTTTCGGCGACAGAGAATCTTGTTAGGCGGTATTACGGGGGGTAATGAGTTATAGACTATAGTTTATAGTTTATAGCGACTAGTTACTTATAGTTTAACAGAGCCCTTAGGCGTCTCAGTAACTAGCCTACTATTCTATTTAATGAGAATTCCTTACTCTCAGCACGACGTACGATTCAATCGGGTCACAACGTCAGGGCTAAGCTTACCAGGAAAATTAGGCAGTAGCGTGAATCTACTAGGTTCCCTAACCCTCGTCCGAAATATGTACCTAGCTGAGAGGCATGCATAGTCGATCGCAATAGGCTAGATTAGGCCGCCAGTGTGTTCGCTCAGCGAGTTCTCAGGGAGCGCTCAGTGATGCTCAGCCAAGGGCTCAGTTAAAGCACAGGCTGAAGCGGCCTTCGCTCACCCTCCAGGATCGAACTGTAAATGATAATTAGGTATTGACTGCTACCGAGGTGACATGGTGTTGGCGCCAAGAACTAGCGCGTACTAGCTTACGCTACACGTGACGCGCTAAGAAATGCAAATACTAAACTCTGTGAGTGACTCCAGTGACTCCTATCAGAAAATTGCCATTATATCAGCATTTACAATGCATGGAAATCAAAGAGTGATTGTACATCATGGAAAAGGGGCTCACGGAGATCAAATGGCTCATGAATCTGTATATAAACAAGGACAGAGTCCATAGGGTTGAAAGAGACAGATCTCCTACATGCTCGAGTGCTTGCCAAAAGCAGCGTAGTCAAAATTCACCAACACATGGACGCACGTTCACGGTATAGTATATGTTGGAGTGAGTCTGTGCACATCAAAGCATCTCCAACCATGGTCCACTCCACTGACTGCCAAAGTCATAACGATCCACACGGTTCATCTCCGCAGTCGCAATGCGCATTAATCCGCTCTATCATCGAAGCCTAGATCCCTGAAACAACACGGATCAATGTTTTCATGTTCCTTGTGATATCCCGTCGGTTTGGTCTGCTGATAGTTTTTCCTGCTGACCGGGTTTCAAACTGCGCATCCAAGCATGGCATACGAACAAGCCTCGGCTATTGCTCGTAAAAGAAGAGCCGCGAGCATCGCCGCCTTCTACCCCACTCCTTCATGGCCAGAGGCAGAATTGCCGGTCAATCTGACCGATTTCGCACTCAAGTCTGGCTACTACAACGCGAATGAGCTGGCGATTGTTCAGTCCGAGGCGGACGTTATCCTGAACAAGATCAGGACTAGAGCATGGACGTCCCTGGAGGTTGCTAAAACTTTCTGCAAGGCTTCGGCTTTGGCACAGGAGCTGGTAAATCTGAATATCATCGCCTTCTAGAAAAGAAGAATTGCATTGCTGACGGATTCGAGACCAATTGCGTCACTGAAGTTCTGTATCCCGAGGCCATTGAGCGAGCGACCTATCTCGATGACTACCTGGCCCGCACAGGCAAGACAATTGGTCCTCTCCATGGTCTCCCAATATCTTTGAAGGACTGCTTCGTCACCGCACCTCACCCATCCTCGAATGGTTTGGCCGCGTATGCCAATGAATCCTCGGAGAAAGATTCTCTGCTTGTCACGATTCTACGGAATCTCGGCGCTGTCTTCTATGTGAAATCCAATGTTCCAGTGTAGGTGAGATGCAAATTGGTTTGCTGGAGGTCCAAACCAACCTTTTGTATATAAAGCCCTTGTCATGTGCCTATCTAACTGTGTCGTGCCCAGAGCCATGATGATGGCCGAAACCAATAACAACGTATGGGGAGAAACCCGCAATCCGTTGCACAAGCATCTGAGCCCAGGAGGGTCAAGCGGCGGAGAAGGGGCTTTGCTAGCATTCAAAGCCTCACCCCTAGGCATCGGCACAGATATCGGCGGCAGCATTCGCATACCCGCCGGCTGGTGCCACCTATACGGACTGAAACCCAGCTTCGGCCGCTATCCCACGTACGGAGGGAAGCCAAGCATAGCCGGGCAGGAATACATCCTCGCTGTGAACGGACCAATGGCTCGGTCTCTGAAGACTATCAGGCTCTACTCGGAAGCGGTCCTGTCTGAACAGGTGAGACCGTGGGACTTTGACCACAAATGTGTGCCCATCCCGTGGAGGAACAATGTCATTCAACCGCCTGGCCGGAAACTTCGCTTCGGCCTCATCGGCGTAGAAGACGGCCTGGTCCATTGCCATCCACCAGTGGAACGAGCACTGAGGATCACGCAAGCTGCGCTCGAGAAGCAAGGCCATGAAGTCATCCCTTGGTCCACAGAGGATCACGAGGCGATCGTCAAGGCAAGTAACACCAAAGAACACTTCGCCCTCTCCCCTCCCAACTAACCTCCATACGCACCCACAGAACCTCCAAGCCGCATTCTTCGACCTGGGCGGTGCAGCAATCATGGACGTAGTGAAGCCATACAACGAGCCCGTATTTCCAAGCATGCAAGGCTACGCACTGGCCGCCGAAGCGGGCGAAGGCGAGCTGGGCCCGACGAAGATGCGCATGATGAATCTGCGGCGCAACACCCTGCAGAAAGCGTATCTCGACCGCTGGAACGCCTCCGCCACCGCAGACGGCAGACTCCCGATCGACGGCATCATCCAGGCCGTCTCGCCTTGGGCCGCACCACGCCTCGGCGAGACGCAGCGCTCCGGCTTGTATGTAGGGTACACCGGCGTGTGGAACTTTTTGGGTGAGTAGTTATTCTATGCTCGGCATTTACCCTTGGGCCTGTGGATTCTGAAACTAACCCCAACAGATTTCCCAGCGTGCACTTTCCCGGTGACGCTCGCAGATCGGAGAATCGACACAGCACGCGACCCCGCGACGTTCAAGCAGCTGAGCGACATCGACGGCCGCATCCAGAAGGACTACGACGCGGCCTTCTACCACGGCGCGCCGGTGTCGCTGCAGGTTGTCGGCCGACGGCTCGAGGAGGAGAAGGTCCTCGAGATGACCGAGGTCATTGCTGACGCGCTCGCCTCGGCCAAGTAATTATGTGAACAAGGAGCACTTATATGTTAGTAACGCTGTAGAGAGCAACTCATCTTCTTCAATGGAGTGACATCAAATTGTGCTAACTCATGTATCACACTTGCTCGCTGTACACTAATCCTGTCGCTACGAGCAGAGAATACTTTTTCTTCTCATAGACTTTCGTTACGTCTGAAAACCCTTCAGCCTTGTCTACCAAGGCCACGGTTATTCCCCCTTTATGTTTAAACGCCGAGACATGACCATTCCCAGCACGTGATCGGCCAGCGCTTTAATGAACCCCTTCCAAATAGTAGTCCTTCGAATTTATACACTAACTTCGACACGGCCCTCACCACCCTTGCCCAAGGTTGGTAGCAGATAGGTGATATCGTCCCAAGGATGACGATAGAGACCAGTGCGGAGACGCTTCTGATCCAAGAAATGGGCAATCAGACCAATCGAACGGCCGAGAACGAAAAGACCGTTCAAGACACCCATGCGGAGATAATCCTCTGCCTCTTCAGGAGAGAAGGCTCCGGAGTTGCGCAGCAGGTCAACAAAGCATACGGCAATCTAATAGTCAAGAATTAGCAACGGCCGTTAGAGTCGGAGGGGGAAGGACAACGTACACAACCGTCGACGTTCAAAATCAGGTTGTCCTTCTTCGAGGTAGTCACAGTCTCGACAGCGACAGCATAGTCGAGAAGCTTGTGAGTTGGGAAGTGTTTGGTGACAAACTCTTTGACCAGCTCAACACGGAGATCAGGGTTGTTGCGAGACTTGACACGGTGACCAATGCCAGGGACTATGATTGATTAGCATAAAGTTGGAAATTGCGATGAAATGATCGACTTACTGAGCTTGTTCTCCTTTCTCATAGTGTCAACAAATTCTCTTGGAGACCAGCCCTTGTCGAAAGCCTTGGAGAACTCCTCAGCAGCACCATCAAGCGCACCACCAAATCTGGACCCAATGGTCAAAAGACCAGCAACAAGGGAGGAAATCAAGTCCTTTCCAGCACGAGTAGTGATGATGGTGTTCATGGCGCCAGAGACGGCCGGACCGTGATCAGCGGTCAACATGAGCACCATCTCCAAAAATTTGCTAGCATATGGTGGCAGGCGTCGGCGGAACCAAAGCAAAGACATGACACCGCCAATGCCAATGTCCTCCTTGAAGACGTCGGAAATGGGCATGCCTGCGTACAACAGTTCTTGACCCCTGTCGTCGGAGATGGTAGAGATGAAAGCAGCTGGCTTTCGGATGAGGCCGAGTTCCTGGGCCCAAGCATAATCGAGAGGAATCTTGGGAACTGCTGGCTCGGGGGCTGGCTTGATGGATCCTTGCTTGACAAGTTTCTGGTAGACATCTGCGAGAATTTGTGGGAGTTCCTCAAAAGTGTCAGGGACGAAGAAACCAGCTTCCTTCATGGACTGGTTCTTGACAACTGCGGTTTCGAGTTGTGAGTTGGCAGAAGCACCAGCGTGGCCGAATTGGACCTCGGTCTTGAACATGCTTGCGCAAGTACCGATGGCCCAGGCGACGATGGGTTTGGTGATTTGGCCATTCTTCACAGCCTCGATGACTCGGTACTCCTCGACACCACCGACTTCACCGAGAAGGAGAATGATTTTGCAATCAGGCTCGTTTTGGTATCGTAGGATGTGGTCGATGAAAGAGGTACCGGGGTATCTGTCACCACCAATGGCAATACCTTCATAAACACCGTCGGTGTTTTGAGAGATGATGTTGTTGAGCTCGTTGGACATACCACCAGACTTGGAGACATATCCCACAGAGCCCTTGCGGTACAACTTCGAGGCTACAATGTTGTCCATCATACCGCCAGTATTGCCAATCTTGTAGGCACCAGGCTTGATGCCGCCGACGGTAGCAGGGCCAATAATGGTAATTCCCTTCTCTTTTGATTTGACCAGAAGCTCACGCGCACGACGCTCGGGCACACCTTCAGCAATTATGGCAATTGAGCGCACCTGAGGAACGTTCATCAATTCGAGGGTCGAGCTGTAGACCGATCGAGAAGAGGCAAAGTTGACAATGGTGTCAACATCAGGGTGCTTTTCGAAGGCCTTTTCGACCGATTGGTAGACTGGAATGAGGGTTTCTGTGGTTCCCCAGTACATTTTGCTGACGAACTGGCCGCCAAATGTGTAGATGATCCCGGCAACGGAGGGAGTGGTTCTCTTGCAAATGAAGTCGAAGTCGAGCATGCCCTGAACAGCCTTCGGCTGCATGCCACTGTCCATCTTGTTAGATGTTGGTCCAACATCGAGTCTTCCAGATGACTTACTAAACGAAACATCTAGTCTTGTTGTGGAAGAGATTGCTCTGTACAGGACTTGGTACTCTTGAGGGGGGATCGAACCGACGGATGTTGTCGTTGGCGGATTCGGGTTGAGGAGTTGCAGTCCCCTCAGGAAGATCAAGAGTAGGAACTCCGTTAGGAGCACCTTGAGTAGCGGTAGGCATGTTGGTAGGGGATTTTCCACGGACTGGTAATCCCATTCTGTGTCAGCAAAAGACAAGAGAATCGGTATAGAAATACAGTGGTGACGGGCAACCTGGTGGATAAATCTTACAGAGGGGTTTCAGGAGGAACGACAACAAGATGAAGGGTTCAATGGGCTTTCAATGGACTTACAAGATCAATAAACAAATGTTGGGTGGTAGTAAGGGAGTGAAGAGAGAGCAGGTCTCGCGGTTGAAATTCAGCAAAGAGGATTATCACCACCGAGGAAAGAGGTGAGTTGAGAGTGTGTGGATAGTGGTGCAGCAACAGTGGATGGTAGTGCAGGGCTCGATCTCAGCAGGATGATGCTCTCAGAGCCACACATAAAATGCCAGACAGTAACAAGCACAGAGACTCAGACCCTAACTCAACTCTGACCAGCAGGGATCGTCTGTTGAGAGTCCGCTTCCCAGCTAGGGCGAGTTATGGGCGGGAAGGCGGGGCCCGAAAATAGGAATTGGCGGCCCCCAATGTTTCTTGTGCCACTAACGCCCACACCATTTGGGCGGTGAGTTGCAGGCTTGCAGCCAAAAGTGTCTCGTGGGAAAAGGCTGAGAATGAGCTCCCCCCAGCTGAACCGCCAGAAATCGACGTGGCCGGCCTAAGGCTTATGGCCCTCACTACCTCGTAATGTCCTAGCCTATCCCCGCCGACTGGTCTTGGTTTCTGACATGTTGAACAATGCGCCGGTGGGAGGTACTCGTAACTACTACGACTGGCCCTGGCCGTCCTCGAATCCCGTCGTAGTGTCCTTCGGAGGATTGCTGCCTCTTCGTCGTGTGCCTCCCCCTATCGACCATGGCCTGACCCCTCCCTCTCGGACTCCGGTTCCCATGGCGTCTGTCCCTCGTATCTCGTTTCCGTCGTGTTTGTCCCTCCACCCCAGCCTCAGCAACAATCAATAATGCTCCGCCGACTATTAATTAATACATGACTACTACGGCAATCTTTGCATTGGGACCAGACTAAGACCAAATTAGCCATTCAGAGAGGGTCTGAGTGACTGAGCCAGCGGCCGATTTTCCCTCCAAGACACATAGGCACGCACACAGAAGCCAACTCTTGTTGCGGTGAAACTCGATCCAACAAAAAAAAAAGGAATACCTGGTTCGTGGCCGTTCTCAGGGTCTCACGTCACTAGAAGCACAGGGCTCCAGCCGAGTAAGCCGTACAGTAGAAAGCGGTCACCGTCACCGCCCGACAATCAGCGTGAAGCCATTGGTGCAAAGCCGTTGGCATGGGCAGACGCGAGGGGGCAATAAGAACACTGGGGGAATCTCCCTAGGCGGAGGGCTGTCCCCGTTCCTGGCGCTGGTCCGGTTTAGCTCATTGAATGGAGGTACCCCTCGTTAAGTTTAGCATATCCGATGGGACCCCTGCTCCCAACAACCATAACCGCCCTCACCTACTGTCGCTCCCCCCACCGCCTGCCACCCACCAACAACCCGCTGAGAAAAAGGTGTGTTAGGGAAAGGCGAAGCTGCAAGTCTCCGACGCCAACAATCGCATCGGTCCAACAGCCAATTCACCAGCACAGCTGCGCACCATCCGTACGCACTCTGCAATAATTCTGGCCCCAACTGGAAACTCATCAGCAGCCTGAACCCGTTGTTCATCCACTCCCTGATCTTGCACAAACACACACTACACATTGCACCTTGCACCTTGCAACTCATCCTACCTTCTTACAGTTCTCGTCTCAGTGCACTTAGTCCTTTCCATTATCTTCCCCCTCAAGTTCACACGACTTCCAAGTTCACATCTCTCATTGACCACCTCTTCTCACTCTACCCCTCACCGCCGCCAAAATGTCAGCAAAGTCCATCCTCGAGGCCGACGGCAAGGCCATTCTCAACTACCACCTCACCCGTGCTCCAGTTGTCAAGCCTACCCCCCTGAAGCCCACTGGTGTTCACAACGCCCCTGCAAAACTCGCATCGCTGTATTTCCCAGAGGACGAGAGCGTCGAGACCATCCTAAACCAGGCCGAGGCCACCTTCCCATGGCTGTTGACTCCTGGCTCCAAATTCGTCGCAAAGCCAGATCAACTGATCAAGAGACGAGGAAAGAGCGGGCTGCTCGCCTTGAACAAGACCTGGCCTGAGGCCAAGGCATGGATTGCTGCCAGAGCCGGCAAGGACCAAAAGGTTGAGACTGTGGTTGGCACACTCAGACAGTTCTTGGTCGAGCCGTTTGTTCCCCATCCTCAGGATACTGAATACTATATCAACATCAACTCAGTCCGAGATGTAAGTTAACCCGGACCCACAAGATTAAGCGCCCGACTGACTTCTAAACAGGGTGATTGGATTTTGTTTACCCACGAAGGCGGCGTTGACGTAGGCGACGTCGATGCAAAGGCCGAGAAGGTCTTAATCCCAGTTGACCTCAAGAAATTCCCTTCTAACCAAGAGTTGGCTGCTACCCTGCTCAAGAAGGTGCCCAAAGGTGTCCATAATGTCCTTCTCGACTTTATTGTCCGATTATACTCTGTTTACGTCGACTGCCAATTCACCTATCTCGAGATCAACCCCTTGGTCGTCATCCCCAATGCTACCGGCACATCTGCTGAAGTCCACTTCCTTGATCTCGCCGCTAAGATCGACCAAACCGCCGACTTCGAGTGCGGTACCAAATGGGCCATTGCACGCAGCCCCGCTGCTCTGGGTCTCCCTGGTGTCAAAGCTGACGGGAAAGTGACTATCGACGTGGGACCTCCTTTAGAGTTCCCTGCACCTTTTGGTCGTGAACTCACCAAGGAAGAGAAGTACATCTCAGACATGGATGCAAAGACTGGTGCTTCTCTCAAACTTACTGTCCTGAATTCTCAAGGCCGAGTATGGACTTTGGTTGCTGGTGGTGGTGCTTCAGTTGTTTATGCTGATGCCATTGCCTCTGCCGGCTTTGTAAGCGAGCTGGCAAACTACGGTGAATACTCAGGAGCACCAACTGAGACCCAGACATATAACTACGCCAGAACCGTCCTAGATCTCATGCTCCGTGCCCCACAGCACCCAGAGGGCAAGGTGCTCTTCATTGGTGGTGGTATCGCCAACTTTACAAACGTTGCCTCTACATTCAAGGGTGTCATTCGTGCTTTGCGAGAAGTCTCTACTGTCATCAACGAGCACAAGGTCCAGATCTGGGTACGACGTGCTGGCCCCAACTACCAGGAAGGCCTCAAGAACATCAAGGCTGTCGGTGAAGAACTCCAAATGAACATGCACGTCTACGGCCCAGAAATGCACGTCAGTGGTATTGTGCCATTGGCCCTGCTCGGCAAGAAATCCACCATCCCCGAATTCGGTGGCTAGACGACGGATTGATTGGCTGAATGTCGATATTAGACAGTGTTGTCGTTGTCATTGCCGTTGTTGTAAGATTTGGTCTTTGAGCGCAATCACACTATCACCACAGCATATGATAGTCTGGGCCTGTGCCTGCGCGAGCGGACGGGAAAAATCAGGAGCATGGGATTTGATTCCTTTTTTTCCGGCGTTGTCTGTTCGAGGTGACGAGGAAGATCTTTACATTGTGGTGTGTGAGCGCGTGCGCGTGAAACGGTACGGCGAGTGGTCGGTCCTGGCATAACTGCAAGGGCTGAACTCGAGACATGAGCGTAAATACATAGTTTTAGACTAGGCTTGGTAACAAACAAGACCGTTTACGGAACGCAAGATCGAGCACTGCGTTTGGGTAGCGTAGTGCTATTTACTACACCCTTAAGCATCGGGTTCCATCGAGCTTAAACCAACATGTTTCATTGCGCGAATGGTCGTATGTAGCTCATTCTTCTGAGCCATTTGCCGCTCCTCGTTGCTGTGTATAGGGGGCTAGGGTAATATAATGCTGTTCAAACCCGGTCTCGGATTTCCGGCCATTTTTCCAGCAGCTTATATGCCCATGACCTGGCACACGCCGTTTTCATGCTCAAGCACGAAACGCCATCACTTCATGTCAAAGACATCCTCCACCAGGAAGAGAAGACCTGAACGCCGCCGCCGCAACCACTCCTGAAAGAAACTGGCATCGTCAATCGGTCCATCACTCAACCAATAGAGCCTTCCCACCGGCTAGTTCATCGATGTAAGCCAGCTTGCCACATCCCTGACTCGTCTTCTTGTCTTCTTCACGCAAGAGCACGGCTAGCACTTCGGTAGGCGGTTCCAACCCCAGCATGTTCGCCCGCTTCCACCGTGCCAGTCGCGGGATGCCAACGCATGGGCCGTACTGAGACGAGAGGTCGAAATGGCGGAGGATCTTTTCATGCAGCGAGAGTGAAGATTGGTGGACTGCAATGCTGATTGGTTAGATAGCTACTCAACAGGTGGGGGGAGGTGGTAGGGGGTTGATTACCTCTGGGTGCAAGTCGACTGTCCTCCTCTGCTTTCCAATACCTCTTGATCTGCGCATCTGTCACTTTCTCCGCGGCTCCCTCACGCTCGTCCTTCACTGGTGTGGATTTTGTCGCCTTCTTGAGTGATTTCGCTACCTTACGTGGCGACGATCGGATCACTACGTCCACTTCTTTCGTCTCGGGCTCGGGTGTGACTTCGACATCCGCGGATCTGATTTCAGGTTGGGGCGACTCAATTTCGTGCACTTCATCCTCTGGCTGGACTTGTGCCGAGTCCCTGAGTTTTGATGATTCTAGCTTTTTGGATGCATCGTCGGCCCTCGTAGACGGCTTGGTCACCCTTGCGGTGTTATTGTTGAATGATAATCTTGATTGAGCGGCCGATGAGGTGCTGAGACCAGTGGATTTCGGCTTGCGACCGCGGGCCATTGTGAGGTGCTTAGATCTTTTTGAAATGGGCCTGCTTTCGACTTGAAAGCTTTTCGATGTGTATTTGGTAAAGATCTAGTCGTAGGGGGTATGGATGTTTGATCTGGTGGTGGTTGTGTGAAGTTCGGGCCATATCGATGCGCAACATGACGTTGACCAATTTCAAGCGGTGCAGTGGCTGCCTCAGCAACGGGTGAAAGAAGTCGCGCTAACGAGGGTCGAAGTCGCGCCTGACGGCGCGTAAAGTGGCAATCACGTGGTGAGCTGATACCCCTCACCTTCGTTTGGCCCCATCCACTACGTGCGACCTATTGGGGAATTTTCTGCACCTTCACAATAAGAATGTCTTTGTCTGCTATTCATGAAGATCTCGAACTGAAAGGACATGGGCTTGATAGTATGCTGGTTTATGGGTCTATGGAGTACAACACTTGATGGGCGTGGGCGAGCCAAGGGCGACATCTATCTATCTCTATTGATCCACATATGTAAGAAACTCAGTTCTCTATAATGAGAGTGCATTACTTAGTGGACGATATCTCCAACTATCAAGATCTCTTCAGATCCGGGTTTCACATTTTGCTTCAAGCCAGCCTTGAATTCCAATGCCAGAGACGGGGAGTCAAGCTTGATGTGGCTCACCAGCACTAGCCACATTTTAAGGGACGGCCAAGACCGATTCTGGAGTTTGATTGGTGGGAAGTCTTCCCCAGAGGCTCGCCAATCCGGGTTTTCAATCCTGTTCAAACGTCATGCTTGTGGAGAAGAGGCTTGTGAAATTTCATTTTTGGGAACAATCAAACCCAGCTATTCCAGTCTGGCTCGAGGGGCGTTTGAGAATGATCGAAGATTCATCCTTTCGATCGCTGCCCCAACGCAATGATGACGATGACGACGATGACGACGGCACATTTTCACAGGGTGGATGTTAGACAGCGCTAACAAGCTTGACAAGCTGAAGCCGCGTCATTGGCTTGTGCACTCGTATGGGAAAGTTCATCGAAACAATTTCCTGGTCATCTTGGGTGCTTGACTGCATCCCCGTCCCAACCTCTGTCAGTGCTTTACGATTATGCTAACAATGGCACAGCATGGAGAGGGGTTCCGGCGTCAGTATATTTGGAGGACAAAAACAAAATGCAATTCACCTGTTCTGGGTAGACTGCCCAAGTCTCTCGCTCGCCTAAGTAGTCTGGTATACGGATCCGGATTGTGAATTCACATGAAGATTGGCATCTTGATATTAGCTGTGCCGATCTGGAACACTCTTCCTATAAAGGCACAGTGGTCGATGTGGTCGGATGGCTTGTCAAGTATGACGACCACGGAGGTATGACATCACCAACTCCAGAAATTCTTAGCTTGCGACATCATCGTTTGCTTTCATCTCTCCTGGCTCCACCAGCTTCCAGTCAATTATGCCCTGTGATGTAGCACTTTGCTCGACTTGGTTCAGCCATAGCGTGTCATGTTGGACCGGCCGCTGTAAATTGATCAAAAAATCGTGGCAAGCTTCCCTCTTCAATTCTTGGTACTGAGGTGGGCGCGTGCTGGTTCTGTTGACGCATCCGTGCCGCTTTCCCTCCCTTGACGGTTCGTTCATATACACCTGATTTCCCATCCCTCACCCTGATTCTGTTCTCTTTCCCTCACATACCTCCCAAGGACCCATCAGCACCCCTAGTATTTGATACCCGCTGAGTCTGCGGCTCTTTGTATTCGATTTTATCTCTTTTGATACCCATTTGCGCAAACTCTCTTATTATATCTCATTATGGCTACCGTGAACCGTCCCACAGATACCGCTGTCAAGGAGAAGGACATTAATCAGAAGCTGCAGCTCTATGGAATCTACCAAGCCTTCGCCAATGGAAAGGTCCCGTCAAACCAGCAGATTGACATCGCCCTGAACAGCATTTTAGAATCCAAAGCATTGGCATCACCCTCGAAACGACTATCATCTGAAGGTCAAAGCCTCGTCGCCGACGTTAAGGAGGTTGTAGAGCAAGCGAAATACCTACTTCTCAGCAAAAACGAAGGAGACTTGCTGCAAGACTTCATCTGGGACACCCAACATCTTGATGGCTCGAACGCCAAGTTGCCTGGTGCTCCTACAGACAAAGCCACTGCCCAGCAACACGGCAACCAAGCGCTTGACGGCCTGAAAACGCTTGGGCGATTGATTATCTCGAATGGGCAGTTCCGCAAACTTCTTTCTGATGCTTCAATCCTTGCTCGTGATATTGCTGGCGATGCTGCTCAAAAGGCAGCTAATCAAGTCAACCCCTCGGATGAGCAAATGAGTCAGATTGACCGTCCAGCTGAAGACAACACCTGGCATGATGTTCCAGATCTATCTAAAGAGAACATCAGAACACAAGCCCGCTCAGCGTTCGATAAGAATGCCCCCGTCAACAAGGAGGAGGCACAGAACGCTGGTCAGCACGGCCTGGACACTGCTCAGGCACATCCTGCGCAGCATAATCGAGAAGCTGGGCGCGCTGGCTTGGGCCAAGCTATCGGAGATCTCAAGGCCCAGGCGCAGGCCAACATCCCCGAAGAAGATCAGGAAAATGCTAAAAAGGCGAAGAACGCTACAGTTCAGAAGTCTAGGAACTATCTCAGCAAGAAAATGCCCGAGGATCGTCGCGAGCAGACGATCTGGCGCCTGAAGAAGATGGTGGTGGAAATCCAAGGACATTCTGATTGTAAGTCCTCTAGCGGGATGCAACCACGAGTCGCAGCTAATGGTTATCTCCAGATCAACAAGCAATTGATACACTCCTCTCACTCGCCGAGACTTATGGTGGCCATGCTACTGACGTTACGACCCAGTCCAAAGGGACTGTCAAAGGTGCCCATACTGATGATAGTCTGAAATCTGCTGAAGCTAATCTCAAGGTGTGTTTAGGAGCCTATCAAGCTAATAAAGAATCGCTGACAAAATTAAAGATTCTTATCGAACGCTTCGCCAACTCAACCAGCACAGATGATTTTTTCGACGCTTTGAATCAGATCTACCGAGACGCCGACCGCGACCCTGAGCTCAAGAATTGGTTCAAATCTGCTAACCGACTCCTTCGCAAGACACTGCAGGAGCAGGGTTATATTCTCCAAGACACGGCCACTGACGAGTGGAACCGTCTTGTTGACCAAGGCCGCTTCCTCTTCCGAGATCGCTACAGAGATCATACCGACCGTATCTTGGACGAGCTTAAATTCCTTGCCGACCAGTTTGACCAAGATCCACAGAACAAGGCTTTCGGGGATGCTGTTCAGAAGCTTTTCCTCGATCTCGGTAATGATGACAATGGCAAACCAACCTTTAAGCCACACTTGGTCAAGGATTTAACAGAAGTTATCCTGCCCGCAATTTTCGAAAACACTCGTTACGTCCCAATCCCACGTATTGAGGTGTCAGATCCTATGGTCGATGTTGTTGTGGAAAATCTGGTGGTCGAGAGCGACAACCTCTTCCCTAACGTCTTCGAATTCGGTAGCGACAATTATTGGCGAGTTGGCCGCAAGAAGTTTTCGAACAAGAAAGAAAACAAAATAATGATCTCTGGCTCGGGATGTCAAATGGATCTGAAGGATGTCGCATATTACGTCAAAAGGAAGCAAGGATTCCCTTCCATCACCGATAAAGGCGTCATGGACATCTTCCTTGGTGGCGAAGGCTTCAGCTTTAAGATTGCTGCACGCAATGCCCAAAAATCTGATCGCACCCATTTCGTCGTCGTCGATAATGTTGACGTCAGCATTAAGAACTTGAGTGTCAAGGTCAAACAATCTAACCATAAGCTACTCTTTGCCATCGCCAAACCGCTATTGTTGAAGACGATGAAGCCAGCTATTCAGAAAGTTCTTGAGAAACAAATCAAAGACAGTTTCCAAAAGGCGGATGCCTTTGCGTGGAGTGTACATCAAGATGTCCAACGTAGTATTGAAGCTGCAAAGAACGACCCTGAGAACGCACCCAACATCTACCAGTCCTACGTCAATTCTCTCCAGAAACAGATGACAGAGAAGAAGAAGAAGGCTGAAGCAGTCGCCTCGAAGACCAATGTCAATGTTGCTGTTACCCAGGAAGATTCCATCTTCAAGAACATCTCATTGCCTGGTGGCATCTCCTCCAAAGCCACCGAGTACAAAAAGCTTGCTGCAAAAGGAGATCGATGGGAATCACCGGTCTTCAGTATTGGCAGTGCCAAGGCATCCACCAACATCCCCAAACTTGCGCAAGTCAAACGCAAAGCACACGCCACTACCACCGCAGGTATCCGCGGAGGTAATCACCCTAATGCTCACAGTGACGTCTCCCGGGATGGAGTTGGTGGTACTGGTACAGCTTCTTCCGCTGCTGGCTACGGTACTGTTGTCGGCCAACCAGGCTCTGTCGCTGTTGGGAGGGATCCTAACCTATCGGGAACTGGTGCTGCCCATGGTTCTGGCTTTTTTGGTGGAAACCAAGTCGGTGTACCAACAGCGGCTGCGGGTGGGGGATTCAGTACTCAGGTCGAGCAAGCCTTTGACCCCAACAAGAACATTGCTGGCCCAGGTGTTGGTGGTGTGGGCAATGGAAGTGCAGCCGGTACCTACCATGACAATGTTACCCGTCAGTAGGTGATGTGTTATCTTTCGAGTTTGCACACGGCAGAAGCGGTTCAGATCGTCTTTGCAAGAGTTCATCATGATACCCTGGGCGCGTACGCAGTTGCAACCTGAGAAGGAAAGAGTTACTTCAAATCCAGCTTTCAAAACTACGACTTGGACAAAGTTTAATATTATGGCAACAAAAGAACAGTTCAATTTGACACTGGGGGCAGTCTTGCTGGAAGTGTTTTGTTACAGTATAGCATAATATTTTGAATAATGCAATTATACCATGCAATGAAAGCTAGTTGAGCATGCAGAATAATAGGGGACTTTAAAAACACTGTTCGTTATGCTCTGTACCTGGAGAGGATGCATGTAAGTCCTCGGTCAATTAAATGTGACGAGAGTAATAGCTTCAGGTCGCGTGTCTGCCTGGACTACTGATGTCACGTGCGTTGCCGTAACGCGTTGCTCATTTCTACCGCGTCTGCGTTTAAAGTGGTTGCATAGAACTCTTCCTTGACTGCATCGTCCACAGCAGCAAAATCTACCACTATTTTGTGATTTGACGTTCTAATATTGGGGAGACTCCCTTAAATCTTTTTTGCTGCTTTTTCGTGAATTTGCGTTTGTTTCTGTGGCAAAGCTTCTTAAGCTCCAACGATGGCTATAGGCAAAGCCAAGGTACCTGAGTACCCAAGACCAGTCTCCCCGGTTTCTGCGGACGAACACCCAATCTGCCGCAATACGATAGTCTATGACGAAGGCGATGAGAGTTCTGAGGACTCGGAAATGCCAAGAGCTGCAAAGAGACGGCGAATTGAGAGCTATGCTACTGCCTACCTGCGAGGAGAGACTTTATTCATCGCCAGCGCACAATTGAAAGGTCCTTTTAGCAATGGGTGGCAGAATCCGTGGAGAAGGAGAGGTGGGCAACGCCCTGAGAAAGAGACTGCACGGCTAGAAGTTCCAGAAACAACCATCAGATCCCAACCGCGACGCAGTGCGCGCTCACTGCACCATGGGGCCCGAATGTCTTCAAGCCGCTCAACACCAATAAGCCCTGTGATCCAACCGATCAAGCAAACCCTTACCAGCAGTCAGGCGAACGTTCTCAACGCTGTCAGCTCAAATCTGCAGGCCTCCGTGACGCATACCGGAGTACCAAGCTCCAAAAACCAACAAGTCGAGGACTGGCTAAAAAAAAATGACGGCTATTCCAAGGCAGAGGAGCATCAGCCCCATTCTTCCCCTACTCCAATGGTCGGACTAGTAAGGGTTCGCACCAAGAAGTGGGAATCTCCCGTTATCAATATCGAGTTTCCTCCTTTAGTAGACGATGTTGTCAGCCTTGCTGCTTTACCCCCTCTACGACAGCCTGATTTGCGCAATGGAAGAGCTGTTCTTCCGATGACGGAGCCGCAACAGCCTAAATCAGAATTATGTAAACCAATGCTGATTGCATCTGGTTCTGTGGGACCTACCTTGGAGACCACGTCTCAACACATGCAAGAGAATGTTTTGGATGTGAAAGGCCGCTCAAAGCCCATTGCAGAGAGTGATCCACCAGCAGAGATAACTTCCTTTGCTGCAAAGCGCAGATCCTTGCATACAATCCCCCCTTCGAGTCATTTACCTGCATTTGAATATCGGCGTGCAATTGCTAGAGAAGCTACTCACTCTATTGAGCCAGCAGAGGAAGTTAACAGTGCACCTGAAGCTCCCGCAGGACAAACAACTGAAGCGGATGTGGTTCCAGATGCTGATAATCAAGTCGACTCAAACGGTCAGTCTGCATCACTGCACACCGCCGAAGAAAGACTTTCATCTGGCTTGCCCGGAATCACGACTGTGCTACCGGATAACGTGCACCCAAACCAAGGCACGCCAAACGATATCCCCTCTGCTCAAATACCAACTCAGATGCCACTTCAGTCAGCACCATCGAACCTATCTGGGACAGGTGTTTTGCTTCAGGAACCTGAGCAGGGGATAGCTCAAACTGCCTATCACAGTCCGCTGAAGCAAATTCTTCCAGATGCTACAGAACCCCCGACAGAAGACTCCCTGTCGAAGTCATTCGTTGCCCTAGAACAAAGTGTTGACAAGAATACACCGCTCCAGTCAGTCCAAGTGCCAGCCCCATTACATTTGGCAGTTACACCGAACCCGAAACTTAGCAACCCTTCGGATACACAAGAAATGATTGAAAGCATCACACCATTTGAATTTAGCACCGTCAAGAAAAACAAAGCGGGGAGAATTCAAAATATTCCGGCACTACGGACGGCGACAAAGACCCGTACTACGCGTATACGGAAGCGAGCATCTTTCGCCCCAGAAGAGGCGTCTTCAGGCTCTGCGGCAGGGTCACTGAAGGCTGTCATGAAAGTGGCCAAGTCCGCAATCGTAAATCTCGATAGTCTCAAGGGCCTGAAAAGCACATGGGACGACGAAGATGAAGACATTAATAGCATGCATCACATCCAAGGTAGCACACCAAGGTTTGCTTCTAGTGAAGTAGCAATGAAGATTGGTACTCCAAGAGGGATCCTAAAGCCATCTTCCAACCCTTCTGCTCCTGCTCCAACGGGGACCCACCGTACATCGTCCTCCGCCAAACAAGATGCGCAACAAGTGAGGGCTCTAGATATGATTGAAGGCGAACTAGAACAACCTCAGGATGATTTCGACGTCAATGCGGCTATTGACGACTTGGGTAGTTTTCTCGGGACGTGGGATGTGGAGAAGGAAGCACTGGGATTTTCTGAGGCCCAAGGATGAGAATCTGTGGTAGTCCAATAAAGTAGTCGTGCATCGTTAAGAGTGGTTTTGAATTGGTCGCTGTTCAAGATGGTCTCCACTGCTACATGCCTGAGTCCCGGAAGACATATTGCCTCCAAAACTAATGAACATGAATGGCTGCAACAACCAAGTTCTATTATTGCAGCCACCATTTCTAGTGATATCTTGCAGGCTACAAGCCTTGTATGGGGGTGGCAGCCTTGCCAAGTCGGTGGATCCCGCTATTGAACCGGTTATCGGCTCGGAAGAAATGGGATGCCGGTTCTATCTCGACTTCCGTGTCATAACCTGCCATCCTCCACGCACGCTCTTCTTCCAACTCTACCTCATCCTTCCTGAACGTTCCACTGGAAGCCCTTGCTACTAGGCGCTCTAAATCGCCCCGTTATATTTTAGGGGACATCAATTTGTATCAAAACCAAATGAATTAAGCGTGGGCGTTCACCCGCAGGAGCGGGGAGATTGAGATGGTCTCCATCGCAGGAACTGCTCTCACTGAACAACCTGTGGCATCGCCAATTGTGAATCTCACGAACCTGAAGACCGCTACTACAAACTTATCGTCCTCCTACTTCACCTCCCCTACTTTTCAGCAGATCCTCCGGTTTCCCTTTCGTTTTGCAACACAGGCCGATCGAGCCTTTGTACACATCTGGAACAATTACATACTTGCAACATTCGGAATCACAGGTACTGTCGGCGCAGGTGCCTTGAACGCCGGAGTTGGTGGGCTTGGGGCACATATGGCTGATGCACAACCATTGGTCGGCGAGGCACTTGTGCATACGGCTCCGGAGAGTTGGGCGACCTTCTTTGCAGAAGCTTTTCAAGCGAGCACCTTCAAGAGCTACTGGGGAATGCTTCACTATCTGACCTCAAGATGGGCGTTCACCTGCTTTGCTATGGCCCTCCTTCTCAATCGGATTGGCGTTTATGGGGCATCTAGACAAAGAATTCAGTTGACATGGACGCGGAGACTGGCCCTTCGAATTGTGCCGATCCTGCTGCTTACAAGCCAAGCTCACAGCATATTGCAGGCTATCCGATGTCAAACGTCCCCAAATTTTTCCTTGTATCGCCATGGCGACAACAATAAGTACAGTCTTCTTGATTGGTCTTCGGACGGCGGTTCATTACACATACTCACGTCCACCCTCCTGTTTCGATCGACAGATGCTGAAGCCTGTGCTGCAGTTGGCCTCAGCAGACCTGAGCCTGATGTCAAGGCCCCTTTTGGATCGTTCTCTCTACTTTGGCCTGCTTTCTTGAGACTCAGCTTGGCCCACGCGGTGGAAAGCCTTTCTTGCACCCTGCAACAAATTCCGTCCATGACCGAGGTTGGCATGTCTGTATTTGAACATTCACTTGCTTTTGCGGAAGCAGAAACAATGATATCCCACACCCTGGGACTTGGTCTCTTCGGCAATGGCAAACCTGCGAGCGTTAGCGAGACCACACCCGCGAATTCTTCCTCTTCATCTGGATTTCAGGCTACTATACCGGCTTCTGGGACAATTCTCGCGATTGCTGACGCAACGACCTCTCTGACCAGTCCACATTTTTTGGACCGTGTAAATGTTCCCGTTGAGGTATTGTTGGTTACTTTACTTTCATGTTCGAATGCACTATCATCTCATGTCATCGCTGTTTTGGGCAAACAACGTCAGTGGCGCCTGATCAACACTGGAATTTGGGGAATGGCATTCATGGGATCCTTCGTATGGGGCCTGATGACTACAAGTGTGATGGTTCGAGGTGGGGATGATGGGGATGACCGTCCCGTTAGCAGTCTCCTCCATTTTCCAACGGTTGCCATTGTAGGCTTTCTGCCACACATGTGTATAATTCTTGGAATCTGTGTCTGTCTGGTCATCTACCTGGTCGCTCTTGTCTTGACTGCTGTGTCACTTGGGACAAATCCTTATATTCCGCAACCCACAAGCTTCAAACAGCGTTTTAGCATTGCTCACGACAACTTACAAGCTGCAGTCCAGACTAGGGGAATAAATATTCGTTGGTATGAAGACTTCTACACGGCATTACTTCGGGTCGGGTTCGCAGCCTTGACCGCTGCTTCGGAGGCTGTCTTCCTCAATGAGGGAAGATCGGTGGAAGTACGACAATTCACCTGGTTGGAAGAAGATAGATTGGATGAATTCGAAACAGCGAAAAATGAGCAAGGCGCACTTTCGAATACTCAGCAATTCCAAATTCTCGAAGAGTATGGCTTGCCACCATCAAGTCCTGGCGGTACGGACAAAGGGGGTGTCTGGGAGTCTGGTTTCGCTAAAGAGCGGAAGTTCGAGCAAAAAGAGGGCGAATTATCTGGGAAAGACTCGTTCGTGTATCCTACGCCACGCACTGGCGGCGTTGGCGCAGTTCAGAGGACAACAAGATTTTATCTTCTGATGATATATTTGCGAGGCATCCTCTTCTTGATTGGAGGATATATTGCGTATGGCCTGGGCATGTTGCTTGACAGCATTGGCATCACTTCACGCCCGCGCTGGTTGAGAAAACTTGTGGGTCGATCGCTGAAGAAAACGCGAAAGGAGAAGAGACGGACGACTTCTGGTATTCCAAGTGACAATTGGTTCTTTTCAGCAGACGGGAAATTTTTCACGTCTGGCGAAATAGATGTCGACATTGAACCAGACATGCGAAGGCAATTGATGACAGAGTTTCCAGGAGAGAGAGTCGATGAGTTACTTGACAAAAAGCTTTACGATTGGTGGAAAGGCGGCGGCTTGTTCGGCACCAAGGATGAGAGCGACGACTATATACCACCTACCAGCGATGATAACGATGATACGACCAGTGTAATCTCAGTGTCTACGGCAATGTCAGAAAGTCATCACAGTGAGGATGATGCCTGGGAATCAGAACCTGATGGGCAACGGACACCTACACAGTCGGCACACAGTCCATCATGGTCTTTTTCGGGTTTACAAACAAGGGAGTCAACCCCGGATTTGATCGACTCACCATTAGACCCGGCGACTCTAGCCAGGCTCCTGAATCCGCAGGACAAAGAATCCCGAGATCAAGCTCGTGTTCTGGCCTCACACCTTTCGAGCTCTCAGCCGTCTGGTATGATGACTCGATCACGCTACCGACGCGAACAGGAGAGGGAAAGGGCGAAGATTCTGCTCGCAGGTCGACTTCCGCATCCCTCCGTATCTTCCTCACCAAATATCTCCCTCTACAGTAGCACCAAACAGGCTGGCCCCCGACCTCTTACTACAACGGAGGAGGCCGAGGTCCTAGAATCACTGATTCTCAACCGCCGCAGGAAACACGCCCCGCCTCCAAGGCCTAACCCAGCTTCCGGAGACGTTGGCGCCGATGATGAAGCTAGCAGACAAGCCGGTCCACCGTGTGTAGTCTGTCAGACAGCCGCCAGAACAATCATCGCGTGGCCCTGTCGATGTCTCTGTGTCTGTGAGGACTGCCGCGTCAGCCTTGCTCTGAATAATTTTGGAAACTGTGTGACCTGCCGTCGATCAGTTCAGGGGTTCGTGAGATTGTACGTTCCTTGAACTGGTACTGGCCTAGATCAGAAGGGCCACGCCGCTTGCTTGCTTGATGTTCTGTGGAGTGTGTGGTATTGAGAAGAAGAAAGAACTATATTCTATGTGTGGACGTCTCTGGACGGTCATTTCTTTTCTTGTATAAATCAGCACCGCGATCGAGCGAAGTCAGGGCCGGAGCTTATCTCCTATTGACAAGCGGTATCTCTCGAGAACGCGTCTACATGAAATGATGGCATGACATAGAAAGAGCGGACGAACATGGCGGCAGGCTCACGGTACCGGAGGGCCCCAAATTATAAGCCTGTCTTCTATCTTTGTCAAACACATAGTGAATAGATCCTGTCAACTGACATTCTCTTTCTTACCTACCTACCATTTAACTAATGCAGCCCCTTGCCACTCCTCGCTTTCCTCAACTGCCAGGCCCCTTGCTCTTGTTCCTATTTATCCTCTGTACTTCTAACTAGACAGCCGGAATGTTACGTGGCATGGGGAGGACGAATCTAATCTTGCTGGTTTGGGGAGGCGGGGGAAGGGCGTTCATCGGTTTACACAGGTTGAAGTGGTACTTTTATTCTGGTTGGGCTAGGCCCTTGGGTATCTATTGATATTGCGTTCCTCTATGTAACCTTACAGCGGTCGGGTAGGTATACAGATACATATGTAGCTTGGATAGACTCTGGAGTCTCGATCGGACAATCCGTTCCCATCTATCTCTAGTGTTTCTGGTGCTGGATTGCGCTATATCTGAGTTGCTTTGCCTGGTGGAGGATGAGCTGCTTGAACAGCCGACCAACATTTGCATGGGTCGTGCAGTATTCTGTTGACTTCCCGAGTATATAATCGGCTTGTCCCCTCTGGACGTTCAAAACAGAGATCGATCGTGTGATGTAGCTCACTTGGCTCAGGGATATCTTAAAAAGACACGTGTATCAAATATTCATTCATCAGTCGCCCCACTCAACCAACATACCGTCTGCGCCTCTGATTTCGAGGCGATTGTTGTCGTCATCGTCGTCACTGCCATTATCGCCGGCATTCTTTTTCTTTTTCTCCTTCTCCTTGGCCACCACGATCTTCGGGGCTGGCTTGTCGCGCTGCACACGTCGTAGCAGGCTCGGGATGTTCTGTCGTCGCGATAAGCCGATTCTATATAGTGTTTTCTTCCCGTTGCTGTGTGAACTGCCGGGGAGAGAGGGCGGGTTGATTGGGGAGTGTTTCGTGGGGCCTTTTTCGATGGTGGCCTTGGTTGGTGTTGTGAGGTTGATTGGGTCGGGTGGTAGGCCGGTTTGCGTTTCTTTTGTCGGCGACGTTGTTGTTCGCGGTTTGGTATCCGGGGAGGACAAGGGAGACACAGTTGGCGCTTTGGGTGTAGTGCTTCTAGCCTTGAGGGCAGTGATGTTGCCCGGCTTTTCAGACAGCGGTTGTCGCGTGTTGTCGTTGGGTGGTTCTTCTCCCTCCAGCTCATCTACCACAACAGCTTCCGGCTCCGCTCGCAGCTCTTCTTGTATTTTTTTAGATTTCCGACCTCGCTTCTTAGGCGCAGCTACAACTGGAGGTGCTTTCGAAGAGGAGGCCGTGTAAGACCTGTTGGCTGCCATTGGTAGTTCGATCGTAATGTTGGAAGTTGTCCCATTCGGAACATTATGCTCGGCTTCCAGTTCAGCTTCTGCAACAGACTTCTGACCCTCCTCTCCTTTGAGGACCTTGAGATCAGGAGGCAGCTCTATCTTCACAGGGGCAGGTTTCGAATCCATCCACAGTACATCATCCTCTCCCTCGCTAAGCATGGGTTCAGTAATTTTCAAGGCAGCTCCGGAAGTCTTTGCACGTTTGACCCTTGATTTACGACCGCCTTTCTTTGTGGTAGATATTTCTACTGGAGCCCCAGCCTCTTGATCCCGAGGTGATGTGCTATTTGATAATGGCTTACTTTTGGCAGGACTATCCGTTGCGATATTCGCAAACCTTGGAGGAGAATAAACGTCATCCTCACTAGGGAGCTTTTTCGATCGTGAACGGCTAGGACGGGGCTTGTAGGATTCCTTTGGCAGTCCGACGAATTGTTCATCGCTTAGATTCACTTCGTTTGTTGGCTGCTTTACTGGGGATTGCTCAGCAAGTGCTGCATCTGCCTCTGCTACCTGCTTAGACTTTCGTTGCTTTCTCTTCTTGCCTGTAGATGAGGCATGAGATGCTGCGGAAATCGAATCCACAGTACCTTGTCTAGACCTTCGTATCAGCTCCGGATCCGGGAGATCGTGCTCATCCATTGCTTTATCAGGTACAGCCGGAGCCGGGGATTCAGAGAGCATCCTCGAGTTCTTCGGCCTGCGTCCGTGCTTCTTTGGCAGGACTTGGTCCTCAGCGATGGAAGTCTTATCTGGAGCAGGCATTGGGTCCGCTGGTGTAAATTTGTCCTCCTCGTTCCCATTCAAATAAGCTTCTGAAGGTTCAAGGTCATCGTACGCCAATCGCGAAGGATCTATAAAAGCAGGCGCTTTCACAACACGGTCATTTTCTGAAGCTTTCTGATTTTGACGGAAAACATTCGCAACTCTTTCGGTCTCGGTCGGATTGGAATCCTCATCTAATGATACCTGGCTCAAAGAACCAAATGGATTGGCATTAATATCAATAGCCTCGCCGGAACCGCGATAATCAAGATTGATAGAAGCATAGCCTCCCATAGATGCTGTCGATGTAGTAATATTCTGCAAGGAGTTGTGAATGCTGATCTGCCTTGGACGGTCGACGCCATTGAGGTGTGAAACCGCCAAGCTCGTGGACTGGTCTGAGAACGAGGGAGCGGCCTCTCTAGTGTTGCTATCATCGGATTGACCTACTGATGCCTTGTTTTCAGCCTGGAAGAGTAGCTCTGGGGATGTGGCGAATAGATCCTGGTGCTCAGCTGCACCAGATTTTGACCGGTGGCTATAAGTCTTCGTCCTCTTAGTTGTAGAGAGTTTGACTGAGACATCATAGTCAGCTATGTCGGGGCTTTTGTACATTGCGCTGTGTGCTCGCTTTCTGGAACGTGCAACTGGGGGCGGATCCGCAGAATCTGGTCTTTGCCCATGAGCGGCGTTAGGGATGAGTGCATCATGCGCCTCGCTTATGCCATCAAAAAGCCCGATGGTGTTGGCAGAGGTTCTCTCAGCGCTTTCGAGGGAGGAGAGGCGTTGTGTCGGGTCCATGTACTCGTCAAAATTGATCTGTGACGATGCTGCTGTCCCTCCATGCTCAGTCATAGTTTCACCTAAAATCGGTTGTCTACCAGGAGAGTCGAGGTCGGACTCGGCGTCCGAATCAGCGATTTCGTGCGGCATGGGCAACGGTGGATGAGCTCTACATGCATGTCCAGTGTTGGTAGCAATCGGGGATGAGTCTGATGTTATGCTGGTACTCGTAATGTTTGTGGAAGCGCGTTCTCTCCCAACTGAGGTTGTCGCGTCGCGTCGCAATCCCAAATCAATGACTCGCGAGGTCACGTGGCACGCTTAAATTTCAGTACAGTATTTCAGCCAGCGACAGCTTGGCGCCCGACTGACGCGCATCGCAAATCGAGCATGGGACACTAATGCGTTCTCTGAATATCTCATTTCTCTTATCTTCTTTGGTTCAACTGGTTGTTTGGAACTTTGAGAATGTGATCCTTATCGAGTGCAACGGTGGGGAGCTCAAACGCGGTACCCACACATACCGTAGCCAGAGTCCGACCGTACAGCAACTGGGCCGAGGCCGGCGGGCAACTGAGTCCCCATTATGACTTGGAACTTGTTGCAAGTTCTATTTGTCAAAAGGGTAGTTAAGCTCATAAAACCGAGCCTTGCATTTGCACTTATAGCTTGGCCATACCAATCACCACGCAATGTTTGAGAGAGACTACATAATTCCACAGATACTTTCTGACTGGAGGGAATCCCAAGATGCAGGTACACCTGTTTTTGTCCCTAATTCCATCCTATGTCCCTGCAACGCATCACAACTTGCCACAAAAGAGTCAGCAAGTTGCATCTATCATTGAGATCCACAAGTACTTGCGCAATCAAAGGTAGGTCCGGGATCGATTGCACACAGATTAAAAGCGATTTTACCAGGAGGTAGAACATTTAAGGGGAGCAGCATTCCAGTATCTGTGGGTATTGCCACAACATCAACCTCCCAGTGCTTCAACAGACAAACAACTTCAACAGGCTCAGCTCGAACAGATTCTAGGCGTGCAAAAATGGCATCCCATCCAGACTTCGGAAAATGGACGGAAGGATCAACAGTAACTGCTGCGTTCCCCGACCAGATCAAAGGGAAAACAATCCTGATCACTGGAGTTTCCCCCAATGGCCTGGGTGCGAGCACGGCAGAAGCCTTGGCCGCCCACGAACCGGCGCTGCTGATACTCACAGGGAGGACGAAAAGCAAAGTGTAGGCAGTGATAGAATCACTGACAATGACATGCCCGGCAGAGAAATATCGTTTCCTTGAGCTCGATCTATCATCGCTGGCGGCAGTCAGAACAGCTGCTGAAGAGGTCAAGGCATACTCCGACGTACCGAACATAGACATTGTCATTTGCAATGCTGGGGTTATGTGGCTTCCACAACGAGAGCTATCGAAGGATGGAGTCGAAATGCAATTCGCTACAAATCACCTGGGCCATTTCCTCTTTGTCAACCTCATTGTGGCGAAGCTTATTGCCGCTGCCACGGCTTCCTCACCCGGCGGCGTGCGGATTATCAACGTGTCGTCCTCAGGTGCCCAATTCTCACCGGTGCGGTTTTCTGACATCAACTTCACCAAAGCACAAGCGGACATACCTGAGGGCGAGCGGGCAAACCTCGAGCTGATGAAAGCCTACGGGATGCCAGCAGAAGGCATATACAACCCGATTACGGCGTACGGGCAGTCTAAAACGGCCAACGCCTTGTTTTCATTTGAGCTCACCCGTCACTTGTTCGATAAGTGTAAGATCAAATCATTTACCTTGCACCCGGGCGGGATTCTCACAGATCTATGGAGGTATACAGACAATGACCTTGTTCAACAATTGGTGGCAGGCCAAGAAGTCGCAGGTGGGTTCAAGAGACTGAAACAAGGCTGTTCCACGACGCTTGTTGCTGCGCTTGACCCAAACTTGCCCGAAACTACATCCGGCGGGGCCAATTTATTCTTGGATGACTGCCAATTTATCGAGATTACTCCTTGGGCAAAGGATGCTGGAAGCGCAGAGCAATTATGGCAACTAAGTGAGAACTTGGTTGGGCAGAAATTTACGAGTACGAGGGACAGTGAAGTGTAAATAGCGTTCTCAGACATAGTACAAGGTACTCAGTAATCCGTATTCCGAGTATATTTAATCCGTATTCTGAGTATATGGTCAGTATTGTAACCCCTTCGTGGAGCCACCGTTTGCTTGATAGTCCAGACAGTAACCGAGTATGTGCATGAAGGACGGGCCCACCGTGCCGGACCGTCGCTACGTGGCCTTAAAATCGTGGGTCAAAATGGGTTGACGGGGTGTTGATTCCGCTATCCGTGCGTGATAGTCAATCTGCACGGGTTGACAACGTGGGAAGATTCGGCCAAAGGATTGGTGGAATCGGAGGCGAGCTTTGATGCTCCTTGCGCGTCAAAGGGCAAAGGGGTCAATGCCGGGCAAGGGAAATTCTTGGAGAAAGCAGAAATGCCGAACGGCCGCTGATGAAGCAGTTGAAGGATGTGGAAGAAGGCAAATCCTCTTCATTTTGTTGAGGATAGCAATGGGAAATATTCCTTGGAGGCGCATGCCAGCGCCAGTGCAGTGTGTGGTTGAACTCGTGTCCTCAATAATCCTGTACTGGAGTCATTCTTGCCGGTTTAGTGGAGCACTAAGTGCTTGGGCAGTTAGTAGCCACCTAGTGCTTCCATGAGGGCGCTCGGGACTTAGGGCGGCGGCACCAACGTCATCCTTACTCAATCTTCCGCACACAACAACATTTGCCTCCCGCCAAACCACCCCCGAGATACGTCGTGCTAGCACCAGGGAAGACTAGGGACTGCGTACCTGAGCCGGCAATTCGTATCTGCCTTACATCACTACTGTTGTTCAAGCCCTCACCGACTGGACCACCCAATTCCACAACCCCAGGCCAAGTGAAGGCAATCAGTATCACCACTCATCCCAGAGCAAACACCGCCTCACCACCTTGATTGACAAACCCTCCACCAGCCTCTTGCTCCTCCACGTGCTGCTTGAGCTGCCCGTTGTCGAGTCGTGCCACATTCAGACCGCCTCCGTCCGAAAGTACGATTCTTCCTCTGGCCCTTTCGTTTGCACCACGTTGGCCCCATTCAATGCTGCCCGATCCTGTTCCTCCTTGCGACTGACCACCGATCCTTCCCAGCAAATCATCATTCCACGCACAATCTCCCCTGTCGACTCCTCTTTGCCCAATGTTCTGCCCATGTCCAGTAGCTCTCCCGCCGGAAGGCCCTCCGCGCCTGCCACAACGATAGATAGCCAGCCACTGCTCCGCCGTCCATCTGCTTCCTCTTCCTCGGATCCAAGTCCAAGTCCCTCGTCGACTGCCAGACCTATTCCAATCTTACGGGGAACCAAGGTGAAGAATACATACTATGGGGGAGGCCCGCACAGCAGCTTGCGGAGGGCTCAAACCTTTGACGACCATTCCCCTCAGCTTTCAGAAAGAGACACCATCTTTGCTGACCACTATGTCCCTGCCCACAATGGGCCTTCGTCTCTGACAGAAGGGGCTGCCCGGTCTGCTTCGCCTGTCACTCCACGGAAGGACCCTGTCGCCATGTCAACAATGGTCACTCACTCTATCTCTCCTCCTGATCCCTCGCGATCCAGTGCCGGATCTTCTTCTCGAAATCTGGAATGGCTCCGCAAATCAGATTCTGCTACCGACAAGGAAATTCCTGGCCCCCCCAATCCCAGGCCCTCTACGGGGACAATTCAAGGCATCCGGAGAATTGCCTCTGACAGTCACACATGGTCCAAGAAATTTCATGTTACGGTCGGCTCGATGGAGGGCAAAGATGCTAAGACCCTAGACACAGGGCATGATCGGCAAGACCAGCAAGGCCGTACACAATCAGACATACCGACTGTTCGAGATCACGAAAGCTCACAACATACTGCGGTTGAGTTAGGGCCGGGCTCACTACGGAAAGTGCTTCAAGAGAAGCCCAGACCAGAACGTAGCGTCAGTCGGGGACGTACCCATGTCGACAAAAGCATCGAAGCCACTGTGAAAAACCCCGAGGCTGTTGGAAATGCTCGCAGTAGGAAAGCAAGTCATATGATGGGCATTTTCGACCCAAGGACCGATTCACGTTTACCGGTGGTGCCATCGTCAGGCGCCAATGATCTTCCTCCCCATATTAGCACTGATTATAAGAACCTTCCCACATCGACTTCGCGCCCTACAAGCTCCTCATCTCAAGATGTTATTACCGGTAGAGCAACCAGACATTCCTCAAAAGAGCCTAATGAGAACTTCTATTCTACACATCGTGACGACAGTCATTTACCTAGTGCAAGAGGATCTCAGACGTCCTCTCAACCCAGGCCTGATCACGACCCATACTTCCGTCACCAGGATCTCGCCCAGGTACCTAGCATTCTTCCAAAGTTACTTGAGGAAATCAAAGGAGCATACAGGACGCGAGTCCTCAATGTTAACCTAGATGCACCAGCCGAGCGTACTCAGACTGCCTTCGGTCCCACTTCGGCGGCGGATACAGCTCATCGACGTACGGGTCGTGACGACGAAGAAGAACACATCTCAGCAGCGGTCTACTATCCTCACCCTGGCCCGTCTCCCGAAGAGATTGAACGATTCGCATCTCCCGGAGAACATGCGCTGGACCTTGACAAGAAGTCTCTTCTGTCACCAGTTCAAAGCATCTTACCCAATGATAAAATATCGATTGATTCGCTGAGACCAGCTGAGCACATTGACATCTCTGTGGTCTCCAAAAACGATACAAAAGTCTTCCATGGTAATTACCAGCCCGTTCATGAGGTCTCCAATGATCTCGTCGATATTCCATTTGATGAACATTCAACAAGTGCCATTCTTACCACTTCCGAGTCAGAGGCCGAATCTAGTGACGAGCTAGGACAACAAAGCCAGGCCGAAGATATTTCTACAACTCCAACTCAGACTCCCATTATCGCCAGGAGGCCTACTGATGTACCTGGATCTCGGACACGAGCAAAAGTTGTCCTTGAACCTTACAAGCATCAGGTGGGAGGGCACTCAACGATTTTCCGCTTCTCTCGACGTGCAGTTTGCAAGCAACTGAACAATCGAGAGAATGAATTCTACGAGCGTATCGAACAGCGTCACCCTGACATGCTTAAGCTGCTTCCAAGGTATATCGGTGTCCTCAATGTAACTTTCTCCAAAGTGCCGAAGCAAGGAGAGCCTACCGAGGCCAAGCCCGAGGATAACCAAACAAGTGCCATGGCGGGTCTCATTCATGGCAACGACCTTGGATCCGAGCTGGACCCTGCTCTCACAGCTCGTGTTTTGGAGAAGCCCCGGATTGTGAGCCACTCGCAACAGCTTGGGAGTATCCCTCAAGTCATCCTCGACCAGAACAAGCATATTGTTCCTTCGAACTATTTTGCATTACCCGAGCGGCCTAGAAGTGCTGATCCCAACCATGGGCGGCGTCTCAGCAAGGACTTTGACATGACTAGCAGTGGACATGAACACCAAGGAGAGGACCCCAAGTCGCCACCCAGACCAGCTCTGCCGGAACACTCAAACAGCTGGGGAAATACTTCAGTCAATGAAGGATTGAAAGATAAAGTTCTCCGTGAGGTATTTGGTCCCCCCCCTGTGCAATATTATCGCCGTCATCTATCGTCCCACACCCATGGGACCATCCCAAGGCTCAAACCTGGGCAGTACCATTCCGATGGATCTCGTCGCAAAAGTAATCTTTCGACAAATACAGTCCCTCTGGTCGAAAGTTTGAGCACTGATAAAGAGCATAGTAAAAGCTCTGCTAGTTCAGAACACTCTGCAATGGCGCGTGTGTTGGAAGAGTCCGCCAATGGCTTGGAGGTTCCCACCGGCGCGTATTCCGCCTCGTCGGCTGTTGACGGCATGACTTATGGACTTGAGAAAGTCAGGACGACAGGAAGTGAAGTTTCGACTACCTCTAACGGAGAGCCAAAAACCCACGTGAAAAGGCGCCACTCAGGCATGGGTCTCAGAAGACGGCACGTGTCAGTCAATGAGACACGACCTCCGGATCTTGAATACTTTGAGGATGAGGCTTACGCAACTGATGTTGGCCCAGACACTGCAAATGATGTTTTTACTATGGATCAAGACCTGGATCCCAACGAAAAGAAAATCGACTCTGGGCCAGCACGACCACAAAATGGCCGACCTATGCAACGTCCAAATGGTGGTGATGCGGCGGCCGATAATTTCGAAACAGAGCCACATGAGTTGGCCCAAGCTCTAGTCCCAACAAATCCGAAAGATGCTCAATCATCAAATTCAGGAGATCGAGTGGTGTACTTTATTCTCATGGAAGATCTTACGAGTGGGATGGGACGGCCCTGTGTGCTCGATCTCAAAATGGGCACCCGACAATTTGGCGTCGAGGCGACTAAGAAGAAGATGGAATCTCAAAGGCGCAAATGTAAAACAACAACATCGCAGGTTCTGGGTGTGAGAATATGTGGCATGCAAACATTTGATGCCAAAATTGGAAAAGCGTCATACGAGGACAAGTATTTCGGCCGCGACCTCAAGGCAGGTCGTGAATTTCGCGATGCATTGGTAAGATTTCTTTATGATGGAATTAGCTATAGCAGTGTTGCAAAGCACATTCCCACTATTCTGCACAAGGTGTCTAAACTTGAGAGCATGGTCCGACGGCTACCGGGTTATCGATTCTATGCGAGCAGCTTGTTGATGCTTTATGATGCCGAGCCCTACAAATCACGCGAGGCTGAAGAAGCTGCAAGGAACGGCATAAACATTGCCGAGCAGAAGAGCAAGGAAGGCAAAAAATGGCCACCACCAATCGAGCTCAAGATTGTGGATTTTGCCAATTGTGTCACCGGCGAGGATCCATTACCATCAAATGCTCAAGCACCACCAGCACATCCAAATGACATTGATCGTGGCTATCTACGCGGCTTGAGGACGCTCAAGGTCTACCTAGAGCGTATTCTTGGAGATATCAAATCGGCTGAGATACCGGATCGCGGCGATGGAGAAGAGATCGCCAGCGAAAATGGACTCAACAAAGAATATTCTCATTCGATCAACGCTGCTGAAGAACTACGGGACGAGGGAGAAGTCAGTATGTGATGGGACCGACAATCTGTCATAGAATCATTCGAATGGAGCAATCCAGAAATGTCTTTCAATCATGATTAGCGAGGAGTGCGGAGTCTATTTCAAGTCTCGTTTTCTTGTTAGGTTTTCTGAAAGTATGGATAAGGCGATGGCTGCGTCAAATTGCGAAGGGTATGATTACAAGAGATATCCCACAGCAACTAATACGTGCCTTTTGGAAGTGAAGACGAGCATATTCCGTATGCCAAACATGACGCGGCGTGGTGCTTCTCATTGTTGTGGAAAGGAAAGGACCGCTTCTGTCAAAATTACCGCAGACCATGCTGCTACTGCTATTGCTATTACTATCAGTACTGGATGAGCATCCTCCATGCTCCTTGGTCAATTTACATTATAAATGGATACACGTAGTCTCAACTGAGTGTTTTTTCGATAGTCCCATGCCATGTTAATAGCTGTACGTGCACTCCACTATGACCTGGCAATGGATTTTGGTCTTGTTGGCGATTACCAACATCTAAGAGAATAATAACCAAACTTTGCTAAGGAACATCTTTATCGACCTCCCAAAGCATTGCATTCATAGCCTAGCGGCCTCACCATGCCCTTGCAGATTAGAGCTGGACACGTGCCCAGAATAGTGCCTAAGATTCGTATTCCTCATGCAACAAGCCTCGGGTGGCTTGCCTTTGCTTTCGGAGGAGCCGTGGGAGTCTCAGAGAGATTCTAGACGCATGCTTTTCGTATTCAGCCTTGGCGGCTGAAATCGAGGAGGCGGGAGTCAAGAACCTTGGATGTAGCTGATATCCATCTCTCCCATGAATTCACCTTGCAGACCATAACAAGTGTCATGGTGGAGGCTCTTGCCGTCGCATCTGGCGCATTGCTGGACTGCTGTCCTCGACAATCGAGGTATAAATCGAGGACACGGAGGAGTACAGAGAAGTGCTTCAGCGACTTCAGGCGAAACTCTTAAAGGAATCCTCCGCGACGGGATTCTCTGCGAAACTAAAATCGTTTACGTGGCCTTTTAATGAAGAACGAACGCAAGGAATTCTAGATGTACTACGCAGACACAATGCTTTTGGACAAGCTTTGTCGATCGATTCATTACAAGTTTGCACAGCCTCGCGACATACTTTTAGTATTGACTAGGTAATAGTTGAGTCGAGGCAGAGATACTCAAAGAGGTGCAATTTCTAAGCAACAAGCGAAGAGGTAGGATCACGTTGATATCTAGATTCGCTGAAACCGGGAGACTCATGCACTATCAGAAAAGAGCCAGGCTCACGTCCTCGAATGGCTATCACCAGCAGCGCACGATATCAAACAGAAGCAGCACGACGTCTTCTCTAGACGCGTCGGGAATACCGGGAGCTGGCTGTTGGACAGCCAAGAATTCAGAGGGTGGACACAAGATCCATTGCCGTCTATTCTGTGGTGCTCAGGCGATCGTGAGTGGAGATATCCCATGGTATTCTAGTCTAACAATACGCAGCGGGAAGCGGGAAGACGGTCTTGAGGTTTGGAGCCAGACTCATCTCCAGCTGTACCTGCTAAAAGGAAGTAGTTCCATTGTGATCAACCACCTTTCTCGAAAAAGCCAGCCTGAGAAGGTCGTTTACGCCGCTATTTATTGCGACTATGAAGACCAAACTAGCCAAACCAACTTAAATCTCATTGCAAGCATCACCAAACAAGTGATTCAAGGGCAATCTTCCTTCTTCAAAGCTGGAGGATCTTTATGAGACACTCCAGCAACAGCCTCCACTCCCTACTCTCAAAGACTATGAAGGATTGCTACATACGGCCTGTCGATCGTTTCAAACTGTATTTCTGGTTGTCGACGCCGTGGACGAGCTACCACTTGATTGCAGGAGAACGCTTCTTCCCATTCTCGTCGGCCTTCAACAACAGCAGCTAGCTAGAGTCCTCGTCACCAGCCGACCTCACGCTCAAGATATCCAACGCACACTGAAGCAACATACAAAGCTCGAAATCCGCGCCGCTGATGAGGTCGTTCATTCATAAGAACCCACGTGGCCGAAGATGAAGATCTACTCGATGCAATGGACAATGATGAGAAGATGAAGGAGGACGTGATTGAAACTATGGCCACTGTCGCTCAAGGGATGTGAGTACCTGTCTGATACAGATGTCTCGCCTTGGCTAGATTGGAGACCATTACGGGTTTCACGATCTATTACGGACTCACGCAAGAAACTCTTTACTAACATGTCTAAGCATACTTCTTCCGGTCCTTCAACTCAAACACCTTCAAGGGCTCTTTCGTAAGAGCCAGATCCGAAAAGCCCTGCGAACTATGCCTAAGGATCCTTTCAGTATGTACGACACGACAGTCGAGCGGATAAACAACAGGGTGCCCAACGAAGTGGGCTTGCTTTGATGGTGTTAGGCTGGATATCTCACGCACAAAGGCCGCTCCTCATCGACGAACTCAGGAATGCTCTAGCGGTGGATTTTGGCGAAACCGAAGGCTATGAGAGAGTGCGACAGGTCGACATGGATAACCTTGTCCGCCCACAACTGTTGGTTGATCTTTGTGCAGGACTCATAACTATCGAACCGGAAAGTCAGGTTGTACGACTCGTCCATTTCACGACACAGGAGTATTTCAACAAGAATAGTGACTTACACTTTCCAGACCTTCCTGCAATCTACGCGAGCGAGAATTTTTTCGATGGTGTAACCTTTTTGGGACACGACCCGACTGATTTGGTCCATTGCACTCTGCAGCATCCCAAGGATTGGATGTATCCATCAAGGCACTTCTAGATGAAGGAAACGACCCGTACGGCATAGATGGAACCTTCAAAACTCCTGTGCACTGGGCTACATGGCGAGGGCACTGCTCCTCGTTGAGGATACTGTTGAGCACCGGATTTGAAATACATACACCCAGTGAAGATGGCTTTTTATTATTTGAAACAGCAGTTGACCAGGGCCATGAAGAAGTGGTGCGATTACTCCTAGATCGCGGATTCGAAGTTAATAGACGAGGATTTGACGGAGGTACAGCATTGCTGACAGCTGCGATAACGGGCCGTGAAATTCTCATCGATCTCCTGCTCGAGTGTGGGGGGAATTGTCAATTGACCACACAGTTGGGAGAGACAGCTCTGATGAAGGCAGTACTTTCGGGTCAGAAAGGGATCGCGAAAATACTCCTAAGAAATGGGGCGAGCGTTACATCTACAAACTCATGTGGTAATACAGCGCTCCATTGTGCTGCATACACAGGACAGCATGAAATGGTCGAGCTTCTACTTGAGGCTGGTGCTGATGTCAATATGACTACCACAAACGGAGCCACGGCCCTTCACCTCTCAGCCAACAGGGGCTTTGAAGGCATTGTGAAGTACTTAGTTGGGAAGGGTGCTAGTATCGAAGCAAAGACAGCTGATAGGATTGAAGACCTGACACCTTTAATCAAAGAGGTTGGCCGATGCATTCCCTGAATGGTTCAATTACATGCATGTGGAAGAGGGGCTACACCTCTGTTTGAGGCAGCGTCGTATGCCCACAAGGACGTTTTTCATTGTCTGGTGAGCCTTGGAGCGTCTCTTGATACTAGGGATGCAGATTTCAGTACATTGCTGATGGCGGCAGCGATTTCAATTAGCTACTGTAGGTGGGGTTCTATCCTCGAGGACATCACAAGTCAGAAAGCTATCAACTCGTCAGCACTTGAGTTGGCAAAATTTTTGATCGACCATGGAGCAGACGTCAATGCTTCCAACAAATCGCGGGAGACCCCATTACTGCTTTCAGCAGAACGCGGCTTCCTCCAGCTTCTCAAACTTCTTGTCCAGCGTGATGCAGACTTAAAGGCTAAGACCGAGGAGGCATCTACGATGCTTCACCTCGCAGCGTTCTATAGCCATGCTGACATTTTAGCCTGGCTGATCAAGCGAGGAGCAGATTTGGAGCTCAAGGACAAAGAAGGGTGCACTGCGCTCCATATGGCATCACATTCTGGTGCGCTGGAAGTGGCACGGATGTTACTCGATAGTGGTGCAAGGACTGAGGTCTACGACGAAGAGGGAAGAACACCACTTTTAAGAGCTGTATGGTCCCACAACCCAGAATATGTTCAATTTCTCCTGGACCGGGGCGCGGATGCTGGCTATCAGGTATTTCATGAAGTCGATGCACTTTATTGTGCAGTCCTGAATGACGAGCTCGCAATAGCGAAAGTGCTTATCGGAAATCATGCTGATCTAGTGAAAGGGTTGGAGGAACGAAAGATGATACACTTAGCTGCCGAACGGGGAGACGAAAGCGCTGTGCGTAACCTGGTCAAAGACGGTGTGACCATAACCTCTGAAGATGAGAATGGCGACATGGCCATTCATTACGCGGCTGGTGCTGGCCGAATCGAGGTGATCCAGTACCTGTTCGAGGCGGGCGCAGAGGTTGATGCTCTTGGCAACTTTAAAAGAACGCCTCTGCTGTATGCAGCGGTGGAGGGCCGAGACGAAGTTGTCGTCTTACTCTGCGAAAAGGGTGCAAGTGTGAACTACAGGTGTTCGAGAGGATCGCATGCTCTTGGTGCTGCGCTTAGCAGCAAGAATTTTCGCCTTGCAGGCCTTTTAGTCAAGCGCGGAGCGAAGCTCGACGATCAACAAGGCCGTATTTGGGAAGCATTCGAAGACGGCAGTTGTCAAATGCTTGAGTTTCTGATTCAGAATTGGGATGAATTCTCGCCCATTCCCGAGGAGATCATGTTAAAGCTCATACAGGTTGCAGCGGAGCATCGAGACGTTGCGTTTGCGAAGTGTCTTATCGAAAGAGGGTATCCTGTCAACAGCGAGTATTTATCCCGAACTACCCCCGTCCCGATCGCCATCTGGAGTGGGTGCCTCGAGATGGTTGATTTCCTGTTGGACAACGGTGCGAAAACAGTTGAGTTCTTCTAAGGAACAATCCTGTCCATCTGGCCCTTCGCTTGGGCGATGAAGAGATCTCCCAGCGTCTATCAGAACGCAACGTCGAATTCCAAGCAAATGAAGCGATGTTTATTGCAGTCCGGCAGGGGCTGCATTCTTTCGCGTCGAAGTTACTGGTTATTGGGGCAGATGCACCGTTAAGAAAGCTCGAGGACAGAGATGCAGAAGGAAACATGTTGCTACATGTCGCTGCGTTTCATGGCCGCTTGGACGGTGCACGATTGCTGCTTGATCACGGTGCGAACATGGAAGCTACCAATCTGAAATCTGAGACACCCCTCTTCTCTGCCGCTGATGAAGTATCAAAACTCCTCTTTGAAAAGTGTGCAAATATACACGCGATGGATGAAAACGGTCGTACACCTTTGCACCATGCAGTTGGATCGTACGAGCGTGATCCATCGGATCGGGTGAAACTGCTGGTTTCCCATGGAGCGAAGATCAATCTTGGCGATCGTGAAGGTAATACTTGTTTGCATCTTTGCTGCATGAATCGCTGGACGGAGGGGGCAACTGTACTCCTTGCTAAAGGTGCAGATATTTCTGCTCAAAATAGCGAGAAGAATCAACCGATACATCTTGCCATACAAAACCAAGCATTTCGATGGGGCTACTACGATGACGAAGGTTCGTTAGAGAGGATCCTTCAGGAGCCTATCGAACTGCTTCTAAAGCAAGGTGCCGATATAAACGCGCGTGGTCTTCATCGACGCACTCCTTTGCACGTGGCAGTGGAGGATTCAACCCTGGTTGAGTATCTTCTATGAGGCGGCGCCGATATTGAGGCTGGAGATGACGAAGAAATGACTCCACTCTTGTATGCCTGTGTTAGAGACACGCCGACTCAGACCTTCGAGATATTGATACGCCATGGTGCGGATATGCACAAGGTTGATAGCCTCGGCCGCAGCGCGCTAAAGCTGGCACTTGAGAATGGAACCTACCAGGGGGCTGAGGTTCTCCTCAAAGCATCAAGGTGGGCGACAGAGTTCACGGTGAACATTGCGTGAAAACGCCCAGTTGGACATGGGCGTGTCGGTGTCGACCACGCCGAAACCTACTCCTGCAGTTCCCTACTCGTCGAATCAGATGGGGCCTTTCCTGGCCCAAGAGTAATTGCTTGTTTCTCCATTGTATTTCCTTCACACTGAAGAAGTAACGTCGACCACAGAAGTCAGGTTGAAGAGCAGGTCGGTGGGCGTAAGATAGTGCACAAATGAAGTATTTATGCAGGCGACCTCCACCAGGACAACATTCCGCAGGTGAGTTTGGAGTGTCTACTGTTACCTTTGGGAAGGAATGCGAGAGGGGAACGAAGAAAAGCATTCGACCTGTTGGTGGTTTGCATTTGCTCGCGGCCCACTCGGCTAGGATAGATTGTGGATGTATTGGTTCGGGCATGGATCTCAACGGGGTTTTGCTTTTCGCTCCACTTTTGCTCCACTTTCGCTGCACATTGGCAGTATTCCGTACTTACCTGTTTTCAACGGTGCTCGTGAGCATCTGTCGAGACAACGGAACCCCTGAGCAAGGAGTAGTTGCCATGGTGAATGAGATTGTAGACTGGCCTGCTAATATCTGTGGCTTTCATTGAAAAATATTCAGAAGCATGCGAAACGCATGCTTTAGCCCTTCGGTGATGGTGCTGCCTGTATCGAACGTACAGTATCTTCTGTTGAGATGTGCAACTCCATCCCTGTCTTCATCTTGGGACAGAAGCATCGCTCGAGCCCACCATGCTAATTCAATTGACTTGAGCGCCCGTTTTAGATTCCCTATGAGAACTTGCAAGGTTGTGGCGAAAGTCTCTTGTCGACACCACCCAGTCAGGTGTGGACCTTCACAGTCTTGAGTTTCCCAACCACCTCTTTCTACATAAGGGATGGCAGCCTTGTGCTCCATATCGGACCACATCAGGTCCACGACAGGCAATTTCTCCTTGATATAACCCGGAGCATAAGGGCGGCCGCGGTCGCCTTGCTCAGCCTCAAGCCCACTCTGCAGAGAGATCTGAGATGTTCGGCTCAGTGCATTCATTGGAATCACCTCTCCTTTGCATTCAGTATTTGTGAAAAAAGATCGCTCAAAGTTTTAGAGATGATGGTCTTCCTCCCTTTCGGCCTTTTTCTTCAGCTCAACAGACAGTGAGTGGGTTCCTAGGGTCGATCGAAGGTGGCAAAAGGTAGAGAGGTCATGAATCTGCGAGAAATGGGCTGGCTTTAAGAACCTCCTCCTCCACCAGCAAGATTTTCCTTCTCTCACATTTCTACTCACACAATAAAGCATACTGCTAGTACTCACATTGTTAGCACTTGCTCACTAACCCCTCTTTTCACTGTTAATAAACAGCATTAACAGTCCTATCATCATGGGTATTTGCGGTTCGAAGCACCTCAAGAAGGACATCGAAGAGGGCGGTCTTATGGCACTTCGTCTTTCTGCTCGTTCTCAGGTCTGCTAATCCCCCGCTAGAGACTCAACCAATACCTTCCCGGAAGGCTTTGCTTGGGTTCACAAGCTTGGTCGAGTCAGAAGTCGGCTGCTGAAGAAGGACATCGCCAAGGATGAACTGGATCCCTGTCCGACTCCAGTCACTTCCCAGGTCTCCCAAATCTTGAATACCATGGCGGCAACCACATCTAAGCATGCTGCTTCGCCGCCAGGTCCCGGGACACCCTCTCCACAGATCCAGCTTTCTGGAGAGGCTCCCGTGCTGGGCTATGTTGCCTATGTCAAACATAGGAAGCACCAGCACACCGATGGAATCTGTAGCCGCTGCACATCGCAACCGATGTTCAGCCAGTACTCAGGTTCCATTCGGCGGGAAGCTCCCAGGACGGCCTCACCAGAGGCTCCCGGGTTGGGCTTTGTTTCCTACGTCAAGCACAGGAAACACCAACATTCTGATGCAATCTGTTCACGCTGTACATCGAAAACGATGTTCAGCCAGGATTCCTTCAGGTTGGGCAGCGCACAACTCTCGTGGGAATCACTCATCTGGTATGTTGAACCCCCTTTTCTTTTCCCATGCTGACTTTTTTTTGCTTCCAGTGGCAGCGAGGTCTCCTAAGTGAGACAAGCCACAGATTGAGAATAGATCAACCCACTAAGTATGTCTCATTTTTTTCGTTCTGTTGGCGTTGTGGAGTTCTGGCGTTTTTGTTTTTAGCCCATCGACAGAGGTCAGGTTCACGTCCTGATGGGTGCCAGTAAGAGTTCCCATGAGCTCTGAAGCTGAGAACCTCTATTTTGTAGTTTTGCCTCGGTCAAGCTTCTCTTCAATTTTTTTGTCGTTCCTGAATCCCTTTGTTGGTGCTTCCGGAGTTAGCTTGATTTTGTGGTTTAAGGTTTTAAAGAGGCTGAAAGTGATGGAATGTCGTGTACGAATTGATGTCTTCGACAGCCTTTGAGAATAGCCAATGAATTCATCTTGTGTTTACTTAGTCATCAGCATCAACCTGTTCTTCAGGTGGGTTGCGTCAACTGCTGTGGTAATGTTCTTACATAGGTGAGGTTTGCTATCTCAGCCTCGTCCTATTCGCCTGGATGTCGCCTAAGCCGGCCCCTGCATGAACCCCTTGTACAGTAGCTCTCAGAGGGTGAGCTCAGGCCACTCGCTTGAGCAAGTCCCCGTTCCTGGCACGTGACGTTCGAGTCGAACCCGGCATTATTATTTTCTCCCTCACCGCCTGCCTGCCTCAATCTGCAGTTCCCTCCTCCACATTCTGCGTCAACAAAGAAACCTCAACTCTACCCCACCCAGACATTCTCTCCTCCTACAGTCCCTCCTTGATTTAGGACCTTTCGTTACTACGATCGACCTCCTCTCAGGACCTTCCCAGACCAGTAGCGTCACCAGAATCTGAATCAGAATCATGTCGACCACGACCATCACGCGCGACAATGTCACCACCCTCTTCCCCGAAGTGCACACCCGACTGATCGGCGCCGACATGGCTCCCAACGCCCGACCCTCAGGCAGCGACGGCGACGCAGCGACCGACTCCAACGACCTCGCTGGCTACGACGAAGAGCAGATCCGCCTCATGGACGAAGTCTGCATTGTGCTGGACAACAACGACATGCCCATCGGCTCTGCCTCCAAGAAAGCGTGCCATTTGATGACCAACATCAACCAAGGTCTGCTACACCGCGCCTTCTCCGTCTTCCTATTTCATCCGCAAACCAAGAAACTCCTGCTGCAGCAGCGCGCCAGCGAGAAAATCACCTTCCCGGACATGTGGACCAACACCTGCTGCTCACACCCACTGGCACACCCTGCCGAGACCGGACACGGCGACCTCCCCAGCAACATCGAGGGCGCAAAGCGCGCCGCCGTGCGCAAGCTGGACCACGAGCTCGGCATCCCGGCCTCGCAGGTCCCCATCGCCGACTTCTCCTTCCTCACACGCATCCACTATCTGGCGCCCTCGGATGGGAAATGGGGCGAGCACGAGATCGACTATATCCTGTTCATCGAGGCCGATGTCGACTTGAAGATCAATGAGAATGAGGTGCAGGCCACGCGTTGGGTCAGCGCGGACGAGCTGCGCCAGATGTTCAAGGACGTCGAGTCCCAGACCGGCATTGACGCGGCTCTGAAATACACTCCGTGGTTCAGACTGATCTGTGAGGGGATGCTGTTCCGCTGGTGGGATGCCCTGGTCGAGGGAAAGCTCAGTGCGTTCACCGACGAGCAGGACATTCGGAGGATGTAAGCGGACTTGTTGGACCGTTTGATGGCTCTCATATCATGGCACGAGATTCCGTGCTCACAATGTAATGACTGGAAGCACAGTCTTTATGAAGAAGGGGACAAGCGTGGATACGTGGATACGAGACATGCATTTGCGTACAATCTGAGTGTGAGTTGCTTAGTGCGAGCCACACAACACAAGGCGTTTTGGGCGCATCGCATCGGATGAGACTCCGTACGAGAATACCACTGCATTGCTACGCGGGCTGACAGCGTTTGGGGATATATAGGTGCACACGTAATACAATCTACAGTTTAAACCACCCAGCAGCTCAGAACGGTCCCAATACTTCATGGCGTGTGAAACGAAAGAATCAGTCTCGTACCTGATGATGTTTTGGCGCAAAAATGTGGTCCCATAAAAGCCAGAGGCTTCCCTCTTTTGAAAATGTTTGTTGAGATCCATGAGTTATCCAACCGGCAAAAATCTCAGCCGTATATACAATTAACAACGCATCAAAAACCTGGATATTTAGGGCGCTGGTTCGCTTCTCCTCTCTTTCAATCTCGAGAACACATCATACGCCATCTGCTATCGCTACCGCCGCAGCGCAAACACAAACACGCTAATTCAGCTGGACCCCAAGAGACAAAAGATTCGGAATCTCTTTGACAACGCAAGCATGCAAGGACGAAGACGGTGCTTCGAAGTTCAAATCTTTCGCTCAGGACCGCCACTCACCCTCTCACCCTATGCTGGTGTTTCATCTAGCCACCATCGGCATTCCTAGCATTAGCTTCGTCAACACTGCGCTGCCAGTCAGTCCTGCCAAGGTAGATGAACTCGATGAGAGCGACGAGGCCAAGAGCCAGGGCAACACCGGTCCAGAGACCCCACAGGCCCCAGCCAAGGCCGAAGGCGGTGCCAAAGCTAATGGGCATGGCGAATACATAGTAGCAGAAGAGTTGAACATAGCCTCCGAACTCCTGGCGGCCGAGGCCTCGTAGGATGCCGTTGCACACGGCGGCAAGTGCGTCGAAGAGTTGGAACGCTGCGCACAGTGGTAGGATCGCCGACACGATCTCCACGACTTCCGGGTCCGACGTGAACAACCGCGGGATGTAGTCTTTCAGGCTGGATAGCAGTGTCACGTTCAGTATGCCCACTCCAATGGCCGCGATGAACGTCACTCGCGTGCTGACTTTGGCGGCGTCCACGAGCGTTGCACCGATCAGATTCGCTACTCGTGTGGACCCTGCAATGCTGAGTGGGAAGGGAATCTGGAAGGTCAGGGAGGTTAGTGTAGCCAGTACGGACTGTGCGGCTAGCACGGTTGTGCCGAAATAGCTGGCCGCGAAGGTTAGGACTTCAAAGGCCAGGCATTCCGCCTCAATCATGATGACTCCCGGTAGGGCAAGTTTGACCATGGGCCCCCAGTTCTGGAATGCTTTCTTGGTGAAGCCGTTCCAGCACGACAGGCCGGTCCGGGAGAAGAAACGCACATAGATGAATAGACCCAGGGGAAGGAGGTTGTCCGTGATGGCTACTGCAATGGGGGCGCCCACGAAGCCCATATTGAGTTTCCAGACGAACAACCAGTTCATGAACGCATTGAATGGTGAGCAGAAGAGGAGGACGTATAGTGATGCGGAGAAAAGGCCCTGAGCTTGGACAAAGCGTTTGCCCGCTTCGAACGCGGCGTAACCTGGTGCGCCAACGAGAACGACTTTGAGGTACAAGCCAGCCAATCGGGCGACTTCAGGCTCGGGGACGAGCGCAAGAAGGATCTTGTCGGCCAGCAGCCATACAATGCCAATGGGGATCGTTATCGCCCAAAGGAAGTAGATCATGCGTTGCATTTGAAGGCCCACAAGCTTCTTACGACCAGAGCCATATGCTTGGGCACACAGTGTATCCAGGGATGTAGCTAGCCCCTGGTAGATGGCGTAGCCGGTAATATTGGCAGACATAGAGGCCAGACTGACAGCGCCCAATTCGACCTTGCCGATATGGCCAACGGTGAAGATACTTGCAACGGTCAGAGAGTATTGGAGAACGAAGGTGACCATGAGGGGAGCAGCATAGCCAGCGATGACCTTTGTTTCACGCTGCCATGTGGTATGGATCATACCAGCAGCCACAGCTTCTTCCCACTTGGCCTCGACATTCTGGCGGTCGCCATGGCCGCCGTACGGGAGACCTGTATCGCCCAGCAAAGGCGAGACTTCAGAAGGTAGGCCTGTCCCGTCCTCCAATGCTGCAGCATCATCTTGGGAGACCTTGCGGTCGCCGCCCGGTATACCCAAGTAGTTTGAGAAGATGCTTTTCCTCCTGGGTTCTTCCGCTTGAGGGTGCTTGGGTGGGATAATGTTATTATCCCGCAGTAAGCTCCGCTCTTCTTCCAAGGCGCGAGATCTTTCTTGCTTGGACAGTTTGTCATGGTCCTTAAAGGGACGGGGGAGACAAGTGGCTCTATTCCCCGCGCCGGAAAAGCTGGGGCGCCGGTAGGAGCCGATATATGAATAGGCACTTGCAGCGCCAGGAGCGGAAGTTGAGGGTCTCAAGGTCGAGCTTTCGGAATCCGATTCTGACTCGGCAGCTTCGGAATCGGTATCCTCCTCAAGGTCCCTGGCAATGGAGGCCTGCGCAATTGGAGAGGCATCAGAAAAGGAATGGGCGAAAACTCGACTGCTGGCACTGGTGACCCGTTCCAGGGTGTTGAAGTGTCGCGGCGGTGTACTCATGATCGAGGCTGGAGTTGGACTGGGGTTGCGGGGAAGGGTTTTGTCTGATGCCTGTGTTGTTGTGGGAGTCGAGTATTTAGATGTTCATGAAAAGCCTGGACATTTCCACTACCTGTGCAGATAAGGAACTTGAATGTTGGGATGCCACAGGTGCTGGTGACTTGCATGTAAGGCGTGGAAATTAGTTTTCTTAGAGACAGCTCCCCTCAGTGGAGAGGCTGGAGGCTGGAGGCTTTGGAGGCAAGTGCAGGTGCAGGTGCATGCACGCATATCAGCGTCGCGGGTTCGCGTTGCGATGCTCTTTTAGGACAAGACGCGGCCTTCCCCTCGCCGCGAGGCCTGAGGCGTTAAGGCGCTTTCTGTCCAGTGTCGACATCAAACTCCAACATCATTTAGTGGTAGTGGGGGTTGGGGGGTTGGGGGGCCGAGGGTGTCACGCCCACCATCGTTTAATTCAAGCTTGGTTTTTCATACAAGGCCAGACCCTGCAAGCACGATGTATCCATCTCTAGTTAGGCCCACTGCTGGTCAGGACTCAGTACCTCATGTCTTAGAATCTATCTTTCGAACACCTTCAAGATCTCCTCCTACTCGTAGAACAACATATCACCTCTATACTAGACATGGGATCTACTATCAATACCGCCTCAACCGGGCTTGAACGGCACTGGCTCTATAATCCTATGTCCGCCGCCATTGAGGTTGACCAGTGAGTGCTCGCATGGCATGGCACCAGCCAGACAATGGTAGCCGGTGCCGACGACGGAGGACATGGCTAAAAACAAAGCAGGCGCCATCCAGAAGGCACCGTCGACTTATTCTTATCGCGGCCACTCTATGCACCCCTGATTTTTTCGAATGTCTCGTCCGATGCTCGAGATCATTGTGCAAATGAACGGACCTTTCTATCATGGCTTCGACTGGCCGTTTACTTGGCCATAGTGGCAGTGGCCATCTTCATCAACTTCCATCTTAAGCATCAACCCTCAACCCTTGAGCTGAACATGTCCCACCCGCTAGGCATCATTTTCTGGTTGCTCTCTCTCGCGTGTCTGGCCAGTGGCATGGCAAACTACATGAAGACAGTCACCAAGTACGCTGGACGACGTGCACTGGTACAGTCGGGGATTAAAACGCAGCTGATATTCGGCGTGGTCGCGACAGCCATCATTGCGGCGTGCGCATTGTTCCTGGGTGCAGCGGCACAAGCTGTAGGATGAAGGGTTGCTAGGCTGCAAGGTTGCAAAGGTTGAATGGTTAAAGCAGCAGCATGTTGATGGCTAGTGAGGACTGATTCAGCAAGCAGGAATTAGGACCATTTAACCAGCAAGATGTTTTTATTGCTAATGACCCCTGCGGTTAGCGCCGCTTTCTCGCGATCCTAGCGCGACTAATGGCGTAACACCCGGCTTGGCGTGGCCATCAACGCGTCGAGAATCGACGCTCGAGGGCGTTTCTGGCTGCGGCTGCACCCCCGACTTTCATTGGTCAACACACCTTTCTTGACTTCGTCTGCACACCAACCCGAACTGCGGGTGCAGGGCAGGGCAGCCATCATTTCACCTTCAACCTTCAAACCGCACGGCTGCACCGCATGAATTCACCTGGGGCCTCTCCCAAAGGACTCTCTCCTGCTGATCCAGCATTATCCAGTTTCATCTCCATTCTTCCATAATTCCTTTCATTCAAGTTGTTCATCCCATCATCAACACCATGGATTCCTCCATGTCTAATGACTACCCCACCGATTTGGCCTACAACCCGCACATGGTCAACCCCCAAGACCAGCAACAGGAAGACACCGCGGCAACTCACAATGGCCATGGTTCGAACCCTGCCACTTCAACTCCTCCCATAGATCAAGATCCCAACCAACGATATAACTCCCCCAACCTCTACCAGCAACCCTCCTCCAGACCCGATTCCGGAATGGGCGGCTATCAACAAACACAATACCAACAGGAGAATAGACATCAACAACCTGCCAAAACCAACAATGTCGTCATTAAAGTTGGTATGGTCGGGGATGCCCAGATTGGAAAGACGAGTTTAATGGTCAAGTATGTTGAAGGCAGCTGGGATGAAGATTATATCCAAACACTAGGTATACACACAGCCCTTCCGTTTGGTTGGCTCTATCTAGCCGCCACGCTGACCGGACTACTCTGCAGGTGTCAATTTCATGGAAAAGACAATCTCAATACGGAATACAGAGATCACTTTCTCCATCTGGGATCTGGGTGGCCAACGCGAATTTGTCAACATGCTGCCCCTCGTATGCAATGATGCTGTCGCCATCCTCTTCATGTTCGACCTGACTCGAAAATCTACCCTCAATAGCATCAAAGAGTGGTACCGACAGGGTCGAGGCTTCAACAAGACTGCCATTCCATTCCTGATCGGCACTAAATACGATCAGTTTGTCAACTTCCCAAGGGAAGATCAAGAAGAGATCAGCAATCAGGTACAATTCGCTTTTTCAACTATCATATCACCCACTAACCACTGCTAGGCGCGACGTTTCGCGAAGGCCATGCGAGCAAGTCTAATCTTTAGCAGTACGAGTCACAGTATCAATGTTCAAAAGATCTTCAAGATTGTCCTGTCTAAGGCCTTCGACCTGAAATGCACCATCCCTGAAATCGAAAATGTCGGCGAACCTCTCCTATTGTACCAGGCGGTCAATTGAGGCTCCTTGATTGGATACTCGGCGTCAATTATCATGCCTGTATCATTGCTGAGCATTTCACCATCAAGAGCTGTTGCTTCCACACCCAGAGCAAGGAATAAAACATCCACCAACATCCCTGATTGACTGTCAGCTGAAGCAATAATAGTGGCAGGACATGAAGAAGAAAGGAGATCAGAACCGCAGGGCGCCTTGTCGAATATCATTCATGCATATCAATGGTACCAGACCTTCTCTCTTCACCAATGGCTATTAAGCTTGGAGTTTGTCTAATTGCTCTTTGATGGAACACCAGTCTACTCTTGTTTTCTTTGTTTTATTCAGCAGCCGGCGCTTCATCACCTTCCCACCAACAGAACGAGTATTTCTTCAGCTCTGTTTCTTTCGGGCAGCGTAGCATGGTGTAGAGAAATTGGTCTGTTTGGGAAATGGAGGAAGAGGCCACAATTGTCAGCATAAGCAAAAGGCGTGTGGAAAGAGACTACGGTCTAGAAAGAGAACGCGGCATCTTTGTCGTGAGCTTGGAGATGAACTGAAACGATCCCCCAAATTGTATGAGCTTGCTCGAATCCCCATCGGCTTTCCTGTCAGAGACATGTCAAGGGCAAAGCAGAAGGGAAATCCTCAACGCCCTCGGAGACATCGCAGATGGAATCATCCTCAACTTTGAGGTGCATGCCAAATGTTAGGACCCTCGATTCAAGCCAGCCAGCACACCGGAATCTAGTTGAAGAAATTGATGGAGAGGCAGAGCAGCAAGCCGCGGGAAGCGAAACTCGAAAATGCCCTTCAATCAATAATGAACCCATTAATTCCAAGTCTCTATCCTAATCCCATGTCCTTTCCCCGTCCCTCCTTCGTTCTTCCAGGCGTGAACACGACGATCGTCACTCTGCCATGCTATGGGTTTCGCGGTGTGAAGAAGGATTCAATTTCTTTCTCTCTTTCCACAGGGCCGCTTCGGACCCGCGCTGCAACACTGTACTTGCTACTACTGATGGCATTGACGTTGACGCTGCCTGTGCACAGAAATTACGAGGCACTGAGATTAGACTCGATTGGAACTAGTACGGGCTGGTTGAACGGGCTTGCTTGTACAAGTATTTAGCAGACTAGCAGTTCTCTACCACAGTATCATGCCTTGTGGGCCTCGTCTCAGCTGCAGTGCGCTGGCTCGTCTGACCAATCTGATCTCATCGGGCAGGTTTCTTCAGCCTGGGTGTTCTGTACTCGGTAACAAGTCAGCCTTAGCTTGATTGAACGTTTGGGTTCCTTGCAATAGCAGCGACAATCTGGTTGGGTGGAGTGCGTTTGGGACTTGAACTTGCCCCTATCTTAGAGCTTTTGCGTGTCTATGATTTTGCCTACGACGCCGCTACCATGAAGAGCGCAAGGGTCGTCGTCTGTTTGTCTTTTCCCCTTCTCCTGCTCATGAACTGGATCATTGCATACACTTCCCATAGCCTCCTTGCAATAGCTGTCGATAAGCTACCTCCCGGCCTTTTGAGTCTCGCTTACGCACTTTCAGCAAGAACGTTCCGGACCACTTGTGCGAATTCCTTCTTCACAAACTCGATGTATCCCTTCCATTGGATCATCTCCCCAGATCCGTCGGTGGCTGCTGATGGGAATTTGCGATCCAATTCTAGTGTAGTCCGGATCACTGCCGCATTGGCCTCATTGACCTTCTCGATCTCCTGCTTGACAGCATTTTCCTTGATCTTGGCTCCAAGTACGATGCGGAATTTTTCGGCAAGTGGTGATAGGCGGCGTCGGCTTTCATCTCGATCGATAGTGGACAGCCGACTGAGCATCAAATTGCATAGTATGCGAATATCATGGTCATCAGGGATGCCGTCGAGAATTCGGTCGAAGACCTTTGAAATAGGGAGATGTGGGATTGCCTCAGGGTTATCAAGAAGAGCGTACAGGGTTGCATAAGAAGACTTGCGAAGATCCAGGCCGCCATCTTCATTGTGTGTAAACGGTCCAATCTTGATGACCTTGATGAGCTCAGGCTTGACACGCGAGTCGTCCAACACCGTTGGGAGGAGATGGCTGATTTCCGGGATAATGAGTTCAGGCTTGTTGTGAATCGCCGCATTAAGTGTCGTGACCGCAAGGCGTCGATTCGAGATGTCGACATCACTGAGCATTGTCTTGAGCATTGGTACCATCGTCTTCGCAAGAATGGCGTTGTAAGAGGTACCTGCATCACCCAAAGTGAAGCGGAAAGCAGAAATAACCGTGCCACGGACTTCAGGATTTGAGTCCTCCAACGACTTCGACAGCTCAGGGACATACGAGACTGGATCAATGGTGGCAAGGCGTCCAATGCACTCTGCACCAACTGCACTATTGTCCTCTGCTTGTGATGCTGCAAACAATTTCTGCCATAGTTCTGACAGATATGGAACCATGTCAGCAAACGAACTCTCTGAGTGCTCCAGAATCTCCTTCAATGAATGCAGATATAGATAGTCTTGGGCTGGGGATTGAGTCAAGCTGCCTAAGATGATTGGCAAACACTCTACAACATTGTTCGAACTTGCACTTCCAAGAGCAACTGCAGCAGAGAGTCGGACTTTGTCAGACTCAGCACCGAGACATTTAACGAAAACGTCGACCTTGACAGGTGAAGCAGCTCCAGTTCGGAAGCCAACTTCTCCAAGGACGGTTAGAGCGAGACATATAGCACGGATGTCTTGGGATGCCTCCAGCTCCTTGAGGAAATCTGGAACAGTGACGCCGAGATTATTGCCACCGTAGACCAGCAGGGTTCCGATTGCTCTGCCGAGAACGATAGTTTCGCCAGCAGTGCCTACAGTCAAAAGGCCTTTCATCAGGGGTGCGCCGGCTCCTTGTTCACCGATCACTTTAACGACAAGTAGATAAGCCCGCAACGGAGGACCTTCAAGCCGGGCTTGTGTAATGCCACAAAGAGCAGCAACGATATCATCATTGACGAGAGCAGCTGGATTGGTCGGAATAATCTTGGAGAAGATTACCAAGGCAGGCGTCAGGAGATGAAGATCAGTCCCAGACACAAGCGGGAGGAGCAGGGTCTGTAGGATCACGATCGTGTTCGTCTCATACTGCGCCGACGTAACCGGGTTCAACGCCAAATACTGTAGTGACTCGAGGCATGAAGCACGAAGAGCGCGATCTGCCTTGCGAAGTTGATTTGCCATCTCGAGTGAGACCTCTTGGATCCATGCAGACCCGATATTATCATGGCTGCTGGCAGCCTCGCCAATCAGGCCTATCGCTCTCGCGCTAGCCAATCGAGTAGTCTCATTCTTCAATCTATCGCTGAGAATACCCAAACTCTTGGTTCTAGCCTGGCTTGGGAGGAGCTGTGTAGACGAAGTCCTCGCGATCAACACTCCGAAGACTTGAATGGCACGATGTCGGACTTCGAGGTCTGTATTGTTGTCGGTGACTCGATCAACAATAACATGCCACAACTTCTCGATATGAATTGCATGATCTTGATTGGTTGAAGGTAGTCGAGGAGGGGTGAGAGCCTTCACGAATTGCTCGATAGTTGACAGTGCTTCACTGGAGACTTTGTAATTTTTCTCATGGGCAATTGCGGTGACGGGCGGGATCAACGCAATGACAAAAGGGATTAAGACCGAGGTCTCATTGGTCTCGGTAATCGCACTTATGAGATTTAAACTTTCGATTTGTAGGCTGGCAACAGTAGCTGAAGCACCTGATACTGCGCTTCCCGTTCCAGTGGGAGATGTATGTTTGAGTGCATCGGCAATGGGATCTTCCAACTGTTGTAGGTGATCCGACAAGATTCCGTTCCGAGCTAATGTGAGCGTCTTGAGCATGACGATCACGGCTTGCTTTAAAGAGACAGTTGCCTTCTTCCATAATTTCGTCAGGGCTTGGACGATTTTAGGGACGAGACCGAGGAGCTCCGCTTGAGAGCCAGTTGGAGGAGCTGCAGGCAGAATCGGAGGGCTAGAACGGCTAGCTATTAAGCCTTTCAAGTCTGGGTCCTTTCGGTCCGCCTCACTATCCTGGCGTCTTCGCTTTCGAGTGTTGGTAGGAGCAGCCGGGTTTTCTGAGGAGTCTCGACGAGAGATGGCATGTGTCAATCCCGAACCTGTTTTACGAATCAAGGCTGTGGTAGTAAAGATGACTTCAAGTCGCACACTGTCCTCCCGCTCATTAAATAGTCGGCTGATAAGAACAGGAGCAATTTTGCCAAACAAAGTCGCTCGATCAGCAGCTGAAACGCCAGCAACAATAGTATACAGTGCTTTAGCAGCACATCGTCGGACCTTCCAACTCAAATCATCCACGTCGCTGAAAGCGTCGTCGTCGTCGAGTTCAGCGTATTCATCATCGTCGTCATCATCGTCAGGAGGATCTTCCGTAATCCCATCGTCAGAGTTGCTTTCTTGTGTTCCGCCCATTTCGTCATCTTCAGTGTCTGCAACATTTGGATCATATTTGAGATATCTCAAAGCTGCACTTATAGCAGAGTCCAAGTAATTCTTCATCTCTACTGGACATGAACCTAGTAGTGCCTCTAGGGCAATCAGAGCGGTCTCGCGCAGCTCCTCAATCTCTGGGTCTACCTCTGCCTCCTCATCGGACAGCTCGGCTGATGCTGATAGCTCTTCCTGACTTAGAACATCAAGTACAAATGGTAGTAGCTGAGGCACGTAGGGCCCGAATTTTCCTGGACTTGAACGGGCTAAAGTCCCAATCGTAGCGGTCAGAAATCTGCGATGCTCGGTATTGATTTGGGAAATCTGGAAGCTTTTTGTTAACGCCTGGACAAATGAGTTGACCTGCGCATCGTTGAAGTGGATCAAAAGAGCGCCAATTCCAGCGAGTGCTCGCTTCTTGACCACACCTCCAGCTTGAGGGCTTTCGATTATAGCCATCACAGACTTGGCAAGTTCCTCGAGTTCAGGAGCTTGTAGCAGCGAACCATAGCATTTGACGATTTCTATCATGACATCGACTGCGTCACTGCTGTAGCCTTTGTCTTTCTGTTTCTGTAATAGCCCAGTAGGCAACTGGGGAGGCGGCTTGTTCTGCGGAATAACAACACGGCCCACAAGCCTGGGTATCAAGACCTTGCTAACTGCATTGTATGCGTCCCTGACCTCTGAGGGGACAGGTCCTGCGGTATGCGGCTGGGGCAAAGCGGCGATCAGGGTACGCAAGGCAGTGTTCGGTATCGAGATGTCAATATCGCTAGTTGTAAGGTCTGTCAACTTGTCGATCAGAGGGGCAATGATATCGCCAGGGGTGCGCATTGCAAGGGGACCGATGCTGGAAGAGTTAGTATAATTTGGGCACTCGGGGCCAGAATACGTTACCACTTCAATGCCTGGTTTTGCACTTCGCCATGTTGGTCTGACAGTGCTTTCAGCAGTCCCTCGATGAGACGAGCAGCGGTGTGAGAGTCATTCCTAATGTACTCGGAAGAAGGACCATTGAGAATGGTTGCAAGGTCGCTCAATTGCATGAACCTGATGTCAGGATCAGGATCATTGAGCTTGCCGAGCAGTGTTGCTATGCCCTGCTGGGCAGCATTTCGATCTCGAGCCATGCTGATGGCAGAGGATCGTGCGACGATTCAGGGAATTGCTGTGGCAGATTCTGGAATCACATGGACGCGCCCTGTAGCTGGTGACTGTCAAATCGGTGTGGAGGGGAGGCTCCGATATGTACAGCGAGAATACACCCTGCAGATCCACACGCTAGAACGCTTTTATGACATGGAGAAAGGAATTGGTGAGAAAGCAGAGAAAATTTCTGGTATAATCTCACCATGCAGCAGCAAATGAACGAGGTACAAACACGGCTTTTGTGTTGCAGTCAGCTACTAGTAATCTGTCGAAACAGAATTACTGAAGGTGGGATGTTTGGTGTGTCTGCTGTTTGAAATGACGTTGGGGGATGCAGGCAGAACCAGATCACGTGCTGCACCACAGAGCGATGTGATGGGTCTGGTGAAGCATTCATGCTCTTATGAATGCGTCTGCCGCCTCTATGATCGACACTTCAGCTTTCTGACGAGCGGCCCCCCCACACCCCGGATGAATCTCGATCCAGCTTCCGAGATGTGTCCTTCATTCCCCGGACCTCCAACGCCCCTTTCTATCGATCTCGGGCGACAAATACCAGTTGATAGCTATACGAGGGCAACTCACGTTTTGGTTGGCAGAAATACGAGAGTTAGTCGGAGAGAGTGCAAATAGATTTATAATTCAAGTACCAGCTGAATAATGCCACAGTGCCGGAGGATGGCCTCTATCGCCTTGTTCCCCACCAACTCACTTATTACATGTCGGAACAGAGGGGTTGCTACTCCTCTTTGTCCTAGTAATCCTTTCAGTCGACCAACGAGTAGCTGGACAGCTGTATTTAGACTTTCAAATTCTCTTCCTCGCAACCGTCTATTTCATTCCTCCTCAACTTACTTCAACTTCCCGATATCGACACCAACTCAACGGACGTCTACCTTCAGAATGGCTTCCTCTCCTCCATATAACAATTTAACCTACTACACCTTTGGCACCCCCAATGGTCTAAAGCCTGCAATCGTTCTGGGGGAACTCGGCCTTAAATATAAGGTTGAGACTGTTGACATCAGTAAGAATACCCAGAAGGAAGAGTGGTATCTTGCTATCAACCCAAATGGCCGCATTCCCGCTCTCAAGGATGGCGACCTGCGTGTTTTCGAGACTGGCGCGATTATGTTGTACTTGACCGATCATTACGATAAAGACAACACGCTCAACTATCCTCATGGCAGCTCAGAATATTACGAGGTCTTGTCCTGGCTCATGTGGCAGATGGGGGGTCTCGGTCCCATGCAAGGCCAAGCCAACCATTTCCGTGCTATGGCAGGAGTCTATTCTGAATACGGCATCAAGCGATACATGGACGAGACTAAACGTCTATTTGATGTTCTTGAGTCTCGTCTTAGCAAGGCTGACTGGCTGGCTGGCGATAAGTACACCATCGCCGATATCGCTAGCTATTCATGGGTGCGAGCTGCACCCATTTTCCTAGACATTCAATTAGATGCTTGGCCTGGCATGGACAAATGGTTCAAGCGCATCGCTGAACGATCGGCTGTGCAACAAGCCCAGAAAATTGCTGAAGGGGGGAGGACCGTCGAGGAACTTGCAAAGCTGGGCGAAACCATGCGAAACAAGATCGATGCTATGAAAGAGACCAACCGCGATTCCTAGAAAGCTCAATTAAACGTTATGGTTGCTAATCGCATATTGAGAGCTGGAGAGAACATCTGTCCATATGTACCATTCTAAGCGGTAATATACCGCTGCCATGTTGGCCGAGGCCGTTTAGCTAGACGCCAACTCCAAGATTTGCATGCCTCAAGTGTACTAAATTCTCGGGCAAGATGAATTCTGCACCCTCTTCCATGCCAGTGTTCCGGACTATGACAAGTCTTCCCATTCACCGAGTCGCCCGCCGATTGGCTGTATCTATCCTGTAGTCGTAAGTTAGTTTTGAGGCCTTACTATACCCACAAGCCCGATGTACTGGAGATGTTCTCTCAAAGAAATCTGCAGTCTGCCCAGGATCCAAAAGATCGATCCCGATCACAACCCAACCAACAAGGACCTGCATTATCATCCAAAACTGAGAATAGGTCCCACTTGGTGCTCCAATATACGGCAATATAGCGACTGAGGAGCCCAGTCATCGGAAGAGGTGCCACTCCCAGGACCCACTCTTATACGCTGTGGGCCTGGATTTTCATCAAGCCTCAAGGGCTTACGAAAATACATAAGATGCCGAATGGTAGGCTCGGAAGGGAATAGAGATGTCGGACTATTAGTCTGCACATATTGCGGGTAACTGTTTACTCATCAATACTCAAGAAGGTACCTCTATGCCCTGTTCAAGAGTTCTTCGGAATCCCCACGGCCGTGAAATTGTGCGACGAGTAATCAGCCTTCCGGCCTATTTGAATCTCTTTTTGCTTTGATCCCTTACCAACATGATGTTTAGAGCTGCCGCTTCATCCCTTTGAAGGCTCCTTGGACCAGTGCACGAAAAGCTCTCAGACTACGACGTCAGCACAACCTGAAATGCCACAACACTCTAGGCAAGCGATGTCGTTCAAAGCCAGAACACCAGATTCAGTTAACATTGGTTACGCTAGCTGATTATATCGCAGCTTTTTAAAGCATCATCAAACTCCTAGTAGGAGTGCACACGCAGAGGGATCAACTTGATGGACCATGAACGTGTCTTCCTAGCCTGTAAAGAAAGCCCAGAGTCTGCCCGCGACCTCAATTTTGAGCCATCCAAAATGTGGTGCGCAACTTCGATTGCCTCATATTTTCGTTACATATCAAACTCCTTCCGCACGCTCTCAAAGTATGCCATCGAATAGGATTTGCCTTCAACATAACCTGTCCCATCCCATTTTGCGGCTGATCAACCAAATGTCTGAACATAGACCGAGCATATACGTCGATGCCGTGGACTTGCTGTTCCAGGAAATACTTTTGATCACCAAGAAAGGTTGGCTCGGCGTGTATGTCGACTTTATAGAAGTCTAGCACCACCTGAGAGTCATGCCGGCCCATTCCCTGTCCGTAAAATTTTGCAAGAAGACTCACTCTGAAGGCATCGATGGTCTTTCGACATTCTAGGCTCACTTCAGCATTCCAGGTTGAAATCTTAAAACTTTCAGTACAGGAAGATGCCAGTTGCGGTTGTCACAGGTGCCAATTCTGGCACGGGCCATGCATATGGATCCCTGGTTTGGAAACAGGGTAGCTTTTCCTGTATGCTGGATGGAATGGCAATCAGGCTGACAGCACACGGCTATGAAGTCTTCGCTCTGGACATGGCTATCGGAGACCCAATCAAGGCGATTGGTTGTACTTTCTTCCAAGTAGACATAACGTCAGGACAGTCTATATCAGATTCCCAAGCCAGTTTCGGGGTCACCTGCCGGCCTGCTACTTAGCATTGCCGGCATCATGTTCCAGCCTGACAAAGACAAATTAACAACGACGACCACGAATGTTCTGAGCAAATACATTATGTCATCCAGGGTGGGCAGCAGAAGCGACAACACGTCTGGTGTTCTCATTGCTTACCGGTCATTCAAAGCTGGCGTCAACAGAATTGGCGTGAGCCTCTCTCTGTTGACGCAAGGACAAAGGAGTGTGTGGTTACCCTCCCCCGCAACGAAGGCACATTGTGGCGGACCCAGTCCACAAAGAATGGCTGAGGCCTGTGGATCCAAAATCCATTTCGCCATATGGCCAGGCCGGGCCTGACGGAATTAGATGACGTATTGAGGAGTGCCACCAAAATGCCACGATTTCCTCATTTAAAAGCCACAACTGTCATGAATACGATTCCAGAGAACATGGTGTTTCTTCCGGACAGGCTTCAATATCCGTTTACTTTGGGAACGCCCGGAATCATCCACTGTGGTTTCAGCATTCCGGGGCTGTCATTCGTCTACTCCGATAGGCGGCTGATCCTAACTGAGTTTCGACAGTAGAATGAAACAAGTACAGTATTTTCCGGGTTCAAATGCGCATTTTGAGTTCCGTGCGACCCGTGCGACGTAGGCAATTGCTAGTGAGCGTTAATGGCCCGCCTTGCCATACAAATTTTCAGGTCATTGTAGATCTAGAAGAATGTCTCACAGCCATTGCAGTCCAGCAAACCGAGTCTTTTGTGCGTTTTCCTGACTCGGTAAATCGCTTGATTACGTCAGGCCCGCTCGGAAGACTGTTATGACTCGAAGTGTGCGCATTTTGTGCGTGATCTGCGTGATCTGTGTGATCCTTCGTAATGGCAAGACTTTGGACGATAACAAGGCTTGATCAAGATTGTTCGAAGCCTCCTTAGAAGAACAGACGTCTTGACCAGCGTATTCCCGCTTATTTGAGGCTCTCCAGTGTCGACTAGTATACCTTGACGTGCTAGCAAGTCCAGGGATTTGCCGTACCTTGAGAGACCATCCATTTTTCTTGCCCATTAGATACCATGGGGTCATCGGAGTCATACCATCAGCCAACAGCGCTTATCGTAATCTCCTCAATGTCAATAGGCCTAGGTGCCATTGCAGCAGCATGGATCTTACTCGACATCATCTGGCGACGAGGCTGGCGGTCAATGATGTACATAATGATCCCAGTATATGTCATTAATGCGCTGTATCTGTGGCCGATCACGCTGTGGGTGTATATCAAATATGGTCGACCGCCACCACCACAGAAGCATGGCGTGACCAGCACGCAGGAAGCGCATCAGCCTCCAACTGCCAATGCCAGTAGAACAGTTGGGGAGGAGACAGGACGAGACACGGATCGGAGTGCTCCTAACGACGGGCTCCCGAATGAGGAGGGGGAAGTCGAGAAGACCGACGTGGAAAGTGGAACTATTGGAGAGCAAGGCGATAATAAGGAAAATTGGTCGGCTGAAGACCAAGACAATCAGAAGGAGAAGGCAGGAAATAGAGGACATCCTGAGCACCATCACAAGAATTCCGGGCGTCCAATGTTCGCGACGGTGACAGTGGGAGTCTGTCATTGCGGCGCGGGCTGCGTGTTGGGGGATATCGTCGGCGAATGGCTCGTCTATGGCACAAACGCGACCTTCGGTGCAGCCCGTCGGCTGTTATGGGCGGAAATGCTCGTCGACTTCGGTTTCGCCTTTGCTTTTGGCATTATCTTTCAATATTTTTCCATTGCGCCCATGGCCGGCCAGTATGGTCCCAAGATTATCTACCGAGCACTCAAAGCTGATGCACTTTCGTTGTTATTCTTCGAGTTCGGGTTGTTTGGCTGGATGGCGATCTTTGAGATTGCGATCTTCAACTGGGAGCTTGAGATGCCTACGGTCACGTATTGGTGGATGATGCAGATTGGTATGTTCCTGGGTCATTGGACAGGAGTACCGATTAATTGGTGGTTGATTAAGACTCGGGTTAAGATACCTTGTGCATAAATTTCACATAATCTAACGCAAAAATCTTTGTCTTGGATAAGAGGCCGTAGTCTAGCTGCTTATGCTTTATTGTTCTTGTCAACCTCTAACCATGTCCCTAATCATAGATATATAGCTATCGCAACAGCTTATTATCAGGTACACTGATAATGATGTCCAAGAAATGGCTATTTGGTCTTATTTCCATTGTTCCATATCCGGAGGCATTAAAAATGCATTCACTAGGTATCCATAGTCATATTTGACGGAGCGCTACATCCTGACTCATCCAGAAAGTTGTCATTCACTCACGAAGAGCAGAGGATAGTGGCAGTTTCAGACCGGGCCTGATCCGTTATAGGCAAATAAGCAGCAAGTTGAAAATTGGCTTCCTTACCTATCAGACGGATAGAGGACATGGTGCTGAAAGAACCAAGCTTTCCCCAGCTTTTTCCATGTTAAAGCAATGTTGGACTGGTCGATGGCCATTGGAGGACCAAGGGATGAAAATTTATGCTGGTGATGGCGGTTCCGTATCGAGTCTCGTAAACAGAAGTGTGGATGGAGAATGTACCTTTGAGTCCAAGCCCTGGGAATCTTCGGTAGTAGGGTTGGTGATAGTGTTGGGCCTTTGTTCTTTGCAGAACGCCGTAATTGCCTGTGACATTGGGCCATTCGAGAAAACCCCTGGTCCTGGGTTAATTGGACAGATGATCTTCATACGTCAGGGTATACATTCCTAGCTTCTCCATCGAAGATCCAATTATCTGTCGGGTGAACGGGTTCACCGGAGCAGATATCCGGATGACATACCCACTTAGCTCAAGATGAGGTAACGGATGCAAATCATTTCTAGAGAAGCATTTGACAGGTGCATTCAGATATGGTATCGGCTAACAAAAGAGGCTATAATTGAGTTTATTATGACGTATAGACAATGTGCGCAAGGGTTCTGTATAAGAACATGACTTCTCTGGTTGACTTCCCTGATGCTGGGAATATCATCATCGAGAACTACTCACGGACACGACAGACCAAAATACTCCTTCATCAACACTAGTATCCTTCGAAATTCGAACGAATTTCACTCCAAAACCTCACGATCAAAATGGCTTGCGGGTGCGGTCCTGGCGGTGAGAAGTGCCCATGCTCTGGAGCGCAGTCATGCACTTGCGGGCAGAACTGCAAGTGCAATAGCTGTGGAGTACGTTGAAAGTTCCTCGTCCACCATTGCTACATTTTAGTCTGCGTGAAGTCTGATTCGCAGAGGCTCACTGACGATATAAACTACAGAAATAAGTCGTCTAAAATCTCTGACTTTGGTTCACATGTTTATGTGAAAGGTTGGGAGGAAAGGTTTGGTGCTGGGCGAGGTTCGAAGTCGGATCACACCTCTTCCAAAGCGGACGAGTGATCCAATTTCATGTTCACCATTAAATGAAACCATTCCTTGGAATTCGACAGGATTCCTGACCATACGTTCGCTTCAGCTTGCTCACTTGTACCCAAGAGTTTGAATGTCATAGTATTACACCTTGGATAATGTTGCAGTCATTGACGCCTGATAACAGCTCGTCGTGAGTTTGGCGCTTTTTGGCGTTGAAATTCTTTGCTCGTCAAGCCGCAAATAAGTCGCCGGCTATCCTACTCCGCCTACCTCTACTATCCTATGGTTTCTCTTATTCTTAAACTATATAGTGATGCCTTTCTTCTATTATATTAATAAGTAGGTAGCTTAGTTAGCTTACAGTAGGGTATTGCAGAGTTGTACGTAATATGACTAGTAAGAATCCTTCCTACCAGGTTCGACGTCGCCCCTACCCTAGAGGGCTATGGTAGATCGAATGAAGGTGACAAACTAGGCACTATAGGGCCGACTAAGGAACGCGGGAATCTCTTTACAAAATAGAGGCTCGATGAGTTAATAGAGGATAGAGGGGAGGGCGGCCCTACTTATCGGCGGTAAGATTTCTGTATTCTTAGTTGACAGCATAGACTTATAGAAGGGTTCGATCAAGCTCTCGCTGCGTCGAGTAGTTTATCACTCGAGTATACATTGACTGAGTAGTCAAGCAGGAGCTGGGAAAGGGAAGGTAACAGCAATAGGGAAGCCGGGATAACGAAAGCTGGCGAAATCAGCGAGGAAGGCCTTCTTGATATATTAGGCGGTCCTAGCTAGGATTGATGTAGTTATATATCCTATGTAGAGATGAAGTAGCGTCGCGTAGGACTATATCCCAAATCGTAAATTTGGCGGCGCTGCTTTAAGGGAGGCTCACGTCTTCATCGGAGACGCTCGACGATATGAGAGCGTATGGAGGGCTGATGATGTGCACTAATAGTGTCTTCACCCTCGGCCGGATCTGGGGTGTGGCGCGAGCAGTTCGACCACACCTTGACTCATTGGTTCGATTTGATATCTAGACAGCCTGAATCCTCATACAGCCATTTGAAGCCATAGTGATACATTGCGTTGCACTTGCGGGTGGAAGAGATGTGAGATCACGCTTTCAGAACAGATTGGTGCACATCGAGAGGCACCACCAGAACTTTTCGACAAGGAAAAACCATGCATATCATGCGTCGATAACAGGCTTTCTATTTCATTTCCGAGCACCTGCAATCGAATAGACCCTCCCTTCCCAAGGCTTCAGCTTCTCCGATATGGCGGAGGATCCAGCTGAACCATACATAAATTCTGGATGAGGCTCACGATGTTGTTCGGGGACACAGGATTCAACCAGCTCGTTAGAAAAGTTGAGCACAACAAGTGCCTTCCGCTCGTTTGGCTGCGCGCTCACAGATTTTTTCAAGTAGGTGAAAGTCCTCTCATTATCCCGATCCAGCAGCTCGAACTGTCCCTCAATGAAGAGATCCGCATTCTCCTTTCGGAACTTGATCAATTCCCTCCAGAACTCTAGCACACTGCCCTTGACTCCCAACTGGTCTGCTACATTCAGTTTCGCGTAGTTTTCATTTACCTTGATCCAAGGGGAAGCATGGGGAGCGCTGAACCCAGCATTCGGGCTTGCAGACGACCACTGCATCGGCGTACGTGCGTTGTCCCGTGACATCCGATGAGCTCCAGCTAATGCCTTCGATTGCATTGTTCGGTCTCCTGGATACTTCAGCTCCATCTCGGTGAAATATTCAAGGATGGCCCTATCCCTAAAGTCCTCCTGTGTCCATGATTCAGACACATTTCGCATTCCAATCTCTTGGCCTTGATAGATGAACAGAGTCCCAGATAGAGTTGCTAAAAACAGTGCAAGCATCTTCGCTGCGGCTATCTGATAATCCCCTGATATGCCTGGACCGAAACGGTGAATACTCCTTGGAAAATCGTGGTTCTCGAGAAATGTTGACGTCCAAGCCTCCGGCGCACAACTGAGGAACCCCTGGGTTTTCACGAAGGCGTCCTTCAGATCTGGCAGCTTCGGCTGTTGAAACTCATGAGGCTTACTAGCCCAATCGTTTCCAACCATAAGGAAGTCAAGGTCAAAGACCATATCGAGTTCGCGCGGTATTGCCGACATGTATTTCGTAATCTCATCCATACCTGTTGCGGGTAGCTCGCCTAGAAGCAGCACATCCTCCCCTCCATACCGCTCCAGTGCATCAGTTCGCATCTGCTGTAGCCACTCGTGGATTCTCGGACCATTGAGGATGTGCTGTGGTAGCATAGGCTGGATGGCTTCGTTGGGCATTGAAACCGGCGCATCGGGAAATGTTTGGTCTTTGCAGTAGCAATTCACCACGTCGGCTCGGAACCCGTCTACTCCTTTCTTCAGCCAGAATCCAATGGCGCTCTCGAAAACCGCCTTTCTGACCTCCGGATTCTCCCAGTTCAGGTCAGGTTGCTCGGGAAGAGCTAGGTGCATATAATATTGGCCTCGTTCTTCGGCATATGTCCATACACTTCCACCGAACGCAGCTCGCCAGTTGTTTGGCGGCCTACCTTCTCTACGTGCAGTTCCCGTCCCGAGGGGCTGCTGCAAAGGGCCGTCTTCCTTGGGATCGCGCCAAATATACCAGTCCGAGAATTTATTGTCTTTAGACTGGCGGCTGGCCTTGAACCAGGCGTGTTCAGAACTAGTGTGATTTACGACCAAATCTAGCACGATCCGCATTCCTCGCGCGTGCAACTCACGGATCAAGGTATCCATGTCATCCATAGTGCCGTATGGCCCGTAGATAGCTTCGTAGTCGCTCACATCGTATCCCATATCGTGCTGTGGGGAGTCATACGTTGGGGATAGCCAGATGAAGTCAACACCCAGGTCTTTCAGGTAGTCCAGAGACGAGATGATGCCAGGTAGATCGCCGATGCCATCGCCGTTGCTGTCCCGGAACGATGCTGGGTACACCTGATATCCAGTGGCGTTATGCCACCACCTCGGAGTCAAAGGCATGCTTGAGGGACGGAGGTGTGAGCTAATTTCCCAGGTCGCCTCTTTAGGCGGAAATATGGGCGCCCGTGTCCTAGATTTGGCGAGGAAGAAGAAGAAGCAGGGTCGCCACGGTTCTGGAGGAGACGGCTTGCTTTATATTTCTCCTAATCGTACACTCTCTAGCGCCATTCTATGGCGAAAGAGGGGCCCAACCCCTGGTTGATTGCAATCCGGCACTACAGAGGTTGTGATCTGGAGAGGTTGCTATCTTCATCCATGACCTCTATAAGGGAACTTGTCATGTTTTTCTTCAGAGAAAGCGTATATCTACTAGGTCCCTTTTCCATTAATCTAGGTATAGCTCGCTCAATCTGTGACCGCATCGTCCGTCTTTTTCTCCTTAATGACCACCGCCTTACTCACACTAGCAATCTTTCTGGACAAGTCCGTGAGACTTCCCGTCCCCATGATGTCCAGAACCGGAACATCTGCCTGTAGTTCTTTGGCGAGATAAGTTCTGAACTCCATGGCAACCAGACTATCAACCCCGTTTGAACTGACTGACTTGGAAGGTTCAATGCTATCTACTGGAATTGCCAGCAGAGAAGATAGTTTGGCTCTAACTGCATCGACGACGACCGAGGTCGCATCTTCTAGAGTGCTTGCGGCACTGAGGAGAGCCTCGACGACGAAATTGCCACTCTCATCCCCAATACCGTGACGTGAGGAAGCCTTGCTCCGCAATTGAGTGAACAGCGGATTGCTTAGATAAGAGGGGGCTGGAAGACCTCGCTTTCGGTACGTTGTGGCAGTCGTTAATCCGGCCACGAGTTGCGAAGGCCCGCGGCGGGTAGGATCAATCAAGTACTCTAGAAGAGCATGGACTTCTTCTTCTCTGATGACCTCAAGAACAACGCCCCATTGCTTTGAGAACATGGTCCGGTCACGATTTTCAGCTACATATCCTACAGAAAGGATAGTGCCAAGGTCGATCGTCGATGCTGGAAGCCCTTCAGACCTTCGGTATTGGGAGAGGAAGTCCTGGTATGTGTTTCCTGCCGCGTAGTTGGCTTGACCACGATTACCAATGATGCCCGTCGCGGACGACAGCATAACAAAGAAATCCATGTCCTTAGGGAGCAGAGCGTGAAGGTTCCATGAGCCTTGGACCTTGGGTTTCATTGCCAGACAAAATGTGTCGTAAGTCATGTTTTCGAACATGCCATCCTAGGTTTCAGTTAGCTTCATCTCTTCTACCACCTTTTGATTCTGAGTGAAAAGTCACTAACCTTTAAAACCATTGCTCCTTGTACAACGCCTTTGATCGGTGGCATGGTCCGTCTGCATTCCTCAAGGACCTGTCCCAGGCGGGCTTCATTACTGACATCGCATTTGAAGGTGTGAACGTTACAGTCCGCCGACTTCAACTGCTCTACGGTCTGCTGCACAGTAGGCGTGATGTTGCCAGTTCGAGAGAGAAAAATGATATTTTTCGCACCTCTCTCCATCATCCAAGTCGAGATGGACCTACCGAGACCGCCTAGACCACCGGAAAGCACGTACGATGCATCGGCTCTTAGCATGTAGGGTGGAGGCAGCGCAGGCAAGATCGGAATTACATCCTCTGCTCGTGGAACAAATACCATCTTTCCCATGCCCCTTCCCGATTGCAATACCCTCAGGCCCTCTTCAATTTGCTCATAGTTCATCACTTTCGTCGGGATTGCCTCTTTGATCTTCCCGGCTGCAAACAAGTCAATCGTATCTTGTGTCAGTCGCCTAATCAGCTCCGGCCGATGTCTCATCATCGTTGGGAGCTCAACGCTTGCCATCGTAACATTTCGAAGGAACGGTTGTAATTCGATTCGCCCGTTAGCTTGTGCGTCCTTCTTTCCGATTTCAATGAAGCGTCCGAATGGAGCTACTAAGTCCCAGGAACGTCGCAAAGCTTCCCCCGAAAGGGAATTGAGAACTAAGTCCACACCCTTGTGGTTGGTCATTCGCATCACACCTTGAACAAAGGTAAGGTCTCGGCTTGAGAATATGTGGTGTTCGGGAATTCCGTATTCATTCATCAAGAGGTCTCTCTTTTCCGGAGAGGAAACCGTACAGAAGATCTCAGCGCCCACATACTTCGCGAAGTTGATGGCCGCCTGGCCGACGCCGCCGGCTGCGGCGTGGATGAGTATTGTCTCACCTTTACTGAGTCTTCCTGCATCGACAAGGCCGTAGATGACAGTGGCATAGACGCATATCAGACTGGCCGCTGTCTCAAAGCTGATGTTTTGTGGAATATGGACAAGTGCAATCTGATCAACACGGCCGAAAGTGTGAAAACAGCCGATTCTCTCGATTCCGCACATGTAAACCACCCTATCCCCAATTTTAAAATCTGTCACCTCGCACCCTACGCGAGTGACAAGTCCTAGATTAGGATTAGGATTAGTGAGATCAAATAAGGTGCATCTCAGTCTTACCAGCAGCCTCATTCCCCATACTGTAAGCCATGTGCTCGCCCATGGCAATCATCAAATCTCGAAAATTAAGACCCACAGCTTTGATTTCAATCTCAACTTCAGTGCTTCCCAACTCCTGGTTGTAATCAGGGTCTGTCACCCATTCTAGCTTATCCAATAGCCCGGGCGCGGCCGTGGCCAATTTTATCGGTCTCCTAGCGGTCGACAGCGACTGCATCGACGGCTTCGGCCGAGAGAATGTTGTCTCCAGGAATTCATTTGCTTCGTAGCTTTCCACTAACCTAGATGTGAAATAAATCATATCTTTGAACATATATTCGCCGTTCGCCTTCTCAGGGGGAAGTTCTCTTTGGAATTGGTCCTGGTAAAGAGTGCAAACGGCCTCTGAAATCTCGCCTGGAGTGAGTGTAGGATCGGAGATGGAAAGGGAGATAAGGTTAGCATCATCAATGTCTCTCTCCCAGCGTACCGTCCTCAAAAGACCAATCATCATTGCACAACCGGGGTTGGCAATAAGATCCGGCGTAATCCACAATAAACCTCTGCATCGTGAAAGCATCTGCCTAACATTGACAAATTCTTCTTCGGTCATTGTAGACATTATAGTCCTTTCTATGTCAACCAAGGAAATGCAAATGCTTCGACACAAGTCGGTGGAGGTAAGGGCAAGATAATGGATCACCTGACAGTTCGAAAGTCCAATTTTGTCCTGTAACTGTGCCAGCAGCGCCTGAACAGGATCCGTGTACCCCTCCAAGACAGGCTTTGACGTGACAATGATAGTCACCGTTCCTGATTTTTCCAGAAAATTGGTCGTAGACGCCTCAACAGCTGTGGAGATTATCAAACTCTGTGTGTGTATGTCTGCTGCATCACGGTCCTTTAAATTCAGGTCCACACCTGAAAACCCGGAGTCTTTGAGAACTGTTTCCCATTGAGGTACATTGAGAAATGGACTCCACTTGCGCATGGGTTCGATTCCGAGCCACCAACCACGAAGTTGCCCAAAGGCAACAGGTGACCAGAACAAGTCCTGCCTGACGGATTCGTGGAGGAGGATTCGTCCTCCAGGTCTCAGCAGTTGCCGCAGATTACTCAGTGTTTTCGTCAGATCGGCTGTTGCATGAACGACGTTTCCCGCCACAATGAAGTCGTAGCTTCCTACACTAAAGCCTTGTTGGAGAATATCTTTCTCAGCGTCCAGAGTTTTGAATCCCATGATATCTCTGTAATCTTTGAACTTCTCCTTCGCCTTCTCGAAGAAGGCTGCGGAAATGTCAGTGAAAGTATATGTGCTGATGTTGCATGTGTTGGAGCTGGTTCTGTTCGACATCGGAGCAAGATTTTCTAGTACTGCCGCCGTGGAGCTGCCAGTCCCACCTCCTACTTCTAGTATCTTGATGTCTGTATAATTATCTCTGACAATCTCAAGGTAGGATTTCTGAAGGGCTGGAAGATCACCAAGGTTGACGACTTGCTCATAGACCTGATCGAGGAGATCATCTTGACCAAACATGAGATCGAGAGGATCAACTTCTCTCCTCAAAACTTTGGTAATATTGGTACCCATGCGAATCGCCAATTTTCCATCGGCATTGTGCTCATTGACCTCAGTGAGCAAGAACTGTCTCTGGATCGGATCAGCACGCAGTTCCTCCCACTGAGAACGCTTCATGCCGCTTATCTGGTCTTTGTCTAGTAACTGTCGCAAATATTTCATCCAGTCATAATAGTTCAAGAAATGGCCATCCAGCTGGGTCGGTGGGGTTGTTTCAAGCTCTTCCAGGGCTTCCGTGACCAACAAAAGTGTGGCTAGTTGTTGCTTATTGATCCAACCACGATATTCAGAGGCTTCTTCGCCGTTCAGCAGGGAGACGCTCTTGAAAGAAGTTGGTGTTAGAAGCTCAAGGTAAGAGCTCCATTTCACTTCGTGGCTCAACCTGCGGCTCAACGACCCATCACTCTCCATAGAATCAAGTGGTGACGAGCGAATACCCTTGATTTCCACGCGCGGATCCCCGGATACGTCATCCCAAACGTGGACGTCGGCTTCAAACTTGTCATAAGCCAGGATCCTAGACTTTCCATGACCGCAGAAGCCTGTTCCTGGCTCAGGATTAGTCCTCCCTGAAATCCAGGCTTCTTTGATAAAAGTAGGCACCATTGGCCGGTCCAAGTTCTTCTTGCCAATACAGTCCAATGAAGCCGCTAAGAATAAATGCATCATACTGTCCATCGTTGCTGGATGGATCAGGTGTTCGTGAACATATTGCTTTGGCATTATTGCTGCAACATCAGGGACCACCACTTTACCAACAACCTCCCCAGCACCATTTTTTGTACCCTTGACCCCCGAGAGGTTTCTGAATAACGAACCGAAATACAGACCTGTAGTAACGAGAGAATCATAGAGGGCAGGCATATCCAGTGGGACTGAGCATTTTTGCTCTGCAGCATCACGCAATTTTTGCCATTTGTGAATCTCTTCCGCGTGCTCGCGTCCGTTGTCGATGTGATTTGGCTTGCCGACGTAATCGGTCGCCACATAACCCGTGCAATGCTCTATCCAGTCATCTGCGAGCGAGTTGTACGACGATATCTGGAATCTACTCCAGATCGAGGACTCCCAAAGGCTCGACTCGTCCATTTTTGTCAAACCGAGCATAACCTCAATGCCCTCTTTGTCATCAGGGATTATCAGCGCTCGCTTCAGTGACACATCACGTAGTTTGAATCCTAAGATTTTATCTTCGGCATCCGTGATCTGCCTGCAGGCTTCAACAACTGCAAGAAGATATCCTACTCCAGGGTAGACGAATTTCCCGGTGACCACATGATCCTTGATCCAGGGTTGCTCTGAAAGCCGGAAAATTTGCCTCCATCTGGGTGTTTTGGCATTCCAGTCGGATACGGGGGCACCAAACAGATCGTGTCGTGGGTGTCTTCTGAGTCTAAAATTCCGGCTCAGGCGACTTTCGTACAGCAAGCCTTCAGAGTGATTGAAACAGTAGCTTGGCAAGTCAACCAAGAATTTGCGACGATGACGTTCCTTCTGGACAGCACCCATTGTTCTAGGGGCTTGATTTACGATGTCCAGGTCGACCGGATATCCTCCGCAGTTGATGGCCGCCACTGTATCTAAGAGCACAGAGAGTCCAGGCGCACTCCGATTCAGCACTGCGAACGAAGTGTTTTTGGAACTTCCAGATCGTGTTGCCAACGTCTCCTTCATCGCACTTTGGAGAGCACCATGTGGGCCAAGCTCGATGAGACTGTCGAGCAACATGCCAGTAGCAGGGGCATCCATGCGAAGCTTTTGCTGACCCTCGTGGAGCTCGCTCAAACACATCGCCAGAAGTGCCTCCATGAATTTGACAGGCTTCACGAGGTTTTGGACCCAATATGAGACATTAAGCTGCGAGGCTTCTACTCTGCCACCACTGACAGTTGAAAACATCTCGACGCTGAGGGCTCTTGAAGATTGGATCGAGGGAAGTGTACCTAGCAGATTCAGGTATTCGTCTACCACCTCCCGCATGTGCACTGAGTGGTAAGCATTTTTGACCAACAATTTCCGCGCAAAAACGTCTTTGGTTGCCAGCAATTGGAGTAGAGCATCGACCTTCGACTCGTCACCAGAGACGGTATTGTTCCGAGGGCTGTTGAAACAAGCGATGATGAGCTGCAGGAGGTTAGCGGTAGCGAGGCCTAAAATAGCCAACGGCCTATGAGCTTACCTCTCCTGCCAGCGGCCGATTAATTTCGTCGACATAATGCTGAAGTTCTGCCGCTGGCAATCCGACAGCAAGCATGGCACCGGGAACCCGAAATCTTTTATTAGAAACATAACCCCGAAAATACGCTACCTTCCAGGCTGCCTCTCGTGAGATACGGCCAGAGCAGTATGCAGCCGCAATTTCTCCCGAAGAATGGCCAACAACACGCGCCGGTCTGATCCCCCAGGAATCGAGCAAATCTATGAGCGCAATTTGCAAGGCCGTGCATGCCGGATGGGCGAGATATGGTTCGTTAATGTGTGACTGTTCTTTCTCCAGCGAAAGTTCCTCGATTAGGTCCCAAGTCCCGCCGAGCTCAGCCATATAGGCTGCGGCGGCTTCTAAACTCTTTCTATACACTGGATATATCAGCAATTCCCTTCCCATCGCATACCATTGGGCACCTTGCCCAGTAAAGACAAACCCAAGCGTATGTGTCGGTCGTGCTCTGATAGGCTTTGAAGAGAAAGACGACAAGTTTTGAATAAGACTAGGGATTGAATCTGCGAGGGCGAACCCTCTCCACGGAAATACGGAGCGCTTTTTACTCAGTGTGAAAGCCAGGGAGTCCAAAATTTGTTCCTGATAGTGAAAATTCTTGGTTTCCATCCTTTGGAGATAGGAGATATACCCCTTTACCAACCGTTGGACCCCACTCTCGTCAAAGGCTGTGAAGGGAAAAATTCTGAGTGCATTATGTTCCTTGATTACAGCACTGTCACTCATCATAGAAGTCGTGTGCTTGTCATGGATAGATTTGTTCTCCGAAGGTATTGCACTTAAGTCTTGCTCAGGATAGTAGCCGTTGGAATCAGGAACGTGCTCCGTCAAGCGCCTAATGATGCAGTCAACAACATGCTCTGTCGGAACTGAAGGGCTGGTATGATGCAAGCCGACCAGATTACGTTCAGCAAGATAGTGGTAAGCATCGTCTAGAATGGCATGGGCATTAGTGCCTCCAACGCCAAAAGAGTTGACGGATATTCTCCTTGTTCCTGAAACAGGCCAGGGCACACATTTGGTGGGAAATTGAATGTTCCATTTGGTTGCCGGGATCTTCGGGTTTACCATTTCGAAATTGACATTCGGGGGAATGATTCCGTTTTCTAGAATCAAGACAGCCTTGATGATACTGATTTTGCTGTTAGCATTTAGATGGGACGTCAATCGTAAGCTATGCTTGCCCTGCAATCCCTGCTCCGCCCTCGAGATGACCAATTCCAGATTTTATAGCACCGATGTACAGTGGAATGTCCCTGTGCCTGGATGCAAAGGCCCGAGCAATAGCGCTAGCTTCGATTGGATCACCAGCCGAAGTGCCAGTCCCGTGAGCTTCGATCATCATCGTGTCGCTCAATGGCAGCCCTGCGTGTTTGTAGACGCTACGAATAAGACTTTCTTGGGCAGCACTGCTAGGCAGAGAGATACCAGGTGTTCTGCCATCTTGATTTGCTCCGGACCCGCGTAAGACCGCGCGAATCGTGTCGCCATCTCGGAGGGCATCCGAAAGTCTCTTGACAATCACAGTCCCAACACCCTCACCTCTAGCATATCCGTCTGCCCGATGATCAAAGCTGAAGCATTTCCCTTCCTGGGAAAGGAATCCATGATGACTCATGCTATGGATATCTGTTGGGAACGATATCATAGTCACCCCACTTACAACCGACTGGGCATATCAGAAACCAAGGTTGATCACTAAGAATTGGTTCACTTACCATATCACTTTCTCCCGTCTTTAGGCTTTGGCAGGCCAAGTGTAACGCAACCATACTGCTTGAACATGCGGTGTCGAGTGTAATACTAGGCCCCTTGAAGTCATAGAACCAGGAGACACGATTGCTTAGCAATGAGTTGGTTGTGCCTGTGGGTTTGTACTTCAAAGTTGTCTCGGGGTCTGCGTTCAGCACTGCAAGGTGGTCGTGGTTGAAACCAGATACGTAAACCGAAGTGTTGGAGGAGGACACGTCGACCAGAGTGAGTCCAGCTAGTTTGCGTTAGATATTGTGGTATTTTCATGGAGAGGCTCCGAACCATTTTCCAAAGCATGGTAGACATTCTCTAGGACCACCCGCTGTTGAGGATCCAGAGTCAACGCCTCTCCTTTGGTGATGCTAAAAAATGGAGCATCAAAATTTGCTGGATTTTCAGCCAGGAAGTGACCTCCCTTTACGGCGAACTGGTCTGGTCAGTATATCTTATTCAACGGCTGCTTTCAGGATGCTGACTGTGCCTCCGTGCTCTGGGTCAGGATGATAATGACCATCTGGGTTGATTCGATCTTCTGGGAATGGAGTGTGCGCTGATCTTCCAGCAAGGAGAAAGTCCCACAATCTCTCATTGCTCGAGGCATCTTGTGGGAAGCGTGTTGCCATCCCAATGATGGCCAAAGGTGCACCTTCCCCCACGGCAGGTTCCTCCTCGCGCGATATGGATCCCATGCTGACGCCGACACTTTCGGTCTGCGAGGCATTGAGGCCGAATCGTCTCACAGATCGGGCCAGTATCATTCATATAGGTATTGAATCAGTCACCTCCAAGCGGCAGGTGCCTCAGCTCGTAGGAACGAGGCATTTCTCCACTCTCAAACCGTTATATCAGGATTCTTTCTTACAGTAGTCCACCTCCACACTAACATAGTTAGCTGGACCAATGTTGAACAGACTTAGACTCATGAGTGCAACATGAGAACAAAGTACCACCAGGGGGAGCCTGTCGGGTCTCAAGTTATCCCCAATTTCCACCTGGGGTGGTGCGCAGTAAGCAGGAATATCACCGCGTGGAATTGTTTCCCTGAGCGGGTATCTGCATGTGCATGCTCTTGATGTGAGATGTGGTAGCTGCCATTTCAATGATGCAACATCGATGAGTCCCAACGCTGGGTACAGCGGTGGGCACCGGAAAGCTTGGTGCGGAGCATGGTGCCGTAAAATAAACGGGAACTGCGGTGGCCCCCAACACACTACCCTTGTAGAACTGCTGTTACAGTATGCTACTCCGGAGAGAACAAACAAGACTGTGATTGACCTCGGAGCAGGGATCATCTGGAAGGCTGTTTCCATCATGCTTCGGCTCTCACACCTAGCATCTCGGAAACCAATGGAAGCTGGGACCTGGAGTGATATGGCACGCGGACCCGTGTCTCCGCATACCGTGGCATGCATAGCACCTTAGCACCACCATATAGGAGCAAAGGTCAAGTAGATGCTAGCTCCAGGACCACTAGGTTTAGGCCACCAACTATTTCAGAGGCTGGAGCCAGGCAGTAGGTATCCCTTGGCTTTGCAGGTTCTTCTCTGGGAGGGGCAGAGGAGCGTTGTGTATCGTAGGTATTATGAGAACTCATTCCATCCGTTTCATGACCAACTTGTGGGCTTGTCCGAGGTGATGGTGGGAGCAGCTGTATACATCTAGGCAAATAGGATAGAGATGCAGAGACAGGAATACTGGGGGAATGGATTGTTCCATACCTTCTCAGGGAGGAGGTACGGAGTACATTGCCCTGTGGCTCGGCATTCGCTGCACCTTCTTGCCAGATACAGTATAATGTGGTGTTATCGGGAATTCTTTAACCCGAGACCTGGATATCGCGGGGTAAATTTCGACTTGCAAATGTTCCTAGCGGTTGGTTGCAACGTCTTTACACTTTGTTACATCAGGAACCAGGCTGTGGCTCAGATGTCTTGACTTTCTAGAAGTCCGGGCTAGTTCTAGTATCTATCTGTATAGTATGGGCCGTTATTCCTGCTTTCGGCGTCTGATTCGTGCTCTCACCGCTTTCATCGGACCCATAATCCCAATACTACGTGGATTCAGCTGGAATCCTGCGGGAGTTTCGATGTCAATGTCGAACAGCAGCAACATTGCTGCACCGATACTCAAGATCTCTTGCTCAGCAACGAAGCGACCCGAGCACAATCCCGCACCACCACCGAAGCTTCGTAAGTTCAAATTTCGCCTCTTGTGGACCTCCAACTGTAGCTTATCATCCTGGTCGAACACCCATCTGTCGGGATCAAATAATTGAGGTTCCAGAAATGCCTCTGGGTTCGAATGCATCAATTGAACAGGTAAGAGCACCACAGATCCTTGTTTGATTCTGTATCCCTCGAGCGTCGTGTTTTTTCGAACCACGCGGGCGGCCGCACTCGCTGAGCCTAAGCGCAACGACTCTTTCCAAAGTCCTTGAATGAACTGGCTTGATCGAAGAGCAGGAAAATCGACCTTCAAGCTGATATTTGGGGACGTTCCAGCTACTGATAGCATACTTCGTGTCTCACTGCGAAATCTCTGGAGCCGACTCGGAGAATCAAGAACATTCTTGAGGAACCAGGTCGCCATCGGGGCCGAATTAGTTACAATCCTGGTCGCAAGCATTAGATACAGGGTTACTAGAACAACTGACATATACCAATGGCACTTACACAAAGAGAAAACTTGCTTGCAGACACGCCCTTCCTCGTTGCGAAAACTTGTACCTTCTTGCCAACACATCTCGCTCCCAATTCATCTTCAACCCCCAACTGCTATCCCAGATATTGTTTGTCGGACTCCATGATCCATCTTGCTGCTCGAGCCATTTCTCAAAAGCCTCCAACATTCGTTTTCTTGCCGCATATGCGCCGCTCTGGAAATAATAGGCCATGTTCGACCTGACTCCTGCGTATGTGGCATCATTGAACTTCTTCCAGTCTTCCCACATATCCGACCAGTATGTTGAGAGGCGGAGCCCAAAGAAAGTCTTCACTGATGCCTCAAATATTACTTTTCTCATCAACTCATGCAGATCCAAGGTAGTCCATTCTGATCCACTGATTATAGGTAGACAATTCAGCTCTTCTTCAAAGTGTTCCACATATTTCTCCATGATATTGTCAAGTGGGTCTCCAGTGAGATACTTCAGCCAGATTGAGTGGTTAACTGACACAAAACTCTTTGATAGGTGCTCATTCGATGACTCCCTGTCCTGTGGACCCAGAGGAACCTGAAACTTTGGCCTATCCTCCATTGGAAGATTCATCCCGTTTTCCATCATACTGGCCAGGATAGGCTCAAAGACAAATTCTCTGGATTTTCCGAAAATCAGACTTGCTGTTTGCTGGGAATCAAAAATATGAAATTTGGTCCCAGTCATCATTAGAGAGAACGGACCACCAAACCTTTGCCTTCATAGATCCTTAGTAAAATGCGGCCTAGGAATGGAACTGAGCCACTCACTTGCTGTCATGGAAGACCTTCCCAGGGTCCGAAAGGAAAGAAAAAACACTTCCGAAGTAAGGAAGCCAGTACGGCGTAGTTGGCGGCTCATGACTACCATCTGGGGTTGGATATCGGCATTGAATGCCTGTAATCACTTTAGTGATCAAGCAGACAAGTATTGCGCATATAGGAAACTGGAGTATTAGGTGAGCAAGGGAGAGCGAACAAAATGGCCAATATCTCAGATAAGATAAGTGTATGCCTTCGTTCATATTGCAAGCAGACTGGCTTTGGATAAGAATTGATGACTTAGGTCAGTTATTGTCGGGGAATTTTTTATCCCCAACCATATGTTCCAATGTTGCAAACCGTTTGGGGAGGCATTCCAAATGAGTATGAATGAATACTGTGATTGCTGGACTAAAACATTATTCTGGCAGTACTTGTCATTACCACCATTGTCACAAATGTTAGAGATATGCTACCCCTTTGTAAGATACGCTCACCTTAGCCCGGGCCCTCTGCACCCGCCTCACGTCGTATTGTAGGGTAGTAGCTGTGTGGATACAGACGAGGTGTGTGCGCGAAGATCTCACCCCAGATTTGGGCAATATGAACTATAGAGTGTCGCATGAGGTCCACTAGAGGACTGCCATATGAGGGTAGACGCGCCCCCAAGGATTATGATGCAGCCGATTCCTTGGGGTATCTCATGACCATAACGATGACCCACTATCTCTCAGTAAGAACTGGGGTAACATATTCAGAATTTTGGGGGATAGGTTTGGAGAGTTGGTCTAACATAGTATAGGCTCTCAATTAAAGCATTTGTTGGCTCTTACTCATGAGGATGGTGTAACTTGCGAAGGATAACCAGGTTGCACGAATCTCGAGCTATTCAGTAAACGGTCCCTGTCTGCTCTAGTGATCAGACTACACTCAGCCATGCATGTTCGTTTCCAACGTGCCTTTCAAAAAACGAGAACATGGTTTCTTTCTAGAGGTGAATCTCCTCAACCTTGAGATTCCTGGTGTCGAGATGCGTGTCCTATGCCTGCACGGTCGAGGCTCCAACAACGAGGTAATGAAAACCGAGCATGAGTATGGCATCCTTTTCTAATGATGCTGACTCATCCATTTGTATCAAAAGATTTTTAGACTTCAAACAGGTATGTTAAGCCTCACAAAAACACACTGCGCATGCATGAGAGCACCTGATTGAATGTTCTGTCTCGAAACCAGCATCGCTCCGTGCCGATCTCGACGACTTTGAATTCCATTTTGTGCAGGGTACTGTGCCTCACACGGAAGGTACGAGGCTTCTGTAAATCCAAATGCCACAAAATCCTGCTGATGCATTTAGGTAACTGGTCACTCTATACTAATTCATTCTCGAAGTTGCCATTATACGGATATTACAACGGGCTGTCCCCACTTTCGATATTACAGACAGAAACGGATCTTGAACACATCATCAAGACAGAAGGACCCTTTCACGGCGTGATAGGATACTCAGGGGGTGCGGCGCTCGCTGCCGAGATCATCATTCGCGATGAGCTTGCGCACCCTTTCAAGTTGCCTGATGAGCGTCCATTTCAGTTTGCTGTTTTCATTAATGGAGCCTCCCCATTGAGGGTGTTTCGCTTAGAGGATGAGAATGTTGAAGATGGTGTTATAGACATTTCCGAAATGCTTGCTGATGCCGAGAGCATATTTCTCAGACCATCGGCTCTGCGGAAGAAAGATGGTGTTACTGATGAGGATCGTGCCAACCATACCAAAATGCTGTCTCTTTTGAAACACGTAATTGGCAAGAGACTAGCCGACGGCACAGTTTTCGTTAGCGATGGGGTGAGGAAAAAGCACTTCACTAGCAAGTATGTTTCACTTACTGATTGATCGGCTACAGGAGCATGGCCTGTGCCGTTACGAGGCTCATCATGGTGAACCTTTGATATCCATTCCTACGTTACATGTCAGATCACCCGATGAGAAAGATCCTCATCAAGGCCTTCACCTGTCCAACCTGTGCGAAAAGTCGTTAGTACGAGAATTCTTCCATGATTATGGGCACGACTTTCCGCGTGGAAGGTATGAGATGAAAAAGCTCTCACAACTAATTCGTGAACTAGCAGAGACAATATAGATTGAGGTAGTTTTGTTGCTGCTCTTGCAGATTGAATTCTCATCCAAATGCGCTCGCTGATTTGAAGGCAAGAGACGAAAGTATCTCATCCCGCTCCCACATGAGGCCAATCGGGAGGCCCATTGGACCGCCTACGGAGATATACAGCAGAGACTTTAGAAAAATGGATAGAAATGACACAAAGGACCCAATCACATAATGTGCGTCCAGAAATAACTTGAGTGCCCAGACCCAGGCAGCAGCCGTGCCAATAATATTGTCCCATTGAATCAGCCAGGTACACCCTTCAGCAGTATCTTTAGACTGCCTCGAAGAGAATGGATTTGGCGGAAGTACAGTTTCTCGAGGATGAAGGGAGGCAGAATAGTTGGGATTGAAGAGACGAGGCCACAGTGCTGCACTCCAGAATATAACATTGCTGACCCAGTGAGGTATGGCCGCCAATGCAAAGGCCACGCCGTAGACCAACCTGATCTTGTGCTGGTAGTCTTGAACGGTCAACGGGTCTTGAGCGCCAATGAAACCTAAGAACCAGCGGGAGATATAGTGAGAAGCTGTAATGAAGAGGTTCCACTGCTGGTAGACTCCACCGAGTTTCAACCTTGTTCTACCAGAAGGTGCCAAACATATTGCCGCGAGCGGGAAAAGATATCCGAACAAGTAACTCCATAGAATAGCGTCCAGGTCTTTCGAATCTACCAGGAAGCCACTAGCATTGAATTGATCAACGCTTGGTACAGTGGCAAGGTGGAAAGCCAGATAAAGGGGTGTCATCAGCGCATTCGAGTAGTTGAAAATCAGCATTCCTGGTAACGACGTACTACATACGAGTCAGTCTGTGGGGAAAGATCCATGGGCAGAATATCTCACTACGAGAAAAAGCTCCCAGCGTTTCCAACCCTGAAACTCTCGAGGACAATTAGAAGCCAGGACGCGCCCCAGCCTCCCACGAAGTTGAACCCGATCAATGAAGTGCCTGGCCGATTTCCATCGCTAGTAAATTGAGCTGCAAACACCGATGTTGCCTTTATTTGCAAATCAACCGCTGGGAAGCGACCATTAGTACTCACTGGCTGCAATGGTTCACCGTTGTACAACTTTCCCGAGCGCATTGTTTCCTCGAGTTGTTTGAATAGTCCATTCCTGGAGGAGAGCACGAACAGGCATTGGTATGCACACACTGGCAGCAACAAAAGCCCAATGAGGGCCAGCGAAAACGACATGCTATACTCTGGGTAAGAGAATACTGGTCGAGGAAAATTACCCTTCGACCTTTCACGCGTCTGATTCTCGGGAGCTTCTGGTCCTCCGAGATCTTTCAGGCCATGTACGATGTCTATGGGGTAAAGGAAACCTGTAATAGATTTCCCAGTATTAATAGCGATCCGGAAACCTATGGATGGCATTGGTCCTAGGGCTTTTAAAAGTGGACCACCCGCAACGTTTCATTATCATTCATGCAACCCTCCGCAGATTTTCCTAAAAAGTGTTAGCAACGTGAGAAGCAGTCCCCAGTGCCGGCATGCAGCTTACACCACCATGCAGTAACCAAGGAATCCAACGATCCTCGACAATACCTAGTGAGCGATATATTACGACATGTTTAGAATTTGAGTCGAATCTTGGGCAGTGTATGACCTCACCTAATTAAGTGACATAAAGCTGGAGAGAACATTCTCCCTACTTTGCCAAGAAAACAGGTTATAGTCAGACAGTGGGCCCGACGGTGCGCCGTTCAAGCCCCTTTAATCGCTCAGCCTCGTGAAATCTAGGTCTCAAGGAACAGATTGAAAGGCGAAAAACCCAATGTGCAAGTTTTGCAGTCGACCAGACTAATTGTGTAAATATGATGAGGATGTACTTTCTGAACCCTGGCTGGCAGAGTTAGCCTGCGATTTCATATATGATCTAATTGGAAACATGCGTTTCCTCTAGTTCAAATCCATGCTACCCTCAAACGGTCTCCTTACTATTAGAATCAAGGTATGGTGTCCAAGCCAGGCGGATGAAATCTTCTGATAGACTCTAAGCCAAATGGCATACCACGACGCTAGCAAAAACATACTATATGACTCAGGGTCTTCTCGGTTAACGATCTTTCAGAGACACTTTACAGGCCACCCAACGTGCCTGTCGCCCACATTTCAGGAGCTCAGATTAACCCACCAAGTTTGTTGGGCTGCGGGTACGGCTTGTTGATTATAGTTGCAGGCTTAGAGTTCTCAGGCTTAGATAGGATTGTTGTTGCCGGTCCAGAAATGTCTTTGCATAGCTTAGAGACATTGTGGATTTCACGCTTGTGAGTGTCGAGTTTCTGGACCGTTACATTATTTATCAGGTTGAGCACCTAAAGTTCAGGAGTGCCATATTGGCTGTTTCCTTGTCTTATCAGATGCTGTGATCAAGGTTCTCGTCATACCTGCTGGGGCCATTGTCCACTTTGTTATTCTGAGTCGCCTCGTATAAATGGTACGCTTGGAACTCGTGGGATGGATAGTGATTCAATCACACCATTTTGTTGAAGCAGCAAAGATTCTAGACCTTTGGAGGGACTCGCATGAAGAGTGCCATTCTCGACGAACTTGAGACTCTTCCAGTCGTGGTTGGCACTTTCCATCGGTTGCTGCCCAATCGTTTCCGTAAAGAGGGAAGAGGGAAACCGAAGCAGTGGGTTGGCTTGTGGCAATAGCTGCGAATATCTACTGTAGGTGTGTTGTGTTGATTCGATCCGGTGTCAGTGTTGGATCCCTCCCGAAAGTCTCAAAGTCCTCAGGAGTCAAAAATTATGGCTCGCCGAGGGGTGGATGAAAATAAAGCGGCGTCGCCTTCTTCTCAGATCGGAGAAGAAGCCACACGTGGCGCAGGCCGGTTATACTCTTGGCAAGTTTGTCAAGTTTGTGCGGCCGCTTCTCCGCGATCAGTTGCTACGGCTTCGAAGCTCGGAGGCTGGAGGCTGGAGTTGTGCACCCAGCCCTAACTTAGCCGAGAATAGTGAAGGTTCTTTAAATGGCCACTGAGCTCATAGCTCTTCGCTGACTTCGTCTACTTCGTAAGTCTCACAACCAACCTCAAATGGCTCTCCCTAGGTCTTCGGCTCTCCGGAGCACCATCCGGTCTTTTACTATCAAAAGAGCTGGCACACAAGCTCGAATAAATCTGCGTTCAATTGCCCGACGAACCTACGCCAGCGGCCATGAAGCAAAGAAGGGCAGCGACATTCCATGGTAGGTGGACAGCTCTACACTCAGTCCCCTGGGATATCACAGGTCCTAACTTGGGTTTCAAGGCTGATTGGATCTGTTGCGGCAACTGTACCCGCCGCCGTCTGGCTATGGCAGCAAGGCCCCGAACCTTCCGCTCACGGCCATGGCCATGAGAGCCACGGAAAAGAAGAGGAAGCTCCTCAAGAGGAACCTGAAGACAAGCCAGAAGAGGAGGAGTCCAAGGGTGATGAGTCATCCGATGATAGTAAAGCAGAGTCTGACGACGACGGTAAATCTGAAACTAGTGGAGAAGGGTAGGTCTCTGCAAAAGCAAATATTCCTCGACAGTTGCTAAGACATAGGCCACAGGGACTCTGCAGGATCTGCTAAAAAGGATGCAAAAGTGTCGGAGAAGAAAGGCGACAAAGATGTGGGTGATACCTAGGTCGAAACGGGCCAGATAGGTCACTAATGCTTGACAGGCTGCCTCAGACACCACTGGAGCCAAACACCCCGTTTTGGACGAAAAGACCAAGAAGGGTGAGGGTGTGGCAGACACGGCTAAAATTCATGGTACAGTCGACTCTGCCAGACCCGTTGGAGGCAAGAAGGAGGGCTCTGACAAAGACCAATCCGAAGAGGATGGGGATAGCGATAGCGATAAAAAAGAGGATTAAAGGTGACATATCCAGGACATTGCTGGTGATTTGTCCCAAATCGCCAAATCAGCATGGCATCGGGCATTTGCCCATAATCATTGTGTAGAACAGAACATATCACGCCACCAGATGGATCAAAATCATTGAAGAAAGCTTTACACCCACCTGACCTCCGTGCCCTCGTTTTACAGGCATCTCTCCCAACCCCAAATCTCATCTCGTTCATGAACAAAGCTGGACATTGCCAACGGCTGAATAGATCGAGAATGAAGGAGCAGCGCCTAACAAGGCCGCTTGCCCCCTTTTTCGTTTTAAGCGGCGTGTTAAAGCCCCCTTAATTGGACATTTGGCCAAGGATGACGGCGACCGTCCCTTTTCAAAAAGGTTGCCAACTGCGCTCCGGAAGTTCCAGCTGACAAGCATGCTCGCAACTTCTTTCACTCCAAACAAATTCACAGAACGGTCGAATCTACATTCCAAATCGACCTAGAAACGCCACGGCCCACTATATAACATACGACAACTATGGGCCGTCCGCGTCGGGCTTCGAGCAATCTCGGGGGTGACCCTCGTGGGGACACAGGTGCGCCAGCCCTTGCGACCATGACCACGCGATCTTCTTCTACGCAAGTCTCTGTAGGTCGACTTGAATACTGTTGCCATCGGGTATGCTGACAACATTTAGGCAAACGGGAACGATCTAAGGCCTCACTCGAAAAGACGGAAAGCCCGGTCAGCCTTTCGAAAATGGAAGCACATCTCCCTCAAGCACACCTGGGTCAACCCCCTCCTGATCGTCCTTGCCATCCTTGGTGCCTACTTTGTCAATCCCGGAGAACAGAACCCTCTCCACAAAGCCATTTTTCTCTCCTATCCACTGGGCCCAGATTATCCAGGCGGCCCGAACATGTACGGCAAAGGCAAAGGGGATATTGCATTTGTTGCATTTTACACCGTGGTCTTTAGTTTCACGAGAGAGTTTGTGATGCAAAGACTTCTTCGACCAGCGGCAATAAAATGCGGGATACTCAAGCGAGCGAAACAGTGGAGGTTTATGGAGCAGACATATACTGCACTTTACTTCTCCGTGTTCGGACCCTTTGGGCTCTACGTTATGTCAAAAGGCCCACTCTGGTATTTCAACACTACCGCCATGTTCGAAGGATTTCCGCATAGAAAGCACGAAGCCCTCTTCAAGGCCTATTATTTACTACAAGCGAGTTATTGGGCGCAACAGGCCATTGTGATTCTCCTCCTGTTGGAAAAGCCTCGAAAGGATTTCAAGGAACTCGTGCTACACCACGTGGTGACGCTGGCTCTTATCGGACTGAGTTATCGCTTTCACTTTGCGCGCATGGGCATTGCAGTATATATCACACATGACATCAGTGATTTCTTCCTAGCAGTAAGTCCCGTGCTCCACACGATATATTCTAGCGGCTAACAGCCTCCAGACTTCGAAGACTCTCAATTACGTCGACGCCTACATAACTGGACCCTATTTCGGTGTCTTCGTTTGTGTATGGATATACCTTCGACATTACATCAATCTTCGCATCCTGTGGGCGACCCTGACCGAGTTCCGGACCGTGGGACCGTTCGAGCTGAACTGGGAGACTCAACAATACAAATGTTGGATCAGCCAATATATCACGTTTGCCCTTCTAGCATTGTTACAAGCGGTGAACCTTTTCTGGTTTTTCCTCATCCTCAGAATCGCCAAAAATTATGCTTTTAACCATGTGGCGCAAGACGAACGCAGTGAGGATGAGGACGATGAGGAAGACGAGACGCCCGAGGCTCAACCAAGTGGAAAAGCACTTCCGGATAAGAAGACAAACGGTGCCCAACCTGTCGTTCTGGTCAACGGGGAGCCTTTTGAAGCTCAGTTGAAAACACCAGCGGTACGGGAACGGAAGAGAAAAGGCTGATCGAGTATTAGTAAGAGAAAGCTGTGCTTTGATCACAGCGCAAGGCGTGTGCTGTGTGCGGTGAATATGAAGATTTTGTAGCAAAAGTTGTAAAGGTACAGATTGGCGATCAGTAATAGTTAATATGGTGTTTTCTGTGAAATCACATTATGTTGAAACTGAAATCCCTCAGTGGTCTTTCGGAGCGCGAAGGATACGATGGCAATCAGTTGCACGGGAATCTGGTCAACAGAGGGGTCTTTGAAACTGTCATATATCAGTCACGGTGGAAGCGTCTGGCCATTCTTGCCAAGAATCTCGTGACTCAATGGGTGTGCCTGCACTCCACAGACTATAGTACTCGAACTAGGAAGGCAACGAGTCCTCAAAAGTACTGCCATGGAGTACCAGGACCGAGGACCCTCTGCCAGCTGCAATTATGCCTGGGAGCAGGTGAACTCTCACGATAGATCGCGCTGGATGGCATGTCAATGTGGGGTGTTTCCCGGAAGAAGAGAGGAGACGGCCACAGTTGGCACCGTGGGCTTTGGCTGACAGTCGTTACCTATGCCGGGTATGGCCTGAGCAATCGGCAACTCGCACAACACAGGCGGCTCTGGAGGATGGGGAATGGCTGTAGGATGATGTGGAGAAGCCTTCCATGATTCCATCTCCAAATCCTCGAATGCCTCCTGTGGGGGAACCCTTCACCAAATTCCTATGTGGTACTGATATGGAACGGCTACAAGAGCACTGAACCTCACACTCTGGGTAAAGAGAGCAAATCATCAAAGATCTCAGCAACACCGACTTCAGACCGTTTCAAAATCAGAACACAACACGCGTGTGGCTCTCCAAAGCTGGGGGATCAATTACCAAATTGTGTAGGTAGGTCAGACAACCTTGAGATCTTCGGCAGTTGCTCCATGTGGATGGATCACCGCGACTGCTCCATCATCATCGGCCATCCTCAATCAAAATTGCTTTGACTGACGTCCCTGGTCAGCACCTGGATTCTCGTTGCCCCCAGCGCCACCACGAGACGGCCATTTTAATCCGCCGCGCTCCAGAATCTCCGCCACAAACACCCATTGGCTGCCGCTCAACCCTCCCTCAGATCGTGGGGCTTCCACTGTGTGGGGCATTTGTTCTTTGCCAGAATGGACAATGGCCCCTACCATGGCATCTCAGGTGTTGAATGCCACGAGCGTGGAGCTGATCTATGCCCTTGTTAAAGCCCGGAGCGGCACCGCAATGGTGGCAGCGGGGAGGGGGAGAGGTACGATATCTTCTTCACTCGTTCTCCTCTAGGTGTTTGCTCTATCCTTTCAACGACATCCCAGGACTTCCTTGACAGCCTTCAAACATCAAAATGGCAGGTGACGAGGCTCCATTGACCCAGTCCGCTGTGGTAACAGCATGGGCATTGTTGCGATCACACCCCTATATCATTCTAGTTCTTCTTTTGTTTGTACGGCCACTGTATAAACGATACTCTTCCCCGCTAAGACAGTTCCCTGGCCCATTTGTTGCCTCTTGCACTCGCCTCTGGAAAGGTGAGCGTCTCTTGAACCATCCTGCCGTGGCGATATTTGCTGATAGTCTCGGATAGTTTGGAGCACGTGGACCGGTAAGACAGAGCAGCATCACATTGCTTTACACCAAAAATACGGTATGCATGGCAGCTCGGGCTTCGAAAATCATGCTCATCAGTCCAGGGCCTGTCGTTCGAATCGCACCAAATGAGGTCTCATTTTCTTCTCCTGAGGCTGCTCTTGAACTTTTCAAAACTGGTAAAGGGTTCCACAAAACCGACTTTTATGGTGTCTTCCCACCTCCGGAAAATCCAGATATCTTTACCGAGACTCGTGAATCAGTACATGGTATGAAGAAACGATATGCAGCAACTCCATACAGTCTTGCTTCCATGCAGCAATGCACAGATCGCATTGAAGGCACCGAGCAACTCCTGATTTCAAAGTTGGACGAATTTGATGGTGGACAACGAATCTGCGATCTTGGTGATTGGCTGCATTTCTTTGCTTTCGACGTAAGCCCCGGTTTGTCGTTCAGTCCGTGATTCTGGGAGGACTAATTTGGTCCAGGTCTTGGGCGAAGTTGCATTCTCCAAAAAGTTCGGCTTCCTGGAAGCTGGTGTTGACGTTGATCAAGCGATCAAGACGATCGACAATTCTCAATGGTACAACGGCATTGTTGGCCAAGTACCTATCCTCGACCACTTCTTGCGGCGCAATCCTCTCTGGAATCTCATTCCTTTCCTTGCCACAAAAAACGCGCTCGTTACCCGAACGGCACTCGGTCAACTTGAGAAACGCAATAACCCTCAGGGCGAGAAAGTCGAGTATCGGGACTTGCTCAATAGCTTGATCGAGGCCCAAAAGCTGCATCCTGAAGCACTTGGACATGGAGATGTCTTCGCCATTGCTCACGGTGCCATTTTTGCAGGAAGTGACAGCACTGCAAGCACGATGCAAAGCTTTTTCTGGCATGTCCTATCGAACAAGCTAGTCTACGAGAAATTGGTTGCTGAGATCCTGGCAGCTGATCTCTCGGAGATGGTACAGTACAATGAGGCACAGAACTTGCCCTACTTCCAGGCATGCCTGAAAGAGGCCATGCGCATCAGTCCCGCAGTAGGGTTGAATATCACCAGGAAGGTACCAGTTAATGGTGCTGAAATTGACGGGATCAAACTGCCGGGCGGGGTGTCAGTAGCCATCAATGGTTGGGTGCTGCACCGACACAAAGGTATATTTGGCGAGGACGCAGAAATCTATCGACCGGAGCGATGGATAGAAGGCGACAAGGAGAAAATCAAGATGATGGAAAGATGCATGTTCCAGGTGAGTGTGTGATCGATATGTTGGTTGAGCATCAATTTTCTAACGCGTATTTTCCTTCCGCAGTTTGGTGGTGGTTCCCATGTTTGCATCGGACGACATCTCGCGCTCCTTGAAATGAACAAGATTCTACCACAGCTGATACGGAGGTTCGATATCCAGCTTGTGAACCCTGGCAAACCACTCGAGCACCACTCCAGCTTTTTCGTAGTCCAGTGGGGCTTGTTGACATACTTGAAGCTCAGGCATACTGCATAACCAGCAAATTTGATCAATTCTCACGATGGCATGCGATCACGAGCGTAACAAGGAAAATGGCGATTGAGGACAGTTGCGACAGAAATTGGTGGAATTTCTACACCGCTCGAATCAGTTGGATTGTCAACACCAATGCCCGCGTAGCAGTCAGGTCAAGACGGGTCAGATGTCCAATCGAGGAAGGACAGTGAGGATTGTGGGGATCACACCAACGGGCTGTGCATTTCCAATGCAAGTGGCCTGGCTTTCACGGGAAATGTGTCTGAATAGTGTCGACTCGAGACCACCAGCTATACGGATTTCACACTGTCTCGGGGGGGGTCTTCGGTCATCCTCTGGCAAGGCTTTCCATGGTCGGGGACCACTCAGCCTAATGGTACCGTGCGAACAAATGGAACAGTCTGAACAGGTGGAAGAGGGCGATAGTGAGACTGGGACTCAGACTCAAGCGTGATGATTTTGAGATGGACATCCCTGGCGCTGTCTCAAGGCTACGTCCATCCGTATTTATCTACCTAATATATGAATGGGAGGTGAATGATAGGTCATCAGCTGCAGTCAGAAACAAAGCTGTGCGAATACCATGCAACGCTATTCACGAGATGTCGTGGTCAATCGACCCTCTCTAACGTCCAGCCTTGACCTTACTATGTTGGTCTTTAATCTCGTTGAGATCTACCATTAAAGTCTAATATTATTCTGGGTGTGAGATGCTCATGTCTTGCTGATGCTAACTATGTGGTAATGAGAACAGTGCCATACCTCCTCAAGATATGTAATATCGGTGATGGGGTAGGGATGAATCCCTCTGAGGTTGTTGGGCTTAGGAAGTGTTGTAGGTTAACCATTGGAGGTGAGGGAAGACGGGATGAAATGCGGGGAAGGGAGTGTCTGTTGACGAGAGATTAGATTAGATCAGATCAGCGATCACGAGGGGGAAAAGTTCCACTGGCCGCAGGTGAGGAGGGTGATTTCGTACTCTCAGCTTTTCCATCAGAGAGTCAAACTTTCTCCGTACTCTTGCTCACGCCCGTATTGCGTCAAGAGGCACTGTCTCTCCAAGCGACGAGTGATGAAGCTCGATACGAAAGCCCTGCGCTATCTCAACCCTACCGATTGGCGGACCCTCACTGCAGTCGAGACAGGGAGTCGAAATCACGAAGTCGTTCCTACACCTCTCATTGCCAATCTGTCCAAGGCTAGCGTTGGTGATGTCCAACGAAGTATTTCGCTCATTGCGAAAGCCAATCTCATTGCGAAAGTCAAGAATGCCAAATACGAAGGCTACAGGCTGACGTATGGTGGTCTCGACTACTTGGCACTCCACTCCCTCCAGAAAAGCGACATCGTTTACAGTGTGGGTAATCAGATTGGAGTTGGTAAAGAGAGTGATATATTTGTTGTGAGCGACGAACACGGCCAACAACGAGTGCTCAAGATACACCGCTTAGGAAGAGTGAGTTTCAAGAAAGGTGTACGAAATAAGCGAGATTATGCCCGCACAAAACAACAGAAAGAAAGAGGCGCGGGCAGCTGGATGTACATGTCGCGACTGGCTGCGGTCAAGGAATATGCCTTTCTACATGCGCTATACAATGCAGGTTTCAGTGTGCCGATTCCCTTGGGCCAGAATCGTCATCAGCTAGTCATGTCCTTGATCGATGGCTTCCCTCTCAGGCAGATAGACAAGGTCCCAGACCCCGCAGGTTTGTACGCAGAGCTCATGGAGATGCTGGTTCGGCTATGTTCATTCGGACTAATCCACGGTGATTTCAATGAGTTCAACATTTTGATCAAAGAGGAGGAGACGGAAGGCGAGGAGGGGGCCATCAAGCTAGTACCGGTGCTTATTGACTTTCCCCAGATGGTCAGTGTGGATCACGCAAATGCAGAGTTTTACTTTGATAGAGATGTGGCATGTGTCAAGAGATTCTTTGAGAGGAGGTTTGGCTTTACTAGCGACGAGGGTGGCCCATTCTTCAAGGATGCAAAGGCTCTGGTTGGCACAGAGGGGGCTACAAGGTTAGATGTCGAGGTCGAGGCGTCGGGGTTCTCGCGAAAGATGGCAAAAGATCTGGAGACGTACATGAAGGAGCACGGCGTCGATGGTGATGCGCAAGCATCTGAAACAATCGGTCAGGACCAAGACATTGTCGATGATTCCGATGACGGAAGTCAGCTCGACAACAGTGGCGATGACGATGAGCGGAGAGATGGGGCCATTCCTGATGCTGGTTGATATGACTTTCTCGTCCGAGTGATGAGCATTATTCCTCACGCTTGCACTCGCCTCGAGCCGGCTGTCCCCTCTGCCTCCGGATCCTTCCTCTCGTATGGGTTTGCAGCCAATTGCTATCGCTCGAGAATGGCTGGGAAGTTGTGGGCGCCTGTCACGATGCAAGCGAGCCAACGACAGAGTGGTGATGTGCTCGCCTTTGCAGAAGCGTTGCCGGCTCATCCTTGCAGGTGGCTGGATGGGTTCCATGTTTGGACTGGACTTGTGCGAATACTCCCGTACGATACTCAGAGATAAAGTCAAGAGTCAACAAACCGAGAGTGGTCTAAGCTGATAGACTCTGAAACCATTCTATCAAGCGAGTCCAGGCAGGATCGTCAACCCCCGCAGCTATAGCCTATACTTGATATCAGGAGGAGAAACAAGTTTCTCGTGATTGTGGGCGGGGCACGCTTGGTAATTCACTAGGAGCTCGTCAACCAGGAACGCACGTTACAGTTAGGTACATACTCAGGTTGCATTAGGAGCAAACCATTGTTTGCACTACTCCTATGCACAGTATGTCTTTCCGCATGAACAGTGAACTCATGGCCGATGCAATGGAAACTCCACCGTCGGAGATTTTTCTCTCCACAGATGGAGGCCGGGCCACAACTGGAGTTTCATACTTCAAACTTTCAAGAAACTTGAAGGTTTAAATCTAGATGATTGCAGCAAGACACATGAGACTGACGATTCCTGTCTTTAACTCTGACTCTTCCACCACGTGCTGCGTTTTAGGGTTTTTAGGGGACAGGTACGGAGCTCCAGCATGGAGGACTCGGTATTAACACGCCAGCGGATTATGGGTAAGCTACTTCGATGTTTGATCAATGATCAGCACTTACCGCAGGGTTTGACTTTCTCTCATGCTTCACGCTCCCTCGGTGCAGACTCCACTGTGGGAATTGCAAGGCCTGGTAGTATCCGTACTACAGTACCGCTGAAGCACGAGTAAGTAACCTCTAGTGCGCACAAAGAGTCCATCAACGGTCAGACTGTGCCCGAGCATGCCAACCTGCTCAACCGAGCCAGACTATTAAAAAGCGAAACGGGCTACAACGATCAGGTGTGGGGGAATCCAACAACGGCTGTGTCTGGGCTTTCGGTCCAGAAAAAAACAAGCGCAGTACCCAGTAGCCATGGACGTACTCGGTAGATATGCAGCACGAAGTCGAACGCACCGAGTACCTCATCCAAATCCCCAAGTTTGGTAATGATGGGTATCAGTATCCTTGGGATTTCGACCAAGTAAAAGGAATAGCTATCACCTGTCGCAGTCAAACAGCGGGAGCAAGCCATTTGATCGGATCGGTAGGCCGTGTTAATGTAAATCGAGCCCAAAGAGCACCGCCCTGCTCTGGAGGGCATCAGGTTACGGATACCCGTACCTCGCCGTCTCGTACTTTGTAGATATGCACGAGGCCCACCGACGGGCGTCGGGGAAGGATTCGAGTCTGCAAGATTCCTTACTAGCCGGGTGGCTAGGTACCAAGAGGAGGACATTTAGGACCACTGCTCGGTAGCATAGCAGCTGAGCATGGCCTGACATGTATGTAATAATAACGGTGTTCAGTGTTTTGATTAAAAAGCAGGCCCCAGGATCGCCGGCAAGAACCCAAGTGCTCTGATCAACGCCTGGATAGCGAGGATGACAACTCGGTTAACTCGATCCCCTGCAGTAGCATTCGTAAAGAACCCCTGACACTCGATAGGGGGCCATGCTCTGAAACCAACGCCCCAAAGGCCCTAGTAAGAATGGCTGAGAGATAGGGCGGGATGGGGATTAATTTTAGGCTGTGGTGCCGGGGGGGAATGCTCGTTTGGGGACAGGTGGCCGGGTTGTGCTAGGCATCATCAAGCCTAAGTGGCCCTTTAGGTACATTAAGGCACATTAGCCACGGGCGGTGGGGAAGGCTTGGGAAGTCTTGATGCACACCTTCGTTCCCTGGGAGATTTTCGAGAAACTGGCATGAACCAACGGGACGCAGCCTGCAGCCCCAGGGAACCTACCCCCGGACGACTAGTGACCTTGGAGTGCCCACCAGGCCTTCGCACCCTTCCAGGTCCCAGGGCTCTTTCTCTCGGACCTGCAGCCGCTAATCCGCCCTTCCCCTTTCCAGCTGCGCTAAAATGGCCCGCTAACGACTTCCGCGCTGGCGGAGATTAATTCACCAATCAGAGCCATTTCTAAAATCTTGGCAGACGCCAGGGCTTGCCGTTAACCAACCACCCTACTCCCTTTTCATCTATCGACGCGACGCCTCTGCATGAACCTGTTGACTCCTGACGAGAAGTTAGACAGGCCGACTCACTGCTCCGTACACACGCACAACCACGCACACACGCGAAGCCTGTCTCTTTGCTGCGCGTACACTGTAACTTTCTTGCCTGCTATCTACCTTGTTGCACTCCATACTCTCATTTTCCAAGCTTGTGACCGGCCTCGATCGCATCACTTGCAAACGCTCGAGGGCATCTTGCTTGCCCTGGTTCTTTTCATCACAGTCACTCCCTCTAATCACCTGGTCTATCTCCAAGGGGCCATCTCACAAACACCCGATCAAGTCCTCCCCACTCCTGTCGACTTGCAACTGGCATTAGTTTTGGACTTCGAGGTCCTGTCAACTCCCCACCCCAGTGTCTCACGATATCTTCCACGTCTCCGCCGGCAATCAAACCTCCAACTCCTCAACCCACAGACCACCACGCGCACCTTCATGATCAGAAGCCATAGAACGGTCTGTGAGGTGGTTGTGCCCTCGATCTGACACCCATCAGCGCGTGCCTGAAGGGACCACGCGGTTGCACACACACCATCACACCACCCACCCAAGACTAGAGTGAGTGGTTGAGGGTGTCTACGGGATCATGATCTCGTCCCCTCCCGCATCTCCCGACGGCGGGCGCCCGGTACGTGCGCAAAGCATGTACTCGGCCCCGTCGCCAGATGCTTCTCAGAAGCAACGACCACAAAGTATGCTCGGGAAACCGCCTCCCCGAAGTCAGAGTCGCATGAGCCAGAGCAGTAAACATGGCGGTAGCAGAGCATCAGACGAGGATGCGAAGTCTTCGGTCAAAGTCGGTATGTAGTCTCCAAGCAACCAAAGGCCAACGAGGCTGCAGTACTAATTCCATCAACAGTTGTTCGCGTTCGACCACCTCTTGGTCCTACAGATCCGGGATATGATCTGATTCCGCAACGATTTCAACGCTCCATGGTCCAGGTAAACACAAATACAAGCCTTGCCGTAGAATCGCCGCAAGGAAAAAAGATCTTCATATTCGACCGTGTATTTGAGGAACACACTACTCAGCAAGGTGTTTGGGATTATCTGCAAGACAGTGTCGACTCATTTCTTCAGGGCTACAATGTCTCGATACTTGCATATGGTCAATCTGGCTCTGGCAAGAGTTACACCATGGGCACTTCCGGGCCTAGGGAACAGTTTGAACCCAACTTGAAAGGTAAGCACAATTTCGTGTGCTTGGTGAACACGATGCTCATTTACGTTAGGTGTGATTCCACGTGCCGCACAACATCTCTTTAATAGTCTTAATGGTACTTCCGGTGCGCACAGTCGACATAATTCCGGATTGAAATCTCCCATGAGGTACTCGGTGACAAGCCTGAACCAAGTAATGCAGAATTCCAAGTCATATATGGAGAAAGGCTGGGAGATGTCAGTCACCTATGTTGAAATCTACAATGAACACCCCCGAGATCTGCTTCTGCCCGAAGACTCGACATTTACAGAAAGAGCCAATGTCCAAATTCGCGAGGATCCCCGCGGACGGATCTTCGTCGAGGGATTGAACTCAGTGCGCATCACATCCATAGAGGAATTACTACGTACCCTAAATCATGGTTCGACGATACGGCAAACAGATGCGACTGCGATAAATGCTCGATCTTCTCGGTCGCACGCCGTTTTCACCATCAACCTCCGACAGACAAGAGCTCAAGGCTTCAATGCCAATAAACGATCATCAGCTCATCTTGACAACATGTCAAACGGCGACATGCCCATGACGGTGGAAAGTAAGCTTCACTTTGTCGATTTAGCCGGGAGTGAGAGATTGAAAAACACTGGTGCGACTGGCGATCGTGCCAAGGAAGGGATTTCTATCAATGCTGGACTGGCTAGTTTGGGCAAGGTCATATCTCAATTGTCGTCGAGATCCCCAGGAACCTACGTGTCGTACCGCGATTCCAAATTGACCCGGATGCTTCAAGATTCTCTCGGTGGCAATGCAATTACATATATGATTGCTTGTGTCACGCCGGCCGAATTCCATCTGAGCGAAACTCTCAACACGGTGCAATATGCTCAACGAGCCCGAAATATCCAAAGCAAACCCAAGATTCAACAGATTGATGATGGTGGTGACAAGCAAGCTGTCATCGAACGACTGCGAACAGAGATCGCCTTTTTGAGGCAACAAATTCGAAGTGCTGAGAATGGCGAACGACGGAATGGAATCATATCTGAGCGCCCTGACCGGCCCAATGAGCGCGAAACCGAAATGCAGAACCAGTTATTAGATGTCCAAGAAAGCTACAACGCACTCAGCCAGCGACATGCAAAGCTCGTATCTGAACTCACCAAAAGTTCAGACGCTAACGACCAGATCAACTCAATAGCGGGTGAGAGTGCTGTGGACCGACTGAAACGATCACAAGCAAATCAAGCAATGATCGAACAGGTGGTCATGGAATACGAGAAGACAATTCAGAGTCTCGAGACAAACCTTTCCACAACCAGAGGCTCTCTAGCTACCACTGAAAGCAATCTTCTAGAAAGAGAGACGAAATGTGCTTATGTGGAAACAATGAATCAACAACTGAATGCTCGAGTCCAGAAGCTGATGGATAGGGAGTCGAATACAGAGCAATATCTGCATGATTTGGAATCGAGACTCGAAGACCAAAGCTCTGGTGGTGAAAAGAACGATGCCGTTATCTCTGAATTACGAAAAGAGATTGCGAGAATCCGCGAGAGCGAAACAAATGCTGAAGACTACATTTGCACACTTGAAGAGCGCCTCGCTGAATGTGATCAGGATATGGAGATCATGCAGCGAGAAGTTGAGCGACTTGAACACCTGGTGGAGCGTCAGAGAAGTCTGGGAAAGCTTGACAATCTACTGTATGAACTGGATCATATCCAGGACAAGGATGGAAAACCCAAGCATCCAAATGCACTGCCATCCGCTTCTACTGCCGAGGAAGCGGTAGACAATACCAGACAACAGGAGGCTTTGCAAACCGCAAAAGAAATCGAGCTTCCTGTCCAAGACGATGATGAAGAACTCAACCATGGCGCTGAAGAAACCGCGGAGGAATCTCTACAGAAAGCTGCCAATGCCGAGACCGATGAACAGGGACTTCATAAGTTGCAGAAGGCTATGGTGGTGACAACATCCTTAAAACCGGTTCAAGAAGAGGACAGCGCTCCAAGTCCAGCACAGTCCAGGTTTATCACAGAGAAGTTCGAATCTGTGAGTCAAGAATTGTTCGATCTTCGACTGGAGCATGAATCTACCATCAACGATTTTGACCTACTTTCCGCTAAGTACCAGGAAGCCCTGCGTACTCTGGCCGAAATGCAAGAGCGTATTGACGAAGATCGACAATCATCCTTCTCACCACAAGTCCGAGAGTCAGAGCTTCCCCAGAGTCCATCTTTTTTAGTGGACGAAGAAGAAGGTCGCCAGGAATTGGAAGATGGACAAGACTTACCCTCTTCGCGATCACTATCATCGGAATTATCCTTGGCTGGGGAGTCATCAACTTCAGTGGATACAGACATTACGCCGGTCTCTAAAGCAACCATTTCAAGAGATGTTGCGACTTTGGAAATCGAGCGACTCCAAAATCTCCTGGCGGAGCATGAACGGAATATCCATGAAGTTACGGAACAGTATACTCGGCTACAGTCGGATCATAAGGAAACTTTGACAACTGTTGAGAGGCTGAAGACGCAGGTACAACGTACGAGGCCGTCATCACCTGGCACCCCTGGTATGCTCAGGAGGATGACTTCGCAAAGTGGATCTGGCGTTGATCGAGGCCAACGTTCGGTGACAGCTCTAAGAACACTAATGGCCGAAGAATTCGAGTCCAAGCCTGATCGAATGGAAACGGCGGAAGTTCATCTGTCAGCCGCGAACACTGAACTGCATGCACGTCTGGATCGGATTCAAGCGTTGGAGGCCGAAGTCAAGAACGCTAAGAAAGAGATGGAAATCAAATCGACCATCATTTCTGGCTTGACAAGAGAAAGAACGAGTATCAAAACCGGCTCTCCCGTAGATTTGAATATGGTTTCTCAACTTCGAGATCAGATCATTCAAAAGGAGACTGAACTCAAATCTCTACATGAAGGCTATGGCCGCCGTGAACAAGGCTTGCAGGAAGAGATGCAAAGATTGCTCGAAGAGAAATCAAAGGCTGAAGAACCCTCGCTAGAACATGAAGCACTCATCACATCCTTGAGACAGCAGTTGGCTGAGATCAGCTCGAAACACCAATCTGTTCAACAAGCTGCCGAAGAAACCGAGAAACAGTACATCAGAACCAAGTCAGAACTCGATGCCGCTTTAGCTAGCGTGGTGACGCTCAGAGCTGAACAACAAGCACAAGAAACTGCAGCAGACGGCGATGATGCATTTGAACGAGCTGCTGCGGCTTCCGCCATGCAGATTGAGCGTAACAACTACAAATCATTGATTGATAATTTGAAGAAAGAGCTCGAAGAACAACAAAAGTTGAGCGCCGAACAAGCCGAGAAGAACAACGAACTCCGAGAGCTTCACGTCGCCCTTACCAATGACTTTGACTCTCAAGTTGAGTTGTCTAAATCGCAACAACAGTATATCCTTTCTCTGAAAGCTGAAATTTCACAGTTGGAACAGAAGGTTACAGAAGCGGAAGCGGCTGTTGAATTACACAAGAAGAGTCTACAATTGCTGCACGATAAACATATAAGTGAGATTGAGGAGATGAAACTTGCCCACGGTGGCAATCTTGCTGGCTACGATGATCAGATATCTGAGATGAAAATCAAGCATGACAAGCACATCAGCACATACAAAGCCGACCTGGAGAATGCCTTGTCAACGTTGCAAAAGCTTGTGTCATGTGCTCAAAGTGCATTCGGACATCCGACCAACGCTGATATGATCGCAACCCACATTGAAGATATCATGGAGGAGAAGCGACAATTTGCTGCAGCTAACACTCGGTTGCTCAACACCAATGCCGAATTGGAACGACGTCTTGATGGACGACAGAGTTTGGTTGAGTTGGAGGAAGAACTCGAGAATGCCAACAATAAGATTGCCAACTATCAGGATACGATTAGGAATCTCGCAAATGAAATTGGTAATCACGAAGAGAGCATTCGCGACCGAGATAATCTTCTGAAAAAGCAAGAAGCGACAATCGAGGCAATCGAAGCAGAGAAGGCTAAGAAAATGTCTCTTATTGAAGAGCTTGAGCAACAGCTGCAAAGCAGCTATGACCAGCACCATAATCGCATCTCCGTCATCCAGGCTCAAGGCAATCAAGCTTTGATTGATGCACAACAGAGAATTGCGGCTCTCGAGAAGGACCTTGGAGAGCTTAAACCGATTAACGAGGCTGGTTCCGACACTGGTTCTCGTAGCAACACCATGAAGTCACAACGTCCTCAATCTCCACCCATGGATGGCCATCCACGCTCGAACTCGATCAGTTCGAACTTGCGCAAATCTGCGTCCATAGCTTCCCTGCCATCACCTCCTCCTGCGATACCACTCCCACCGTTACCGACCCTTCCCGGGCTTCAAGTTGCTCCGGCCAACGCAAACAATCCTTCCCCTCCACAATCTCGCCACGCGTCTAAAGAAGTCCAACTGCCGATCACTCCTGTATCGGGCACAGTGGTATCTTCCAATTCCCAGAATGTGCGCCGTCAATCAGCCTTGATTGAAGAGCAAGAAGCCCGCCTCCGCACGATTGAGAAACACCTGCACGCCGAGAAACAACTGACAGCCACGTTAGAAGAAGCACTTGTTGATCTCGAAACTCAGAGCAATAAGCTGCGCGTGGACGCCGAATCATGGAAGAAGAAGGCGTGGTCCATGGAGGAAGAACTTGCAGGCCTGAAGAAGGAACGACGATCCGATAGACTGAGCGTCCAGGCCGTCGAAGAAGAGGTCAAGAAGCGACGGGAGGCCGAGGCAGCACGTGCACAGCTTGAAGAAAGAATGAAGATGTTGACGGTCGGACGAGACGGCAAGGCCAAGAAAAGAAAGGGAAGCTCGTTGAATTGTTTCTAAGGGAAGCAGCGAAAGAAGGAAAGATATACCGTCTTGTTTATTTTGTTATGCTGTGTTTTTGGTCGAGCGCTCCACATTATGCTCCTTAACCTCTACCCAGATGTTTACACCTGAAGACAAGGTGATCATTCAAAGGGAAGATGAGACGAAGAAGCTACGGGCTTACGATTTCTTATGTGTCTTGTTCTTTCTACTTCGATCAGATCAGATAGTTGGCGTGTTGTGTGTTTTCTTAGTTAGTTGGTTTCTCCCCCCTTTTATTCCCCCACTCCACCCACACCATACTTGTGCCCAGCGAGCGAACGAGAATGAGTCTCACGTGTGTTTGAATATCTTTGTTCGGTTGGCTTGGGTTTGGGGTCTCTTTTTTGCCGGGCCAGAGGGATTAGGCTGGGGCGGTATAAACATAATGAAGGCAGAGAGAGAGAGAGAGGGAAACAGAGAACGTGTCTGTGTGTGTGTGTGTGTGTGTGTGTGTGTGTGTGTGTGTGTGTGTGTGTGTGTGTGTGTGTGTGTGTGTGTGTGTGTGTGCGTGTGTTCTCCTAGAGACCTTTTCCCTCTCACCTTCCACTTGCATTCCATCGGCGCCTTTCTTCCCTATCCTACATACCTGTGCACATATGAATATGTACATCCGTCTGGTGATCCGGAATGCAATCGTTTTTTTTTCCGCCCACTTCGACATCACAGCGCAGCGCCGCTCAAGCAGAGAGAGCGCAAGACTTGTCTCAATCCGTCCATGCGAAGATATCTACCTGTCTATATAAACATATCTATATATAATGAGAGCAACCCGGGCGTCTATCTACACAATGCCATGTAGGTATGCGTCGTCGTATCATTCAACTGCCTTAGCGTAGCCTAGCTACTATACCTACCTGACTAGACTGCATACACGGGGAGCCGTCGAATCCAAAGGAATGACACTGTACAACCGGGTTGGGAGAAACGAGGCCCTTGGGTATACGAGGGTGGACGCTACGAGCAAGAGAGCTCACTGCTACTGAACGAAAAATTGGAGGGAAGGGAAGGAAAGGAAAGGAAAGAAGGTGGTCGAGACAACAAACGGGGCCATTTCATCATTCGTCTGCCCCATGCATGTCGAGCTTGAGATAGAACTGTGCCTCTATGAACGGTGTCGCCGTTTTCCTGTCTGTCTCGGGCTAGCTCTCAAAAGGTCTCTACCATAGAAAAAAACCGGCCAAGAAACACACGAACAAACAACTGGCCAACTCGATGGAATTTGGTATGAGTCCCATTGTACGCATATGTCCTTAGTGATTTCTTTCGTCTGGTCGCTCTCTGTCTGTCTGTCTGCCAACCATAGTCTAATAAATAATGACGAGTTGAACGCCAATCTTTTCACCCATCATCTCTCATCAATGTTCTTGGAGTTGCCCTCCGACTCAACCACGAATAAGAGGTTCAAGTGGTGCGCATTCTCCTTTCTGTGTTTCGGAAGTCTTAAGAAAAATAGACAAACAATTACGCAAAATTTCTGTTTGCGTTTTCGCAGGCTTCTGGGGTATCATAACATGTTGAATATCGTCACGACGTAACCCTTCCCGCGCGCCCAACAACGACAATGTAATATGTCCTTTGGGAAAAAACACTTTTCTTCGATTGGTGTTGAAATGCCAAGAGTTGATCCAGAGGAGCTGGCGCCAAAAATCCACTCCACTTTTGATTCCTGAGTTTGTTGAAACACAAGGCAATCAAAGGTCAAAGAGATGGTTCCGGTTTCAGGCTCTATAATCAACTCCCTCTTCATCCAACTCTAACCTACCATGCACCCGAGCCAGGTTAAAAAAGCTCTCGATGCTCTATCAAGGTGCAGTGATCTCTGATATTCGATCCCAAAACTCCGGTCGTGATGTATGCCGTGCCACAAACATTGGTACGGCCAAAAACTAGGTAGATAAATAAAGGCGTAGGCAATGCGCGTTTGGTGCTTAAAAGGTCAAGTCTTTGGGTTGTTCCCAAGGGAAGGTCTGGTCAGAGAAGTGACCATTCTTGGCGGTTCGGCAATAGATGGGGTTGGTAAGGTTGAGTTCCTTGACGATGACACCAGGTCGGAGGTCGAAGTTCTTGTGAATGATCTCAACGAGCTCAGCGCTAGTCTTATCGCTGGTTCCATAGGTCTCAACGAAGAGAGATAAAGGCTCAGCAACACCAATAGCATATGACAGTTGAACAAGAGCACGACGAGCGAGTTTGGCCTTGACTAAGGATTTGGCAATCCATCGAGCAAGGTAGGCAGCAGATCGATCAACTTTGCTGTAGTCCTTGCCAGAGAAAGCACCACCACCGTGTGCACCCCAACCACCGTAGGTGTCAACGATGATCTTACGGCCGGTTAGACCAGCATCACCCTGGGGACCACCGATGATGAAAAGTCCAGAGGGTTGAATGTGGTAGACAGTTCGGTCATCGAGATACTTGGCGGGGATGACCTTCTTGATGACCTTCTCCATGACCTCCTTTCGTAGTTGTTCGGTAGTGATATCTTCAGAATGTTGAGCGGAAACAACCACAGTGTCGACTCTAAGAGGAACAACAGCGCCACCATCGTGAGCATACTCGACGGTGACTTGCGTCTTTGTGTCAGGTCGCGACCAGGGAAGGGTACCGTTGTTACGGCCCTCTTTCAAAGCAAGGTTGAGCTTGTGTGCGAGCTGGATGCTAAGGGGGAGGAGTTCGGGGGTCTCATCGGTAGCATAGCCGAACATGATACCCTGGTCACCGGCACCAAGTTTCTCGAGAGCCTCCTCATAATGTAGACCCTGGGCAATGTCTGGGGATTGTTCCTCAATGGCCACGAGGACGTTGCAGGTCTTGTAGTCGAAACCCTTGTCGGAGTGATCATATCCAATATCCTTGATGGTTTGGCGGATAATCTTCTGGTAGTCGAGGCGGGCTTTGGTAGTGATCTCACCGAAGACCATGATCATGCCTGAAGATTCCTTGTTAGGAGAGCGGGGCCTTCAGAGGGAGAGAAAGTGTGGGGCAGGGACTTACCAGTCTTGGTAGCAGTCTCACAGGCAACCTTGGAGAGAGGGTCCTCCTTGAGGCAGGCATCGAGGATTGCATCGGAGACTTGGTCACTGGCGGGAATAATGTTAGTGCAATTTGGGCGGGGGTTGGTTGTGAGGAGTGGGAACTAACGCGATCTTGTCAGGATGTCCCTCACCGACAGATTCGGAGGTGAAGAGGAAGGTGTCGCTCCTCTTAGCGACACCGTTGGTGATGGAAGCTCCGGTCATGATGGAAGGCGTCGAGTCGATGAAGGCGATGCTAGAGACGAAGGAAGGAGTCAGGTGGTAACGATGTGGGAGTCGATTGCGTGGAAGGAGACAAGTTGGAGAGCGATGCGGGCGCGGGTGTTTTTTTCAGAGATTTATTTCTGGCGGCGGATCGGAGAAAGTGTCCGAGTGATGAGGCAGGCCCCACGCTTACTCGCTCGGAGAGAATTGCTGGGCGAGGCAGTTGTCTTGATGGTTGGATAGTTGGGCAGTGGGAAGGAGGAAGAGAGTGTGAAGGAGTAGAAGAGGAGCAGGAACAGGAGGCAAGAGAATCTTGAAGTGGAGGTGGAACGGAAGTGGATGAGGAGTTGAATCGATGAAAAAAAATCGGGGGACGGATTTGGACTGCGAGGGGAAAGGAAAATGGGTCGAGTCCGTCTTCTTCTGGTGCTTGTCGTCCGTCTCGTCTTTTAGTCTTTTGATGTGAATAACTTTGGATGGCTTGGGTGTCGTGTTCCTGCAAGCCTAAGACGGGGGGTGCGCGTGCAAGCGTGAGTCGGTACAGGTACGAGGTATTCGATATTGGGTTCTGGTGTGGATAATAATAATATGTATGTCTGCGATAATATCACTCAGTATGTTTGCCTATCATTGTTTTTTGCTCTTGATCCCACTCGGCACCACCAACGGTCGGTAGTTCGTGGAGGAGCCCTAGTCTCTCTGGCGTGCACAGTTTATTGGCAAATGATAAACAAGAGGAGCCACGTCTCATTGATTGTACTGTACAAGCGCAGGACCCAGAGACTGTCAACGACACCGACCCCGCCTGGGAAAACTATGCACCTGAACAGGCGAAAAGGTTTATAGCGTCGAAGGGTGTAGACTGGTGGTGGTGGCTCAAACTGTTCTGCTCCTGATTATTTCCTTGCATAGTGTCGAGAACGAGAATCTCACCGTTTGTTTTCCATGGGGCATGACTTGCTCGTACTGTCAACTGACTGATTTTTGCAATCGCCGGGGCGATGGCGCCATCGCACAACCCTCTTGGAAGGCTCTTTGGCCTTTGGCCTTTGCCCCTTGGGCCACGGTCCACCCCTGCGCCGGGCCCGTGCGTACAGTTGCTCTCTCTTTGGTTCGGCTCAAATTGGTGGAGGTGGAAGTCAAGCTGCCGAGTGGCCTCGACTTGCCGCACAGACATCGTCCGTCCCACGTGATGATAGCACGCGGGTTTTGTGAACATTGCTGGAGATAAGCAAAAGCGGTGGCAGAATCGATCGAGATTAAATGACACAGGCTTCTTCGTGGCAGTGTGGGGAAGAATTGATTGATGATCATTAATGATTTTTCTAGGTCCTGGAAACAATTAACTCTCTTAACTCTGCAGTGATCCAAGCGCAGACACGACCTCCTCATAGAGCAAAAATATCCGCTGCTTTTGTATATCTACGGATTAACAGTGACGCCGGGCGTAGGGCGGCGGTGCATGCACCACCTTCGCCAGTAGAGACGCTCCCCTCCTGCCTCCTTTCTCAGTCACGACTGGAAACAAACCAAACAAAGACAACACGAACAACATCCACACGCTGAGACAAACAATGTCGAAATTTGGCTGCCTAGTAATGGGCCCGGCGGGTGCAGGCAAGACGACCTTCTGCACGGCTATGATCCAGCACCTACAACACAGCCGACGATCCTGCTTCTACGTGAACCTCGACCCGGCCGCGAGCGATTTCTCCTACGAACCGGACCTCGACATTCGAGACCTGATTTCGCTGGAGGACGTCATGGAAGAGATGTCGCTCGGGCCCAACGGCGGGCTGATCTTCTGCTTTGAATTCCTGCTGCAGAACCTGGATTTCCTGGCGCAGGCCATCGAGCCGCTCTCCGAAGAATACCTCATCTTATTCGACCTGCCCGGCCAGATTGAACTCTACACGCACATCCCGCTATTGCCCGAGCTGGTGAAGTACCTGTCGAGGATGGGCCCACTGAATATCAACCTGTGTGCCGCGTACCTGCTCGAGGCGACGTTTGTGGTCGACAAGGCAAAGTTCTTCGCTGGCACGCTGTCCGCCATGAGCGCCATGATTATGCTGGAGCTTCCTCACGTCAATATCCTGTCTAAGATGGACCTCGTCAAGGATCAGGTCGGCAAGAAAGAGATGAAGCGTTTTGTGGACCCAGATGCCAACCTGTTGGACGATGAGGACACCGGACGAGGGACGGCTGAACACACAATGGATATGCGCAATCCGCAGGAGATAGACCAAGTCATGTCGGGTGGTTCTTTCAAACAATTGAACCGGGCAGTCGCAAGGCTGATCGATGATTTCAGCATGGTATCCTACCTGCAGTTGGATGTCAGCGACGAGAATAGTGTCGGAGATATCCTAAGCTACATCGATGATGCCATCCAATACCATGAAGCCCAGGAGCCCAAAGATCCCAAAGAAGCGGAGATGCAAGAGCCCGCATGGCAAGAGGGTGGGGATTAGACGTGGCTTGATATCTCTCATGAATCGATGAAGATCTGTCCAGTCCTTTTAGCGATGGCGTTGCCGGTGGTTGGTCTATCAGATAGCATTCCTTGACTTAGATACCCAGATGAGAAGTCAAGCATCCCGAATGAAACAACTAGAACAGCTTCGAACTGCTCCCTCCTCCATATTAACTCCATCCTCCACTTCGTCTCTTAGTGGCCCGCTTCCCCATCGGAACCTGTTGTCGTCCTCGCACATCACCGGCATTGAAAGTCCACTGTCCCCCGGGACCACCAAAATAGCCAGTATGGCTATCGTTTCCATTTCCCGCTGTGGCAATTGTTCGCTCGACGAAGCCCCAGACCAGATCCAACACCCACTCGGCGTCTTCCAGCGCCCTACCCACACCCACCCTGTTTACATACACAGCAGCATTGACCAACCCGATAATAAGCACAATCTTGAAGATGAACACCACCCATGCAATCACGCTGCGCCGAATATAGTCTGCGATGCGTAATGAGAGGTAGACAATGATGAGCGTGGAGATAAGTGAGGTCAGGTCGCCGTTTGTGGCAGAGGTGACGAGGTTGGTGATGGTGGGGGTGATGGTATTGAGGAAACTTTGGATCGGTGACGGCAGGAACGGGTGGATGTAGCTGTAGTAGAGGGCAGAGATATACGTCAAGATTTGTGGGAGGGCCGAGGTGGGTGCCATTGTTGTCGTGTGGCGAGTCAGTCGCGCTGATGCTGAGCAAGGAGGGTTGTGTTGCTGTATTCAAAGGTGGGATTGGGGAGAGTTGACACCTCAAGAAGTGGAGGGTTGACTGAGAAGTGGCTGATATCAAACGCGTGCCGTGAGAAGAATGATATGTGTGCAGCTTGGCCTTGTCAATGATGGTGTCCCTGGAGATCGAATGTCAAAATAGATAGACGGTGTTTATGCCTGCATCGTTGCTGCTCTGTGGGCGTGGGCAGTCAGTTGAGGACAAACAGAAAAGCACACCAGACCAGGCAGTGTATTGACTAGGCCACAGTCGGTGGTTGGCACGAGTTTCTAATTATTTACGAGAGCAGGGAGAGACACGATGTCAATGTCGGGAGGTGGAATTGGTATAGATACAAATATGGTTGTTGAGTGGTCTCAAGTTGCGTTTAACACGCTTTCTCCTCACATCATCACATGTCTGTCTGCCACTGTGTCATGACTCGTGAGCACTGGGCACGATGATCATCGCGGGGAAGCCGCGTCCAGGGAACCCTCCGTCTTGGCGCTGGACACAAAGCGAGTCACGTGTAGAAGCCTAACCCGTCGCTATCGGTCCTTCTGCTGCTTTGCACATGGCTCCCACAGCCTTGTTGCAATCGAGCCTTACCAACCGTTGGTCCGCAGGCAAAACGCAATGCCGCTTTGGGCGTGGTCCCTTCAGGTACCTAAGAATCTGAGTGGGTAGCCTTGTTGTGATGGGTTGTATGAGGGGTATTTAAATTATACGTGTGCATACATATCACACCTCTTAGAACACTCAATGTCCGTCTTCATGCTCATTATCCTGCAATGCCATGGTGAACTCCACCTCCCATGCTTGCTTGGAAATACTCGAAACTAAAACTTACTGCCAGAAATAGACAGCAAATAGTAGTTTTGAGATCAGAACAAGTCTTATCCAAGTCTCTCCAATCGCACATCCCTATTGTCGTTGCATCCCCAACGGCCCCTGTCTGTCGACCGCTCTCCCCTCGATGATAATTAGTAGTTCTGTACAGATGCTGATTCATTCGCATGCGAAAGATCTTCCAAGAGATTTTTCATTGCTGATGGATCTCGCTTTGGTTTTTTCCAAGGAAAGGCTCGTGCTGTCTTGCTCCATGGTGTGTGCGCGACATTGTCCTGTCCGAAACACCTTCGGCTAAAATATTTGTCATTCAATTAAATATGGCGTTGGATCTTTACGATGAAAAAATGCAGTCCTGGGTTGGGAATTTATCCAATGCTGCTCCGCTAGTAATCCGAATTATAGGAATAGTCGTAGTCGATCAATGTTTGCACCTTCTCGCGTTCGGCTGCAATAGCTAACTCTAGTCGACGAGTCTGTCGTAGTGCTTCGTCCCTAAGTATCCTGTTAGTCTGGCTTTATTTCGCCAATCCTTGCAAGAGAATAGCTTACCTCTCTGATTCAAGCTCGGCCACACCAATTTGGGCGGTATTCATCCGCCCAACAACTTCACCCATCTCTTTCTCTGCTTCGGATAGTGCCTTTTCGAGCTCCGCGACCTTGTTTTCGAGATATTCCGTCTTTAGCGCCTGCTGCAGGTTGGTTCCCGGTCCGGTTGATGTTTGGTCTAGTCGGGGGCTTTTCTTGCTGTTCGCAAACATTGGTGAAATAGGGGAACGTGGGTCTGGAGTCAGCAGTCCCAGTGTTTTTCGCCCAGATTTGGTACGCATCAGCTGGATATTGTGGCTCGCCCTCAGAACTCGCACTTCCTCTTCATGTTTCATCACTGCTGTCTCTGACTGCATCTGTGCCACGGTGATTATATCTTCCAGTTTGCGAAGTTTTCCCTGAAGCTCATTGATTTGGTCGGTTGAGGCGGATTGATTGTTTTCACCTCGTTCAATCGCTTGCTGAAGGCGATTTCTTAGGGCGGCATTAGCCTTCATTTGTTTTCGAACTTGGCCAGCCAATTCTTCCGAACGTTCTGCTGACTTTTCCAACTCATTAGAAAGTTCTTGTTCTTGCTTCAACGAGCCCAAAGATTCCTGAGATCGGGCTTGTTCTCTCTGTTGCTGAAGCTGCCGCAGGGCCTTTTCTAGTGTTGAAGACAAGATCTCCGGTGCACTTTCATCACGAGCCTGAAGGAGTGTGTGCAGACTGGCAGTCTCTTGCTTGCTGCGGTCCAGGTCCATCTTGAACCCTGACAAGCCCTTCTCAAGTTGCCATTTCTGCTCCAATGCATCATCGGCCCTTTTCCGCAAAAGATTAATCTCTGACCGTAATGTCCGCACTTCACGCTCATAGCCGCCTTTGTGGGCTTGATTGATTGTACTTGCCCGATCACGCTCGGCTTCAGCAAGCTTAAGTTTCTTGGTGAACTGCTGCCGTTGGTGGTCCTGCCGCCTCAGAAGATATTTCACGGTGACATGCAACGCATCTCGTTGCTGAATGACATCTTTCAGCTGGTCAGCGATGGACTGTTGAGACTCAGGGATGGCTCGGTTGACTATTGAATTGGAACGGGATAAAGAATTTGATCGATTAGGTGTGGCTCTGGAATTGGCCCTGTTGATATGAATTGTACTGGATCGTTGTAGACCGCCGCTGCGAGGTTGAATGAATGAGTTGCGTGGGGATTCGACCATTTCGCCTTCTTCGGCAATCGAGCGGAACTGCATATTCATGGCTCGGGCGCTTTGCAGAGCCGCATTCTCATCTCTTAAACTTTGAATCTCTTGTTGCATGCGGGAGAAGTCGTAAGGAGATTTCTGAGACTCGGAGAGGTTGGCTTCTAGACCTTCAATCTGCGATCGAAGCTGAGGGACCACTTCGTCGCGCAAGTTGTCGCGGTCATTCCGATGTTGTTCCAGTTCTACTCGCAGGGCCGTGAGCAGATCCTCGAAATTTTCCTTGGTCTGCCGTTCTTCTATCAATCTCCTTTTCGCATCATCCAGGGCAACCTCGAGTTCTCTGGCTTTGGTACTCATATCGGCTGACTGGCTAGTTTCACGGCGATTCTGAGAAAGCTTTTGTTCGAGGATTTGGATATGGGCCTCCATTGCTTGCCGACTTGAGCGTTCGGACTGCCATTTCTGGGACATTTCCACTTTGAGTTGTGCCCGGAGCTGTTCAGCTTCTCGTTTGATCCTTTGGATCTCTTCCTTTGGATCTTCGACAGTGGAAGGGCGAATTGAACTTATTCCAGAGTCAGAGAAGTAGTCACTGGTGCGGTCAGCTTCTCTGTTGGCCGACCCTTCCGACTGGAGCCTGTCAACGAGGTCTTCTAAATCCATCTCGCGTTTGATTGAGCTAGCGAGTTCTGTGCTGATCTCGCGCAACTCAGCCTCCAGTTGGAGGCATTTGGTCGCGGCATCGCTGTGATAGGAAGATCGGACGTAAGAGCCTCCGTCAAAGTCAATTGAGTCTTGGGAGGTCTGGGATTGGGTAGGCCGAGGCCCAGAATGGCTGGAAGGGAAATTGTAGCCGGATGCAGAATGGTTTGAGGCATGAGGAGAGCCTGCATATGGTGAGGGCAGGGGCGATCTTCTGTCAGATATATCTGTGACCGAGGACTCGGCACTGGGAGAGGCACTGGGTTTGCGCGTGAAGAAAGAGGTAAATTTGCTCCCAGGTGTCTGAGGCTTCTTCGCGTCCGTGACGGTTAGAGATTTGGTTGACGATGACGAGTCGGTCCTCAGGGGCGCAGGCCTCATGCCAGGCTTTAGTGCCATGTCCTCCTCTTGAATGGCTTCTTCTACTGAAACACCATTTGACCTCTTGTTACTGTGACTGACAACGAAGTGAGAGGGTTCTCTTTCCAATGGAGGCTGAGACAAAGAGCCGTGGGAGCTAGTCCGAGTCAGACTACTCTCGTCTGTGTTTCTGCGAGCGAGTGTCGGGGGAGTGAATTGTTGTCTGCTTGATCTGTCAGCTGACGGCGATGGATTGGAGAAGAAGAGAAGCACTGACCGCTGATCCTGGGCAGTAGGTGTTGAGATCTGAACGGGTTTTCGACTGATGGGCCCTTTAGGAGAAGCGACGACAGGAATGGCCTGGGAAGGAAGTGGCTTGCGCCGTACAGGAGAGACGGGAGAGAAAGGCTTCAAAGCACCCGAGAGAGAGGGGAGACGCTGTAGGGACAGAGGAGGGTAGTTCTTTGGAGGTGGAGGTGGAGGGACAGAAGCGAAGCTCCCTGGGTTTGAGTGATATGCATTGTCGTCCATGCTCAAGGGAGTGGAGTGGATGGATGTAACCGAGAGGGTGCTATTGCTGAAGACGGACAGCCATGCCACTGGCTTGTCTGGAAGCAGAAAGACGCTTTGACAGCCGTCTAGAATAGCGACATGTTTCGAGTGGTGTTCTGGGAGTGTGGAAGGCAGATCAGCCACATGCAAATGGTTTGGCAGTGGAGAGGAAGAGAGTGGATTGGGAAGTGATCGAGTGAAGTGAAGGGAGGGATAGGAGGAGGCAGGGCAGATGGACAGATGGGGATGGGATGTCGCAAATCAGGTTCACTTTAGTATGAGGCTAACGCGACAAGCTCATTGGTTCCGCTGCAGATTGACTCGGGATGGCGCCTATTAGCGTGAGCTAGTGCAATACTAGTTAGCTAGTGCTCTAGCAATGGCCGTTCTTCAATGCATTATCACGCTGCATCTCAGCAGGTAGCGAGATTGGGAATATTAGAGAGATGTGGGGAGTATCGATACCCTACGAGTAGATATCTTTACAGGGCATAGCCAGGGCAGATGACTGGAAGCTGAGAGGTGGCTGCAATTCCAGCGAAGAACTGGCATGGGCACCGAGCGAGGATCTCGAAGGAGTGTCTTGGAGTCAATTGGTGCTTCGGGCAGCGGGCATGATGATTACCACCCAAGCCAGGTCCGGCTACAGGCTACCAGCCTACGAGTACCACCAACCGCAGCCTGGCGGAACTAGCGGCGGCTGAACTTTAATATCTTCCCGGCACAGGAGGAGGCTGAAAAGGAAAGTCTGCTCACCACCTGCACAAGGACAATCAATCGTAGTGGTCGTCGGAGAAAATGGCAGAGTTCTCGCAAAGCACGTCTACCTGCCTCTGAGCACGGCGTTCATCTCGGTCGTGTCCATAGTCTTGTCTCTCCCTCGCGTTGTAGATCATACAGAAATATCCACAGTCTACCCTCGTCATCCGTTCATCTGGTCGATCATGGCCTACCCGGCCTGACAGGGGCCATGGCGGCCGAAAGTCAAGATGGTCCTGCAGGATGGAGTGGCCAACAGGAGAGTTTTCTGGCTGTGTCTTGGCAGGGGTAGCGCACTCAAGCCGGCGGTGGACTAATCCTCATTGACGGACAGATCCCGCTGCTTCTCCACTATGCCATTAAATGGGCATCACTAAGTCCACCTAGTCTCTGCTGTCGAGATTCACTTTCTCCAAGCCTGTCTTCCTTGAGCCACCATCTCCACACTTCTCAGCTTCATGCACTTCGCTCCGTGATGAATTGAAGAGCAGATACTGTGTACGGGTGTACAGAGTAGGCTAGAGAGAAATCAACGGTAGCATATTCCAAGGTTGCACGCCATCGACCGTGTTTCTAAAAGTTCTTACATTGGAGCCGCTCTCTGGTCTAGTTCAGTGCGCAATCTGCTATCATCTCGTTCTAGTCCTTGTTTGACTTTCCCAAGCCCCAGACTCCCACGGTTCCAAATGTCGGCTTCACCTCGTCCGAAAGCCTCACACATTGTACGGAGTCCTCGTACGAGGTCTCCCGAGTCCTGACTCCTGACGCGCTTCAAACACTGCTCCCTCACTTCTCAAACGTATAACGCATCCATTCCCCAACTGCCTTGAGACTCTCCCACCTGACGCTCTCATCGGAGTCACCCATCAACTCCAAGAGACGCGCTTTGAGACCCAGTCTTTCGAGCGCTGTGCGTTGTTCTGGCACCTCCTTGACCAAGTTTCCCACATCATTACATCCAATTGCCAGCACTTTCTTATCGTTCTCCCAGCCCTTGGCCAGAATCTCGGCCAGTTTCTTGGGAAGTTCACCCTGCTTGTCCTGCACGATTTTCCGGGCGTTCTCGCGCCAGAAGGTAGGATTTCGATGGGGTGGGGACCACCGTAGATGTCCTGAGTTTACCTCATCTGCATATTCGTCGAATGTTGTTTGATTTTTCGTGTACTCATCCAACAATTCCTTGAGGGCGCCTAGGTCTTCTAGAAGATCGGGATCTGTCAGGTGTCGGCCCGAAAGATTGCCCAGCAGCGCTGGAAGTCTGGCCGTCGTTGCGGCTGCAATCAAGGTCTCCTGGTTGGTGGAGAGCACATTGTTCAGAGTTGCCAAGAGCAGTCGAGTGGTCTTCTCTTTTGGTGACACTCGCAAGAGTTGGGTGTACAATGGAATGATTTCTTGGTCGCTGGTTAAACAATTAGCCGGTTGACAGAGTTGGTGTAGGTGTTGGGCTATTCGCATACTTCTCCAATCCCTCTCCAACTAGCTCTCCCTCGAAGCTTAGTTGCCAAACCACAAGCAATACATGATACATGAGTTGCAGGCCAACACCACCACCAAATCGGGTGTCGCTGCTTCGGATGCTTGCATTACCACTCCACAATGCAGAGTCGTTGTCTTTGGCTGTACCGATAGCCTTTCTCAGGATATCAAATAGAGGATCAACAGTTTCGTTCTTCTGTTTCCAGAATAGCTCTTTGGATCGGCTGGTGCGTAGTAATTGGGAAAAGTGCTGCACTCCAATGTCTTGCAAGCCACTGTCCTGGTTCTTGACCAATTTACACAAATACTTATAGAGCTGTGGGAGTGCCTGCTCGTCTCTCTGGGCGGGCTTGGGCGAAGTAGTGAGGGAGGCGGAGATAAGATTGACCAGAAACGTAGCAGCGAACAGTGGAATGGGATCTTCAGGGTTACTGCTTTGGTCGAGGAGTGAGATGAATGGCTTGTAAGGCTCAGGCTGTTGAAGTATAGCTGATGCCAGTTCAGGCACATCTGGCAGCGGGTTAATACCGTGGACGACGGTCCATCCCAGAGTCCAAGGTACATACCATTGATTAGATCTGTAGCCAGGACCAGAATATATTGTAGAATGTCGCTACGTTTAGACGCTTTGTCTAGGACACTCCCACCTTGATTGCCGCCGACCAAAAGAGCACTGAAGCTTTGAACATCTTTCTCAATGGTCTGCTTGCGTTGCTCTTTTCTCACTTTGTCGACAGCTCTGATCTTCTTGAGGTGGTCCTCAGTGAGGTTTCCAGCACGAACAGCACCATCCCAGGGGATCTGTGTAAGGCAATGGTCAGACTGGCGCCACAGGCTAGGGATAGAGATCAAGACTCACTGGGCGGGCGCGGATGTTGTTCTGCAGCGAGCTGAGATAGGCCGGAGGAGTGAGCGACATGGTGTTCTCTCAATATGGATCGATGGAATGGGTCTAGAGAGAGCGAGAGGTCTCAACAGGTCATTGAGCTTGAGCCATGTGCCAGTGGTTGCTAAGAATGAGAAGGGCAGCAGGGTAAATGTAAATACTTGTGGTGGTGGTGGGAAATGGAAGGAACGATGTCATTGCCTGCTGATAGGTGCAGTTGCAGGTGCAGGCGAGCTGGGGCAGGTGCGTTGCTCACTTGATACTATCGATACGAGCCTTCCTGCACCTTCCCCGATTCCCATTTCCGCCCAAAGCCAAAACCACGAAATGACAACGGCATTATTATTAGTATTTGCTGTCCGTATTATTGCCCGCCCTGCGCTCTGCCCTGACACTTTGTCCTCATTCAATGCCGACGCGTCACCTGCATACTTCCACGCCTTCACTGCGTTCCCCGTGACATGTCTTGCGCAAGCCTTCTTGACTCTGCACTCGCGCGATAACTGATTCTGCGTTCCCTGCCTCACTCGTTGTCAGTCTATCCTGAGACGACCCCGACCACGCGGCCACCCGCCCATGGTCCCAATGCAATATGGCTGGCAAGCCTCAGTCACGATGGGGTTTTCTACAACAAGCCGTCGCTTCAGTGGAGTCTAGGTTGGACAACATTCTAGCAGAAGAGAACGACTCGCCCGCTCCTAAACGAAATCCACCCTCTTCATCACAACCTCTAAAGGAGTCCGCGCATTCCAAGAAGTGTTTGTGCCATCATGCCTTGATAGATCTTCTTTGCTAACACCATGCCAGTATCTTCCGATCTCTCTAGAAGTAGCAGCAATGCTTCAGTCTCAAATGACCGCCTACAAGAGCGCCTTGCGAAAGCAATGGCCAAAAAGAACCTCAGCCGACCTGAAAGCCCGGCGGCCCGACCATCCTCCGCCACGCCATCTGACTTGAAAGACGATGCGATAGCAAATCTCGCGGATGGGGGGAGAAATGATGAAAAATCGACCTCGGATTCCAGCCCTCTGCAAGGTGCACCGAGCAAGTCCTTCGACGGTTCTGGGGCTGTCTCCCCAAAGCCAGGCGATGTGCTCTTAGACATCGCTATACCCGTTGAATCAGCTGAGGTAGACGAGGCCCCGACCGAGAATACCGATGTTGCCAATTCTGTGGTCCTCGAATCCGATGCCATCACACCCGTAGCGGAGTCTGAGGAGAACACTCAACTTGCTCCGCTCCAGCCGTTGTTGGTTGATGCCGAGCGGAAAAGTGAGGACACACGCCGGAGATCATCCTCCGACGAGAACGTTACGATTGTAAAGCTGCAAGATGAAATCAATGGCTATATCGAAAGAATTGACGCTCTTCAGTCAAAGCTCAAGTATCTTAGCAAAGAGGCAGCAGTGTCTGCCAAACAAGCAGGGGCAGCCGCCCAGTCTGGTAGTCTAGAGAAAAAAATTCTCGAAAAGGATGAAAAGATCGCGTTATTGATTGAAGAAGGGCAGAACTTGTCCAAATTAGAGATGAAGCACTTGGCAACTATTAAAAAGATGCGCACCCAAGTGTTAGCCGACAGCAAAGATCGGGAAACCATGAAGGATCGTGCAGACAAGGCGGAAGGGGCACTGCGGACTATGGAGGACCGAGCAAGGAAAGCCGAAGCTGCAACCAAACGAGCGGAGCAAGCTCTCGCAACAAATTCAACAAATGCAACCGATTTTGAAGCCATTCGCAGAGAAAGGGATGCGCTGCACGCCACCATTGCGGACATGAAGTCTCAACTAATCAAGGCAAACTTGCGGGCCGAGGCTGCAGAAACAAAGGCTCAGTCAGACCTGGTCGAGAAGGAGCGAAGAAAGGCAGCCGAGTTACAAGATGACTTGACCAGTGCAAAGGTCGAAAGAGAGATCTCGGAAGAGAAATTGCGAAGAGAGATCACAGATTTGCAGGCTGCCCTGGGAAGAGAGAAGGAACAAACTCGAGTGATGGAAAGTGAAATGCTTGGTGAGCAGGCCACATTAGAAAGCAAGCTCGAATCTTTTCGCGTTCGCGCCGAGGAAGCCTCATCGGCAGACCACGGCCATGTCCAAGCCAAGCTGCTCCGACAAATCGAGACCTTACAAAGCCAATATTTGACTGCCAGCCAGAATTGGCAAGGCATTGAGAGCACCCTTCTCGGCAGGATCACAAATCTCGAAAAAGAACGTGACGAGATTGCGGGAAGGGAGGCCGAGCTGCGGAAGAAGCTGCGGGATGCTACAGTCAAAGCCAAGAATGCGGATCGCGACCTAGACACTCTCCAGAACAAGTATATGGAGATGGATAAGACAGCCGCCGAAGACAGCGCAGAAATCCACCGGCTCACTCGTAAGACGACACAGCTCGAGACAGATCTAGCCACAGCCAGACAGGACCTCCAGGAGCAAAAGCTAACTGCCGAGCGAGAGCTACAACGGAGATTGGATGAGGAAAGGGCAAAATGGACTGCCTCCCTGCATATTCAGCGAACCGACTCTCCTGGAACCTCGATCCGCAAGAATATCTCCAATGGTATGGGGCTGGACTTGCACCATTTGATGAGTCCCATGCCGTATGAACGGGGAAACAGTCGAAGATCATCTGTAATGCCATTTGATTCCAATACTCCACCACGCCAACAGTCCACAACTTCTTTTCGAGGTCTGGCTAACGGCTCTGTTGCGGAAACACCCTCTGTCGTCACATCGATAGATGCCGATGATTATTTTGCCAACATTCCTCCTACGCCTCTATCTGCAAGTCATCACTCTCATCGTGGTCTCAATGAGCTTGTATCGACCTCGACAGTTGGCGCGGGACCTTCAGTCCAGCTCGTTGAGCGAATTTCTGCAAATGTTCGCCGCTTAGAGAGTGAGAAAGCCGCATCTAAAGATGAGCTCTCCCGCATTACCGGCCAACGTGATGAGGCTAGACAAGAAGTCGTCAACCTGATGCGCGAGGTGGAGGAGAAGCGAAAGATCGAGGAACGTCTCCAGGCTCTCGAGAGAAAACATGTCGAGGTGACTGAGAGGCATCGCACCACTTTGGAGCTGCTGGGCGAGAAGAGTGAGCAGGTGGAGGAACTCAAGGCGGATATTGTTGATGTGAAACAAATGTATCGACAGTTGGCAGATACCATGAAATGATGTGTTTCCATGTCCGTGGACTGAACGAGGGCTCAGCAGCCGCTGATTTCAGGTCGCAAGGTCGTGATATCAAGCAGGCATATAATGAATCATTCAGTTCCCACCTATCTCTTTTCACAGCCCTCCTCACACATCACTTGAGGTCGATTCCCTCTCGCTCAGCGGCTGCCAGGATGAACGACCGGATCTTACTGTCTGGCGCACATTCAATAGCCACTCTCCCATTGTTATCCTTCTTGTCCGTCTCAGCGCCAGCCTTGAGCAATTCGACCGCCACATCACCATTGCCCTCACTGACAGCGTGATGCAACGCAGTCATCCCATCCGCATCCGTAGCATTAACAGGGCTCTTCTGCTCAAGCAACAATCTCACAATCGGCACACTCCCCCCGGCGGCAGCACGATGCAGCGGCAGCTGGCCACGCACATCCTTGACCCGCGCGCTGGCACCATGCTTCAGCAGCGTCCGGCAGATGTCCAAGTTACCCTTGGACACCGCGAAGTGCAGCGCCGTCGCGCCTGTGTTGGTCTTGACCTTGGGATCGGCTTCCTTGGCCTCGAGGAGGAGGTCGACCAGCTCGGCGCCACTGTTGTCTTTCAGGCTCGCGGCTATCATCAACGGCGTCCACCCCGACCCATCCTGTGCGTCTGGCTCGAAGGTTCTCAGGGCTGTTAGGAGTCGCACGATTTCGATGTGGTTATATGCGCATGCCCAGTGGATCGGGAGGCGTGTGTCCTCGTCGACGAGTGTTGCGAGGCGTGGGTTTGCAGCGAGGAGGGACTCGACGATTTGTGCTGGTGGACAAGGGGGGTTTGTTAGCTTCATCCTAGAGAGGACGGGAGTGGGAGAGAGGTAGATAGATGGTCATGACTTACTCTTGCCGTCCCTTGCTGCCTCATGCAGTGCATATTTGTTGTCTTTCTCTGCCGCTGGTAATGCTGCCATCACTGCAACTTTTTCTGTATTCGTAGGCAGAGGGACTATTCGTGTCCCACTGTTGCGTTGGAAATGAAGATCGTCCTGCACGTGCTTCCCCGCACGGAAATTTGGAGAAAGCCAGGGCTCTTGGCATATGCATCTGCGTCACGTGCAAAGTTCAATTTCGAGATTTGAACGCCGCTGCCATAGACGTCGAACGCTCGCCGACGCTTTGGAGCCCAACTCCTTCACTCAGTCAATCAACATGGCCGCAGCAGCACAAGCGCTCACAGAGCAGACGCGATCGCTGTTCGGCGACAGCTTCGGCGAAGCGACCACCATATCGGACATTCCTCCCATTTCCACCTCGTACAAGCGAAAAGTCGAATATGAAAGTGTTCGAGAGCTCCCCAAGGCTCTGGCAGAGAAGCAGGCTAAAGCGGTGGCTTCACGAGGGCCAAAGAGACCGAAAGTTCAAGCGGGAGGGAGTCAACTCGCGCTGGTTAAGAGCGAGGGGAAATCAGGTTCACATCCGCAGGCATCACAGTCAAATGGGATTGGAAACAGTTTAATACGGAGACCGAATATGCAGCAGTCGAGGCCGGAATGGCACGCGCCGTGGAAGTTGATGAGGGTGATATCAGGCCATCTAGGATGGGTGCGCGCATTGGCTGTTGAGCCTGGGAATCAGTGGTTCGCGTCTGGCGCAGGTGACAGGACCATCAAGATTTGGGATCTGGCGTCTGGCCAACTGCGACTGACGCTGACGGGCCACATATCAACGGTTCGAGGGCTTGCCGTGTCACCGCGGCATCCATACCTCTTTTCCTGCGGCGAGGACAAGATGGTCAAATGCTGGGATCTGGAGACCAACAAAGTCATCCGCCATTACCACGGCCATCTCTCCGGCGTCTACACACTCTCCCTACATCCGACGCTCGACGTCCTCGTAACAGGAGGACGAGACGGCGTCGCGCGTGTCTGGGACATGCGCACACGCTCCAACATCCACGTGCTCAGCGGCCACAAGGGCACCATCACCGACGTCAAATGCCAAGAAGCCGATCCGCAAGTCATCTCATCGAGTCTAGACAGCACGGTGCGCCTCTGGGACCTCGCCGCAGGGAAGTCCATGGGCGTGCTAACGCACCACAAGAAAGGCGTGCGCGCGCTAGCCGTCCACCCCAAGGAATTCACGTTCGCGTCTGGCTCCGCGGGCTCCATCAAGCAGTGGAAATGCCCCGAGGGCGCCTTCATGCAGAATTTCGACGGCCATAATGCCATCATCAACACGCTTGCTGTGAACGAAGATAATGTCCTTTGCAGTGGTGGCGATAATGGAAGTGTCTCCTTTTGGGATTGGAAAACAGGCCATCGATTCCAGACCACCGAGTCTCTCGCTCAGCCGGGCTCCCTTGATGCTGAAGCCGGTATCATGAGCACTACCTTTGATCAGACCGGCTTGCGCTTGATCATGGGCGAGGCCGACAAGACCATTAAGATTTGGCGGCCTGATCCTGATGCGACGCCAGAGACCCATCCGCTTGATTGGAGACCTACCCTGGGAAGAGTCAAGTATTGAGGTGTTTCTTGCCAGCGTGCAGATGGGATGGATGTTGTGTGACTTGGAAAGATGCATTAGCGATGGCGTTTATGATGTTGTGATTAGGCGGGAAACAGCGGACGTTGGTGGGAATCATATTGTCCTCAGGACTAAACCAAAACTTGCTCTCGTGATACAACTGAGAAGTACAGAAACGAGATACCCCTAGCGCTTTCTCCCGACACTGTAACCAAGAATAGTCATTATACTCTGTAACATGGGCATGCGAACCACACTCAACCTTAAAGCTTCCCCGATCTACTTTAGCCTCTATTCCTCTCTTTTCCTCCCTCAACACCACTATTATGCCGAATCTCAAAAAGGCTGGAACCCAGAATATCCACTACCGGCGACATTGGATAAAACCTTGCGGTAGTTCGCCAGCCCTCCGAAGTAAAACATGACGGTCTGAGTCTTGCCGGGGATGTTTGCTCCGAAGATCCAGGAAGCCGAGCGCTTGAAAAGGCTGTTTTCGCAGAGGTCTTTACACAGCTGCGTCCACTCCTGTTCGGATTCGGCGAGTGCTTCGATGACGGGGCCGCCAGAGGTCAGATTCTGGGAAGACGGTGTGATCTCGCCGTTGGTAGACATGCCATTGTTGAGATTATTTGCAATATGCTTGCTGGAGCTGTGCCTACTCTCAGCCGATGCAATCAAGTCGGTGATGAATTCAACCTGTGTCTCGATCGTGGGCGGGAGGTTGGTGAACGGGCTATTGGGGCCCGTGAGCATGAAGAAATTAGGAAATCCTGGCACGAAGGAGCCCAGATACGTCGTGGGACCACCGTTGGCAGCCCAATGATCTCTCAGACTCACGCCATCGCGGCCGTGGATCGCCAAGCGTGTGTAGTTGCCATCGACGGCGTCGAAGCCCGTTGCGAATATGAGCACATCCAGATCAAACGTCGTCCCGTCCACGAGCGTGATGCCCGTCGCCGTGATCTCCTGGATCGGCGTCTCCTTCAAACTGACGACATCGATGTTGTCCCGGTTGAACTGCTCGTAATACCCAGCATCACAGAGCGGGCGACGCGCGTACAAGTCGTCTGGCTGTAACTTCCGCGCCTTCTCGGGATCCCGCACGGTCTCGCCGATCTTCTTCCGGATGAATTTACACGCTTCCTCGTTGGCGGCCTCGTCCGTCGTCAAGTCGCTGAACGTCCAGAACATGAATCGGAACCCGTTGCCCCGCCGCCACGCTTCCTCGAAGATCCGCTCGCGCTCGTCCGCCGAGACGCTCATGGTCGGGGTCGCGGACTCTTCGAACCCAAATGCCACCATGCTGTTGCGCACTTGCTCCCAGATCTCGTCCCAGCGCGAGTTTATTGAGTCGCGGTACTGCGTGGTCACGGGTCCGTCGCCGCTGGGCACACTGTATTGCGGTGTGCGCTGGAAGCAGGTCAATGATTTCACTTCCTTGGCGATCGCCGTTATGACTTGTACGCCCGTGGAGCCGTTGCCGATGATCCCGACGCGCCTGTCAGTGAAGTCGTGCGATTGGGGCCATTTGCTGTTGCGTGATGAGCAGAGGGGACTGCGAGACACATCGCTGGACGCTGGAGAGGAGATTGTAAAAGAGGAAGAACATCAACCAAGACACACATACCCAGTATGATACATCTCACCCTGAAATGTCTCTATCCCCTTGATATTCGGGAAGTTCGTCTTCGACAACAAGCCCAGTGCGGTGATGAGATACCGAGCCGTGAAAGTCTGGCCCGTGGAGCACTCCACGACCCAGTGATTCTTCTGCTCATTGTATCGCGCGTGCTGAAGCTCGGTGTGGAACTGCATGTGCTTGCGCAGATCGTAGCGGTCGACAACATTTTTCAGGTACGCCAGCACCTCGGGCTGTTTGACGTAGTGCTCTTTCCAGTGGTACTTAAGTAGGTCATCTTTGTCCCAGCTGTATCGATAGACTGCATGGGGGGTGGTACCATTTCAGTCAGTAGTGTGTCCGTTTTTGATAACATGATAGTTCAGGAGGAGGAGGAGGAGGAGGAGGAGGAGTACTCACGGTATGATTCTGTATCGGACATGGCCCCTGGGTACCTGTTCCAATACCATGTGCCGCCGACATCGCCGGCAGCATCAATCATTTTTACGGACAAGCCTTGGCTGTGCAGCTTATGGAGTTGATAGATGCCGCTGAAGCCAGCGCCGACTATCACGGTGTCGAAGTGGCTGGTCTGTCCCATGATGCTGTTCTGATGCAATGGATGAAGGATTCAGACTCCATTCGACTTCTCCCATCATGATGAGCTGGTGGAGGAGTCGGAAATCGATTCCCAGTGTCCTTTTATATCGTAAAGTCTGTTGTAGCGTGAACAGCCAGTGGCGCATCGCGAGAAGTGTCGCTTCAATGCTTACTTTGATGCGGGGGATCCTCGCTCTCCGCATCAACAGATGGTCGATATTGTATGGACAGCGGAGGATGGGGACCGCTTACAGCCCACTGCCTGCCGAGGTTAAATCGTCCTGGGGTGTGACAGATAAAGGTAATGCGCGTTCGAACTAGTTGTCCAGAAAGATGCTTTGACCTTGTCACTAGAATTGGACTATGATGAACCGTTTGCTTAGGGATTGTCGGGAGATAAACATGCTTCTAAGGTTACAAGCTGGCCAACCGGCTTCGGCACCCGCTTAGGAGGCCGGATGGTTTGGAGATAGCGAGACGACCAATAAGCTCACCAGGTCTCTGGTTGGGTTTTTCGTGACCAATGTCATTGCCTCGTTAGCTCACTTGGTACCTCGAAGTTCAGTAGAGGTTCAAGGTTGATGGGTCCCACGACAAGGCTAGAAAATAATATGGCATGATTGACATGGGAAGCTGTTCCTCGATCAGGCTGGGTTCCCCTTAACCCCTTACAGGTACATGCCTAAATAACGCTGGTTCACGTGCTCCATAGCCTGGTCTTTTCTATTCTTTACTCGTACAGTGGTTGTAGAACACACCAGGCAGCATGAGACTTTGCATGGACTTACTCGCGAATTCAACTGAAACACAATATGACTACAGATTTAATTCATGCTCCAACAACCCAAAATCAAGCAAAAGAGAACATCTCATTGGTGGTTGCCACGGGTATACCTCGAGACGACATACATCTTGTCCGCACACCGCCTCCTGACCTCGAGAAGCAACCATCAACTTCTTCACAATATTTAAGAAGGACATACACCTTTTGGGATCTAAGGTGTAGGACATCATGTCAATTTCCTGCATCGGGTGTGAATTGTTGACGCCTCTCATACGGGCACTAGCAATGCAAGTCATTCCCAGTATTATTATTGAATTTTAGCCTGGATGACGGCAGCTTTACGGCTCTTCTGTCAAACTATTCAAGCTATTCTGTGCATGCATCGGGGAATGGATGGTTAATGGCCGGATGGCTTCCTAATGGAGGCGTTAGGGAAAAGAAAACCCGGGCTACGATGGAGTGTGAAGCATCAAGGTCGCTGGCCATCCGCCCAGCGACCATAGAACGAAGCGAAAAAGAGTTGACTCGACTAACGATCGTGGTTTCCAACACCCCCCTCATGCAGATGGTCCGACAGCTACGATTAATTGGTGCCTTGCTGTGCCCAAGCCTATCCCACTCAAACACATTGCACCAGTCTCTCAAGCAGACGCCCTTGTCACTTTGTGCCTCCTTGGGACCCTTCGGCGCCTTGATTATTAGGCTTTTTGCCCTCAGCTTCAGGTCTCGGCTTCGGAGGTGGCTCTCTATCCATTTTGTTTAGTGCCTCTATCTCATCGAGCCGTCTTTGCTCCTCTCTTGCCCTCATTCGCTTTTGGTCGGCCTTGCTTTCTGGTCTCCCGTTAGCGAACACACAAATATAGTGGATGCAATTGGAGAATTGGTCTGTACTCTTTGATTTCCGGCGGAGTATGACCGGGGCTGCCGCCATCCGGCGTTTTTTGAGGCATATCGCCCAGAATTGCTCGTCCTCAGACATAACCATCACCTGTTCTGGCGTCTCCAGCAGACAGAACGTGACCTCGAGGGTACTGCAGAGAGAGCCTCCGAGCCTTAGAGCTACTCGCCTTGCAGACTTATGTTCGCAATCGTGTCCGTCATCCACATATTTCAATTTACCCGACCATCCGATTGAGTTGAGCTTGGCTTGGGAGATGCAAGAGCATTTTGCCCTATTGTCGACCTCAATCTCCTGAGAGAGATAATCTTGCGATTCGGGGAAGTAAAGTCTAACGGAGGACTTCTTTCGCTCCGCAGTGGGGGACTTTTGCTGATGCATGGTTTTCACACGATCTGCTACGCCAGTGGGCGGAAGGGAGGCTTGTTCTAAGTTAAGGAATGATGGAAAACCGACAAAGGGCTTCTACCTCAACGAAGAACCCATCATTTATAGCTGATTCCTTCTCGCAGAGCCTCACCGTCTCTAGCACTCTCCTGAAACGGCAAGCACCATCGCGAGCCAGACACTAGACCCTCGGGCGCCGTTATGGCTGCACAACGGCAGGCGCGACGCGCGTGTGGTCAGTAGTTAGGCACGCACTCGCGTGTGTTTGGCCTGTGTCTCAATGAGTTGATGAGCTGTTCAGGCGGTCAGTTGCAACTGTCCATTAAGCATCAACCAGCTTAAGGCTCCGATGATAGGGGGCCCATTCCGTGACCTTCCCCCCTAGTCATTCAAGACCTGGGCAACTTATCGGTGAGGTGAGATGCTCGAATCATTGTCTATCTGATGCTGTATATGATGTGGCTATGTTGGAAGAGAACCCCATTGCGCCCTGAGCCTCCTGAAAAGGTGTCTTGACCCATGACGACTGTGCTTTTCATAACAACCTCTAGAATGACAGGAGGACAGATCAGCGCTTTACCGGTCAGTTGCAGGATCGCCACCAGTTGCAAACATCACAGATCAGGATGCTGACATGCCCAGTTGCGACAGATGCGCTTAAGCTTAGGAAAACATCATAATCAAGGACTGCTTCATCTTCCAGAACGTAGAAGGTGATGGTGATGGGCTTTTTGGAGCAAGCTAATTGTAATTCGCGCGAGAATTTCCCTACCGGGACCACTGTCCCTCCAACACCTTCCACCGTGAATTCTGTGCCGTCATTTGGCATGAGTTTATCCTTGCCAAGCACGCTCAGCGCGAGACTTCTCTTCATGATGCTGCATTCCGCCCCAGTATCTAGGAGACTCATGCAGGGAACTGCTTCTCCATCCCATGGATTAAATATATTGCCACGAACAACCGTGCGTCTACGGAGGGACGTATCTTCTGAGCTGGCGGAGGAATCAACTGCAGCATTAGGGCCGAGTTCTGATGACCGGATGCTAGACGCCATAACTCGCATGTAGCTTTTGCACCCATACACCTTATCATGACTAGCTGGGGATCCTACCTTCGGCACAGCGGCCTCGATCGAGGCTGAACGCAAGTCTCCTTCGAGGGAGGAATCTGACTGGCCTAGTGAGATAGACATGATTGGCTCTGGACTTTCGGTCTTAGCCACGTGGATTGGCTGCATCCCAGTATAAGTCTCCCCAGAATCAATGCTAGAGAAACAGCATTTCGATTGCTGAGATAACATGTCGTGGATGGCGCCTCTCCAGGCCGAATCGACTAGGACCACTCGGTCATTATGGGAGAGCTCCCTCCCAGACCAGAACGGTGCAGTAATTTGCCGTTTGATCATAGCGAGATGTTCGTCTCTGAGATGCTCCGAGATCTGACGCATCCATTGCTCTTCCGTTGGTCTTTGAATGCTGTGTGGATGTTCCCCATGTTCGCCCGGGCCCACGGAGTGACGCGCGGTTGCTTCACTGGCCATTGTCCTCCTCAATACTCTTCTCTTGTTCAAATGCCTTAGTCACGATTTCTCCCAGTCGGATATGCCCGTTTTGATGGCCTTGACAATGGCCGATGTCCGTGTTCTTGATCTTCAAAGGGCAAACTTTTGTGCAATTGATGGTAGGATTATCAAATGGGCTTCAGGGCCGGTATAGCAGCAATTGATAGGCGCCGAGTGATGGCCTAGGCTTTAGGGAATCGAACGACGCTGGGGTGCAAGTTGCAGAGGCGAAAGGATTTCAGAGATTAAGCGACAAAGCCAGTGAAAATCAAAGACGCGTATCAGGCAGGAAATTTGCAAGGTCAGCATAAATGTAGTATGCTTGAATTTGGGTACAATAAACTTGGTTATCTCAACGTGCGCAGGAAAACCGAAATTTTGTGAGCATCGTAGAATGCCAGTTGTGGGAGGTAGGCTCGGCATTTTCGCGATCGAAATAATGCAGACTAGGAAAGGGCCACAAAGGAGTGATTGGGTGGGTGGGGGAAAGCTTTGGACATGAACAATGTTCGAGTCGCATGCAGTGCAATGTGACCCGCGAGATGAGGCTGTAACAACGCAGTAGAGTTTCGGCTTGGGGGTCTGGAAGGTGGTCGTAGAAATCTCAATCTCATGTGGGACCTTGAAATCGAGCCCGACTATTGAAAGCCTTTTGAAGTCAAAGAGCAGCTGACTCCATGCATGTATGCCTCGTACATAGAGATTTGATGCACGGTAGTTTGCATGTCCCTTCACCATAGCATCCTGAGGGGGTTTGGCGCAAATGACGATGAGTCTCTGAGTACCAGGAGCTCGTACTTCAAACTTGTGGTGTGGATTTCTCGGTGCCCGGGATTGCTAAAGCCAGACCACTGATGCTAGAGGGGCGCTGAAGCTGCTGCAGGTGCCAACGAAGGCATTCTCACATGGTTCTGGTCATCGCTAAAGCAACAGACCATCGATGGTCGGAGGTTAATTCCTTTGCATAGACCTGATAGAATTGCAGATAGGGAGTAGAGCAATGCTTGACCTGGAGTGTACACAGGGCCTTTCGGCTAACCATTTGGTACCCGGACCGTTTAGCGACGAGCCTGCTAAGAGCTAGCCTTGGAACCTTGGGAGCTCTCTGACCTCGGCATCCCAGACATTTTCAGCACCAGGAAGCGCTCCTGATGTTGAGATATCATCCCAACTCATAGCACCACAACGGGCCCATCTGAGAACTGACAAGATCATATGTCAATGCAAGGTTGCTGTTTGAGTATCCTCCAAAAGGCCATGTTCAGATTGGTATACCCGAAGACCTTGCCGACACATTGGAGGCCACTGATCGAAACATGCACTGTTTTTGTCATATGGTTGCACGGTATTGTACTGCATCGCATTCATCCATGAAATGACAGTGAATGTCGTCGGCAGCATATGACATTCAAGACAACGAAAAACTTGAAGCTGTTGCGCATGCCTTTGGCTTAAGTACCTAGGTACATACTGTAGGATTGAACTGTCAGTGCGGTCACGTGCGGCCCACATCCCTTGGCCGGGATAACACGGCGATCCAATCCAGGAATCCGCGATGCAGCTGCGGCTATTTCCTTGGGATTGCGCCAGAAGACAGCTCACCAAACGATCGGACCAGAACGGTTAACGCGGCTGTTTAGCGTAAGATTGAATTTCGAATAGGACGATCAACTGCTCTGAGTTTATGATAACATCACCGGCATGAATTCACTTGCGTTGCTTGGGCAGCTGCTCGGACTGAGGAGCCATGGACCATGGGGATACGCTGGAAAGTAGGATGTGTGACGCGGCAAGGGAGAGATTCCAAAACACAATCTAGCTGGGTGTGCAGCTTCTTATGGGTTGAAGTTTTTGGGTGGTTCGGACCCTCTTCTCCCGGACGGTTCGTACAACACAGGCATTTCCAAATGCCTCGAGGTCGTCCAATGATTCAATACGGACGGCCTGTGGCTTCGTTAGCCACCTGGGCACTTCGCTCAGACCAATCGTCCACCCACCCTTCTGATTTGCGCTCTATCGATCAATCCTGAGTTCTGATCCTTGTTCTTTAGTTTGTTCAGGCTTTTGCTATTCTGCGCGAGCAGTAAGCATCCAATCCCCCGGGCCTTTCCCGTCAGGCAGCGACTGGGCGAAAGGTTGGTTCTCGACTGCGCCGTTCCGGGCGAGACAATTCATCCGTCCCCTATTCCACTCACTGCTGCATGCAATCAAAGTGCCTGTCTATCAGGCCTTTGCCTTGCCAGCGCAGAATGACATTATGGCCTAGCAGTCCGCGAGTTTGTATAGACCTCGGTCAGTCTCAGAGACGGCTTGCCAGCTTGAGCATGGTCGTTCCTGACGTCGCCTTCTACAACTCCCTTGATGCTGAAGTCAAGGCTTGTGACGATGGAAGGCTACGATTCGCTGAGTGCGTATGCAGCAACTTACCCATCCTTACAGATTCACAGAAGCTTCTCTATACTGAACCAGCGCACTGTAAATCTGCTGGAGGCGGAGCTTGCCGAGAAAGAGAGACAACTTGTCATTGCTATAGAGAATGACCGCCAGTCAGAAGACAGTGAGAGGAGGCGATATTCCCTTCATTTTGGCACATTACTCAAGGCAAACCCAGTTGGTGACAACAACTACCCCAAACAGAAGGCTCTGGCTCTCGAAGTGGCAGGCTTGTTAAAGCAGTACAGTATGTTCTCCTCAAGCTCGTTGATTCTCTCAGGGCTTCACTAATCGAGTACCTGATACAGATGATTTACTTCTCCAGAACCATGCTCTGAATAAGCTTCGGACGGTGCGAAAGTTCGATCTAGAGTGTGTGCGAAACGTGTTGAAGAGACAGCCTGATATTGAGTCTGGTTTCTTTCTTTCTGGGGCAGAACTCTCCACATGGGCCGAAGAAAATGAAAGAGATCTTGTTTCACTGAGAAACCACAACGATGATCTGGATGCACTTTCAACATTGATTGATTGGCTTGTACAAAGATTCTACTTTGGAATATGGAAAAAGGCACCACGGGAACGGTTTCCAGTACCTCGGTGCTGGGCTCCTCTCCACCCTGCTGATATGGCCTGGTATCCTGACGGAACATTGACTCCTATCGTCGGCATCGTCACGATAGTTCTCGCATCTGCTTTGCCCTCGCTATCAGCATTCGGTCTTTTTTGGGTCACTGATCCCCTCATCAGGATTGGAATGGTCGTCTTGCTGTCCTTCCTTTTCAGTTCAGCTCTAGCACTCGTCGGTGTCCCCCGCCGTATCGATGCTTTTGTCGCGTCGTCGACTTATATTGCCGTGCTCTTGGTCTTTGTAGGGAGCAATTGAGGCGATGGCTAATATATATCGCTTCGTATAATATGTACGAGGCACCTGGTGACGTGGTGGACATTGATAAGGGAATCGAAAGCTAACGCTCGTTACAACATTTCTAGTCTGGCAAGGCACGTAATGAATTCATCTAAGACCATGAACAATCTCCGCTCCAGCAATTCCAGAGATGTCCTCTATCTGCAACTCTGCTCTCTTGTTAACTGTACCATTCCTATTCGTCCCCTGTTGTCTGAAATGTATTCGTGCTCTTGTAAAGGGACTGCTTCGTCCTCGCACTGCTCCGTCAGCTTTGTCCCAACATTTTCCGGACTCGGTGAGTCCAAAGTATGGCGGCGACGTGGCTAGAGTGCATGTGATCCATAATTTGATGCTACTTGAATCCTTTCAAACATCTTTTCAACCTCACAAATCTTGAGTTTGTCTAAATAATCATCACTCCTGACCGTGGACACGGTCAGGGAAAGATTCCCGATTGATACGATGGAATACACGGAAGAGAGTTTGGAGATTTGTCTCATTGAAGAGGAACAGAGCCTGATAAGGGTACCACGTATCTGCTTGGCTGTCGCCTGACAGGGTCACATCAATTGAGTACGGCCACAGACTGTGGAGATTAGACTTGTGTTAGGTGGGTAACAGAGAGTCTAGCCACCCCTAGGAGGATGTAGCAGCCAAAAAGGCCATGGAGAAAAACATGAATCCATACCTCACCACACAGTCCCCGGCTCAAAATGTGCGTCTGCATAGCGAAGTTGCTTTTGCTATCAAACTCCAGCTGAGATAATGGTGTCTGCAGACTCCTTAGTACCTTGGTAGTCAGTAGCTCGATGGTGTGACAGACCACCGAACGCTGATTGGTGAACCACCCACACCACTTCAAATCAGTCTGCCAGGATCTCATGTCATCTCATCCTTGGTAGGGCAGCAAATCCAACAAATGCAGGACAAACCCCCTGGACTCCCGAGACCAAGTATGCCGCCAAAGTTCTGTGCGTGGCTTGTAGGCGCATTGTGACCATTGTGACCAAGCCCATTTTTCCTAGCTTGGATGATTTCTTGAGCTTTATTCCTTGTCTCACCCTCGCCGATCATGCAATCGTCCTTGTTTTTTCCCTCACCCCGCACATCCTACCACAGGGGAGTCTTTCTAAGCAGCCAATTGAGAACCCCAAGGAATCTGTCGAAAAGTCCGGATAGCCTATCTGGTCTGATATTTGTGGGGTTGAGCGACTGATTTCCATATCTCGGGTGCCACCGGGTCGTTAATTTAGGTAGTTGTTTAGCAACGCGGAACGGAACGTTGAATCTCTACCCCCCGCTTCTGAACTAACCTAGTCAATGCACAAGTACGCAGTACTCCGTACCCATACCCTTGTTGGTTGACGTTCCTGATCTTTTCAGCTGGAAAGGCTCCATCCCTGCGCAGGACTTCACCTGGACATTACATCTTGATTGCCCGGGATGAAATGTACGCTTCTTCTTCTTCTTCTTTGGGGGTCCAGGTCATGAGTTTGAGTTACCCGAAAAAAACATAGTTTTCTCAGAAAGCGTTGAATTGATTAACCCGAGTTGCGACAATAAAGTGATTGGTGCTACTAATGAAGGTTGTAATGCATTGATCAAACGGCTATTCTTGATAAGGCCTGTAGTAGTATCTAAAGCGCTCCCGATGTTAGTCAAATTTGGCTCTGCCCCAAATCCCAAAGCCCGACCATGAATACGCGTGGTGGTCAGCACACTGCTTATAAACTCTGGGTGAGTAGCCCCCAATTGATTTTGCGAGCTGGATAACCACCTCTTTGGCACTATCTAGCAGAGGCTGCGGGTAAGTCCTGCCACCTGGAGTAACCATATTTTATAGTGAGAGGAGAACCCCTCAGGCCCGGTTTATCGGTTCTGAGACTGTCACCGTTACATTGCAGCCAGACACACAGTTTGCTCTTCATGTCGGATTGTCCTAGTATCAACTTGAGACCAATCTTCAGATCAATGGTCTCAACCATTTTTTGGAAAAGTTCAGGGTCTTGTGTGGCTATGCTTGCATTTCGAAAGTTGCCTCTCTCCCAGAGCATCGAGCGTCAAGGGGATGCTGGGAAGACTCCTTCAGAAGCCATTCCGAGCTTCCGATCCGTAGATTTGGCTTGACTGGAACCAAGCTTTACAATACTTCGTATAAAGGTGTGCAATAAAGGCCAACCACGCCTCCATGTTTCAGTCCAAACTCCTCCACCAAAGTCTAACTGACTGAACTTCCTTGCTCAAGATGTTCTGGGTAGGACCGGCATCAAGTCTTCAAGAAGCGCTCTTACTCAAAGTCGAGTTTGTCATCCTTCGCCATCTCGCCCACAGACAGCATTCCATCTCCTTGATCGGCACAGTGATGGCACCAGACCCATGTTTCCTCTTACCAATATGACTCAGGAAGTGGTGACGATCAGCGAGCACCCGCATTGGCAAGGGGTTGAGCAGCATCCCATACCGTGATACTCTAACGACAAATCAAGTCCTCGGGAACTCATTAGATCCGAAGTATCCCCCTGTGCGCTGAGACAGTCAAATGTGATATTGAAGTCGGTTTCCAAGCCAGGTGGATCAATGCGAGCGCCTACCAACATTCATAAGCGCCTCGCTACTAATTCTATCAGCTATCGACCAAAATGGGCGAGAAGGCTATTGATACCCTGAAGGTGTGGCTGGGGAGGTTTCGGTAAAAAAATAAGTTAGTCCTTGCTGGGGTTTGTGGATTGGTGCAATCAACCAGTGAAAGTCTGAATGCTCAACCGTGCTTGGTATTGTCGTGCTCATAATTCTAAGGATGTACAGTGTAAGTGCCAAGTCTAGGGTATGAACTCACTTTCCTGAGAGGAGCCAGAAAGGGTAGTCGACTCAGTTGGACACAATCCATACCAGTTGTGATCTACGAATCAATACTGTATAATTTCATCGCACATATTGGGGAGCAGGCCGTCTATGAACGCCTTCTTTTACTCCTTCCTTGCTCAGCGACCCAATTATTGCTCGGTGTCGTGTTATAAGAGATCACCCAAAGCGGCGCTGGTGTACTGAACGATCTGAACAGGAGACTTTCCGTCATGGCGAAAGCAAAAAGCGTGGTTACGGAATCCCAGCTTCTGGATTCAGACCAGCGCTTATATTCCAAGGGCCGGGATTTCGCACTGAGAACTAATCGTTTGACTGACATGAATCACAGAGAACTGAAAAAGGGTCAAAAGCCGGCAAGAGGACGAGGAAGTCATGTCGAAACTCATCATGGGCGGCTTTGAACAAATTCTTCTACAAAATATCCAAAATCTAACCCTAATCCTAAAAAGAAGAAAGACCTCCTGCGGACTGATCTGACAGCCAGTAAGCCAATGATCCAGTAATAAGCTGAGCAAAAGGACTGCTGCGGCTGGTACTTGGAATCTATTTATTGGCAGATGTATTGGCAGATTTATCTACATAATTACCCATTCCGCGCCCCATACATAAGGATAAGATTACCCCTTGGTTTTTTATTGGCCTATCTATCGGTTCATTCATGGGGAATTTCACACCACTACACTCGGCACTAAATAAGATGGTCCAAACGTCAAAGCGAGCTTTGCTCGGTCTAGCACCTTCCTCTAGTTTTGCATACTTTGCCTGCACCCCACAGTCAAGCTGCGCGGTCAAGTATGCACACGAGGAATCCAGCGCTTTTGTAGATCGGCAACTCTTACCCTGTGAAGTTTCGTTGCTCTACCAAATCCTGAACGAACTATGATCGCGAATTACAACTCAGTTTCGGATGCAGCCCGGATACAACAGAGACAACCACTACTGGAACAATTCAAGAAAGCACATGACGAGCTTGCGGCGTTGTTGAAACTTGGCAGTACTGGTGAGCTACCCGAAAATGAAGGACGCTTCCAGGCGCTCCGGACTGCAGCAAAATGGCCATTCAGCAAACCCACGGTGTATTGCATTCTTGAGCGTGTCTCGCGCCTGCAGCAATATGGCAACACGCTCTTGCTGACTAATCAAAGGTAAGTGATGCACACGTCACACTTCGTGGAGATATTCATGCGTTTGGCCCAGTGTTATGCTTCAGAACGTGATTCAAGTGCACGAAGAAGGTGTGTTCGTCTCACGCAGACTTGCTTGATATTGACTCAAGATATTAGGAATTAAAGCAAAGCTTAAAGTGGCTGTTTTGAATTGGCTTTCCCGTTGCAAATGTGCCAGTTGCACCGCACAACCATCGACCAAGAACCCAAAGGATGTGGTGAATGGTTTCTCACATCTGATCTCTTTATAAATTGGTGATCTGGTCGTGATAATCTACTGTGGTGTTCCGGCATTCGTAAGTTTTGAGTCAACACGCTGATGGCTATAGCTAACATTTCACAGCCGGAGCCGGAAAGACTATCATTGCGCAAGTCATGCCATCCCCGAGAAGGGATCAGAAATAACTCTGACTAGTTCAATTGTTGTTGAAAAACTTCAGCAAAATCGTGCTAAACAAAACGATCCAAAGGCTACCGGCATTGCTGTCATGTATCTCAGATACAATGACCCGCAGACTCTTGGGACTCTTTTGGGCAGCATCTTGAGCCAGTTCCTGCAGGAATGAGAACCTTCGAAAGATGGTCGAGAAGCAGCCAGCATTGCGCCTTGACATTAAGCAAGGGGTGCTGAAAACTGCCCCGGGAATGTAAGCCATATTACACAACCCCTACTTCCCACAGTGTCTGATCCTACCCTAGGTCTCTCCTTGCACGACTGCACGTCGAGTCTCTCGCTAGTGCAGCTTCGTTGCCAATCAGATTTCTCCGTAAAGCGCTTCAAGACTTGCCGAATACCCTTGTCGGTACTTACGATGCTCTAATGGTACGGATCACAAACTAAGGCACTGATCATAAGGGCGTTGCCCTGAAGACTCTGGCGGGGGTTACGTGTGCTCGTCTGCCACTTTCTCTGAAAGAGCTACAACATGCACTTGCGATCGGTCTCGATAAGACTGATCTAGACGAGGAACTGCTTATTGATGAGAATGCTTTCACGACACTTTGCACGGCTCTAATAATCGTTGATCTTAGCACAAAACGCGTCGCCTTAATTCATTATACCACCAAGAAATATCTGGAGCAGAGGTGCGAAGTCTATTTTCCTCATGTCCACGGCATAATAACCGAATGTTGTACAATGTATCTCGCCTTACCTAAGCTGCATAATGCTTCAATCCCCAAAATTGTACATGAATTCCCGCTAACATGCTATGCCGCTCATTGCATTGGCGACCATGCTCGTCTAAATCCCGAAGAGACTCTCGACGCGTCGGTGCTGGAAGCTCTTTGTTAAATGCTCGTGAATCCCAAGAAAAGAAAGCCATCGCTTGCGCTTCTAGATGGCTTAGATGTCATAAATTCTAGATTGTATCCCTTTCCTGATCACGAACCTATAGCAACAGAAGAGCCCAAAGCCAGCTGTACCAGCACGTTTGCGGAGAAAAGGGTAGGGATAGTGCAAAATGCCCTTCGCTACAGGACGAAGACTTTTTGACGGGTTCAGGTATTGCCAAGATAAATGGCCCCTCCATGCTCGAAATCACAGCGCTTCACCTTACTGCTTCGATGGGCCTGGCCAAGGTTGCGTCAATGTTGCTTAAGGAGAAGCCCAATATTGATGGAGTCGATGAAACAGGCAAAACCGCATTGACGGGTGGCCATAGAGAGGGGTCTCGAGAAGGATGTTGAGCTTCTCATTAACAGCGGCCCAACAGTCGATCTTCATCAGGAGTACGGTCAAGGTGCTTTTATTAAGCGGCAGAAAGGAATTAGAAGTCCGTGAGTACAGTGATCGTCCAACGTGCCACGGCGACTACAGCAGTGCCAGACGACTTCTGCCTTTATCTCCTCGTTGCCGCATAGACAGGAAATGAAAATCAGGTCCTGAGCATAATCAAAGGAAGGAGAGTTGATTTACAGACAGCGACCAGAAGCTCGGTGCTGTTACATTGTTTCTAACCGTGGAAGGCGGTCAAATATCGATCGCACGAGCCTTGCTAGAGGCCGGCATTGAACTTGGATCAGCCCCTCAACCAAACTACAACCTTTGGCCAATTCATCTATCTCGCCCAAAGCATCAATGGAGATGATAGCAATATCCTGCCGTACTAGATATCCCACCCACTGGACACTCAAACAAAATTGATCAGTGTCAGGCGTGCCCAACAACGCGCGGTGATGAGCGAATATCCATTGGCTACTAACAAATTTTCACCGGAGGATCGACTTTATGACATTTTGTCGCTCAATCCGGAATATCAGGAGATGAAACTTGAGCCGAAAGCGACAGGGCTCCTAAAGGAACGATCATGATGCGCCGAAGCTGGAATGAGGGCTGGAAGGCTCATCAGAAAATTCGAGAAGATATGCTACTGTTTCGCACCCAGCCTAGCTATACCCAGGAGGGAAGCAAGAAGGGCTCCACCTGGACACTAGATAATGGACAGATAGTAGGGCATACATTTGGTGATGGAGAGCATTCGATGATCTGTGGGCATGACCTCAGTCGTGACTTGCTCGATGGCTTGGTTGCTTGTTGGATTGCAAAGGAGTGGTGTGAAACTCTTCACCGCGTCGAGGCGTAAATGGAAATCTGGAAGTATCCGAATGTCGTTGTTCCCTACTGGTACGGAGGAGGTTGAGAGTCAACGCCGCAGTTGTTAGATGCATTCGAGCTCTACGCTCCGAATAAAGTTCATGGACAATAATGTATCATCATACAAGAGATCTGGGGTGTCGCAAACCTTCGTCCAAACCAAGCCTCGCGTGTTATAATTATACTGAACGATCCGTGGATATTCTCCTCAATGGATCACCCAAGGTATGGAGGATAATGATATAGTCTAAGCACTTATGCTGAAGCCTGCAAATGTCTTGGTCTAGGGAAGCTGCGAGAGATGGGTAACCCCTTCCTATCGAGATTAGTTTAGTGTTAAGAGATAGTCAGCTTATCGATATGCAGGTTTTGCTGATCCGAATGGTGCTGACTGGAAGGAGATAAGGGCTACACGCGAGATCGAATAGGGCAAGGAGAACCAATAATGGAGAAGTAGGAGAAAGGCATGAATAATAAACACGGCCCCGTATGCTGCGATACTTGGAGAAAATGTAGTATCTTCTAGATGAGGATAGACGCACTTTTTTATACATGGATCGATTGATATTCTATTGATATGTTCACAGGTGTATTCGTGGGTGCATTCGTAGCGATATTTGTGGGCGGATCCGTCGGAGAATTTATGGAGCTATACACCCTCATACTAGAATCAACGTGAGAGTTGGCGCTGAATGGAGCATCATGATACCAACACGCTTCACGGAGGGCATAGAGGCGCCCTAACAGGCCTGGTTGCTGCCAAAATTAAAGTAGCCCTTTAACCTTCCCCATCGATTTAAGTAACTGTAATTGATAAAGATGTAGAACATTAGACGCTAGTCACCTCCGTCCAGCTATTTATTAGTGGGACCCATGTTTCCCCCGATGCTAAAGTGAAAGTTAGCAGCATATAGCTTAACCAGTGCGTATCAGTCAGACACAATTTATACCGAGGTCGAAAGAGATATAGATCTTATATAACTTATATGATTTCTACTATAATTGTTTATATCCTTTCCTTTCTAATAATACCTTTGGGCTGAGGTCAAGTCTCAGCTTTCTCGAAGTGTCAAACAAGGGGCGAAAGTAGTATCTCCCGCTTTGGGTAACTAATATGTCTCCACAGCTTCTAGGCTCTCGGCCTGCCGCTTAGGGCGTGCCCAACTAGGGCAAGGCTTTTGCCCCTGATATTCTCCTAGTAGGGGGCAGAGTCCTTCCTCCCTTGATCCTTCACTGACACTGCCAGCAAGGGCTTGGGTGATTGAGTCACAGCTCAATGTTTCTGTGACCTACAACTATCATATCCTTTCGAGTCGCTCTTCTTTGGTTCCTTGTCTATCTAGTCACTCCAGCGTCTCTAGTGCTTTGACGAAGCACGGGAAGTATTGTCAAGCCTCTTTCAGAAGGACTCACCGCTGGATTCATCGAATGGTTGACAACATCACGCTGTTGTCTCCCTAGGACCAAAAGCAACGGCAGATTTATCACCGTTATCTCTTACTTGCCACTGTCTGTGTCTGTGCGGCTTGCATTGATGTATATGGTCTTAGCGTGCTGACAAATCCCACAAACGAAGTCACTCTTGAAGACGAATTTACTGCCCAAGGAAGATCCCCATTTCTCATTACAAGAGCTTCTTAACCCGAAGCCCAACTCAGCCTAATGAAAACGGTACATGCCCCCCCCCTTTTACCAATTCAAGTCACGTACAGTACTCAAGGCTCTGAAGCGAGTTCAGGCTCTTGCACTATCATTTGTTTGAGTACTGCCTTCTGCATGCGGGCAGTTGCCTTGGGCCGCGGATGCTCTTGCCAGGACTGCCCTTTTGATGTCCTCTATACGCTTGCGCTTCTGTCTGTCCCTTTCGAGGTTGGCTTGTTTCAATCTCTCTGCCTCGGCCTTTGCACATGCTTCTTCGTGCTCTTGAGAATTGTCAGAATCTCATAGACTGGGCAGAGCTTTTGCTAATTCTACTGACCTTCTGATTCATTTTCCACGACAACCGGTGCAAGGAGACTGTCCTCGAGACTTTTGTCGAAGCAAGGTTCTTTTCCGGTCATCACCGCCACAGCCTCCTCGTCATTGAGCAAACAAAATGCGATCCAGTCCTGGTCAGAACTACCGACTGCCCTGACTCGAAGACGGATTTTCCTGGCGTGCTTGGGATCTTCACATTGATGATCACTTTCCTGATACAACAAGACTTCGGCTCCATTTGTGCCTTCGATGAAAGATTCTGTAACAGTGCAACAGATCGCCGTGCTATCTGCATGGACTAGACGCTTTACCCAATTCATCCATATACTACTCATCTCAACAAGCTTAGGGCCATTCATGGCAACTCGACGTTGTGGTGAGACTAAGGAATTGGCTGCCATCATGAAGAATGCAGTGTATGCTAAGCAACTTTGAGGGCTGGTATTGAAGAGAGTAAGAGAAGGAAGGGGGTTCGAATCTGGAACACCGTTTCTGCTCGAGACTGGTGTTGCACGACATTTATATACCCAACAGATGATGAGGCTCTGAGCCACAAATCCAGAGTTAGATTTCGCACTGCTAATTGCCAGCCCTACTCCCTGGAAAGGCTTGATCCACGTCAGGATTGCCCGGCTGGGAACGCGACGTGAGAATAGCAAAGAATCACGCAGTCACATGTCCACAGCTGCCAGTCCTGCTCGGGCACCGATGAGTTGTCCCGCAGCAGGAAGGAGGGTTTTGACCATTCAGCGTCAGACTTCCTACTCCTTCTACACCTGAGGCGACCTCTTTGCAGACCTTCGAGGGCATTGAAGTTCAAGTTCACAGAAAGACGGTGAGAGCATCTTTGTCAAATCAATGCTTATAAAAGACATTATGGTCTAGGCTGATCAAAAAGGCAGAGGTTCTGAGTATGAATCCATGTCGCCACGTCATAAAAGACTGAGGCGCAGCACTGCTGAACGCTCAACAAGAGCAAAGACGGCTCAGGGGGTTCACAGGTCAGACCTTGCCCGGGCGCATTCCTTGCAATGGGCGATGAGAAAGTGGCCCATTCTCAGAAAGTCAACGATGCTTAGGTACGCCTGGCAGTTGATGAGGTTGCCCACAATGTAGAACATTGTTGGCCAAACCTTTTCTGGGCCGCACGGCAGCCTCAAGTCGATGACAGCTATCTCCTTGGTGACAAGTAGGCCGCCATTGGCAGTGCGTAGTTTGATAACCTTGTCAAGGAACTGGACATCAGCATCAAAATCCTTGGCCAGTTTCTTCGTCATGACCGAGACCTCAGCTCCTGTATCTTGCAAAACTGTGCCTGGTACGCGACCGCCTGCTGTCGAAACAAAGCATGGAAGTCGCAAATGCTGTTTAAGGCGTCTACGGCCCTCATAATCTAGTTCGCTTCCCGCATACAGGGAATTATACCATGGAAGTCCCGCAAGGATTTCTCTGTCAAGTTTGACTTTGCCACGTGTCATATCCTGAACCGTGGCTGGTGGAGATATCATCGAGTCGTTGACGGATGAGGCTGGAAAGTGGTGAATCTCCCAGGCTAATATCTCCAGGATTTTGAAAACAAACTCTTCGAACTCATTGGTCTGTTGTACCTCACTCAGGTAATCAGGATAAGGTTCAGACTATCTTTTGATTAGGACCTGCATTATAACTTGACAACTGTGGTATAGCCTTACATTGGTTGATGACTGTTTTATGTTAGTCATATATGCGGCCTGGACTTGACGAGATATGGCTTCATGCGTCCTTCGCTCAGTTTCATCGTCCAAGTCATCACCATCACCATGACTTCGCATACCCCCTTCCAAAGAAGTGTGCGAAGTCCGCCGACTAGAGGACCCAGTCTTGTGCAATGGTATGGCTTCTGGGTTTTCCAACCCTTCCAGCACTTCTACTAAACATAGTATAGTGACACGAAGGAATTGCTTTTTGGCAAACGTAGCATCAGCTGCTACCATTCCCGATCTCTCGCTCATCACTTCGGCTATACCACAAAACACTATTGTCTTTGGGGTTTTCCGGGTCAGAAGGGGATATTCAGAGGACTTGTGGCGAAAATGGGGACTCAAAAGGATGCTCCAGGAGGCCACGCAAATGAGAGGCGGGTTTGATCACTGCAAAGTCAGTGCAAATACTATGGCAGAACTTGGGAGGAAAAAGCTGCGGAAAGTGTGAATTTTGGAGGTGATCCAAATGTGGAAGAAAAATAAGGCGGAATCATGGGCTAACGCGGCGTCCAAGGACAAGTGAAGACTGGTGGTGAAAATCCATTGCAAATCGGAGCCATGCAGACGATCATGAAGACGATCCAGTTGGAAAAGAAGCCGAAGAGACTTTTCTGACTCTGCACCAAGTGCCAATGAGATGCTGTCACTACTCATGGCCGATATTGTTATCGCTATATTTCATTCCAGTGATGAAGGGAATCGGGCGCAGAAAGTCCCAGAAGTCCTGCATGCGAGACGTCTCCGGAGGATGGTTGGCAGACACGAAGGCTTGAGAGGTGACATGGTCGAGGCAACCCCTGCTGGATGATCCAAAAGGGCATCGTGACCTGTCAAACGGGTGCGAACAGTCATCCGCGACGGGCCAATTGTTCCCAGGACAGCGTGCTGCATTAAAACGGTACAGGGTAATCGCCGTGGCACCGGAGGGATATAGGAACAATATATGGGATAAATTCCATTGCGTCGAGCCACCAGAGGTGATTCGTGAGAAGAAGCGGTCCTTTGCAGCTCTATTTGTACTCTGAGAATGGCGCTTGCTGATGGCACATCCAAAGTCCGAAACGAGGCATTCTCGGTGGTGGGCCAACGACGGCCATTGAACTGGTTAGGCCGTGGACCTAGGGCGATGGTCCTGGGTTGGCGCTGAGTTGGCGCCGAAAAGGATGCTGGGGCTTATCTTCCGGTAGCAAGCCCAAAAGTGTAGACTCGACCTCTAGCCTAGCGAGTCCTTTCACCGCTGCATGATCTGAACACGACGAGAGCTTCTTCGATAGAACAAAGGTGAGGTAGTAGATGAGACGCCCCGACGAAGACAGTGACACTGCAGCCGCTGGCCTGACATCTGCCAGATTGTAAATGCAGGCGAACCAACGCGACATGGGCCCGAAGACAATCCTGCTGCTGTTCGATGGTGAACGACTTCATTGTGGGTCACGTGACCACACATCACCCCAACCCTCACACCCGCCCGTTTTTACCGGGGGTTTTCTGGTCGGTTCGGCGGTCCTGATCTGCTCACAGACCTTGAGAAGGGCCGGAAATCAATTGAGCAAAGGGCGATATGTGGCACCTTGATGTTATGTCAACATGTTAAACTCTGGAAAGATTTGAAGCAGAACCCTTGCGGACTTTTGCCTTGGGGCCTTACTAATTCTCGGGGTCATGACCCAATCTCTGGGAAGGGCGCCGATGCGGAGAGGGATATTTGAGTACAGAGTACCACGTTACGGCATGCGACTCCAGTCAGCTTCACAAAGGACATATCCACCGGCCCGGGCCAAAGAAGGAAGGTCAAAAGATTTGGCGATGCATGACTTGAGCATGACATAACAAGATGAGCGATGATGAGACTTTTACAAGAAGGTGTGGAAGGGAAATCATTTCGTCGACCTTTTATATGTTGCGGCTGACGCATTCTTTCGTTTCCTCGCGGTTGGCGTGTGCGCTCTCGCTCGTTGGGCCCAGACTTGTGTTCCCTAGCCGCCACCACCATTAAGGATCTTGGACCCTGAGCCAGTCACAGTCAACACCTCCCTTGCTCCTATCATAAACGACGGGCCTTTGCCCCAGACTCTGCATTGGTGTCGTCGTGCTGCACGAACTCCGGTTCGCTGCTCAACGCTAAATAGCACATCGCCATCCATGTGATGCGGCCAGCGTCAGACATGCATTTGCTGATTATTCTTCTGAAAGGCGACTGTGAGGAGGTGCAGGTCCCTGCCGGTCTATTGGGCGTGAATGACAGCTCATCGCTCCCTCTGGCTCCCTCTTGAGCCTCTCGAAGTGGTCAGAGCGGCCAGACATCCCAGCCTCGACGGCCGTTCAGAACTTAAGATGCCTCAATGCTCGACGGACACAGCTAATCTCTGCTTAGAGACACCGCTCGGCTTCTGTCCTCTAGCAACATGCAGGCCTACGATAGTCTCGCAGCCCATATGGGATGTGAGCCAGACCTTCTCATCTTCCGTCGATTTCTCATCCTCCATGTTCGAAACCTGTTGCTATTTCAATCTCAAATAGTAGAGAAGGAGGCTCAGCTGATTGAATCCATTGAACTAGATCGCGGGTCGGGGAACAAAGAGAGAGAGTCCTTCGCCTCGATGTTTAGTGCCATGATGAATTCAAATCTAGTCTTTGAGTCGCCAGAACTCAGCCAGAAAAAGATTGCTTTGGAGCTTCGCCCCCTTTTAAAGGATTTCGGTAGGAACAGCTCTGACTCGGTTGTCGGACATGCTTGCTAATTTCCTCCTAGGCGAAGCATTACTCCTTTTCAAGAATTTGAGGGACCTTCCTCCCGTCGAACCATTCAGCCTCAATACGCTGCGAGTAATCCAGCGAGGGCGTGGGCAATCCTCCTTCCTCCAATGGCCGGAATCCCACATCTGGATCCCAGAGAACGAGCCTGATCTGACGTCGTTGACGAGTCGCAGGAAAGAGATGGACACTATCTCAAACTGGCTCAGCTGGTTCCGCATCAAAGTCTTCCACAGGTACTGGGGATCCAGATCAGCACAGGAGGTGCGTATCCCCAGCAACTGGACACCAGAATATGCTCCGCGAATACGTTCTTATTCAGAAGAGTCGACCAGTGGACTTGTCAATATTCTGAGGACAATCATGGGGCCTCTTCTTACTACGACGAGTGCTTTCTGCCTCTTTTTCATCGATGACCCTGTCAAGCAGATGGGCATGGTCGTTGTATCTAGCTTTTTGTTCAGTATTTTGCTGGCTCTCATTACTGTTCCTGCCAAAACGGAAACTGTCATTGCTACGGCTACTTTTACTGCGGTGCTTGTAGTCTTTGTTGGGCAGAACGTTCAGAGCTCTCCCTGCCAGCGTTGAACTCTTGTAGCGTGTAGAACGAGTGTCTTGAGAAATGATACAGAAGTTGCTGGTTGGGAGCATTGGTGCTCAGAAAGACCACAGTACATCGCACTGACATTTCTCATAGACAATTGATTCAATGGAAAAGAAATTTGCTTTTCGAAACTCATTCTTAGTATCTCAATACCACTATGCTGCATCCTAGCCAGTTGGTAGTGGCATCCAAATTTCCAGTATAAACTATTCTCCCGGTGCAAACGACAGTTGCCTACTCGCCCATCTCGTGAATTTTCCCAGGGAAAAACCTGAAAAAAACATTAGGCAAGGTCTTCCGTGAGCTAAAAGTCTGGTTAAGTTGGGTGGTGGCAGAACACCAGAAGAATGAAGCAGTGGTGGGATGATCTTTGGGCAGCCGGGCTAACAATCAAGCCACTGACACACCGAGGCGACGCAATTTTCGCCAAGCCTGCAAAGATTCACGAGTCCTGGCCACATCATGCAGAGTCGCATTAGCGTATATTGCCAGAAAAGGCGCTTGTACGGTAGTCTGGCTTATGGGCGCTTAGAGAAAACCCAAATAAATGCCGGATAAGACGTCGAGGATGCTTGCTAGGGGCCCTCGACCTAACGCATGTACCTAGACATGCCTGTCGAAAGTCAATTGGCACCTTCTTTGTTCAGACATTGCCTCTGCTCAGAACTTCGGCAGAGCCAAATATTCCGATATGCCTGTAAAGCAACATGGTGTCCCGTGCGGGCGGCCACACCCTCACGGCTCCTGTCACAAGCCAATGTCGCATGCGCTACTGTCACGGCACGGATGATCACTTCGTGGACAAGGTAAGTAGACTGTGCTCGTGATATCGCAGCGAGATACACAGTACGTCCCAGAAGGGTTTTCTAAGTATCAAACTGCGGCAAATTATTCTTGTCAATGTTCTTAGAATATTCTCTGATGATAGTTCAGAAGCACCTGGGCTTGTTTGTGGTTTCCAGAAGGCTAGGACTGGCCTCTCCTGCAAGCTTCGAAGTTGACATCACAATAGGAGAGGCATTTAGTCCTTAAGAGGTCATGCCTTGCCTTCCAATCTGTAGACTCGGCTTGACTGCAATTGGGGATATTGACAGCCACATCCGGACTATTTGACATAGCTTCGTGGCGGACGGCTGAAAGGGTTGTCCATGCTGGACAGAGACTTGAAGCACCAGCGATGAGTGCAGATGCATAAGCGGATGGTATCTGCCGCGTAAAGTTAATCATGGACTTGGAAACCGACTTCCTTTGTGGTACAACGGTGTACAGCCCGCCGCCACCAAGGATGGTTTCGCCGCCATGCTTCAAGCCCAAGTCTTCACCGAAGCCTACCCGGCTGAACTTGCCGCTCGGTATGTAAGCGACAGGACTCGAACGTGAGGATCTCTCAAGTCTTCAAAAGGGGCTCCGAAATACTCTTTCAGACGGTTGACATTCGCCATTCTTCCCCATCAGATATGGTGTCATCACCTGGGTTATTCAGGTACTGAAGGAGGGTCATTTTCCACTTCATGATCAACCCGCGATTTTATTATGATAAGCCTTATCAGGCTAATTTTGTTGGCAATCGCCCCGTGTGGAACTGGAAGGTAAAAGTCATGCTTGCCACTGTAGCTGGTGACTTGCTCTGAAGGGGACTAACATCCTCGTTGTTCCTTATGGGTGGTGGAATCAGGAAGCGCAAGATTCAATGCTCGATACTGCCTAGTAAGTGTCTCGCTTTCGTCCGAGTGCCATGCGAAGTGGTTACAGGATGAGAAACTGAATCGCGATGGATTCTACCTCGTCGACGGCTGAGGTGGCGTCGTGGAGTCCAGATCTCCACTCATCAGGGCCTTTTTTCTTTTGGTTTGGATGTCATTATGTCAGATGTTGAATCAACACCGTCTCGACGACAGCAACTGGAGGTGTAAATTTTTGGCAAAAATGCTGCTCATAGGAAATGTCGCTTTGGACAAGCACCAGGGAGGTGTCGACGCGTTGACATGTTGATCTTGGGGTTATTTGGGCGCTGACACGGGAACTCATTGTCCTCGCATCAATTGAGCTCAATCCCGTGTCTAGATCTGGTATCTGCCAAACACTGTCAGACTCAACAAAAGCGATATGGATAGATTTCCAGCCAATCTGCAGTGAGATGCACAATTTAACCATTTTACGCTTTAAATTGCCGAAGCCTAATGCGTTCCAGACCTGCAGTGGCGGCCTCGTAGCAATTCGGTAGCCAAAGCAGCCCCACCAAAGTCAGATCATGGCCAACATCGTAGTAGACTCCTAAGTTATACACGTTCAATAGGCATACTTATACACAATCAGAGTCTCCGCCGACAACATCGTACCAACTGGCCATGGGAGGTCAACTCGAAAGTGTTTCAACCGATACTACCATACCGACTGTAAGAAACTCGGCTCGTGACAAACCACAAGCGAGGCCATAACTTCCGAAGGACATTATGGCAAAGACAGGTCTCACAAAGGTATCACCGCGACGCTCTCATCCTCTCCAATGAGCAAGCATAAAACAAGAACTCAGCCCGAAAGTTAGGACGATGAGAAAATTAACTTTGAGTTTGGAGCTATTTTCGCGGCACGGCTCGGCTTCCGACAAGGCTACCACCCCCTTAGAGTCCCTGCAGCCTTAGTGACGCAGATTCACGGAACAGCACCATCATCAGTATATTTGACTTCACTAGGACTTTGAAGGAATAATTGCAGACAGTTAAATTGGAGTCATTCCATAACATACTGGTAGGGGATTGGCGCCCCACAGTGTTCCTATGGAGTTCTTTGCGGGAGGTTATGCGAGCGGCTAGCAGACGCGGTCCTTTTGTTGACCGCTCTTTTGAATTCGAGAAGGAGTAACTACAGTCACTTAATCCGTTGCAAGGTTACAAGAAATGGAGGCAAGAGAATGAAAGAACATATTATTGATCTTCGAAAGCGACAGGCTCCTCCTGGGGTTTTCATGCTCAGTACCGTCCACCTCACCGTTTCATTATCGTTCCCGGCCGTTCTTCATGCCCATGAACTTCGAGTTGGTCTCGATGTTTGAACTATTCATCTTTATCTTGATAGTTCTGTTTGGATAATAGGAAAGGAAGAGATATGGAAGCGACGATCATGTCTTCTTCTGCTGTTGCTGCCTCTTCTTCTTCTCCTCATCTAGAGCCTTTCGTCGCTTGATTTCAGCTTCAGTGATGTTCTGAATTCCGGTAGCAGCTGCCTGTCTCCCTGCGAGGTTGTTGGCCTGGATCTGACTCTGTGTGGCTGGCCACAGATATTAGAAGGTATGCTTTCCGGTTATATTCAGGGGCAGAGACTCACCAGAAGTTAAGGTACCGCTATTATTGGCCATTGTTAAGATTGCTGATCGAGGCACTTCGGTATGCTTTGGATTGAGTGGCTTGTTCAGCACAATCACCTCAGCATCACTCTCAACCAAGCAAAAAGATGTTATTGTCCACCTCGGAACGAGCTCCGAGCGAGCTCTTATTTGTATCCTTCTCTTGAATCCGTCCCCATGATGCATCTCTGAATGCTCGTCGCCCTCGTCTTCCTTGTCAAGTTCAGATAGACCATGACGTTTGAGCACTGCTGTGGTAATGATAGCGCAGCTTTTGCTCGGATCAATCTCCGCCGTATGCTCTGAAAACTTGCCAGCATGTGTGATGAAGATTATCTCGGTAGGTGCCATTGTGGAAACTTCGTTGACTTCGTTCGTTGCCTTTGGCCGTTACTAAGGCTATGACTACTAGTGTTACTGGCGACGACTTGCGTATGCTGGCCGCACTGTTTACTGGAGAGCTGGGCCATACAAAGGACTTTAGGGCTTTACACAGATATAGGTGTGTTCTAAGCCGACCGCCTGGTCAAGACCTCCGGGAGGATTTACACAGCCCACTGTCGAGGTGTTCGGTTGGGTGACTCCACAGAACCTTTGCTCATGTGTTGACGCCTGGCGAAGGTGAAAGAAAGTTGTGCACTGTATGATATCGCACACTCTAGACTCGCATTGGTCAAGTTTGCTGACTTTGCCCATGCCTTGGGGGTGTATCATTGGGTGACCACCCACTGTATGAGATATGACGCATTCTACCTCGCAAAAGATTCGCCGATAATACTTTCAAGAGAATGTTGGCCTATAAACATTTGTTATGATGGAGCCATTACAATCGGGCAACAAACTGCGGTGAACATCCTTCAATAATGTCGCATTGTCAAGTCTATGTGGAATCTAACTGGCCTAAGCAAGGCGTTGACCAACCCCAAAGAGCCTCAATGATACGTCACGAGCGCCGCAGCTGAAGAGAAGAGGGTGTATGGGAAATATCTAGACTGTAGAGCAGCCTAACCGGTCAACTCAAACTATGCTGCAGGCTTCTGTACAAAAAATCCTCTTGAGGTGCTTTAGGCCCTGTACGAGAGCGGCATCAAGGATGATCTCGTAATTTGGGAGCTGACGCTGTGCATAGATGTTGAATATTTGGTTTCCTGAATGGCATCCGCACGGCGTCCAAAATGCTAGCTCGACAGTTGCTAAAGGAGAAACAGCATTACCACCCAGTGCCAAAGGAGCCCCTGGCTTATCAGCCTCGGTGAACTCTCGTCTGCTATCCCAGTACCCAAGTTGCTTCACTACATCTTCGGAAATGGCATTTTGATCGGCACCAGTGTCTTGCAGGGCAGTAAAACCCAATGTAATGCCATCCCTGGTATGGAACAGTATGTTAATGTTCCTGAATTTGGAGGCCTTCCGGTGAATTTCGAAGTCTTGACCCAGAAGAATAGCTTGGGGAGTAGCAAGAGGCTTCGAGCGGGAACTGATGGCCTCCTGACATGCGCGCAAGGTTCGGATAAGTGGAAGTGCTGTATGAGTCGCAACAGCCTCTGAATTGGAACTGATGGTGTCCAGAAAAGCCTGCAAGTTTCGACTGAGCTCAAGGCATGGGTCGGTAGGGATAGCCTGTGAGTGAACACCACGTGTTAAGGCGTCGAACCCAGCACATCGAACATGCTGGGAGCTCCCGTGTCCTGAGGCAAATTCACATAGGCCGGCCGCCAAATTAAGGGAGCTGGTAGAATAGCCCGAGGCTGCATCTTGCCTTGCATTTGGGGTGACTTCTTGAGTCTTGCGGGGTAAACCATATGTACCCAAATGTCCTATGGGACCTACACCTCCCCGGAGTCTGCGTCCAATGAAGTAGGATTCACTGCTGCAGCCTTGCGAGCCCATTTTGCTCCTGTTTGAGAGCCGCATTGACTCAGCAAAAAATGACTGCTTCGGTGCCCAGCTAGCAAGTGACTGGAAACCCGCAGGGTACACTCTCTGCACTTCCACTAGATGCCTACGGTCTCTCTGATGTGTCCAATTATCCAGGTTTCCCTTAGAACCATTCATCGTGGTGACCAAGCTCTTTAGAATTCCCCATAATGAATTCCCCAGAAAGTTGAGACAGCAGTCGATTTTGTCACGGAAAGACTCCAGAGACGGCAATTGAAGTGGTTGTGCGGGTTCTAAGGCATGATGCGGCTGCATTTTTCTCATCCGGTCGTGGAGACAAAAAGGAGATGAGTATGGAAACATGGGGAGGAGGTCGTAGCGAGTGTTTGAGAAGGCAACAGAGTGCAAACAGCAGAATAGACAGAGTGGGATGAATGAAGCGGCGCAAGGAAGAGTCTCACTGTAAAATCAGGTGGTATGCTGCAGAATAACTCTTTGCAGACATTGGTAGAGTATTGAACACTAGAATAGGGGTCACTCACACAAACAGTTGCAGGACTGTAGCTGGTTCGAGGAGATCTGCCTCAAGCTTCGTCCACCATGGCTCCTGTGAAGGGCACCGGAAAAGGATCAGGCATCAACTTGGTCAAAGCGGTTGCCCGTTGAAGACACTTGCAAGGCTGGTATAAGCCACCAGGCTCGACAAGAGGTCCGGAAATCATTTGGAAGTCACGGGGAACATCGAAATGCTCCGCAAAGAACTAGGGTTAGAAAGTTTCGGTAGAGGAGATTGCAAGTCAACGTGGTGGGTAGCGCCTTCACGCTCCAAACGGCGAGTATTGAACGATGCTTTAAATTCTGCCCTTGTCCCTGGCTGGGACTCCTTCTCACGGCCTGATCGCGCGATGCTGTATTTGAATCTCATGTAGAACTCTATGCACTAAAAAACTCGCGTCGAAAACGCGTTAGATGACCACAAATCAACAAGAGAATGTCTTCCCGCCCTCTCTTGCTGTCAGAGATCGTTGGTTGATAAGTCAGCCGACGCCTTGTTTCGAGCTCACCTAGTCATGAAGGGCCCTAGACGCTTTTGAGGTTAGATCAATCCACTGTCAAGGATGTTTTGAAACGTTAGTTCTCCGTAGTTGGGGAGCGCAAAGCACTAAACCTGGAGCCATCCCGGGAGGAATACCTGTGGCCGGAATGAGAAGTTCTTCCATGCCGACTCTCGCCCTGTGTTGACTCTTAGGCAGGATGCCGTGTGACATTCAGAGAAATATGTCCTCACTTTGTGGTGTCGCCATGATGGCTGGTAAGTAAGATATAGCGACCAAGAATGAAGGACACCAGGCTGCCTCCTCAAGGTGATAACCGATGATTATCGTTGTGGACCGGGACATTGGGGTCCCAGTGGTTCGATAGTATGCTTTTGTTGTTGAAAGCTAACGTGATCAAACGCGTGGTTCAATCCAAAGTCAGCTGACCCGCACAGTTATGAGACTGGCTATTCTTTAGCAGCAATTCTTGCAAGTCATCAGGGGACAAGTGTACGCTCTTTGCTCGTGGATGCAATCTGGAAAGTCGCAAATGAATGATCGCACCCGAGCCACTGGCTATCTTTTTCAGCGTCGTAGTGGTTTCCAAATCAGGCCGAATAGGGTCTCCGGTGTACAGAGAAACCCAGCCTTTCGCGAATGAACGAGAATGGGAGGTGGATTGGTCTCAGACGAAGATGGTGAATGTATGCCATCATGGAGGCTGACGAGAAGTAAAGGAAAGAGAAGAATTACAATGGAAAGATCATTCCTGCGGGACATCTTTCCTTTTTAAACCAATCTGGTGTCCAGCCTTGTCAGTCTCTCAGGGGTCCTTCGGTTTGACTAATCACGATGTCAGGTGTGACTCCCTTGACCAAGTCTGCATCTATGGGCTCCACATGCCCAAATGCTCTGCATGAGTCCACTGCGACAAGCCCCTGACGCGAACTTGTGAGCACTGGGCAATCAAGTTAATCTCTGCGTGTGGGAGTGCTGGATAGCAAAGTCATTGGCCGATATCACGCACGATTTCTGATTGAGCAGAATATGCATGCCCAAAGCCAGCGCAGAGTCGAAGGGGGAGACACTCGAGCCTTATTACCATCATGATCAGCTTGAATTGATGTACCCCCGCTCTTGATACCAGGTTGAAGCTGCTGATGAACTACCGCACGATCAGATCAACGCACGATGGCAAATTACAATACACTCTCACGCAACATCGCCAAGTTCCCCGCCTCTCTGGCGATATTCAGAAGGTTCCTGCCGGAACATGTACGCAATATCCTTTGCATGCAAGCTGAGCTCGTTCACCTTGCAGGGCTTTTAGAGATCAATATTGCATTTGACAGCAATTCCGATGATGAGAAGCGGAGGCAGTATGATGTTAACATCAATGCCTTAAAAGGACCCCATGAGGACCCGGCTGATGCTGAGCAATGGCGAATGACGCTGGAACTACGCCGGCTGTTGAAAGAATATGGTAATGCCGCACCACCCAATCAATCACTAACTCTCTGACTAACGTTTGATGCCATTAACCTTAGACGAGGCTTTACTGATGCTTGCAAATCTGTTTCGGCTGGCTCCTGTCAGTTCAGAGGACCTATCATGTCTTCAAGATCTCCTCCACTCGCCCCTTGAACGCGGCAAACCATTCCTCCAAGACTTTGAATTTTTCACCTACAGTAAGGAAAATCAAGCTGATCTGACCTCCTTGATGGGAAGCGATGGAGAGAAAGATATGCTTACAAAGTGGGTTGACAAGTTCGTGAGGACTGTCTACCATACGTACATCGGACATAGGTTTCATGACCCCATCTCAGTTTGCGAAGCAGGCGGTGAACACGGAGGGGAAGCATTTTTGACATACTATTCTGATGGCTTCATCACGAATGTGATTGATACACTGTCGACCATCTTATCATCTGTACTTCCAACCATCTCAGCCCTCGTTTTATTTTTTATTAACGACCCGTTGATGAGAATGATCGCTTTGATCGGTTGCACTCTTCTCTTCTCAACCACCCTGGCCTTGATTGGGCGTGCATCACGAGCAGAGTGTTTTGCAGCTTCCGCCGCGTTCACAGCAGTTTTAGTCGTGTTCTTGGGGACTTCTAATGGATCAGCGGCTTCTTGAATGATGTCAGTATCTGAGGACTGAAGGCTGAGGCAAAGGGTGGGTTCAAAGGAGCTCAGAAGTGACCATGTGCTGGAATGCTGCTGCGATCCTATTGAGGGCTCATGGCAAGAGCTCCAGGGCTACCCATTTTGACAACATACACAATCGCTTTGTTTTAGTGGCCTGCTCGCTTTCTTCGTCCAGAGACTTACACTGGTGGTGGTTCGGAAGACTCGAAGAAGCGCGAAAAGCTTTCTCAGATTCTGGACATTCCATCATAAAGCAGTTCGTAGCTGAGGAATATGAAAAGAACTTGCCACGACTTACACTGTATGAGAGCACAAGAATCGAGAAAGTCAAGCCTAGGTAGAAAGGAGACCTTCGGGTGAGAAGGAATTTATGGTCGGAAATCCGCGCAGCTTAAGGCTAATTGGGGACCCTCCATCGGAAGCATTTAGCCATAGCTATCGTTGATAGGGGAATCTCTAGGCTTTCCCACGGCCCCTTGAATTTGTGACCTCCAGTGCATTAGCCCGGATCAAGCCCTCCAAGCCCCCACATAGGCACGAGTTGTGATCCCACATCGAGAACGGAGGACTACCTCACTTGGGTGGCGAGATGGTATGGAATCGTTGCGAAGGCCTAGGTGGAGCTTCCGGTCATCCACTACAGCCTAGGCATATCCTAGTGAGGACTGCCGCTGCTAAGCACATGCTGAGGGCTTGACCGAACCATACCCAAGGCTCAGGAGCTGTTTAGGCACAACGTTGCGGTGCGATTCCTGCGTACATGGATCTACAAATGCTCTTTCCTTCTAATCACTATCTCGTAGATCATCTCAGTTGAGAGCAGGCCTATCTTGCTAAAGGATCGAATCAGTGACAACATGCCGTCTCCACACTGATCAACGAATACTCGATGCATCTGCTGTTCCCTGTGCAAAGCAATGCTTCTGAAGTTGTAAATCGATGGAGCGCTTGATGAACGCAATCATCGCTTAGGTATCTACTGCAAAACGCCGAAGAGTTAACCCAGTGATGCAGACTCCATACTGTCGAAACCCGGTGGCCTCACTGCTTCCCTCCTCTGAGCAGACCATATTCGCACCTTTCCCGAGAATCCACCAAAGCTTCGAAGCCCACTTGAGCCTGAGTCGTGAGGACATTCATGGTCAGACTGACTGGGGGCGAAGAATTGAATCGTCAGCTCTTGAGTACCCTGGCGGTGGCTGCATGGAGATGATCGATCAAGGACAAGAGTTTCAAGCAGAGTGACGACCAGGGCGACATTGAACACTGCAAATCTTTTGGGAACATGCATCGAATGGGGGACAAAAATCATTGTCTGGATGTCGATATCCAACAATACAGGTTTCCATTGTGCACATTATCTGCAATCCAAGCAGTTAAACCACACAAAGGGCATCCGCTACCACGCAACACTGCCAAAGGCGACGGGGTCTAGAGACACTTTGTCACACAAGGGTACAACCTTGCGTAGGAGCGCGAGCGAAGCCGCTCTCAGCCTTGGAAAGAGATTCGAAATCTGGCCACCGGGCACAGAACCCTTCGCGCACGAACAGGTACAACGGCTAGGCGGGCCACAACCGACCTAGATGGAAGCGGATCTACATCACATCCATCACACTGCCTAGGCCTCGGCATCGCTCAGGGACCAAGCCGGGCCCTTACTTCTGGGATGTATCACATCCTCAAGTTGTGATTTCGATGGACGTTGAATTTAAGGAATCCGGTACGTTGGAAAAAGGCAGCCGTTAACCGCGGTGCATAAGGTATTTGGGCTCCACTGATCAACCTAAATTAGATTGCTCGAGTGTCGGGTCGGGAATCGCCTTATTAGAGCATGGGTAAGGTGAGAGAGCCAGCCTTGCGAGCATAAAGTCATGTGCCGGTGAGATTCGAGATTGAGATAATGGCACATAGAGATATATCGAAGGGCTGTGAGTCCTGGAACATCACCCGTGGGCTTGACATTCCTTTTCAGACCCTGGAAAGCCATGGTGATCAACGCGCTGGGGGGAGAGAGGGCATTGGCATTGGGCTGGGGAGCACAGGAGGACAAGTCACGGGGATGAGGGAGACAAATGTGATGTATCACATGCACGAGCAAAACGGGGCCACAGCATTTCAGCCGACCCATGCACCGTCGACCCTCTGCCATGGCCGCAAATGGCGGTGAGAGACCACCCGACAGTTTGGTTCCGGCCTCTCGCTTCGAGCAAAAACAAACAAACCAATGCACGGGGTAGCCGCGCCAGATCTCAAGTACGGAATACCCCGGACAGAGTCCGAGCTACGAGTCAGCTAGCCGCTGCCAGGCCCAGGATCGGCCATGCCAGGTATTGCTTCGAGTTGTTCAATCAATCTTGCGGTGATTTGTGACGTCGCCCAAGAGGACCTGCCAGCGCGATTTTGATCACAGCCTTGTTGGTACGGACAAGGCTGTGTCTAGGATGAATATAGAATTAAGCCTTGGCACCTGAATAGTCCGAACTGGTTGGGGCTGCCTTTGAGATCAGACCAGTCCGTGCCGCTTTTAAAGCCATCACCTCACGGCTCACTCTTCGCACCGTCCTGCGTTCTGTAATCATCTCTGTACGCTACGCACAGTGTGCGTGTGTGGCCCATTCTTAGGTGCCTCGAGTCAGAATGCTATCTGCCTAGCCTCTCCCCGGGTCTCTGGCGAGGCTCCCGTCCTTTCCTCAGAAATTCCCCCTCGAGTTGCTCTCTTTGTGGGACGTGATATGGAGTCCAATCGGAGCTGCGGCCGGCTAGCCGCCCAATTCACGCTCTCAGCTACTATAATTCTCCGTCCCCCAACTCTCTCATCGCCATTTCTGCTATATTCGAAGTCCTGCTGCATCATAAGCCCGAGGATAGCGTGTGAGCGATTCTTGACCGTGGTGCAGTAGTCGGAAGGGGAGGGTTAATGCTGGCTGTGGGTGGAAGGATAACCATTGGCTTGGCCGGGTGATGGGCAAAGGTCTTTTCGCGACTGCCTTGCCGCTCAGCAAACCATCCATTGGATTACCAAAGCCACCTGATATATTTAATGCTTCTTCAACAGCGAATATTATGGTTGGGTGAATAGCTATAGGCTCTCCAATGGCTCCTCTGGTTAGAGTCTTGCTCATCTTAGGTCACCCTACCCTGATCAAGGCAGAAGAACTATTGTCACGTGTTGAAGTTGACGCTAGTCTGGTGCATGTGAGTCGCGTAGATCCTCCTAAAATTATCGAATTCATTACCTTGCGTTTGAAAGCCGTGTTTGATCAAGTTTCCAGAGTGAATAGATCGTCCTGGATAATCCCTGGCCGAGAAGTGACAGAATAGAGAGAGCCAGGGTCAGGTAGATATCTAGCCCTTTGCGTCTTGGTCGCCATTTATCCTATAGCGAAACACTTTCCCGTCCCACCGCAAGTCAGGGCACTCTTTCCTGAACGAGCTCCGCAGCGAGCTCTTTAGCAGACTTGTATGCCTGAGTCCAACATTTCTCAATGACGTGACCTAGCTATATGTTTATGGTAGCTGGGAGGCTGTCTCGTCGTGGGCAAGTGTACAAATTCTCGGGTTCCTTTCGGTCTTGTGTCAGATCGAATTTGCACCTAAGTCCTGCTATGATCTCGTACATTGCCGCGCCGAACCAATATCGGTCAAGACGGAGAATCCAATCGAGGGGCATCCTTGTCGATTCTCCGAAGTCACAAATTTTAACTGCCAAAGTCTCGTCGAGCAGTAAATTGTCTTATCGGATATCGGCGATAATTACGCGATGTTCGTGGGTGTATACCAAGGTGTGTGCCATTTGGGTCAACCAAGATAGTTGCATCTTTCGCTCCGGTCTTTTCCCGGCCAAATAATGACGGAGATCACCATTCATCAAGTCCATCTGAATCGAAATATCGGTCGATTCAAGATTGTGGCAGCGTACGATTCCGTCGTGGTCACCCAGTCTCTTGTTGATAGCCTTCTCAACCTCTATCGATTCGATAAGAGAGGGTCGCTCATCCTAATCACCTGATTTAGGTCTTCAGGACCCGACTTCCACGGGGACTCCATCGATCTTGGTATATCTTGAAATTCGAGGTAGCTTGAGCGCATAATGTCCTCGCTCAAGGATAATGCCTGTCGCGCCTTGTCCAATAACCTTCTCTGTCACCGTGATGCCGTCGAGATGTAACAAGGCCGATTCGGTTGACGGCAAGCACGGAAATTCATCAAATGGATTTTGATTCTGCACGGCTTGCTGTGAATAGGGAGTTGAGAGTGTAGGGGTGCTAAAACTTCTGCTGCGGAGTGTCGTGTCAACGTTTGCGTAAAGTGATTTTCCAACTTACGCAACCGCCATCGACGTTGGCCATCTTTGTGCGAGAGAGAGAGGAAGGGCGGGGAAGGGGGGGGGAGGAACCAGCGTCCACTGTCTTAGTGGTTCGAGCTATGAGTGCGCCCTGATTTGAGAGACATCAGAGTGGGCGTTGTTTTCGTGAGAGTGGATTTACTCCAGAATAAACAGTATGTAATCACGTGATACTCGTGTCCGAGAAGTGTGGGCTTCATGTCTTTCTTTCTAATGACGCCGAGCCTTGGCGTAATATGGGACCGCCGATGACCAGCCTTGGCGTTCTAGGGAACCCCAAGGCTGGTTCTGAGTCGCATACATATATAGATGGTGGTAGGCTTCCGCAGCTCTGATACTGTTCCATCCATAGCATGTCCGGATCTTTCATCATTTGACTTCGGTAGTGCTGTCCGTTTGAGGCTGCTTCTCTGCGGAAGTCTCGACCCAATGCTCCTCGTTGTAAGGGTCTTTGGAAAGCCCAGCTAAAATTCCACCCGACGCAAATAGGCTGTCGACTTGTTCCAAGGTCTTTCCACCAGTCTCTGGGCATAAGAAGAAGACAAAAGCAACGGCCACCAAGTTCCCGCTCAGCACCCAGAACCAAAAATGCCATCCGCTATTGTCAAAGCCAATAGGTCCCACAAAGACGGTGAGCCAGGTGCCTAACCACTCGCCAGCGGAGGTAGCGGCACCGCCTATATGTCGGTATTCAAGAGGAGATATTTCTGAGCAATATAGCCACACACATCCTGGATGAGTGTCAGTCTCAGTCACGTGGTACGCACGGCCCCCTTCCGGAGATAGTCTCAGGTCCACTTACCTTGATAAGCATAACCCATGACGAAAAGGAAGAACCAAAGGATAGCAATCGAAGCCCAACGGACAGCTCCTGTCTGAGGTACGGCAACCAAAGTAATGAAAATGACAATGAGAAGAGTCATAAACATTGCACCGTAAAGAAGAGTGCTCCGGCGACCTGTCCGCTCGATGGTAAAGTAAAGAGGGACGCAACCCAGGGCAAAAATGATATTTTGTACGCCCGCCAGCATGGAGATCAGGGTGGGCGTAGCACCAGTATTGACCAAGATGATGGCGCCTTTACGACAAGGTCAATGCCGGGTGTTTTAGAATGAGAGGAGCAGAAGACAACACTTACTATAATAGGCCATCAAAGAAGATCCCATCCACTCACGGATGAATGGCAACCAGAAGCAGATACACAATCTTCTTGCAATCTTGAGAGGTGAGCGGTCGGTGAGACCCATGGTGATGAACTGTTTCCAGTGCAAGCTCGCGCTCGCTTCCATTTCGGCCTCAATGACCACCAGGATTTCTTGCTTTGTGCGTTGCACATCAGGATCATCCGGAGATGGTGCGTCGTGCAGACGTGCCAGGATGGCGTCGCCCTCGGCGATGCGGTTGCGGGCATAGTACCATCTTGGAGTATCTGGCAAGAACAACATGCAGCCGCCGGCGACCCCAGCCAGCAAGACCTGGAAGATAACGGGGCCTCGCCACGAGATTTGATTGTTCATTTTCGTGAACCCATAGTCGATCCAGTACGCGAGGGGGACGCCAGAAATCAACATGATAGCATTGACAGCGTGTGCAGGGCCTCTGTCCCCGGAATCCACCCCAGTCTCCGCCAGGTAGATTGGAACAGCCGATGAGATGCAACCAATGGCAAAGCCAGTAATTATTCTGCCGACTGTGAGTTGCGCGATACTGTAGGCCGAGGCTTGAATGACGCTGCCCAAAATCGCCGCGCCGTTGCCGAGTAGAATGGTCCCGCGGCGACCCAACCTGAGGGAGAAGAAACCAAGCACGACCGACGTAACAAAGGCCGCTAGACTGTAGGCGCTGGATATCATGGGAATGGTGTATTGTCCAGTGTTCTCCAGCCCGATGGCATCAATGAAAGGCTGGTGAAGCAGGACTCCGCCCAAAACGCCGGCATCGTACTACCACGTCAAATATCACTATCGTGCCAATGGGTTAGGGGACATTGAGATGTCTACTATGTACTTACCCCATACATCATGAACGAGGTACCGCATACTAGCTTCATAAGCAGGTAGAGCGTCTTGCCACGAAGCGCCCGGATCCCCATGGTTGCTGGCTGTGGCATGACGGCCAAGGTTGCGGTAAGGCTTGATTTGGTGTTATCCAACGACTGCGTTTTGGGAGTTCAACACCGATTTGGTGAAGAGGTAAATTTGTGACATGTTGCCAGGCAGATAATCGCTCTTGTTTATGTGTCGATGCTGTGCGATGAGCCGCGCTCCCACAAATGGTCGATTCAGACAAAAAAAGTCAGACATGGCGATCAGACGTCGCTGTGACTCCACACCGACAGGTTTAGATGACTGTCATCTTCCAGCGATGCCTTGGCCCCCTCGGCCGATCGCCGCCTTGATCATCCGTGTCTCCAACTTAGCAATTCTCGAGGCTCGAATGGCCGAAGGAACTCGGCCGTGGAATATTCGTCGTACCCCATATGCTCCACTTCGTCGTCCCCAGTAACCCCGCGACTTTTCTGCGCAAAAGCCCATCTTGGCAGCGGCTCACGAACCTCTTCTCTGATAGGGTCTCTTAATATCGTACACAAAGTCACCGATCTCGCTACCTGCTCCAGGTGACTGACTCTTTCATGGAAAGTCATACCGTGTAGAATATCCTCTCCCGCTCGCCCATTCTTAGGCAAACACGTCAGACGGTTTGTAATAATCGCCGAAGCAGCGCCAATGACGGGCATCACAGCCGATAACAAGGCCACCTCGGCTACCGGCAAGGAGAAAAAGGTCACAAAGTCTCGCCAGCGGACCGAGAAAAAGAAGATTCAGGACCGTCTAGCCCAACGGGCAGCACGCGAGAAGACCAGACAGAGGATTGCTTCGCTCGAACTGGCTCTAAACAGCTTCAAGTCTAGTGATGACACAACCCACACCACTTCACTGATGCGCACGATTGCGAACCTACGAGATAGAAACCATCAGCTTCTATCCACGTTCAACAAGATACAAAATGCGATCAGCCTGGTCGCGCTCATCTCTGAAGACGGCGCGACGGGAGACAAAATCGAACCCAAACCTTGGGCCGCTAGCCCAGGAAACATCGACAGCCCTCCATGCTCTACGCCCTTCATCGCTCAACCGGAGCTTGTCCCCCCCGATTTTACCCATAGCCACTCTAGTGAATCTGCTTGTCATGAAATGACTATGACAATGCCCGCATCGCCTCGTCTGGTCATGAGCATTCCCCTAAGTATGGAACAGGAGTCCCCTGAACGTGATGCCCTTGAAAACAGTGCCGGTCAAGACGACGCCCTTGTAGCAGCGATTACTACACAAAGAGGAACTCTTGAAGTGGGCGCCAACGTAGTACCTGCGGTCCAGAGCACGGCAGATAGTGGAGTCGGGAACAAGTTCGATTTTGAGCAGCACAACATATTCGACCTTCTCGATCAGACAGCCTCGGCCGCTTGGAATACGTACAGATCCCCATTGTTCAATGATCTCCGGCCTGCTACAATCGACGTGACAGGAGCCGTCGTTTCAGACTTCCAAAAGTGGTATTTTGGAAATTCAGCCTACTTGGGAGCCCTTGACTCGGTCAAGAGACGAGTCCGGTCAGCGACAACCATGGATTTTCAAGTTGCCTTCCAAGCTGCGTTGTGGGGTTGGAAGAGCGTTGGTCAGGAAGCTGAACACCCTGTGTGGAATGCTTTGCGACAGGTTGACGAGTGTATCTTTGGCAGTTGGACATCTAAGGCTCAAAGGATCGCATTGATGTATGTCTGCCAGACCTTGATACAGTATCGCGAGGATCCGACGCCAGGGAACCTGAGTCGGGTCCCTGGTTTTCTACAGCCCAGGTGCGTTTCATTCTCTTCTGGGCTTTCATTTGAATGTTGTACTCACAAATGGCAGACCCGCCCAAGAACGATTGGACCACCCAGTTGTTATCGATTTTCTCATATGGTATGCCTCAAGGCCATCTCATGACGTCTTCTTTTCATTCGGCCGAGATTCACCTACTCTTTGTATTACAGTCGACAGCGCTGACTTTCCTATAGGCCTGGCATGCGTGATCGCTTGGTCTTCGAGCATGAGAAGTATACCGCATCGGGATTGTTCTCGGCAGCGTATGTAGAGAACTTTTCCTTTTTCTGGCCTTATCCCGACGAAGAGATATTCCATTATGATCCTCTACAAGATCAGTTCGAATTTTCTCCAGTCTTTCTGCACTATGTGTACAATTACAAGAACTGGACGATGAAGGCAGGCTTTTTCGAAACTTGTCCGGAAATGAAGTACGACGTCCCCGCCTTTGAGAACTCTGCAACCACCGCTGAACCCGTGACTTGGGTTTGAGCCGGACTTGTGAACTTGGGGTTTTGCACACCAAAGTCATTCTTCATCAGCTGTTGCGGGAGGACTAGATCATGAAGGGCTGGTATCGTGCCCCGAATTCAAGCTTCTTACCTAACAAAGGCTCCTCAGATTTGAGGATGAACGCGCTGAGGATTGAGAAGCGGCTCTTATCATGCGTTGTTCCCCGTTCCCCCCCCCCCCCCCCCCCCCCCCCCCCCACCAGTAGCAAAGGTGAATTGCAGTGTATCCTTGTGTTTCACTGACCACACACGAGCGCCCGCGCATAACAATATGGCCGCATTGTGCTCCTCAATTTTAACGGTGTCCGTTGTAGCAAAATCCATACAGATCCGTCAAGGCAGATTGAAGCCGACCACCATGCGACTGTACGGTTTAAGCTGAATACTCATATCTTCTCAAAGCACGGTGCCAAGCCTATCCAGCGATTTGCCCATTCTTGAGCTTCATACTGGTTCGTCGGATGTGCTTTATCGTACCACCGTAGGTTCGAGACGCAGTTTTCTTGAAGCACCATGAACTTCCGGTCCTTGACAGTCTGGTACGGGGGGGGGGGGCGCCTTGTCGCGGAAAGTCCAGTGTTTCGTCGATACCGGCCAGACTGCCGGCCAGCGTTCCCATGATGGATTGGCCCCGAAAAATCAGTGTTGAAGAGTCCAGGCATAGGGTTATCTTCGATGAGAGGGCATACCAATACTAGGTACATTTGAGCCGTGGAAAAACAATCAAGGAGCGACTGACCATATGAGCTTTGCACCTGCACGAATGCCTGGATAGCCGAGTGCAATAGGGTACGACCGAACAGCGGTCACAAACACAGCGAGCGCTCCACGCTCTTTTAGCTATAGAACCTTCTTCACCAAATCCTCATCCTTGAAGTCAACAAAATAGTCAGCTCCTGAAGCGAGCCAGGTATCTTCGCTCATCGCCTGTGTCGACGACAATAGCGCGGAGGCCCATCGTAGCTGCAAGTCGAACGCCTTGAATACTAACATCTGTCATCCCCAACCTTGACCTGGGAATACTGCGAGCTGCCCCGGCCGAATGTCTGACTCTTTGGTCGAGGTGTAAATCGTAGAAGCACAGCACATGACTGATCTAGCGACGTAGTCCGAGACGCCCTTGGATTGAGGTCTCAACCAGAGGCCGTTCAGCAGAATTCGGGCGACAGACATCTAAGGTATGGGTTATGGACTTAGAATCGAGGATCAGGAGAGCCACGTGGCCAGGGGAAGCCTGAGGGGCTCGGCGTTATGGCGCATACCGTGCGGACTTTCCTGGTGAGTCAGGGGACAATTCATCGTCGATTTAAAGGAAGTGGAATAGACAGCTGCGAATCGTCCTAAAAACAATTGATTCCTGGGTGGATGAACGATTTATATTATGAGGTATATAAATATAAATATAAATATAAATATAAATATAAATATAAATATAAATATAAATATAAATATAAATATAAATATAAATATAAATATAAATATA